AATATATAGAACATCTTTGCTTAAGATAAATCAGGAAATCTCGTTAATACATACAGAGAACTGAATACTGCTCTCAGAATAGAACTTTTGAAAAAGAATCTAGAATCAATAATTCCAAATGAATAAAATAATTATATTAAAAATGTATATAGTATACTAGCATATAAATATCAAAGAATTAGAGTAATTTATAAATATATTAGAAGATATTAGAATTTATTAAGCTTTAGAAAAAGAATTGAAAATATTCTATAATAATGTAATAACTGCAAAAAGAATAAAGTAGAAAAATATAAGCTTTATAAACTACTGCACTTCTTATTAGTATTTATAATTATTTAGCAATTCATTAATCTAAATTTTATTATTAAGCTATTTTTCTTATAAGAATTCTTAACTAAGATATAATATAATAACATTCTAGTAGTAGTTTGCAGATTAAGCAAGTATACTTATTTTCTCTTTTATAAGAAAAGCAGTATAATAAAGAAACTTGCATATACATTTTTCAGAATAATTATTACTAATTATAGCATACTAGAGAAAGTAATCTCTAATAAAGATAGAAAATTTAATTCGAAGTTTTGAATTTTGCTTATAAAATAATTCAGAATATATTACAGAATATTTATAATATTTTATTCATAAATAAATAAATAAATAAAAAGAATGAATCAAGTTATTAAATAATATCTACAATATTATATTAATTAGAAACAGAACAACTAAGTTAATCTATTGCTTCTTATATAATTTGCTTATAATAATACAGATATAAGTATAATAAAGAAGTTATTATTCTTTATATTCTATAAATATAATCTAATAGCTTACTACGAAGCACTGCTGGAAGCAGATATAAAAGCTGCAGATAAAAGAATTAAGAAGATTAAGAAAGTTCAGAAGAAACTTTAATCAGAATTACAATTCATTCAAGAACGAATAATGCAGTATGCAAATTCCAAAAGAATTAAGAAATCAATCCTACAAAAGGAAGATAAGATCTACTTACTTTGAAAAAATATCAAAACAACTAGATCTAGCAATAAGCTTAACTATAAGAAGTTAGAACTATTCAAAATCTTGTAATAGATTTCTCTGATTAATTACAAATTAGTATTATCTTATAAAATGAGAATATATTCAGTTTTTCACATCTTACTACTAAAACTAGCAATACAGGAAATACTAGCAAACAATATAGCAGAAGTAGAAAATAATGAATCAGAGTATAAGATAGAAAAGATTCTTAAGTATAGAGATATGAATAGTATAAGGAAATATTTTATCAAATGAAAAAGCTATTTAGTGAACCAGAACTAGGGCGCTGTTGCTCTCGAAAGAAAAAGGGACAAACAGCTGCTGAAGCAATGGGCAAGGGCTCATGCAACCCAAGCGTGCCTGTACAGATGAGAACAGCAAACTAAGGCTACACGGGCGCAAGAACAGAATGAAAAACCTGTCTTAGACCTGTCCAAAGGGTTCAAAATTGAAAAGAAGAGAAAGGGATGCTTTTTTTTTTTTTTGCTTATAGCTAAAGAATTTGAAAAGTGAGTGGTATCCTTTATATGTATGAGGACTCTTAACCCACTGTACTCCATGTCCCACGGACTACCACCCTGGCTATCACAACATTAGCAAGCGAAAACTCATGAGAATTACAGAAGAATATTAAAAATGCTTAGAAAAAGATAGCTAAATATTGGAAAAGGAAAGCTAGCATCTAAGATAATCGCTCTATCCCGAACTAAGATTTAGAAGCCTTAGAGACTTCACTTTCCAGAAAATCCAATCAATCCATCACTGCATTCCCTACATCTATAGAATTCCAGTCAAAATCTCCAAAGAAAGAACTCCTAGAAGCAATAACGAGCTCTGCAGAAACCATAGCCTACATCTCAGCAGCTATACGCTTGCACTCCTTCTTCTCCAGACTTTCATTTACCAGCTTTATTCCCTTCTTCTGAAGAAAGTATTGCTGCTTCTTTAGCTATAACAAACAAGCTAGCAATTCGTTTATATAAGCTTGAAATTCCAATAACTACTCCTTCTTCTCAAACTTATACTCATTAATACAGATTAATTTATCAATAATCCGAAATACTAAGAGAAAAAGTCTTAATTAATAAAGAAAAACATTTAGAAGGAAATACTAATAAAAAGAAATAAGTATATAATCTGCATTGCAGGAATAATTCTGCTTAGTATATTGCAAATAACTCTTTATTCTATCTATCATCTTATATAATACTTCTTCTTCCAAATATAAAGAATATAGCATTATCTTATATTCATTGGATTCAATATAACCAAAACATTCCTAACGAGCAAAGCTTTTCTTAAAAAGAATAGAGAAAGAAGATTTACTAATATAAGAATTTAAGATTCTATTCAACATTTCGATTAGAAAAGCATAATCACGCATACAGAGAACTTGCCAGATATTTACAGAAGATTGTTGAGAATAATAACTAATAAGAGAGAGATAATATTATAACTCATCCAACATGCAGATTATGAAAACAGATCATAAGCAAACAAGAACTAGATATTATAACTCAATATCAGATAACCTACAAGGATTATATAATCCAGGGTTAGAATTATAAGCCAACCAATCAGAAGAGCTTATCTGTGCTTACTGAGCTTCAGTAAGCACTACTGGGCAGCAGTAAGCCTCAGTAAGCACCACTGAGCAGCAGTAAGCTTCAGTGAGCATCAGCAAGCCATACTGAAGAGCTGAATATATAACTACACGTTTATTACTATTAGACAGATTATCATACATAGCTCTTCAGTTATCAATCTAAGTATTCAGTCTTCTATACTGAGTAGCTCCAAAAGCAGTGAATACTTGCATTGCTTATTAAGACTTGTACAGTTTCGTATTCAAAGTCTTAACACTTCAACACCGCTCTTATTAGCATAAACCTTCTCATATACTTAGGAATCTTCGGATTGCTGCAGTGCTCATTACAAGCATTCTTTTCAAAATGAATTTCTATTAGAATAACTTTCTCAGATTCTATAATAAACTGGATTGTATAGTACAAAAAGTATGCTCTACAATGAATAAGGAATTCATATAGTATCTTCTGATTATTATTATATATAGCAGATTTATTCATCTTATATGCTTTTTCAGCGCTACTAATAGTTGCAGAAATAAACTGCATCTGCTAAGCTTATTAAGCTAGCTAAGCTTATTAATTAGCAATGATAGCGCTCTAAGCTTATTATTATTTATACAGATTCTGAATATATTAGATAAGCTAATATATCTAATTAATCAGTTCTTTCTAAGTAGAAGCATATAAGAATAAAGAGATTTCTAAAAAAGCTATTATATTCTGTATTATTCAAGAGAATAATACTGAATCATTCTTGAATAAGAGTTATTAAAATGTAATAAGTATTGCAGCAATCCGAAGATTTCAAAGTATATAAAGAGGGTTTATGCTAATAAAAGCAGTATCAAAGTGCTAAATCCTTGAATACGAAACCGTACAAGTCTTAGTAAGCAATGCAAATATTCACTGCTTTTAAAGCTATTAGAGTAGAGAGTAATCTGATACTTAGATTAACAACTGAAAAGCTATATACTGAATCCATCTAATGGTAATGACCGTGTTCTTATATATTCAGCTCTTTAGTATGGATCACTGTCTGGCAGCGCCCCGCGGATCACTGCGGTGATCCGGGTGAGCCTAGTGAGCTGTGCTCCTGGTGCTCCTAGTGATCCATCCCTGTCTTCTTCCTAGGTTATGTAATCAATGCTTTGTCAGAACGTTGGGTTCTTGACACCTGGTTCTTGTTACTCGTGATCTGTTTTGTGACCTGCATGTTGGATGAGTCATAACAATAATATATTATTATATTAAAAGTTAATAATTAGAAGTAATTAAAAGTAATTAGAAATAGTTAAAAATAATTAAAAGTAATTATTAATAAATAAGAATTAAAAAATAAAATATATAAAAATACGTTTATTATTATTAAATAAGTTATTAAAATATAACTTTTTAATTATTAATTTAAATATTTATTTATTATATATTTAAATAGCTTTAAAAGAAAATAATAATATTTATATAAATTATTTAATTATATTTTCGTATTTATTTAATTATTACTTTAATATCGCTTTTATTAATATAAACTTTTTATATATTTTAAAATTTTCAAATATTATAATATATTATTATATTATATTTAATAAATTAATTATTATAATAATTTTAATATTAAATTAATTATTATTATATATTAAATAAATTAATTTTTTAATAAAATTATAAGCTATTTTTATTTATTTATATATTTAATAACTTTTTTATAAAATTTAGAATATATATTACTAAAAAATTAAAAAATAAAAGTATTTATAAATTAGATTATTTAATTAAATAAATATTTTATAAACTTAGTTAAGAATACTTATTTATATAAGAAGATAAGTTTAAAATATATATTTATTTAAGCTATGAATTTTTTCTATACTTATTATGCATTGATAGGGTAGTGAGCAGGTTGGATGCTGAGCTTATAGGAATGATACAAGACGCAGTTGCAACAGAGCACTAACAGCTCACTAGGTACTGTCTAGTGTGGCACCTTAACTCCGACCTTGCACTCGGTGACGACACGCACTTGTTGCACTCTCTCCTTCATCTTTCTTGTTGGCTCAACTTCTAACCTGGCTAACCATTTGCTTCTCGTCCTCCACACTCACCCTCCGCCAAAAACGAAAACAAAAACAAGGCCGGCGTACATGCATCTGTATGCTGTGGGGTCGAAGAATTATATTTAGACCATTGCGTCTCCTTCGCAACCTATCATAATTAATCCGGCTCGCTACCTCGTCTTCACTTAGTTGAAGTCCCCGTCCAAGGGATTCAGAACCTCCGCTGGTCAGAAGTTCGACACCCCCTCTTCTGTGCTCCGCGCCTTGTTGCGCAGTATCCTTCATCGTCCAATCTCTAAAAGAAGCCCTGGCCGCCATGCCCATCCTGGGCGCCCGCGATGTGTCGCCTTTCCTGGTCCTGCTTGTTTTCGTAGCTACCCTTGGCCCTTTCCAATTCGGCTATCACTTGGTATGGCCCTCCCCGTGCCTGTTTTCTATGACCGCCTCTCCACATCCTTTCTGTGACTCTGCTGAACGATACCCCTTCCGTCTGCTGCCTCTCTAGTCCGAGCTGAACGCCCCGCAACATGCCATCACCTGCGAGAATGACGACCTCCCCACCGTCACCAGCGCTCTAGCCCGTATCACCGCCAAACTCTCGTCCACCACAGGCTCCGTCGATGGCTGCAAGGGCATACCCATGGAGGAGGCTGCTTTCGCAGCCGTCTCCTCTGTCTTCACCATCGGCGGCCTCATCGGCGCCCTAGCCGCTGGGCCCGTCACCTCCAAGAAGGGCCGGTGGCTGTCCATACAGATAACAGCTGTTACCTTCATCCTCGGTGCCGCAGTAGAGGCCCTGGCGCCCGCTGCATGGGTTCTTGGGCTTGGTCGCTTTGTGTCTGGCCTCGGGTCCGGCGCCAGCACCGTCATCGTGCCGCTCTACATCTCCGAGGTCGCACCACCCGCCGAGAGGGGCTTCTTTGGCGCCTTCACACAGATCAGCTGCAACACTGGCATTCTAACCGCGCAGGCACTGGGCTACTTCCTGAGCCATGGCGCTGCTTGGCGCTGGATCCTGGGAATCAGCGGCATCATCGCTGCTGGCCAGGTGGTGCTGACCTTCTTGATACCCGAGAGCCCCGCCTGGCTAGCTACTGTCAAGGGGGACGCGCCGGCTGGCCGCAGAGTCCTACAGCGAATCCGTGGGCCGCGGGTTAACATCGACGACGAGGTAGCCCTCTGGGGCTCCGGCGCTGTCAAGGCCTCCGTGGATGCCAGTGAGGAGCAGGGGCTGCTGGCTCCGCCTGCGGTGGCGGCGGTCGAGAGAGAAGAGGAGGCCCGGCACATTGGGGTCATGGAGGCGCTGAGGGATCCCCTCTACCGACCGGCTATGATCGTGGTCATGGGGGTCATGTTCGCCCAGCAGCTGTGCGGCATCAACTCGATAGTGATGTACTCGGTGGCGCTCCTCAATGGCCTGCTGCCCCTGAGCTCTATCGTCCTGACCATTCTTGTCTCCGCCGTCAATCTTGTCATGACTGCGGCATGCTCGCCTCTCCCAGACAAGTGGGGCCGCAAGACGTGCCTCCTGGTGTCCATCATCGGCCAGGGGTGCTCGTCCCTGGTGCTGGCCATCTCAATCATGACGGGGTTTAAAATCATCTCGGCTCTGGCTGTCGCCTTCTTTGTCGGGTTCTTCGCCGTCGGGCTGGGCCCTGTGCCGTTCATCCTCGCATCGGAGCTGGTGGGCCAGGAGGCCGTTGGCGCGACGCAATCCTGGTGTCTGGCTACTAACTACACGGCTACCTACCTTGTGGCGCAGTTCTTCCCCATCGTCAACACGGCTTTGAACAACTGGCTGGGCGGACGTGGTGGGTGGGTCTATTTTATCTTCGCAGCCTTTGCAGCGATGTTTTCCCTCTTCATCTGGAGCAGGGTGCCCGAGACCAAGGGCAAGAGAGATGCGGATGAGGTCTGGGGGCGTACAAGACGGTTGGACTGAGCAGCTCTGGCCGCTCCGAGAATTGCCTGACGGACGGGGACCAATGACCTATGTATGTATATAACCTTGTACCCTACCAACATGCCAACCACAACGAAAATCGACACCTGACATCCTTCGATAAGATGGAGAAAGGCAACATCCCGATGAAGTGGTGATCCAAAGGACCAGAGAGTCTATGCTTGAAGAGGCAAGAACATGCGCCGCATTTTGACCATGTTCCCAAGAACCTCCACCCCAGCGCGCACCCCGTCAAGAACATAGACATTCTTTGCCTGGTGCTCGCCGTATTCGGCCTTGATGGCAGATCGGATGATGTCCTCTAAGCCAGCCATGCCGGCACACCCCATGATGACACAATCTACCCCACCATCCTGCAGAAGGCGCTTGGTAGCTTGTGTGAGCTTGTCCATGACTGTCTCCGGCGACACATCTCCGTGGAAGTCGCCAGCGTTCAGACCCGTGGTGAAAACCCCCCGGAACCATCTGTTGACATTTGCTTTTTGGTCGCCAAGGAACTCACGCACAGCCGAAGCGAGATGGTCCTCCCAGAACTGACCAGTAGTGACGATGCCCCAACCGCCGCCCCAACCGCCGCCCCAACCGCCGCCCCCACTGCTATCCCTAGGACTTGTCCTCCTCAACAGCGGGAGGGCCGCGACTATGCTCGCCTCAAAGATGCCCGTCACAGCGATGCTTGGATAGTGACCTGCTATCCTGCTCACCAGGGGATGGGAGCTGTAGCAGGCAATCAGAACGCCGTGGTAGTTCCTCTCTAGCACATGCGTATCGCGCATGTGTTTCCACACTGCCTGGGCGCTCGTCTCAATGTCGTCTGCGTTATTGATGCTGGCGGGGCTACCACTGTCCAGAGGCGCAGTGTACATGGTGATGTTCAGAGACTAACTCATCGTAGAGATGCCATCAGCCCATGCTTGCTTGCCTTATCACGAGTGTACTGAGAAAGAGTAGTGATGTGTGGTGTATCTTGATGGCCCTTTCTTAGAGAGGCTGAATGTATATCGTACATGTGGTAGATTCATGCTGGCAATGGCCTGTTCCATGCCATGGGTCATGTCCTCGGATGTGTTTGGGTTCACGACCAACAAGCGTAGAGCGCCGTCATCTTTCTCTGGTAGAGGAGTCATTATTTTCTCGAACTGACAAGTCGTGCGTGCCCTGGTCTATTCGAGTTGGCGGCTGATTGATTGACATTCGCAGGAATTCTTGCATAGTAAATTAACTGTTAGAAGACGAGGCTTGATATGTGGGGCAACGCTTTTAACAAGCTACTGTGTGCTGGAGGAGAGCCAAAGGTCGGGTGGGTGCGTGTGTACTAATAAGCAGGGGAGAAGGTACCGCTACGTAGCGTCTGCCCCAGGCGCGCACCTACTTTAAACCCCCTTGAAGGGCCCCCCCCTCTCCCCGCCGAACTACAGCTGTAAACCCCCCTACCAGCGGCATAGTACGCGGTACAGTACACACAGAGGAGTCTCTTGCACACTGTGGTACTGTACTGCGCACCGTACCAGTGCCGCAGGGTACGATCACCCCTGCAGTACCTCAGTACCTCCGTGCACGCGCATTGGGAACCCTGCCACTGTAGGTCGACCTTACCGTCATCAGGGCTGCCAACAACCACCACCACCGCCTACCACTCTCGAGCTGTCCGTCACCGCACTGCGAGAGCTCTCTCAACGCCGCCCATCTTTGCTCGACCAGCTGCGCTTCACTTTGCCGTACCGATTATTTCTCGGGCAGCTAGCTCTTCACGAACTCCTCAATCCAGCTCCTGGACAGACCTGTCGCCCGTCAGTCAACATGGCGAACCCGCCTCCTATCGGTAATGCCACCGCCCCTCCCACTGTCTCTGCCTCAGGGTGAGAGAGCAACATCACAACTTCACACCAGCCCTCCCATCTCCTGCTTGTTGGCTGCCGCCGAGACTGACTCGTTTCCTACCCTCGCTCTCTATCTAGTCCTCGATGGCGGTACCGGCTTCCTCAAGGTCGGTTACGCGGCCCAAAACTTTCCCGAGTTTCAGTATCCTTCCATCGTTGGCCGGCCTATCCTGCGTACCGAGGAGAAGGGTGCTGGCGACAGCGACCTGGTCATCAAGGACATCATGTGTGGTGACGAGGCCGCTGCTGCCCGCACCATGCTGCAGATCAGCTATCCCATGGAGAACGGCATCGTCAAGAAGTGGGATGACATGCAGCACCTCTGGGACTATACCTTCTTCGAGAAGATGAAGGTCGATCCCACCGGCCGCAAGATCCTCCTGACTGAACCCCCCATGAACCCGCTCAGGAACCGTGAGCAGATGTGCGAGGTCATGTTCGACCGCTACGGATTTGGCGGTGTCTACGTTGCCATCCAGGCCGTCCTGGCCCTCTACGCACAAGGTACGCCCCACCTCTTCGCACACCTCCCTCCTTGCTCCTCCTTGCACCCTGACGACCAAAAGCCCCCCTGTGATGCCATTGATTGTTATGGCTACGGGTGGCGATGGGAATGCTTATCACTGACACCTCCTCTTGTCGCTTGACGATTAGGTCTCAGCTCTGGTGTCGTTGTCGACTCGGGTGACGGCGTCACTCATATCGTCCCTGTCTACGAGTCCGTTGTCCTCAACCATCTTACCCGCCGCCTCGACGTGGCGGGCCGCGACGTCACCCGCAACCTGATCGCCCTGCTACTGCGCAGGGGTTACGCCCTCAACCGAACTGCCGATTTCGAGACGGTGCGCCAGATTAAGGAGAAGCTGTGTTACGTGAGCTACGACCTGGAGCTCGACAAGCGCCTGAGCGAGGACACGACGGTACTGGTGGAGAGCTATACCCTGCCAGACGGGCGGGTTATCCGCGTCGGAAGCGAGAGGTTCGAGGCGCCCGAATGTCTCTTCCAGCCGCACCTGGTGGACTGCGAGCAGCCGGGCATCGCCGAGTTTTTGTTCAACACGATCCAGGCTGCTGACGTGGATGTGCGCTCGTCCTTGTTCAAAGCCATCGTCCTTTCGGGCGGAAGCAGCATGTACCCGGGCCTGCCGTCACGGCTGGAGAAGGAGCTGAAGCAGCTGTGGCTGACGCGGGTGCTGGAGGGTAACCCGGAGCGCCTGAGCAAGTTCAAGGTCAGGATAGAAGATCCGCCGAGACGGCGCCACATGGTGTTCCTGGGAGGTGCGGTGCTGGCCAACATCATGGCGGACAAGGAGAGCATGTGGATCACGAAGCAGGAGTGGGAAGAGCAAGGCCCCAGGGTGCTCGAGAAGCTGGGACCGAGGTAGTAGCAGTAGTAGTAGAAGCAGCAGCAGCAGCAGTAGTGGCGGGAATCCGAGGAGCAGGACCGTGGGAGACGGACGAGAAGGACTCGCTGGGGAGGACGCCGAGACGGGTCTTTTGCGGTCATTGTGTGGATTATCTCGCGGGCCTCCAAGAGAGAGAAGGGGAGGGAGAGAGGGAGAGAGCAGAGGAGACGAGAGACAAAAAAACGAGCAATCAAGAACTTGTTTCGATACAAAGTTTTCTCCTATCTTTACCCCCTTTTGGTGAGAGTTGAAAGCGCGCATGTGAAGGCAGTACCGTCGATGTCGATTGGCTTCTGAAATGCGGGCGATAGACCAGCTGGGGCAAGGGCTCTAACGACAAAACAGTAACAAATTTCGCCGACACGTGCAGATAAACTGTTAGTGCTTCAGCCGTAGCGCGCACCGGCCTTAGTGTGCCGAAACCGCGTGGGCAACAATCGTAGACGAATACAAACAACCAAACGACTACGACAGCTGCAACTACGATCTGCCACAAAGTACACATATTCATAGACGTTCATCATTGCCACGGCTCTACCAAGGCTGGTTTTTTCAATTGTCGTGAAACAGAAGAGGCAGCCCCATATCCCAACAAACTCGGCACCAAATCTCAGGCGACAACGCATCCATGAAACACTACCTTCTTGTCAACTGTACGATCCACCTGCCAACCTGTTGTCGTCACTCTGAGGCTCTGGGATCTGACTCGAGAGCATTAGTGCTCTGCCGGCAAGCTCAGCTTGTTCCCTTGAGGTGAAAGCTGTCTTCCTGCAGAGACCAGATGGGCCGTTGAATACTGGAACACCCGCACAGGAATAGCCGAGAAAGTCCAGATTCGAACCCTCGTTCTATCTGAGACAAAGAGAGACACCCGGAAAGCGATAAGCAAGCATCCTGTTGCGCTTTGAACGAAAAAGCAACCCCCAATATAACACCTGCATATCTGGCTGCTCTTGGCCCCAACAAAAGAAACGGGAACCAGGACAGGGCGCCGACCCGAGATCAAATATCCCACACTTACTTTGGCGTGCATATCCGAGGTGCTTATTGGGGTCGTTGTTGGCCCCGTCGGCATCCCAGGGGCGGCACAGAGATCAAGTTCAACCCACCTGATCGACACGTCGGCCCCTCCTCGAGGGCATTCACTTGAGGCGCCGTGACTCGTTTGCTGTCTGCTGGTTCGCGAAGGACAGGAGTGCGGCTGGCTGGGCTGCTTGTGGTCTTGGGACTGCGTCCACACACATCTCGTTTCCTGCGCAAGGTGGACTCGAGAGTATGACCACCAATCCATCATCTGTTGCTTCTCAAGGGTCGGGCAGAACGTTTCCACACCAGCATTCGGGCTCTGCCTCGAACAAGAGGAGCGTCCAGGCTGCCTTTGAAGGTAAGAAGAAGATGAACAATGAGCTCAACCAAAAGACCACCTCGATACACACAGATTTCTCCCTTTAATCCCTCCTCTTCATCGTCTCTTCTCCCCCCCCCCCCCTCTCTCTTTTACTCGAACAAATGTCGCGTGTGTTTGTGTGTTGCTACAACTCGAGCAAATCAATGTGTCTATTGAGGAACACTCCTCGTGTGACCATTATACCTCAGCAGACCGCTCTGTGCCGCTGCTCACCGGTCACTCTGACGGGATTGGATGACCTCTTTTCGCCCCTGCATTCATTCGTTCATACATACATACTCGCATGCAATACACACGCGCGCGCGCACACACACCCACACTCTATCTAATGTACAGGTGTTGATTTTCCTTATTTGATTGTGATTTATGATTCCCTTGACGTCTTCTGCAACCCTGTTCATCCACCTGTCCTGTGCCTTTCTGGCTCTACCCTCATGTATTGGTGAACCCACCCTGCTTTCTTGATCTTCTCGACTGTCGTCTTTTCGTCTTCTCTGTCCCTCTTCACCTCCAAAAGTTTGCTACTTTCATACTCAATTTTCCCTACCTGTGGCATCCCCTCATCGCACATGGGCCTTTATTGTCTCGCCTTTCGGGGAAACCGGCAACGGAGCCGATCTGCTTTGTGACCGACAGCCTCTGCTTTTGCGGAGTCCGGACCCCGTCGGATGTCAGCTGGCTGCCAGGAAGGAGAAAAAAATTCCCCGTTCAGAGACACAGCCCAAGCCTGCATGCATAAAACAGTTTTGTGTGTCTGCGTGTGCGTGTGCGCTGTGAGAGAGTGAGAGAGTGAGAGAGTGAGAGAGAGATTTCGGAATATCTGTTCTTCTTTCAATTTCTTCTTTTTTTAATTCTATTTTTGATGTAAACACCTCGGGGCAGGACACGCTGGCGGATGGTCCGGACCACGAGCTCCCGGACTGTTCCTTCCTCTCCTTCACCCCTCCTCCTTCCTTTCTCTCCGACTCGGTGCTCGATTTCCTCCTTGCCTTCTTCACCCTTCTTACTTCTGCTCTCGTCCCCCAACACCCCACCATCTACCCCACCAGCAACGGTGGAGGCGGTGGCATGATGAATTCGGCATCGGGTTCGAGACAGTACGGTCTGTCCCGACAGTCGTCGACCACCCATGCGGGTCAAGCAAGACCTGGTCTGTCGAGACAGGGGTCGTCCTTCTCATCATCATCATATCGTATGGCCAGCTGCCCGTCCTCTTTTGTTCCTATCCTTTCTTCTTCTTCCTCGTACCAATCATCATCATCATCATCATCATCATCATCATCATCATCATCATCATCATCATCATCATCATCATCATCATCATCATCATCATCCTTGCCTATCCATCACCTCATCTTGTTGCACGCCCTTGGTCCTCCCTACTGCCTTGTATGCGAGAGAGAGAGAGAGAGAGAGAGACAAGCACGTGGAGAGAAACACACGCAGAGAGAGACACAGAATGAAAGAGGCACAGGAAGAGAAAGTGAATCGACGAGAGAGAAGTTGGCTGGGGGAACGCAGACCACCGAAATTTCTTGTGTTTCTCGGCTGACATGAAAGCTACAAACAGATCCGACCGACCGCGGTGCCTTTGGCCCGGTTGGCTATCAGTCCAAGGTCCGGGTGATCGACCGGTACAAGGTCATCGGCTTCATTAGCTCTGGGACATATGGCCGCGTATACAAGGCGGTTGGCCGGCAGGGCCAGGCTGGGGAATTTGCCATCAAGAAATTCAAGCCGGATAAGGAGGGCGAGGTGGTGACCTATACGGGCATCTCGCAGTCGGCGGTGCGTGAGATGGCCCTTTGCAGCGAGCTGTCGCACGCCAGCGTCATCAAGCTACACGAGATCATCCTTGAGGACAAGTGCATCTTCATGGTCTTCGAATACGCCGAGCACGACCTGCTGCAGATCATCCACCACCACACCCAGCAGCCGCGCCACCCCGTCCCGCCCGCCACTATCAAGAGCATCATGTTTCAGCTCTTCAACGGCTGCCAGTACCTCCACTCCAACTGGGTCCTGCACCGCGACCTCAAGCCCGCCAACATCATGGTTACCTCCGCGGGCGAGGTCAAGATAGGCGATCTCGGCCTGGCCCGCATGTTCCAGAAGCCCCTGCACAGCCTGTACAGCGGCGACAAAGTTGTCGTCACCATCTGGTACCGCGCCCCCGAGCTGCTACTGGGCTCCCGCCACTACACCCCCGCCATCGACATGTGGGCCCTCGGATGTATCTTTGCCGAGCTGCTGAGCCTGCGGCCCATCTTTAAGGGCGAGGAGGCCAAGATGGACAGCAAAAAGACTGTGCCCTTCCAGCGGAACCAAATGCAGAAGATTGTCGACATCATGGGCCTGCCCACTAAGGAGAGATGGCCGCTCCTGGTGCATATGCCCGAGTACCAGGCTCTGCAGCAGCTGACGCCGCCAGTGCCACCCCATGGTGGCCACCACGGGCGTGGACAACATCACCACCACGGCGGCAGCAGCAGCCACCACCACCACCACCACTCCTCCAGCTCCTCTCCCTCCCATCAGCAGCAGCCATCCTCGAGCCACCTAGAGAAGTGGTACTACAGCATTCTCAACACGAGCACCGGTACATCCCAGCCCGCCCCCAACGGTGGGCCCACCTCGCTGGTTAGCCTGGGCCAGGAAGGGTATAAGCTGCTTGCGGGCCTGCTCGAGTACGACCCTGAGAAGAGGTTGACCGCAGCCCAGGCGCTGCAGCACCCCTTCTTCACCACGGGGCCCGACCGCCCCAGCACCAACTGTTTCGAGGGCCTAAAGATGGAGTATCCGCACCGCCGCGTTAGCCAGGACGACAACGACATCCGCACGAGCAGCCTGCCAGGCACAAAGAGGAGCGGCCTGCCCGATGACTCGCTTCGGCCGGGAAAGAGGGTCAAGGAAGGCTAGCGATTGTCCCACCCAAATTGTTCAAGTCCGTAGAACGACCTTGCAAGGCCGTAGATTTTTCTTCCAGTTCCTGTCCCCCCCACAGGATAAAGGGCGGAGAAAGGAGCCGAGTATGGACTTAGATCATGGGATTTATGCATCAAGATATAAAGCGTGGCGTTCATGGAAAATATTAAAGACGAGAAGTGTTGTACTTTGTGTAAATGATAAGAGGTACTGCATGCACGTATACAACATGTTCAAATTCATCTTCTCATCCTTTCCTTGAGGTTTCCCAATATATCAAGGTTGAAAGAACCGGCCTCCCCGAATGTCTGTCTCAAGAGCTCAACACAGCCCCCCCAGTGAAGATCCCACCCTCGGCTGTCTAGACAAGACAATCCGTCCGTGCGGGTGGGACTGATCTCACATCGCTTCCTTTGTGTCAACTCGCCTTGGCCAAACTTGCGACCTGTAACATGTAACAGGTTTGTGCGTCTTAGAGACTCCCTATGTGCTTCAGCTGGAACCTAAACCAGTCTACTTTTGGGGGGGGGGGGGGGGGGAACCCAGGTGCGAACAGGAGCACCGTCTCTTGATACTATAGGAACAAACGACATCACGACGGAGAGTAGGATTCAGCAGCATTGGAGCAACGGGATCTTGTCTGTTTAATAGGTCCTGAATTCTCGCTTTGGGTATCCCGCCAGAACAACAAAAAGAAACAAGAAAATATGGAAAATGGTAGAGAATTACATGAATGTACAGAAGGGAATTAATGGTTTATTTTGGGGAGGGGGGGTTGGGGGAAGGGATTGGATCGTCAAATGTAGGGCCATGATATAGGAAACCAGGAAGGACCCCCTCCTCCCCCCAAAAGGAAGGGCGAGAAAAAAGGACTTTCAACACAGGCCCTGTTGCTTGTGTGATGAAACGCCCGCTATCGCTCGCTGTGAGAGCTGGATGCCCTCATTGCATACAGCGAAGATTCAGCATCTACTTGCCAGAGTTGGGGCTATAATCGCTCCCCATCCTCCACTGGAGAGATCCCCGCATGCGCTCCCTCCTGGTACTGAGCACGGCTGGGTCCTCGAGCCCCGACCCAGCACGATATGTAGGTGACTGACAGTCATAACCAACTGACCAAATACAGCCAGCATGTCCTCACAGCAACTGTGAACCGCCTCACATGCTCCTAGAGCTCCTACTTCTTGGCCGGGGCAGCGGGGGTCTTGACGTTGTTGGACAACCAGGCAAGGCCCTCGAGCAGGCCTTCGCCGGTCGTTGCGCAGCTGGGCACGACGAACCATATCTTATCCTTCAGTTGATTGAGCTTGAGGGCCTCGGTCACCTCCTGTGGCTTCATGGCTGTGGGGGAACAAAAAGACCGAATTAGCACGTCAAATAGGCATGTATGTGTGTGTGTGTGTGTGTGTTCACGCCACAGGTGAACACTAGAGGAAGGAGGGCTGTTGTAAAAGAGGCAAACTAACCGTTGTCGAGATCCTGCTTGTTGGCAAAAACCAACAACAGGCTGTCCTTCATCTCCCTATCATTGATGATGCGGTGCAATTCCTGCCTGGCCTCTTCCATACGTGCGCGGTCGGACGAGTCAATGACGAAGATGAGACCCTGGGTGCCTATTGGATGCGAGCGACGAGTCGTCAAAGTCAGTCACCGGTTTCACGCACACAGAGCCCCGAGACCATGCCAATGGCACCAGGGGGAGGTGCACCGTCCTTACCGCTGAAGTAATGCCTCCACAGGGGCCGGATCTTGTCCTGGCCACCGACGTCCCAGACATTGAATTTGACGTTCTTGTAGGTGACAGTCTCGACGTTGAAGCCAACGGTGGGAATGGTCGTGACGTCCTGACCCAGCTTGAGCTTGTAGAGAATCGTGGTCTTGCCGGCAGCGTCGAGGCCGAGCATGAGCAGGCGCATCTCCTTTGATCCGAAGATCCTGCCCATCATCTTGGAAAGTTGGCCTCCCATTGTAGTGGCGGTCTGGTTTGTGGGGTCTGGAAAGTGTTGTTGTATGTGTGTGTGTATAGAGATTGGGCGGGGAGAAGGAAACGTGATCCTGGGACGTATTGAAGTCGAGCGACCGTTGCAGAGGTGGTGGTAGTGGTGGAGACCACGAGGTAAGAGGGCAGCGAGAGCAGCCTTGTTGGGTCGAGGTGAGAGGGCGAGTCAGGCCAGATTAGACTGTGTCAGTGCGCGTCAGGACGCAGCAGCCACGGCAGGGCAGCGTGTCGAGAGTCTGGGTTGGCAGGCGGCGAGGCGAAGGAGTGTACTGGCTACAACGCAGAAGCGCAGCAGCAGCAGCGAGTGGTTGCTTGACTGCTCAGAGATTCGGGTAAGGGCAACGCAACACAGCACGGCAAATATCGCAAGTATCGTGCGCGTCGGGCGGGGAGGTACTGGTACTCGTGGGCGTCGAGAGGTCGGCTTTGGTCGCTGAGAATTGGACAGATCCAATTAGTACTGTGTACGGTTGTGGGTGTGCGCGCTCGGTATTGAAGCAGGCTGTGTGGGCGTGAAGATGGACTGTGGTGCAGAGAAACGCGGTAGGGACCAGAGACGATGACCAGACCAGGTCAAAGACGTAGGCAGGTCCCCTTTGAGAGGCCACCAGGTCAGGCACCCAGCAGGGGGTATATGGCATATATTTCCTGCAGGGGTCTTTCGATTTTAAAAGAGATGGAGGTAGTTGCCAGGGGGGGGGGGCGGGTGGATAGAGAGGTGTGTGTGTGTGTGTGTGGACGGAAGAGGGCTGGGTTGAACTCGCTCGTGAAGATTGATGATGGGACAGGATGTGGGAGTAGCAATGCAACTTCTACGTGGATTTGTTGCATACCTATTCGGTCAATGATGGGGCATCAGACTTCAGAGACAATGAAGAGGAAAGGAAGGGAGGGAACAGCGAGCTAGCAGAACAGAAAGAGCCCACGATAGGGAGAAGGAAGGACAGCAGTGGGTGGGTTCAGAAAAAAAAAAAGAGGGTGAGTGTGGTGTTTGTTCGAGAGAAGGAGAGAAGGAGAAAGAGAAGACACGGAGATTAGGGTCGGCAGCACGGATCAAGTGCCCTGGCAGGAAAGGAAAGAAAGAGAGGAGGATCAGAATTCCAGATTTCGGTTCGAGGTTGTTGAGATTGAATTGAGTTATCGTCAACCTTACCACGGCTACTATAGGGGACGTAATTACAGTGGACAAGTGCGCTGTGGTTTTTCCACCCTGCCACCGTAGCATGTAATTACTTGTAAGCATGCCTTCAACCAGCTTTACTGCTTCAGGCCTTGAGGAGCCAGTGGACCGCCCAACTAACTTTTGAGACCCGCCAGATTCGGCCACGACTCTCATGTTTTCTGCCCACCTCAAAACCAAACAAACAACTAGCCCCCCTCCCCTTTTTTCCTTTTCCCCTAGGCCCTTGACCCTAGGGCCCTGGCGGGTCCCCCTGGACCCCTTCTATCCAACTCCCCAAAACGACCCGGCTCGGCTCTTACCCGCACGCCAGGGCTGCCCCAGGCCTTGCATGGGCAAGCACTAAACCATTGCATTGATAACAACAACAAACCCCCCACCCCCCCTGAAGTTGTTATACATCATGCCTCTAGCGCATATGATTGTCTATGCCACTATCAATCAATTGTTAACGCATAGCCTTCTCAAGGCATGCTTCTCAGGCTGGATATGCAAGACAAAGACCAAAACGAGCTTCTTTTTTTGTTGATGAGATGATCTTACGCGAAATTGGTATTGTTGTGATAGCGTTTGTTGTTCAGCTCTGGGTCGAGCGCAACTGGTGATGCCCAATAACCCAGTCAAGCATACGAAATATATACAGAATATTAATTTGTATAATATATATGAATATATATATGTATATATAACTGTGTGCATGTATGTATAATCTTAATAACAAATGCACACCTACATGTGGTTGAGATTGGGCATTCAGAACTGTGCATTGCAGCAATACCAATCTGCCGAGTCTACGAGGCACATCAGTCTCGGTAGTCGACCACAAACCTACGCTCCACGACCTGCTGCGTCCCTGACTGCTCTTCACCTTCGAAGCGAAGGCTTACATTCCCCGTCGCGCTGTCCATCCCCGTCACTTCGGCCTTGTAGAACGTAGTGCTGTCGGGATAGAGCGCCAATACCATCTTGCCCTTGTCCAGCCTCGGCAGCTCAGTGGTGGGCGAGGGAATGGGGATCATGGCCGACGCGCTCATCTTGTATTCCTTCCTGGCGGGCGAGGGCACGTCTGGATCCTCGTCCTTGACCAGGTATCGGCGCGTCTTGCCGTCCCCCATCACCTTCTTGACCTTGCCCAGGTACCAGTCCTGCGTGTCGCTGGGCTGCGCCGGCTTGGGCTTAAACGCCACATCCTGGTTTTCCGAGAAGACCACTCTGGCGCGCATGGCCGAGGAGCCGACCACCCCGTGGGCTTGCGGCTCGACGCTGTCAGCCTTGGCCGGCGTGTCGCGGTCGCGGTCACGGTCACGGTCGCTGGCGTGGGGCGGGGGCACGCTGTCCCTGTTGCCGGACCGGTCGCTCGACGGGCCAGTATTCCTCCCCGCCAACTTTCGTGCGTGGCCGCCAATGGGGCTGGGGTGGGGGCTGTCGGCGGCCCCGTCAAAGTCATACAGATCTTGCTTGCTGTCCTTGTCGCCTTCTCTGTCCGCTGCCGCCGCCTCACGCTCGCGGTCTCGGTCCCGGTCCCGCTCACGGTCACGGTCGCGCTCCCGTTCGCGCTCCCGTTCCCTCTCGCGGTCTCGATCCCGCTCCCTTTCCTGCTCCGCCTCGCCTTCCCTTTCCCTCTCCCTCTCTCTATCCCTTTCCCTCTCGCGCTCCCTCTCCACCCGCTCGCGCTCCTTCTCCCTCTCCTTCTCCCGCTCGCGCTCCCTTTCCCGCTCCCGCTGCTCCCGAGAGAGTTGGCTCTCCCTCTGGGCGCGCTCGCGGCCCTTCTCGAGCTTGCCGGCACGGCTGGAACTCCGGCCTGTGCCAGCGTGAAAGCTCGAAGAGCGGGCGGCCGTCCCGATGGAGGGCTTGGCGTCCTCCTCCTTGGCGGCCTGGATGCCCTTGACGATCCCTAGGGATTCGTTGATTTCGGCCATTCTCTTGATGGTGGCGTCGTTGATCTTAACGCCGGCCCTGTACAGGGTGTCGAGCTGCTGCATGAGCTCTGAAGTGCGCACGCTGTCGGCGGGGTTTTTGGAGTCCTTGATCTTGGCGATCTGGCTCTCGAGGGCGGCGATCTGGCGGATGTTGTCATTGCTGGCGTTGATATCGGCGATGACGGACTTGATATCATTCTGGGTATTCTTCCAAAGCTCGACCTCCTCGCCGTCATTGCGGCCTTTCCTGCGGCCGGACATGGCGCTGTCCCTCCAGCTCTCGGTGTTCTTGAGATTCTGTAACTCCCTGCTCGAAGATGACAACTTAGCAGATATTCAGGTTCCATGATGTATGGGCCAAGAAGTAAGATTGAAATTTTGGGGAATGATCCGTGATGTTATTGAAGTCATGGGAGGACGGCGTTCTAGAGGAGGAGGAAAGACGGGAGAGATGCGTTGGAAGTCAGTTCGATTGAGAGATCATCGGCCAGCGCAGTCTCTGGCAGGCCTCCCCCTCCCCCCTCTCTCTTCCCCTCTCTTCTCCTAGTTTTGTATTCCCTTATTTTCCTGCAGAACCCACCCATGACCAGGATGGCTAAGCAGCGACAAGGTGAGGCGTACCTTCAGTTCAGAATCCAGCTGCCAGACCTTGCGTGTGTTTTCGGATAGAGCGCAGCTTTGCAGTGCCAAGAAGCAAAGTGAGAGCAAGAACACTATAAGCCAGTGCTGTCTATAATGTAAGGATGAGTGTTGGTGGTGGAATAAGATCAAAGATGAGATCGGGTAGAGAGGAGATGTGTTGAGTTGAAATAAGAGAGCGCCTTGACTATTGGTTTATGATGATGGAGCGACGGCGTTGACCTGGCGCTTTGGGGAGTGTTGATGATGAGGATGAGGAGTTTGATGATGCTGATGCTGAGATTTCTCTGTCTCTGTCTCTCTCCCTCTCCCTCTCTCTCTCTTTTGAATTTTCCTTTCTTTGTTCTCCTTCTCCCCTCTTTCAAAACGTGTGAATGTCACAAACACCTGCACAGCACGGTACGGCACGGCACGGCACGCACGGCACCGACACAGCGCAGCTTAGAGACAGACAGGCAGACGGAGCAGATCCGGTTGTGTGTTGTGGTTGGAGATTGGAGTTGAGTGTGTGTGTAAGGCTCAGGTGCGAGTTGAAGGATCAAAGGCAAATCAGCCAAGATCAAGACCGAGATCGAGACCAAAAGCCAGCCGACCAAGATCAAGATCAAGACCCAAGACTAGGGACCAGGACCAAGGATGGGTACTGTACTGTAAACGGATGGCGTAACCAACCTGGACTGCGAATTTGAGCGCGAGTGAGTCAAGTGCGGCCGCGAGGCGTGAGGCGGCGGCGAGGCCTCGTTTGACTTGGGCGTGGAACTGGGACTCTGGTTGTGACCGGGGCGTCCTTCATTGCGCCTAGGAGGTTGCCATGTCATCCTCAAAGACTTTTTTTGTCAGGCCGCGTCGTCGCAAGTCGCGCAGCACAGTCAGAGTACGGGTGTACTAAGTAAGGGAGAGAAGAGGGGGGGCCGTCTAAGGGAGGAATTGGGGGGGGAGGGGGGTCGATCGAGGCTAAGGTTAGAGGGAGTCGCTCGTTAGAGGGGGGTGAGAAGAGAGGCTCAGTGGCAGTAACAGGCTCTCATTGGGTGCTGAAATCAGGTAGTCGATCCTTGAGATTGGCTGGTGGTAACGCATAGGTGGGCAGGCGCGGGCGCGGGAGATGAAAAGCACGGGATGGGATACCCAAAAGGCGGGTGTAGACCGGGTGCTATGGAATGTACCGCAAGGGAAACGTAACAAGTAACAAGTAACGTCGCAGGTGTGTGGCAGAGCTAGCAGAACCAGATTCAGCCAGGATTGAACCTTATTTATGTATGCACGTTTTCATGTATGCAGAACAGAAGTATGGAGAGATTATTCATTTAAATTTCGGAGGGGGGGAATGAGCCAGCGAGGCTGGGAGGGGAGAGCTGTCCAGGCTGCCAGGTGGTGGTGGATACAGTGGGGAGGGGCGGCGTCCCTCTCTCAAGCTGGCAGCTCTATGCTGGGTTAGGGGACTTTAGGCTAGGGGGAGGGAGGGATGATTTTTTGGTAGTGCTGGTTGGCCCATCCCACCCCCCTAGCCCCCTGTTGAACCCCCCGGCAAGTCAGGCACCTTCTCGTGCTTTTACAGTGAGTGAGGGGTGGACAAGGCAGGGCAACAGCATAGCTAGGGGCGATCTGACCCCATAACTTTCTCCCCCACTTAGCATTGCTGTTGTCTTCTCCATGACGATGACAACAACAACAACAACAATAATAACAAAAACAAAACTGCCACCACCACTGACCACATTCACAACTAGTAGACACATTGTCTACATATACCAATCCCAAAATATTCAGTCCTCAACCACATATCACAAGCAAATATCATGCAGGTGCCCTTAATCAGACTCCAGTGTGGGGTGAACTCGTACGACTGGGGCAAGAAGGGCTCAGACTCAGCAGCTGCCAGGTTCGCAGCAGCAACGCCAGCCCAGGACTTCACTGTCAACAATGCCCAGCCCTATGCCGAGGTGTGTATTGGCCCCCTTGCTGTGTCTCTACGGCTGTCGCTGACTATAATGACCCTGCCAGCTCTGGATGGGCACACACCCCTCCAACCCCTCCAAAGATGTCCAGACCGGCCGCACCCTCCTCGACCTAGTCAGCGACAACCAGACCCTCCTATCCCCCTCCGTTATTGCTCGCTATGGAAAGAAGCTGCCCTTCCTCTTCAAGATCCTCTCCATCGCCAAAGCCTTGTCGATCCAGGCCCATCCCAATAAGGGCCTGGCTGAGCAGCTCCATGCAAGGGATCCCAAGAACTATCCAGATGACAACCACAAGCCCGAGATGGCCATTGCTCTTACCCACTTCGAGGGTCTCTGTGGCTTCAGACCCCCTGAGGAGATAGCACACTTCCTCCAATCCGTCAATGCACTACGTAATTTTGTCGGCCCCGACACGGCCGATGCTTTCGTCAAGACCGTCAGCTCTCACCAGGGCGACGACTCCGAGGCTGCCAAGGGCGACAACAAGGCGGCGCTCAAAAGCCTTTTCGGTGCCCTGATGTCCAGACCGCAGTCTACACTCGACACGGCAGCTGCGGCCCTCCTTGAAGAGGCTTCCAAAGACGCGGACCGCTTTGCTGAGGGCGGTGCTGGTCCTAACAGCGGCGGGGATCTTGCCAGTCTCATCACGCGCCTTCACGGCCAGTTCGGCCCCGACTATGGCCTCTTCGTGATGTTTCTCTGCAATCTCGTCACCATGGCCCCTGGCGAGGCCATGTTTCTCAGGGCTGATGATATCCACGCGTACATCTCGGGCGATATCGTCGAGTGCATGGCCGCCAGCGACAACGTCGTCCGCGCCGGCTTCACCCCCAAGTTCAAGGATGTCGATACCCTCGTGTCAATGCTGACCTATAACTACGCACCCATCGATGAGCAGAAGATGACCCCCACGGGCTACCCCTACGCGACCCTCAACCGCGCTGCCTACAGCTCCGGCAGCGAGGCCTTGCTCTACGATCCGCCCATTGACGAGTTCAGCGTGGTGCGGACCGTTCTGAAGTCAGACGGTGCCAAGGCCACCTTTGATCCGCTGGATGGCCCAAGCATCGTCATCTGCACTGGCGGCGCAGGCAAGATTTCGGTTGGCCCAACAGTTCAGGAGATCAAGGAAGGATACGTCTTTTTCGTTGGCTCTACCGCTGAATTGGTTCTGGAGGCCACAGGCTCGGGGGATGATGGCTTTGTGACGTTTAAGGCTTTCTGTGAGGTCGAAGACCACAGCAATGGCGCCTAGATGGGCCATCTGTCGTGTGCCGAGGTGGCCAGCCGGCGGGCACTTTCTTTTTTCTGAGATACCCTATGAACTGATGAAAACAAAAATGAGGTGTGTCCCCAGTCACTGTCAATACGTCTGCTTTCCCCTGATCCGAAGGCTAGGAAGAGATAGAAGGATCCTCCAGGTCTGAATCTCAAGTCGAGGTAAGGTTTCCCATAATAGAAGCCAGCTCAAGCGCCTCAGGGCTCTGCTGGAGGGTGGATGACTTGGAGATTGGCAGGCCAGCAGTATCGAACCATATTTGTCACTAGTAGCGCACCATGATCTCGAAAATCACTTGGCTAGCATTAGCATCAAACAAAAACAGCGCTTCGTTTCACACAATTGAGGAAACAAGAAGGCAAATAAGCGACAACATATTAAGTCCGTGACATGTGACTGGCACGTCAGATCTGAACCCACTGCATACAACCTGTCGCCAGGAACGTTGAATACAGTGTTTGCGCTGACAAAAGAGCTACTACAAATCATCCTACGCGAGCGAGGTTCCATAGCGGGGGCAACTCAGTAAGGTGAAGTAGAACAGGAAGGATGTAAAATCAATGCCGAAAATAACCTCTCACACAAGAATTATAAGAAAGTCCTGTCTCATCCTCTCTGCCATGCATGTGCTTTTTCGTATTGCGAGTGTAATGTTTTAATCAACGAACTCTCCTTGATCTCTACTCGTTTGGACACACTGCATGTGGTATATTCTGGTTTCCTCCAGGCTTCGTATTCCTCCTTTTCTTTCTTTGTTCTTCTCTTGCCATTCCATCTCTTCTAAATGATACCGGCGCAATGACAAATCAACAAAGTAAGATTACCATTCCCCTCCTTCCGCTTCGCTTTCCAAATTGACTCCCCGGACATGGCGATCCTATCTAGAGCCAAGCCATGTTCTCCCCTCTGACCCCTCCTCACATGATGAAGAATTAAGTTTGGCTTGATAGCACTCCCCATGAATGGGATGAGGCAAGAGCGTAGTCCTAGGCCCTGCGTTGTACAGGTGCAAGTGAGTTTTTCCCGGCTGAGCCTTGATGGAATGATGATGTATGAAATAAACAACAATAAGCAGGCACCCGACATATTGTAAGAGAAAAGGAATCCCCCGCCCTCCTTCTATTGTACTGCAAGTGTCAAGTAGCTAGTCTGGACATAGGCATGAATATGCCAGACCTCATCTTTGGCAATATCATTTCCTCTCTCTGCTCCTGAGTATGAGATGCCTCAGGGGAGGCGAAGACCGTCTCAACAGGCCTGCCTTTAAGGACATGTTTGCTTCATGACGCCGCAGAGAGCCGTGTGTATTAGGTCCTCCGGTACGTCAGATGGAATAGGCGAACTCCGTGGTTCTCATGCTGTACAACATACGGTTGTTGATTTCCAGATATCTGTTTCTGTTTGATTGTGGCTGTATGCCCTGAGTGCTAGTTGGATTTACGGACAGCCAGTCATTACCATCCTGTCAAATCCTCTAGCCTCGAGACACCCTTCCGTCTTGGAGTGGAGGGGGTGTTCGAAGATGCCTCGTAATTTTTTGTGCACACCTCATCTGACTATTTCTTCTGCTGCTGCGTTGATGGAGGGCTGGGACGGGGTCTTGTAGATTCGAAACCCGCATAGGCACAACTGACATGGACCGGGCTGCGTCGGCTATGTGCCGGCTAACAAACTGTCGGGGAAAAAAGCGATCGCCAGTCTCTCAGAACTGGCTGTACCTATATATTTTCCCACACAAACAACGGAATCTCATTGAGAGGACGATTGTGTCCAATTTTGTCTGCACATCACCTTTGTTCGGAGAACACGAAATCATTTGACCTGGATTCTTGGCAAGATATCCCCATATGCTGTCCCGGACAGCGAACGTGCCAAAAAATACACCTTGCACGCTGAAGCGAGCAGGAGTTGTCTTTGAACCCCCACAGCAAGGGGACAATAAGAAACGAAGAAAAGTAAAAAAACAAACAAGGGAACAATAAACATGTCCTCCTGGGGCGACCTCTCAGAAGATGAATCACGGGTGAATGCGTGACTGGGGGTGCATCAAGGTGCGTGCCTGCCATCTGACTGACTCTGGTGCAGCAGAGAGGCCAATTTATTCTGCTGGCGACTTCCCTCCTTCATCCATCATTGACCTTCTCTGCACTGCGACTTGAATACCTCGACAAGATTCTATAACTTGCTCTGAAAGACTTGTAGGACGACATAAGCAAGTGGGTTGCCAGAGAGTCTTTTCTCCTTCGTTGCTTCTGCAAATGTTGGTAAGGCGTAAAGGGCACCGTGACCTCAGTGGCTGGCTAGAGATGATCGTGAGATAGCGGCCCCCAGTCCCAGCTTAGCGATGGGAGGTGACGCTGACTCGATGGCTGTCTGTAGCCGCTATTGTACCACCAGTAGGACCTCCAAGAAGGCCGCTGCTGCTACTACCACTGCTGCGGCCAGACGACACTTCTCCGTAGGCCGTGCTGCTCGTGATAGCATGCTGCTGCTGCTGCTGCTGCTGCTGCTGTGAGAGATGGCGGCTTGCATGGCGTGGAGAGGCGTGGTGTGACACTCCGTGATGTTGTTGGTGGTGGTGTTGATGATGGTGTGGATGATGAGGAATAGAAGCAGCAGCAGCACCAACGTGACTGTGGGTGTGTCCATGAGAAGGAGATTGATGTTGGTATGCTCCAGATGGGCGAGGAGTTGATGCACTACTATCACTCTCAACATAGCCTGCGCTGCTAGGGCTGCTCTCTGCCACCGATCGGGATGTGAGGCCATGTATAGATCCAGACGATGCTCGTGGCATGCTCGGCGACTCTACAGCAGGGCTGGCCGCACCGTACGTATACCCAGAAAGGTCCACAGCTGAGCCCTGCGTCGCTGCGCTGCGATCTGACGGACCAAAGATGGTCTCGCTCCCTCCCGACGAGGCTGCTGCATATGTAACTGCTGGGTTGCCACCATGCTGCTGCGAGGACCTCGCCGCTGTCGCATACTCGTACGCAGAGCTGGCATAACCAACCGCGGCCGCTGTCACGTCGGTAGAAAGAGGTGCAACAGGTGTGGTCTGACAGATCGTCACACCAGACACAGCAGTAGAGCCCTGACCAGGCCTGGAGGCGCCGTATCCGGACAGAAGACCGTCGCCACGGTAGCTGTTGTTTCCAGAGCCATTACCCAGCGTCTGCGAGATAGGCGTTGGGAGAAGTCTCTCACTGCCAGCGGACGGGAGGGAAGCAGCGATACCAGAGAAAGAATAGGCAGACGAATCTCCAGGCACAGACACCGCTGGGCGAGGGGCGAGGGCGGTAGTATTACTTGACATGGCACTGTAGGCGTACCCTGCGTCCGAGTCCAGGCAAACGCCGTTGGCGCCATGACCGCCGGCCCTCTGTCGGGAGGCAGCAGCAGCAGGCCAGTGTCCATAACTCGAGACCATGTGAACAGGATCGTTGTTGAGGACTGGGTACGGCGGGCAGCTCAGCGCGTAGTCGACGCTCGCGTCTGAGCCGTAGGCGTCCGCCCACTCAGGTCCGATCGGGGAATATCCATTGCCCCGGTACGAAGCTGCTGCTGGTAGCGCTCCCGTCGCAGGGCCCAAGAGGTGTTGCATGTCCTGCGGATACTGGGTCATGGCAGTGCTCATGTGCGCCATGGACGCAGCCGCAGCCCCGCGCTGCGCAAGCGACCGAGAGATGTCCATGTTGTAATCATATCTGCAATCTTCCCGCATGGGCGCCTCTTGTGATTGGACCTGTGAATCACGAACCATGTCAGATCGACTGCAGCCGCCAAGCAGGGGGAGAAGAAGAAGTTCATCATGGTGTGTGCAACTTGTGTTGTTCGAGGGCCCGCCCGGCTGGGGCAGCAAGGTTGATCGTACCCGTAGAAAGAGGCATTGCTCGGTTCCTGAGTTTTTGCAATTGTCACATGGCTGTCCACCGCCCGAGTCCCCACTGCAGCGGATTTTGCGCTTGCGACATCGTCCACACTGTTAGACCAAGAGTCAGTGACTAAATTTGTACACATGTGGTGATTTTTTTCGTGGCCTTTTGGTTCTCTTTCACTCCCTACGGCTGATGTCTGACCGACAAGTGGAAGTTCGTACGCCCCTCTGCCGGTAAGCACCTCGCCGAACACAACAGACTCGTGAGCCAGTTGGTAGCAGCAGCTCCAGTATCACCCATGCCAATGTGCGGTTGGAAAGCAAAGTGTGCTCTGATGCGGCATGGACGAGGGTGTGTGTGTGGGTGTATTGGAGGTGGGGGGTGGGGGGGGGAGGAACGATGAGAAGAAAGGCTTACAGCAACAGCAATGCGTTTCCGTGGCGGCGTCGTTTCTTCGGTCTGTGTATCAGTCATGGTGATAACCTGGGCGTCGTGTGATGGAAGCTGGTACCGCCGTTCCGAATAGGAGAGGTAAGGGGCACATGAGCGGCCAGATGGATATCTCGCTCCATTCTTAGCGTGTGGGTGAGGAGGAGGATAGTATGGACGGGAAACCATGGTGATATAAAGATTGCTCTCCTCAGCTGGAGAGGGAAGGGGCGTCCGTGTTGTTGTTCAGCTTGGTAGAATGGGAAGGCGAGAAGGACTTGTGGATTGTAAAGGAAAGAGGCCAGGCTTGGGCAGGTGCACTATTAGTCCTTTTGGACCAGATATGGGGGGGGGGGGGGAGGTCACGTCACTCCGATCTCCTGAGAACCAGGCTTGGCTGAACAACGGCTGAGTCGAGGCAGGTTGCCTTCTGCAGACCTTTTTTTTATTTTAAAACCCCCTTCCCTTTTCTTCTTTCCTTCAGGGGTCGTATGGCAGAAAAAGGCAATCGAAAGCGAGGACGGACGCGCGACGGGATGTAAAATGCAAGGCCACACTCCGAGTTAACGAGACAAGGGGTCCAGCAGTAGAGAGATGAGCGGCGGCGGGCGAAGACAGACAGGCAGGGCCGGCACCTGGAAGCGCAGCAGGGTTTCTCGAGGCGAGACAAGAAAAGAAGCCCAGGTAGAGAGTGGCCACGGAAAACGTACGAGGCCCGAAAGGACGGCCGATCACAATTCGAAGTCGGTGGCTAGAAACCAGGGAGAGCGTCTTTCTCCAGCGGGCTGATGAATCGGTCCAGTTGCTGTGTGTTTGTTTGGGTGCTTGCACGTGTCTGATCTGCCCTGGCTTGACCGGCCTGGTTCGATGGTACGGCCTGTGTGTCCTGCGGCTCTGTCCAGTGATAAATTTGCGACGACAATGATTCCTAGCATGCATAAGACTGCGTCGGACATACGAAGGCCTACCGCAAGCACACACACAAGTATGGCCTCTTGTGGAGTAGGTGTTGCGTGAGCTGATGAATGTGTCCGTGTGTGTTTGGTGTCGGGGGAAGGCTGGAGCCTTGGTGTGTAAGTATGGACCAGATCCAGTCTCGTCTGATCGGCTCTTCTAAATGGATGGCACGAGGAAACCTACCACGCAGCGTTTGCTGTTGTTCTTCCAAGTCAACCTTTCAAGGCGATGTCGGAAGCGATGAGCTCCTAGTCTTGTTGCCTGGCAAAGTTGATTCCTCGCCCCAGGCCTGAGGGACTTGAACAAACTCCTTGTCTTGTGGGACCTGGTTATTCGAGAGGGAGCTTCAGTAGTAGTCAACAGATGCAGCACCAGGAGGACATGCGATGTCGGTGATTCGTTGCACGTCTGAGAATCTGGTCACAAAGTCCAACGTGACTGACGAGGAGAGCAGCAACAGTATTGAAAAGGTGAGATGGACACTCGGATAGAAAACATTAAAAAGCAGAAGAGAAGATCGACGGAGGGTAGCTTTCAGTTGATTTGAGGCAGAGGATGAAGAGTCGTGAAAGTATTGAATGCGTCCATTCTCTTAAATAGCGATTATCTTCTTCTGCCTATGTTCAAACGGTCTGCAGTACCAAATGAACCTGAGTTACCCAAAACGGAAAAGTTACTTAGCTATTTTGACTGACGGAGGAGGCGTTTGCCAAAGTTGACACACCCAGGATTATTAGGTAAGAAGTTAAGCGATGGGGAGGGAATAAGAAAGAAGGAAAGTAACAACGAAAAGAAACTAAAGGAATGAGTCCCGTCTGCAAATGTATCCTGTGGGGCACACCCCTGTGTCAATCTTTTCATAACCTAATTCCAGGTCAAGTGTGAGATACGTCTCGTCTGGCGGGTCCAAGAAGTTGCACAGCATCTGTCAGTGAGACGTGCGGATGCACTTCTTGAGAGGCGGTATCGTAACATAACCGCGCCTTCAAGGTAGCCAGCGGATACCTGCATTCGGCCTGCTGCTGCGCCGTGGCCCCTTTGCGTGGCAAGGATCACTTGTAACCAAGCTCGTTCAGCCTGATCGGTGCGGATGTAGACGCAATTTCTACATGTGTGGGATTGTAGGACTCTTGCAAACGGTCTCCCGTTGTCAACAACAACTACATAGTGCCAATGACAAGCGTGCAATGTCGACCGCGAGCTGTGCAAAGGCAAGGGAAGGAGCCCACGCGTATGTGAGATCATGAGTTATATTGTTTTGGGGGGGGGGGGGGGACCTGCTCGAAAGCTCATCACCATGTTGATATCGTGAGACAATGAATAGTTTTTGATGAATTTGAAAGACTTGAAACAGGCTTCTTCTGTTAGTACCCCTGGGGGTAGGAGTGTACTTTTTGGTGCCATATTGCTGTATAAACCCGAAACCAGTGTGCTTCTACGAGCTCTTTTACCTTTAGAATCTTTCTCCTCCTGGCGGAGCAAATTGGTATCAACACATAGACGCAGGGTAGAAGAAAAGTTGTGAAACTGATAAAACGATTCATGAGGGAAGATAGAAATCAAAACATTACCACATAGACAGAATGTTGGAGGCGAAATGCCTTCATGCTGCCACCCGTGTATTAAAAACGTAGGACTGAGGAATAAACGCTGACGGAATCGAAGGTAAAGTGAGTGAATACCAGATTTGCAACCACTCGGAGGCAAAGTTCTGGCCGCGAATTGACGAACGTCAGGGACTTACTTATCCAGTCGCGTGGCATTTCTTTGTCAGTTGTCTCACCCCTCCTCCCCCCCCCGGGGGCCAATCCACCCCCCTTCTCGTCCGCCTTAACATACTTCTGTGCATGCGCTCAGACATATCAATGCATGAGAACGATGCAGTACTTTGGTGATACGAAGTTCGTGGTCATATCTTGGTGTGTGCATGTGTGTGTGTGCGCGCGCGTCCACAAGTTCTGGTGTGTCACAACAGCATATACATTGTTCCTCAACCCAGGTTAACTTTATCATATGCCTCACCGCAATTTCAGGTGGTAACAGGGAAACAGCTGACGGTTCACACAGCTCATCGGGGATTTGAAGGAAAGGAATAAAAACTGGGCATAGAAGAAGTAAGAAAGAAAAAAAGGGCAAATGAAGGTACAAGATACGCAAGGAGGAGGGCAGCAAACTTTGGCACAGACTAGAGCCACTGGGGAGGGGACTGTACTCTTTTGACCCTACTAGCTTGTGGCCTGTTTGTGTGTGCACCGTGGGGCGACAAACGAGGTGAAGGTGAGACACGCGTCACCTGAAGATGCTCGTCTCTGGAAGATCAACATATCTTGGGTCTCGCCCATAGGCTCTGAAGTCCATGGCCGAAGAATGGCCACGAGACACGTCGTAATAGGACCCATTCAGGCTCAGGGCCTCTTCTCCGAAAAGAGACATGGGCGAAAGGGCTTGCACGATCGAGACCACATGGCAGAGGAAGTCTATGCGTTAGCCTTGATACAGGTGTAGATGCTTTCTTCAGAGGAGACAGGCAGCTCCTGATTGGCCAATAGAGAGGGCTTAATGTTGAGCAAGTACGGAGCGGGGCCGGGTTGCCAAAAGCTGGCTGTTTTCCACTAGAAGAGGATCTCTCACTGTTAGGACCGTCAATTAGACGACCTGTCGTCCCTGCAAGTAATTTGCACCATCCTGAAATAGATATAGGCTGGGGCAGGGTGGAGAGAGGCACAAATGCTTGTTGAGGCTGGCCTTAGCCCCCCCCCCTCTCCCTCTTCCCTTTTCCCTATGCACATGCAATAAACTTGTACGCATGCTGTCGATCGGTGACGACAGGGAGGATACCTAAAATAATGTCTCCCCGATGCTTCAACCCAGAAAAAATTGGCCCTCCTCAGGTATCCCGGTACCACGGGGGGAAAAAGCAGCTGGAGGGAGTACTCTTTCAGAAAGCCTTTCCGTATTGCCAATGACCCAACAAAAAGATGACAGGGACACAAATGAGATTACATGTACGTAGCGCACAAAGGTGAATAGCTGTCGAGCAAGTCGCAATTGGTTACATAGCAAGAGGCCCTCATCTGATAAGATGCTCGTTCACACGATTCCAGAGTTTTGACATGCTCGGCTGTTGGGAAATCGAAAGACAGCTGACGAAAAGCATGGAAAGATGAATAAGCTGGGAGGCCGCATCTCATCTCGTATCAACGAGCACTGTACTTCTCACTCCACTCCGCCGCCACAAAGGCCATCACTGCTTGCCGATATGATCAGCCAGCAGAGGGTAGCTTGCTGGGGAAACAGCTCTCCACGGTTCGAAAATTCGGTGACACAATGCCTCTTGTCCCCTCTTGACGTGGCACCGGAAAGAGAGCTTGAGATCAGGTGCATCTCAGCAATGTACGTGGTAGGTGGGCCTTGCAGCAATCCGAACATTCCACCAAAGGCCCACTAGAGAGAGCAGAGTGTGCAGAAACCAGCCACTTGAGGCTGTGACCAGCTAGGGCTGGTCTTTGTAGCCAACGGCCGATATGCGCTGCATCGTGAGGTGGTGTGTTGATTACCTTTGAGCATCGGCTCCATCGACCCTATAGGCCCAGCCACGGTTTCAAATTTCGCGAGCTGTCCCTTCAGCAAAGTCGCTGTGTGGTATACATATGCAGGTTCTAGCTGATAGGGGGCACGTGTCCGGCCACAGATTGGTCCATACAGCAACGTCGGCAGCTTTCATGCATCGCTAGAGAAGCAGTCCGCGTGCTTCAATTTTCGTTGGCCGCAGCTTGGCTCTCGACGCTAGTGATGCTCTGCGTTGATGTCTGGAGTATCTCACTCTCCTCCACCAATCTAAAGTTTCGGAACACTGCAGACATCCAGTGGCTGCTCCCCAAAGAGCATGACAGCACAGGGGGTTGTGATGAGGAACTGGCACTAGTTCTGCACCGAAAAACCGTCCATCTAGAAGAGAGGCTTGAGGCGAGACCCTCCAAGTCGGGATTCTGTGTGTGTATATCTGTGTCTGTCTCGAAGTCGTCGGAGCTCGCCTGTCAGTGTCAGGTTGACAATTGGGCGTAATGAAGTGAGCAGCCGGGACGGGACGAGCTGGATGGTGCCTCACCCCCCCCCCCCCCCAGCAGCCCTCAGCCACCAAATGCAACGCCTCACTGTGAGGGCTTCAACATGTGACACATCAAAGTATGTTAGGCAGGAGCCATGCCACCCTTTGTGAATCCCTGCTGATGGCCAAAAATCTATTGTGGTCGGTCAACGTCCCGCGCAAATATTGAGACGACATGTAAGCCGGGCCCCTGCGAACTTTGAGAGCCCCGCTCGTGGACGAAAAGGTACCGGTCTGAGACATAGGATGCAGTGATCTTCTTTTCTTGTCTGGATCCAGTGTCGTATCGGGGACTTGTGGTCTTGACCCTCTGTGCAACGTCCTCGAAAGCGCCTGACTACGAACACCCTCCCCCCCTCCTTCAAATTGGTGCTGTATTATCAAGAGTTGAAGAAGCCCAGAGCTCCATGCCACTCAGAGCCCAATAAGTTTGAGGCCCGGTCTTGGCCGGTCGTGAGCTGTGCTCTCGGGATAAGTGACGGCTAGCTGCATCGTCCACAGTATGCAACGCGCTGCTATTCTCGAGCGCTAATTCGTGGGTGGATAGAATCAACCCATGCTGTACGACAATGCAAAGCCTTTTAGGCCGCCTTCATTTTCGATGCCGGCGGCCCTTTTGATTCCGCAGCGGAATTCATGCCATCACTGCTCAAGAGAACGAGGAGCTGTCGGAAACCCAATTCTTGTCTGCACCGTTCGGGATACCTAGCCAAGGATCCGGCTCTATCAGAGGCAACGTAGACGAATGCTTTTGAACTGTGGTTAGAGGGGGCCGTAAAGTGCGTGGCGCATGAGATGTCGTTCAGCAAGAATTGGCTCGCAGGGAGCGACTGGTCAGCGGTCGGCACGAGAGCCACTCGTCGACCTCGCCGTCGACCTGGACCTCAGCTTAGACTGATTGAAGACGATGCAAGAGGAAATCCGCCCCCTTCAGAGGATTAGATCTAGCAGGCAGAAGTAACGATCGACCTGCATCGTGTATGCAGCTCGTGCGACTGGACTCGTTCAATGGTGATGTTCTTGTTTGTTGATTCGTATCGTCGCTGGCCCAATTCCAGTAGTCTGACCACCTGTCTTGTATGACCAAGTGAGCACGAATGATGTAACCCATGTCTTCATGACACGGAACTTCCTCATATGCATATTAAGGCCACAAGATAGTGCGGACTGAACACTCCATCTGAGCCTATCCAATCGCTTCTCCCCTGCTTCATAGTCGAAGCGCCAATGGTCTAAGTCTCATCTCCATCCATGCACATCAAGACTCAGATGTATATCATGGTATTTCTGTCAGATTTTCCCAGTCCATTGAAAAGCGTGCACAAGTAGGCTGCTGGTGCTCGCCCCAAGCGGTTATATGCAAATCCAGGGAACAAGAGCAGCAGCCCTCGAAACGACAAAACAGCCGCTGCCTCTTACCATGTACATCTAGTCGAAACAAAACACAGGTCCTTGGAGCATGAATCGTGCTCCCAAATATCCGAAAATACGTAAATGCGTGGATAGCAAAGACATTTTGCAGTTGGGCTTCGGGTCTGCCAGGCGTGTAGAGAGACTGTATTGCCATGCCGTACCAAGAGCTGTTTGACATGCCCGTGAGCAAGTCGGATATCCGGCCGTGGCTATTGGAAGACCCACGGTCCGGGGGAACCCGCATCAGGCTGCAGGCACCCAGATGGATATGACAGGTCACTGCGGCAGTTGACCAGACAGAGCAGTGCGAATGCAACTCTGATCGTTTTGGGCCAAGCTTCACGGCCCAGACCAGTCAGCTACAAACCTCGTCGCTTCTCGAAGGTCCTGGCACCATCGGATATGCAACAGGCCATGAGTGGTGGCAGGTCGTTGCTGGGCAGTGGAGTCTTGGTGCTCTGGACATGACATTGGTCAGACGTATAAATTTCCGAGGTACAAGTTACTGACCCCACACGGGGCTGTAGGACTGCACGATGTTGTTTCATAGGGTGCATTTTCGTTGTCGTGTGTCCTCCCTAGCAGCCGGTGTGATGTGGTGGACGCAGATAGGCACCGACCTCATCGAAGACCCTGGGAAAAGAACGTGACCTAGAAGGCAGAGACAGAATCACATCGACCAAGATGTGGACAGTCAGAGTTTGTCCGCGGAATCGGAAGATCAGACAAGCGGTCCCGAAGGCTTGGCCCCAACAGTTGGGGGACACCTCAATTTGGGAAATGGTGAATCTCTGCTCGCTTTGTTCTCCCTCAAACAGCCTCTGCAGCGGCTGAACAGTCTCCCGTGAAACCTTGAACCCCACGAGAATGGCTGGGGACTGCGTTCGGCGGGGAGATCGTAGAACCACATAGTGCCTCTCAGCTGAAAACCATGCTGAGCGACGACTGCAACAATCAGCCCTGGCTTTCACTCTGGCTGGGGTCCACCAAGTGCTTAGGTACTCTGCAATGACATGATGACAGCCACAGTAGACGCCACACCTAAATTCTCTGAAGCCTTCTGTCTCACAGATTGCAAGTTCACTGACAAGGTTCGAGGACTGTTCCTAGGCAGCTGGTTCTGTTCTCATCTGAAGGGTCTGGTAGTGTGCACCAAGAGACATGAAGCCACATGTGTAGCAGCAGGATTTAGCGACTCGACCCAGATCGCGCAGAGGTGAGAGACCGGCAATTACTTGCTCGTGAACCGTGAGATGTGTCAAGGGAGCCGCTTCGTCTGTCTTGACGGCGAGATAATATTCCGAGGCTGCGAGCCAAGCAGCCAGTCAGCATTGAGCGGCCGTAACCTCAGACAGGTCGCGCAAAGAAAAAATATTTGCCCAAGAGCAAGGGATCCCCTACAAGGATTGACGCCCTTGTCCTCCACCGAAGAAAAAGCTCTAGTTTCGAGTGAAGAGCTGATGGTGACCAGACCCGAGGGCTTAAATCTTAGTACGGCACGCATCAGTCATGAAAGGGGTGAAAAGGGGGGGGGGGGGGGCACGGATATCTGAGGGGACAGATGATCGGTCGAGTACGTTTGTGACTTCGACTGTCTTAGGAGTTGAACCCGCCGTAGGCTTATGATACGGACGACCCTGGTACGGCTTGCTTCGTAAGTCATGTATCTCAGGTTGCTATGTATCGATTCCATGACTATAAGGTGTAATCTGAGTAAAGGTTTAAAAGAGCGGACTCACTCGTAGTAAGACCGCAGGTGGCTGGTCGATGCGAGACGCTCGTATTAGAAGAAGCAGGGGAATCGTGACAGCCCAAGCTGGTTGTTTCTCATCTCCTTCGCGAGTCTCTATAGCTGCCCCCGCGGCGTCTGTCTCGGACGTCTTGGTCTCTTCTCGACTCGTGGCGACCCTTCCAGGGGCTCCTGCTTCGATCACGCCTCGAAAAGCCCAAGTCTTTGTCGTTTTTGGATTCTGAGTAGCGAGATTGCCGAGGGCTCCGGCTTCGGTCGGTTCTCGAGAAAGCCCGGTCTCGTTGGGAGCTGGTCTGATGCTGGCTGGAGCCATGAGACACTGTGGGCCTGCGCTCTTCGTCTCTGACGGCCCTGCTCTCCATCTCCTCATCGCCGTGTACCATTCGGTAGCGATCGCTCTCCTGAGGGATGTCATCCTCCTCGCGGTACTTGCGCCACTTCTCCAGCTCTTCGACGCCACCCCAACCGCCTCTGTTCCCGTTAGAGGCGTGTTTCCGCCTCTTGGTGTTGGTCTCTGTCCTCCACATCTCACTCAGCCGGCTCACGCTCTGGGAGAAATCAACATGGATGCGCCGGTCGTCGATGAGCACACCCTGCATCTTGAAGTAAGCGGTCTCACACGCGCCCTTGTCCTCAAACTCGATGAAAGCGTACTGCAGGCTGTCACCCGTCTTGCGATCGCGAATAATCTCACACGAGAGGATCTTGCCAAAGCGGCTGAAGATGAGCTCCAGGTCGGAATCGACGGTGACAGGGTTCAGCTTGCAGACGAAAAGGACATTCTCTGGAGGCTTGACCTCGGCAAATGGCAGATCGCCCATCATCTCCAGGGTCAGAGCCTGGGCGCGTGCTTCCCTCTCACGGCGGGCCTTTTCTGCATTCTCGGCGGCCTCCTCGTCCATCTCTTGATCGAGCTTCTCGACTTCGCCGTCAGCAATGCGCACGGTGGCAAGCTGGGCTTTGGTGGGGACGGGGGAGGAGCTGGGCTCGCGCAGGCCAGCGGGGTCGGGATAGGGATCGTCGAGGACGACAGTGTGCTTGATACGGATATCGGCTAAGGGGTAGCCCTTCTCGTCGACTATTGCATCGTTAATCTTCTCGAGTACGTCAAAGCCCTCGACGACCTTGCCAAAGATGGCAGCCTTCCCGTCGAGGTAGTCGGTTTCATCAGCCAGGGTGACGAGGAACTGGCTCGCGGCTAGTCTGGTCTCTCCGCCGTCTGCGGGGTTGGGAGTGGTGGCCATGCTGACGGTACCACGCTCGAGATGTTTGAGCTTGGGGTGGAACAAGGCGGGAAAGGTACGGTCTGCCGGATCAGAGGATAGAAGCCCCCAAACAGAGGAACCGCCATCGGATAGCGAGGACGAGGGACCGAGCGGGTCGCCGGTCTGGAAGGAGAAGTTCTTCTGGACGGAGTGGACGGGGGCGAAATTGTAGTATTTGAGCTTGCAGAGCTTCAGAAAGTTCTCGCAAAGCTTTGGGGTGTAGTCGACGAGCAGGTCCACGACGATGTCGCCGGCGCTCGTCTCGAGGAGGACCGACATGGCGAAGAAGGCTGGGTGCAGTCGAAGGCGCGCAGTCGCACTCAAGCCTGCGGCACCACAGCGCTATTGGTGTGCACAGAGGCCGAACGTGATTCGCGATACACTGCGCAGCGGTGTAGGACGCGAATGGGCTTCCGTCGACAGCAATGGTCCCTGAAAGGTGGGAGGTGGAAACAGACGAAGGTACGACTGTGCAGTTTGGTTGAAGACTGATGTTCCATCGAGGTTGGCCTAAGACTGCAGGTAAGAACGACCCTTGAGAATCGTTAATGACGTCGGATATCGGCTGATATAATAATCCGCGGTAAGGGCCCCCTCCCCGGCTTCCTCTGGCAAACACCAAGAAAAAAGTACTTGCTGTACTCTTTAGGTAGACCTTGGAGGCAGAATGGGTGCCAAGATAAGAACAAGACCTGAAGTACAAGCAGTGTCAGTCAAGATCACACATATGCCCATGAGTTTATATGAATTTATTCCCTTATGTTATATATAGAAAGCCAGAACTGCTAATCACGTTTACAGTGAGTTCATACGACTCAGTCCCCCCCCCCCCCCTGAAATGATCCTCGCTCTGCACTTCCAAGTGCTATCAAGAATTGCCAGCAGATATGGTGAGTTTCAAAGGTTCCATGTTGTTCAGGTTGATCCAGGAGAAGTACTTTCAGACTCAAAAACATAAAATTAAAAAAGAATGAGCAGCATGTAAGGCTGCAACTCCAGACGCCCCCCACACACGAGGTTGTTCAGTTTTCATTCCCATGCCGACCTCTTTACCTTCACTTCCCTTTTCTCCTCCCAAGAATCAAACAGGCCAAGAACGCCATGCCCAAGATGACAGACCACGTGCGAGTATGCCATCAATTTGCCATGCCCTCCCTACCATAGATTGTCCTCTCCTATGAACGCCAATTACCGCAATGATGCAAAACAAAGCAACCACTGTTCCTTCTGCCCTTTTCCAAGTTCCTCCCTGTCTGCATCCACTATTCACTCGGTAGGGCAGCTCCTCCTCCGCCGCCCGACCCGTAACTCCTTCTCGACCTCCAGAAGGCGGGCCATGATCCATTGGCGGAGGGCCTGGTCACATCGCACCGTCTCGCAATTCAACAGCTCAGTGAGCGACCGCTTGATGCCCTCGTTGATACTGCACAGCTTGGCCTCTTCACTGGCCACCTCTGCGAGCATCATGGGATCCACCGCCGCGGCATCCAGCTCCATGGACGCCGTCATGTCCATGGCCCCGCCCCTGCGACGGCCCCGGGCGTGGATACGGGGCTGTGGTACGTTGAACTGGGGCATGCTGGCCCTACGCGCCGCTGAGTCGAGCCTTTTGTGCCCAGGTCGGGTCGGGCTGAGCGCTGGTGATGTCGTGGTGTTGGTGGTGGTACCGGAGGATATGGTGGCGGAGAGCTCGTCGAGGTGCCGGCGGATGGTCTCGTGCTCCTCTTGTAGGAGCAGATACCTCCGCAGGGTAAGCTCGCGGTTGTGCTGGGGCAGGCTATCCTGCAGGGCCGGGCTGGCCGTGGGAAGCGTGAGGAATGGTCCCATCGACATGACGAGGGCTGCGTTGGGTGTAGACTTGGAAGGTTTGTGGTATGATGCTGTAGTATGTTGTTGACTTGTCTTGGGCGGCGGGGTGCGTATGCTGATCGTCAAGGATCTGCAATGGGCTCTTGAGGTTGTCATCGGGAAGCCGGTATTAGGACGTGTGTGTATACGAAAACCCCTACGATGAATGTCGTGACAAGAACTGCAATGCTGGATATGGTGGGCGTGTAGAGGGAGAGGACTGCGCAAGGTTCGATGAACGGTATTATGATTTGACACTTCAGAAGCGCAATGACCGCGCTTGTGTTTCTTATGCTGGTGGTGATGGCGTCGATGTTGCTTGTTTCTGATTTGAGTGCTTGAGCGGTTGACGATAGTAGACACGAGAGGAGACGGAGAGAGAGGGGAAGATGAGAGAAGGGAGAAAGAGGACTTTGTAATGTCTTTTGCTGGTCGTGGATGGGTGAGGTTGCATCTCATAAAAGAATATGATGGTGGTGGTAGTGGTGAGCCCCTGGATGTGACGGTATTTGTGCCACAGTATGGAAGACCAAGTGCACGAGTAATTTCCCAGGGGAGATTAATACGATAGTTGACCACGACCTTCAGCCTACGTCGTCGCCAAGTAAAATGGCAAGAGGACCGCAGACAATCTCAGGCTGGTCGTTTTTGGTGTCGTATCGAAATTTGTCCCGTAAACAGGTTCAAGATCCGATGGCGAAATCCACAGTCTACCATGAGAGCGGCACCAGGACCACCAAAGGAATTTGGAACACTGCCAGCTGGCGATGCAGAAGAGGAGGGCCCAATAGTATGCCCGAATAAGGTGTAATTAAGAGGTGGAGGTGGGGGGACGACACACTCCCTCGTCCCTCTTCCTTTAGCGCGTGGGGCAAAATAGGGAGCTCCTTTGCGGGCGGTGAGTCTATCTGTCGCAGTTGTTATAGATCGCGGTTGCGGTATGGTGTATTTGTACGGATGCTCTAAAGACGGCTCTTTCTTCTTCCTCGTTCGTCTGCGTAGGTCGTCCACTTGTCGTGGTAAAAATCGAGGGTGACAAGAGTGTTTGGAGATGAAACTGACTCGTGCCGTGGAGACGTAAAGTCCAGAACGGATGCATGAGGTATTTATACAGGCTAGGGTCAATATTTGGCGACAGATATCGTGATTGTTGCGTGGTCGTATGCCGGGAGCTGCCGATACGTTCGAGAGGGTTTCATTCGCCCACCCGCTTCCGCATCCGGAAACCTTATCTGAGGCTGCTGAATTCCAGTTGGGCAGTCTAATTTGAAGCAGAAGAAGATCTCAGAGGTATCATTGGTGAAATGACTTCCCTCCTAAGCAGGAAACGGTCAACAAAAACAAGTTGTGAGAAATAGCATACTATACTATATCTCCGCTGTGGAGGACAGCGTTGAATCTAGGTGAATTTTCTTTCTTTCAATCATCAATACCTTGTTCATGCCCCCCCTCCTGATAACCTGTGACGTCGCTAACCAAGTCCGTACTCTGGTACTCTGGTACGTCTTTTACGCCTGCTTTGACGATTTGTTGAGTGTACTATATGTCCCTGTCAGTAACCACGGAAGTATCCGTGTACCGATTGTTTTAATTTGCTACATGGTTGTTTACTAGACTTGGCTAAGATTTTCACTTGCTCTCACTTTCACTTCTGAAGGAGGGAGGTGATCACAGTGTATACACGCCTGAGATCGGAACTGTTGAGAGGAACTTACAAGTGAGACGAGAGAAAACCGGTCACATCAGGCACCAACACCATCACGTCGATTTTACGTCATGTTACGAACGTCAGGAGAGGACAAAAGGTACCGACTACGCTAGTTAAGGACAGAGTCTGAGAGTGTATGAGTGGGCGCAGAAAACGGCCTGGCCTGGCCAGCCTAGCATAGCCTCTGAAGGACTGTGCCTTTTCTACTAAAGTACTTGTCTGGCAGTCTAGTAACAATACTATGATATTAGCTACGACGATGATGAGGGCTGAACGAACCCGCCCTTTCCGCCTCCAAGCTGTGGAATGCTGAATGCTGTCTGTACGTGGAATGCGCCAGAACAAGGTCCGAGTGACACTTTCCCAAGTCCTGTTCCTGTGCAAGCTCATCAGCTGGTCCAACTCAGTGAAACAAACAAAACAAAACCCTGCCACCCTGCCAGATCTCTGCAGGTGAACCGCTGCCCGGAGCGAAGGCTACGGGCCCCGATCCGATCAAGTGCTGATGCCGCCACCTCGACTCGATCGGCACTGGATTTTTAGGAAATGGATCGTCCCAGCGGTGGCCTGCCAGCCCCGTCAATCCGAGTCGATCATAGTAAAACAAGAGGTGAGGACTCCAGCGGGCATCAAATCAGTTCCAAGAAGTATGGGACGTCCTGTACTTGGAAACGGCCCACATCAGCCAGAACCAGCCAATCGTGGCAAATAGTGATGCACTCACTCGTGACTGCGAATCCTTCATCTTCTTACATGAAACCTTCTCCCTGCGTGTTTATACGTCGCACACAGGTGCATGCCATCCAATGCTGGATTCTCGTCCTCTATCGAATACATACTGTATACACTGTCGTACCACACCGAAGCACCGAGAAAGCAGCTATGGTAACATGGTTCGTTCACTTGCCTCCCCTATGCCACCCAGTCGCTTACTGTGTAGGCACTCCAGGCACATGGGGCACCGCAGGTGTACAAGTCGTCTACAAGTAGGTCCCTAGTGTCAAGCGGGTCACTAATATTAGTCCCCTGTTTGTTTAGCTGATCGCAGCCTTATGTACGATCGTTTTGGCGCTGTGCCTAGTCGTGAAATTCTATTTTTTCTCCCTCTCTAACTTGTTTCTGCTTTCATCCAGGCCTTCATCAGGGCGGCACGGCGCTATTATCATTCGTTCGCAGACTGGGATGTGGCGCTGTGTCACCCCTGTATTCGACGGCCACTTGGCCATCAAAGAAGCCTGGCATTGCTTCCCATGCCGCTTTTCAGGTTAACAATGGAGGGGCTTATCACGTCATAATTACTAGAAGTAAGTAATTGACGAGTCTATAATGTTAACCAAATTTAGGCGCGATGCTGCGATGTGTATTTTCCTTTACTTTTCTCTTTGATTTTCTTCCTTGACTGCTTCAGTTTCACGGCACCATGCCTCGAACAGGATGCTTCTTGGCTTAGCACCTCGAGCTATGCTTATAGCTAACGATAGCTTGGGCTTAATCTTTTAACCCCTTGGTGCGCTTATACGTGTGTCAGACGTTACTTCAACCGAAAACTCATCATCTGCACCCTGGTGACAGTCCAGACACTCTATGATCGTCGACATTACCTGTCATAAGAGATCTCAGTATCCAAGAGTTGATTTTCCTGACCCATCGATTTTCCACGGACGAAGGACTGCTACACATAATTACATGCCAGAATGAAGATCGACAAGTCTCAGGCGACGCTCCAGTACTACTCCGAGAGTACTTCAGACTGCAACGACTTCTTCACCTTAGAATGACTCTCGATGTCGGGCTAGATTATTGTGCTGGGGGATCCCAATCTTGATAGCGTGCAAAGGCATTCATGGATGTATCGTTGAATACTTAATATGTGCATTCTTGAAGTGCTTTTGCTTTCTTCGGTCTCTCTTCCGCTTTACAAGTGTTGGGATCATGGCATTCCCATGTCGCGGCATACAATCATCGTGCTGCTGACGACAGCTGAGTCCGCTCTCAGCTAACGCGTCGATATGCTTTTAAATCGCTTGCGATTCTACAATTAATTTGTTGGTATCAGTTCTTCGGATGGCACTTCTGGCTTTTCTTCGTGGATTCGACTCAGACAATTAACCTCATGCTTGACTGTGTCATGTTAGTGTCAATGGGAGCTCACAATGTTCAAAAGCGGCGATCTCTGACTCGGCCATCGCTGCATCTGGCGCTGTGTACACTAGATATTTACTATCTAAGCCCGCGTCTAGTATTATTTTCTGTAATTCCTATCGTGTCTGACGTGACGTGTTGAGAGGTAATGGGAAGTGGTGATGAACTTCGGCGGTAAAGATCTTTGTCCTGCCCGTTTTCTACTACATTTCGCTAAACTTCTTAAACCTACCGTAGAATTCACTGATAGCGGAATCGATTGTTACAATATTCTCGCTACCCATCTTGGTATCTTGTGGCTAGTAGACAACATGTATAAGGTTTTCTTTAAATAAGAGAGCGTTATGTTAGACGCTTTCATATTGTCTGGGATTGTGATCAGCCAGTGGCTTAGTCGGCTGATGCTTTGAATGTGAATTAATTACGCGTTGACCGCCTCAGAGATTAGATTGATGATTACCTGCACGTATTTGATAGTATGTCAAAGCCTCAAGCTCACATGATGAAGTAGTCTTGCGTCAGGACCCTAGGTCTAGACCTTTGAAGAACATTTGACCAGCAGGCTCTGGGAATGAGAATGACGATTAGGATCTGGGACGAGTTTATTCTTGAAGGCATAGCCTTCTAGAGGTCAAGAGCAGAATCAACTTCTTCTCACCGGTTACATAGTAAGCTGTAGTTTAAGTTGTCTTATTGTGAGATCTTCATTCTTCGATTCTCGTCGAAAACATAGTGTTCGGCCGTCACGTGCACCACATAATTAGTACTCGACCATCTACATAATCTCAGGTGTTGAGTTGGGTAAGTATAAGGCCAAGTAGGCGGATATTCAAAGACAATGAAAACACAAGAAATGAACGTTGGTATCATTAGAGTGTCACCTACCTTGGCGTCTTAATTATACTGCCCAAGTTCACTACTTAAGTACTTGTAGTATGCAGTGCTCAGACTGTAAGCACTTACTTCCTGTACCGTGCACACTCCATTTCTGCGCGTAGGGGACCTCGATGGATCACTACATGTCAACTAATTACATGGCATATCAGTTGTTAAACTGATCAATGGCTCTCACATGTGATGAAGTTTCAAACTCAAAACTTCATGGCTATGTCGCTTTTAAAAACTTTCTTTCTTCTTTTCAATCTTTTTTTCTTTCTTCCCTTTCTTCATCATCATCATTTTTCCTCTCCGAGATCAATCCACACGGAGAGATGGTTTGACCGCTTACGCCCGGAATTCACAGCGTTGCGTATTGGCGACAGCGTGTTTGCGTGGCCCTTGGCCCAATCGGAGTCTCCAACCTTGGCATTATCAGTTTGCATGCGTGGCCCCCCGCTAACACCACACCACATAAGAATCCAGCTCTTGCTCTCCATTTCAGACATATTGAACCTACAGCACTTGAGCCTGAGCCCAGTAAAAAGGCCAAAATTGCACAGAGGCATCACAAGAGACATGAGATTCTCGACGAGGTTCACGCCGGAGGTCCTTATCGAGGCCCCTCGTCGGGGTCCGGCCGTCGCCAATCCAGATGGCACAAAAGCTCTCTTTACTTGCTCAACCCACACAATCGGGGGTGAGACCGTCAAGGAAATAAAGGTTCTTGACATACATACAGGATCATCACAGCTTCTCACAGCTAGCAACAAGGCACATGACGCAGCCTGGCTCGATACGAGTTCGGTCGCCTACCTTCAATCTGCAGAGAAGGGCAGCACGGAATTGAGGGTTGCAAAGCTGCAAGACAATGAGAGAGGTGGTGTTTCGGGTCAAGACTCGGCTGTCATCGCCACATTCCCTGGCCCAGTCCTGAACCTGAAGCTGAGGGCATTGGACGATGACAGCGTGGCTGTTGCGTTGGTCGGCAGAGTCGACTCTAGTGGGCAGTTGTTCAACGAAGAGACCGAGGAGAGAACAAGCTCAGTGAGAGTATACAACGATTTCAATGTTCGCTTAGTAAGTTGGGAATTAATTTTGTATGTCTTTAACTGATTTTCCCGATACTTACTTTTTCATGTCAGTGGGACAAGTACCTGAAGCCGCAGAAGTACACGATCTGGTACTCTCGCCTGGTCAGAACTTCAACACCACTACGCGCTCAACGTGACGATGCACAGCTGACTTCACCATGGGTAATGGACGGCTCATTGAGAAATCTACTCCCCCATAACCCAGAGATGGAGGCCCCGTTCGGCATGGATGACGGCCTAGGCGACTCCATGAGCTCTTTCGACCTGGCTGAACGAGGAATTATCTTCACAGCATGTGACCCGCAGAATCGGAACCCGCTGTACAGAGTGACGACGAAGGTCTACATTGTCCATCTCAACTCGTGGTCAGCTCATGATTCACCAACAGTACCCAAGGAGGTCCCGGTTTTTGGAGACGAGTCAAGAGGGACCTGTTCCAACCCTCGCTTCAGCCGAGATGGGCGGATGGTCGCATTCCTCAAGAGGCCAGCTGAGAGATATGAAGACAACAGACTGTACCTCGCAGAACTCGAACAGGGTCACAGCGATGGGACGCAAGGGGCACGCTCTGCGACTGCCATCAACGTCTGGACCATGGTGACAGGGACGAAGTGGGAACTTGTGCCGGATAGCTTTGAGTTCTCCGGCGACGGGCACTCCTTGTTCCTCACTGCGCAAGATCACGGCCAAGTCGCGCTGTATCGGCTGAGCTTGCAGCCCAACGCAGTGCCGCAGATAGTGCTCAGAAACGGGTCCGTGTCGAGGTTTCAGTCACTGGCCGACGGATCCCCGGAGAAGCTCCTCGTGACGACAACTACTTTTGTGGAAACTTCGCTCTATCAAATTGTCGACGGGTCTGGCAGGTCTGAGGTCAAAGTCGTATCGTCAGCTTCGCAGAACGGTGCTAAACTAGGTCTGTCCCCTGAGCAGATTGGAGAAATCTACTTTCAAGGCGCTGGTGACTACTTCGTGCAGGCGTGGGTCATCAAGCCTCGCAACTTCGATACGTCCAGGAAATATCCTCTCTGCCTCCATGTTCATGGCGGTCCTGCCTCCGCTTGGAATAACGGATGGAGCACCAGAGTATGCCTCAGACCCGTGTCTTTCAATGACTTATATATATCTCGTGGGAAAATGCTTGTAGCTGACTTAATCAATTTGCAGTGGAATCCGGCGGTCTGGGCTGAGCAGGGCTACATTGTAGTCGCCCCGAACATCACAGGTTCGATCGGGTTTGGGCTTGAACATACTGAAAGTAAGTCTTTGCCTCGGCAATGGTGATCCAACCCATCTCTCTATTAGATGATCCATTTCTGACTCATACCTATTGGCAGGAGTATTCGGCTCATGGGGAGGAAGTCCGTATGAGGATCTTGAGAAGTGTGTGGAGCATATCAGCGACATGCCCAATCTTGATCTTGACAACGCCGTCGCGGCAGGTGGAAGTACGTACTTCTTGAAACGAACTGCATACTTACTGATCCTCGTCATGACACGATGAACTCGGACGAGCTGTGTTTGTATTGGTTGCAACTCGCTGACGGGCTACTTTGAACATAGGCTATGGCGGATACATGATGCTGTGGCTTCAGGGCCAGAGTTTAGGACGAAAGGTGAGGGTTAAGTTTTCCACTTGAACAGGACAAGTATGAAGCTAACACAGATACGCAATTCGTCAAGTTCAAAGCTCTTGTCTGCCATGATGGCATCTTCCACCTCCCGAGCTTCCTCCTTGAGAGTGACGTGAATATTGGCACAGAGGACTTCAGGGGCACCCCTTACATCTGGAACAACATCGCGGAGCTGGACAAATGGAATCCTGCGCGTCCAGACCTCTTGAGAAAATGGAAAACGCCAATGCTCGTCGTGCACTCTGACCTGGACTTTCGCTGTCCCGTCACCGAGGGCATAGCTGCATTCAACACTTGCCAGGCGCTCGGTATCCCCAGCCGCTTCATCAACTTTCCGGACGAGAATCACTTTGTTTTGAAGGAGGAAAATTCTCTTCAATGGCACCGGGAAATACTTGCGTGGATCAACCACTATTCTGGAGTTTCCAACGGAACAGACAATTTCGCGAAGTAAAACTTCCCCGGACAGACACCTGGCAGGCCTGTTGTACTGTCTACCAGCCGCAGCAGTACGAACCGATGACCCTCCTTGAGCTGAACCGATGGAGTCTTGCCACCCGAGCCTGATTTGATCATTGATTAGATCTTTTCGACGCCGCATTACGAATTACATTGCATGTTTGCATTGTGAGGAAAACAGGCAACCCCATCTTGGCCGGCACATGTCATCATCCATCGATCTTTCATGTCCAAGTAATCACAAAATCGGCCTTGGATCGTCCGTGATCTCGCAGCTATGCGTTGGGGCGTCCATGAAGACATCTTTCAGGATTATTCTGCCGGCCAGATCCAAACTTTCATGGTGTGGTTTCAAGTGAATATCCAGTTGCAGGGTGCAAGTCCAGGCACGGCTCCAGGGGGAAAGAGGGGATGGGACTCATTGATAGGATATATAATAACCATGGTAGCGTGTTGTGGGGAAGTTGACGGTAATTTATTTCGGACCATAAACCCTCCTATGTACAACTTTTGGTTCAAGCCCTGCGCAGTGACCGTGTGTCCTGTGATACCGCTTTAGGTCGTAGATCGGTAGATCCGGGCTTAGATTCAATCTACTATGGTTGTAGATCCATGGTGAAGGTTTCCGCCGTGGTATTTCCGCCATACATCACGGTAGTATTGGTTTCTACCCCCCGCCCGAGATCCAAGAACACGTTTGGTTTCTCGAAACATCGAAAGGCAGCAGGTCATCCGATTGACAAGGGAAGCCAGCTCTTGTGAGTTAGTCTGTCTCTCCAGTTCCGCTCGTAGCGAGGATCAGGGTGTCTCTAGTGAGTGCGGGAATGAAATAGGGCGTGTTTCATGTGTACTGCATAAACGAGCAGGACTTTGACCCGCAATATTAATCCACCACAATAACGCCATTCGTGGAGAATGGCTTCACCGTGCCATAAATCCTTCGCTTGGAAACAACATGCATCTGCAGTCTACTCGCAACCGCGCTTACGAGGGCGGCTGAATTGCCCTTTTCAGTCCGCCATCGTAAATGAAGGGGCATCATTTCTCAACACAAGGAGCCGCCCCTGAATATTCACTCCTATGTTTTTGGCACAAGAAGCCCCATGCTTCTTCTCGTGTGGACATGACGGCCAGCCAGTGCAGCCGCCCAGTCGAAGGATCTGAAGAGCTCTCAGGTCGATAGATGAGAGGGATGAACTACAGCAACCAGGTCATCGAGAAAGCGCATATCACTTCGCCGCGAACCGGAACTTACAGGAGAAGCATAATTAAGTAGATGAATTTTTATGTCAGTACTTGTATTTTATCCAAGGAGGTATAATCATCATACCATTGTACATACATAGTAGCAGCAGAAGTATGTACCCACTGAAGAGTTTACTGGTACCAGCCCTGGTATTCCCGTGTTCATCCTGATCCGCAATAACCTCCTTGCCTTTTTTTTTCTTCATATGGGTGCCCCTGGCAAGTCCTTACCACCCCCCTCCTAATCATGAAACGAACCACAATCTATTCAAAAAGGCTGGACAGCCGCAACGATGAGTGTCCCTCTTCTGACCTCGTCGAGATTTCTCAATTCAGGTTTGCTTTGGAACAAGTCCTGTGTGGTTCATTCTTTTTCTGTCGCTCTTTAGCAGGCTGTGCACTGCCTTTTCTCCTTCATAACTTGCTCTGCTTAGGTACACTCAAGCCATTCTCTTTTTCTGAGAAAGCCAAAAGGAACAGCCGACCAAATATTCATTTTCTACTTTGATACTTTCCTTTTTGAAACAAATACAAACACACCAAAGCCATGGCTCCTCGTCTTCTCACAACTGGCCTGCTGGCCACAGTCAGCTACATCCTCCCGGTGTCGGCTCAGCTGTCTGGAACGGTTGGACCGACCACGTCCACCTCGGCCAAGGCTGCCACCAAGGTGTGCAACATTATGGACTACGGTGGTGTGGCGGACGCGACGACAGACAACAGTGCCGCCATCACCTCGGCCTGGACCGACTGTGCCTCTGGTGGTGAGGTCCTCATCCCGGCTGGTGATTATGGCCTGGAGACCTGGGTCACCTTGAGCGGAGGCTCGGGCGTGTCCATTAATCTGGAGGGCATCATCTACCGCACGGGTACCGCTGACGGCAACATGATTGGGATTGAGGACAGCACGGATATTGAGATCTACTCTGCCACGTCGGCCGGTGCCATCCAGGGCTATGGCTATGAGTTCCACAAGGACGGAGAGTACGGTGCTCGTCTCATGCGGTGCACCAAGTGTGTCGACTTTAGCATCCACGATATCATCCTCGTGGATGCCCCCCAGTTCCATCTTTCTCTGGACACCTGCAGCAATGGAGAGGTGTACAACATGATCATCCACGGAGGATACGAGGGAGGCCTGGACGGTATTGATGTCTGGGGCAGCAACATCTGGGTTCACGACATCGAGGTCTCGAACAAGGATGAGTGTGAGTTATAGAATGATTCTTTTTCTTCTTTTCTTTTCTCTTCTTCCTGTTGTTAAGATGGGAGGCCACATGGTTGCTAACCTAAGCTCTCTTTCTCTCGTCAAAGGCGTCACGGTCAAGGACCCGTCCAACAACCTCCTCATCGAACAGGTGCACTGCAACTGGTCTGGAGGCTGCGCCATGGGCTCCCTCGCCTCTGGCATTGACATCTCCGACATTGAGTACAACTACATCTACACCCACGACTCGAACCAGATGTATATGATCAAGTCCAACGGCGGCAACGGAACCGTCAAGAACCTCGCCTTCAACAACTTCATGGGCCACTCCAACGCCTACACCCTGGACTTTGACACCGCCTGGAGCAGCATGGACGTCGTGGCAGGCGACGGCATCGACTACTCCAACATCACCTTCAGCGGCTGGACCGGTACCTGCGCTGATGGCGAGGAGAGAGGCCCCGTCAAGGTCAACTGCCCCGCGGAGGTGCCTTGCGATGATATCACCATCGAGGATTTCAACGTCTGGACCGACAGCGGCAGTGAGGTCCTCTACGGCTGCCAGAACGCCTACGGCACTGGAGCCTGCCTGGTTTCCGGAGATGCCAATGCCGCCTACACGACCACCCAGACCGTGACGACCGTTGCTTCTTACTCGTACACAACCAGTGAGTGACGCCTTCTGCCCCCCTTTCCCCCTTCCTTTCCCCAACAAGCTTTGCCCTGAACAAAGACTGACTGTCCTCTCTCTTTCTCTCCGGTAGTGGACAACGAGCTCTCCACCGGCTACGACATCTCGTCTTCCATCCCCATCCCAAGCATGCCTGCCTCTTTCTACCCTGGCAGGGCACCCATCTCGGCCATCCTGGCTGGGTCTTCCTCCGCAACGACGGCTGCCGCTGAGGCCGTTGCTGCAGCCTCGACCACCGGTGCTGCTGCGGCTGCCACCGGTGGCAGCGCCCGCGCCAGCTCATCCGCCCCAGTGGCCACGTCCGCCGCCGCCAGCTCTACTTCGGTCGCCAGCTACACCGCTGCGGTTACCTCTGCTGCCCAGGCGAAGCCGTCGTCTGGTGGCCACAGTGGTCACGGCCAGGGTGGCTGGGGTGGATTCTTCGGCAAGGGCAGCTTTGAGAAGGCTGGTGTCCCTGGCAAGAGGTCGGCCAAGCTTCGTTACTAGGAGCTCGTCCGCGCGACATACCGCCAGGCAGGCGGTGGCATAGAGTAGATGATGGCGACAGTCTTCCTGATGTTGGATAAACCAGCAATTTCTTGTGCTGTATATACTACTTTTCTCTCTTTCTTGTATAAGACACACGCTAGAAGCAGCTAGCGATTGTAATAAAAAGACTTCGAAATTGTCTCACCAACTGTATTGCGCAGCTCTTGGAACGTGTGCTCAAAGAACTGGCAGACACTCAGGAATGTGCCATCATTGACATATCAGCATTCTTGCACTAGTTTTCTGCTCGAGGGCTATCGAAACGTGATGAACAACACTTTATTGTAATGTTTTGCCGTCTTGCTTTGAGCTTTTTCTGGCGGGACCTGGAAGCCGGAGTTGGAACGGTGAAGAGAGGAGAAAGAGCAACAGTTCAGAGATATCGAGGGCACGTAGCATCTGGGACAGGAGGCATGGAACAAGAAATGAAGTGCAACACTGTGCATTCTCAGAACGCGGAACATCAAATTTATTTGTTTCCTGATCACAGCTGGAAGATGGCGTTCATCGAAGTAGCTTTGAGGCCATTGCTGAGTGGTCGGGTTGTAGCACTGTATTCCCGTAGTGTTATAGGGTTGCAGCGCTACAGTACTACTAAGCTGCTATGGTAGTAACTATCCGGAGCTGGAAGAACCCTCGGGCGCTAGCGGTTGATAACGGCCTCATCCCTGTCGAGTCTCTGCAAAGTAGGAGGAATCTTTGCAGGGGGCCCTTTCAGAAAATTTCCAGCCTGCGAAGTCCACCTGAGAGGAGTCGTTCTATCGCAAGATTGTCTCGACTTAGCATCTTCTTCTTTTACATCCAAACCACACGCAAACGCACACACACCTGCCTACCTCGTCACCTACAGCCCCTCACATATTGATCGGGGAAGATATCCTTGAAACAAAGAGGAGGACCTTTGATCAGGTGCATTCTTATTGGCTCCAGTCGCCAATCCCCGCAACCTCCCTCCAGCACATCAATCGACCCCAGCGTTGCTTAAGGCCCGCGACAACTTTCCCTCTTCAAGATGGCGTCCGACAAGAAGGAGAAGAATGAGAAGAAGGAGAAGAAGGAGAAGAAGCACAGCAGCGATGGAGTGACCAAGGTCAAGAAGGACAAGAAGGAGAAGAAGGCCGAGAAGGACAAGCTGAAGCAGAAGGTTGCCGACACCCTCGACAGGCAGCTGCAGGCAGATGCTGCTGCCGCCGCCGCATCAGATGACCATGACGACCACCCGGGCTCCGACCTCGAGGATATCAAGAACCCTGAGGTCGAGACCAAAATGGTATACTTTGCCGTGCCATTAGCTGATGTCAAGGGCCACAAGAAGATCTACAAGACTATCAAGAAGGGTATGCTTGACCTCTCTTTTCCCCTTCTCCCTCCCTCCCCGAAATACGATTGCCTCTTTTTGTATGGGGCCCAAACAAATGAAGTAATACACCTTGCTGACGGTCCATACCTACAGCGCGGAAAGCAGGCGCCCTTCAGCGCGGTGTCAAGGAGGTCAACAAGGCTCTTAGGAAGACCCCCCTCAAGACCCCCTCCAGCGCAGACCAGATCCCCGGCATCGCCATCATCGCAGGGGACATCTCCCCCGACGAGGTCATCATGCACCTGCCCATCTACTGCGAGGAGCACAATGTCCCCTACCTCTTCGTCAAGTCTAGGCTCGAGCTGGGCAGCGCCGCCAAGACGAAGCGGCCCACCTCCGTCGTCTTCATCCAGGAGAAGGGCAAGGAGAGCAAGGCTGCCAAGAAGGCTGAGGCTGAGGACGAGGACGAGGACGACGGTGCTAGCTACGCCGACGCCTACAAGGAGCTGTTGAAGCTTGCCCAGAAGGAGTACACCAAGCAGATGAAGGATGTTCTTCGGGGTTGAGACACCCAGGCAGAGTGGTCATAGACAAACCCCAACAGTGATCCACACACATACACACAAACACAAACACACAAACACAAACACACACACACACACACACACACAAAAGACAGTTAAAAATGGGGGAACCGGGGAAAACGGGATCTTACCCTAGGGGGCGTTGGTGGGCGTATGGATGAATTTTTGCATGAATCGTCGCGGGCTGGATGGACTTCTTGTTATAAAACCGTCTGTTGATTCAACTGGAGGACGTTGACAACAAATAGGGGTTGAAAAATTCCAAAAGAAAGTACGTGCATTTTACTGAAAAGCCAGTGCATCTTTCTCTCTACCGTCAATTACCGCCCGCGGATAATTTGGAAGGTTACTTAGTAGGCACGACCTGGGCGAACGCATGTCCCAACATGTATTTGAAGTACTGACGTATGTTCGATGCGGATAAATCACGACAAGCAGGTAACACGAGAAGGACTGGAAACCACATTCTGCACTGCCAATCACCCTATATTATCATGTGAAAACTAATGCTGCAAGCCGACCTTGACGCGCCGAAAACCCCTATTCCCCAGTTTCCTTAGTTCCCAGCACACTTGCCCGACAATCAACTACATCCAAACGTGTAGTGGACAGGCTTCCTTTATTCGAATCCATTACTCGAAAGGGTTGGTGCGGGTGCCCCACCAGGTGAGGAAGCAGGCCAGGCCCACGGTCTCGAAGACCTTGGCGACAACAGAGACACCGACGGTCTCGAGAGGGCGCTTCTCTTGGAAGATTTGTGAGATGTACTGCGAAGGAAGGTATTAGCAGCTGCTACGCAAGAGAGTTTCTTTCTATGCAAGGACGGGGTTGTGGGCTCACAGTTGGGGCAGAGGTGGCAAGGAAGATCAGTCCGCCGAGGTATGTAGCTCCCTTGTAGGAGAGAGTACCGGTGGCGTTGATGAGGGCACCGACCGCGTAGCTCTGTGCGAGGCTACCGACAAAAGATGTGCCCAGAGCCTGGAAAACACCAATTAAGGTCAGCATGAAATGACACATAAAGTCGAAGGGACAAAACAATCGCGGGAGGTTACGAACCACGCCAGTGCTGGTTGCCTCCTTGCTCTTGAAGAATTCCTCTGCAGAATCGGCGCGCTTGGCTCGTCGATATGAGTCGCCGCTGTGTCAATGTCAGCACACTCCGCTCACAAATGGTCAAGACAAGCCTTGCGCTGGGAGGGTTGGGGGCAGTGGGCCTTGTGGATTGACGTACAAGACTGGTGCGAGAACTACTCAATGATGATATTTAGCAGTTGATCTTCACTGACAAGCACATACACCTTGATTATATATGCGTTAGAGCGTTGACGGCAACTCACCAGCAGTCTCAACGGTCTGCGAGAACATCAGTCAGTCATGGCTCAACATTCAACAGTCCTTTCAAATCGCCAGTATGGGATGGAGGATCATACCTGGTTGAAGACAAGACCCAGGGCAACGGCCGAAGGCTTGACGGGGGGAAGGTCTAAGGTACATCGTCAGCAGCTGGTGTAAACAGCCCGCAGTGTCGTGCTGGGCGCAGCACGTCATTCAAAGGCATGCCAGAGCTTCGTGCTGAACCACAAAAGCTAACCCCCAGGCTCTCAAGGGAGACCAGTGGGTGAGAGAAGGCCGATGTGGTGGTGAGACGCTATACTCACAGTGCAGAGACATGTTGATGGTTGATGTGTAATAAGAGTTTATGTGTGTGTGTGTGTGTTGTTATTTCAAGAAGAGGACTTGTTGGCTGAGTTTGTTAGGCAGTGTTGACAGGGTTTTGTGGTAGGTGAGGTGAAAGGTAGAGCATACACAACAGGTGGGCAAGACGCGGACTACTTAATAAAGGGCGGGAGATGTGTGTCTCCCCCAACCTCATCCAGCCTGTTTTGTCTTACGTGCTACAATCGTCACTTGGGTTCGTTCAAAGGGAAGCTATGAGGCAATGAGGGGGGCCAAGAGAAGGGCTAGCTGGGGGGTTCGATCGTTGTGTTCCATGTCCTCGGACACTGGTTCTTCCATTTCGTCACTGGTTCTGGGCCCAAGGTCCTGGTCCTGCTTCCTGTTCCTGATCCGGACAGGCCTGTGACCGCACCACGGCAAGCCACAAAACCAAGGATAGCTCTGTTAGGTGGTACACAAGTGGCTTTGGTATGTAATGCATGATGACGGGCTGTTGGGCAATGTACTATGTACAGTGTGTAAGTGAAAAGTTGTATGTAGTAGTAGTGCTGCAGAAGTAGTCGAGACCACCTTCTCCCCTGTCTCTTCCAGGATTCACCTGCCCCACCCTCAACAAGAGTATTACTTAACAATGATGATGGCAGACAGACCTTTCAGGGGCCATGTTTGACAATTACCATGTGAGGGACGCGGGGGAGCGCCCCACGGGCCCAATGCTCCGGGTCAACAGAGTAAGAAGACCATAGAAAAAAGAAGCTTGTTGGGAGATTATAGGTGGGTGGTGGGTGAGGTGACCCTGTCGAAGCTCGATGCAGGGCCGGGTCAGCTGTGCCATGATGTCATCAACGGGTGGGTCTCCGCGTTGCCTCAGCACAGCATACATTCTACTGTTTAGTGCTATGCTGCTATGGTATCATAGCGGTGGAGGTGCACTGAGGTGGTAGTAGTAGTAGCACAGTACCGCACTGGTGGTGCTATGTACAATATCACTGTTCAAGGCACGCACTATACTCTTACTTACGAGGCGGCATTCTATACACGTACTACAGCGACAGTACAGTGGCACAAGAGGCTTTCCTACATACAACCGTTATACCGCTACAGACCGCTACAGTAAGTACTCAACTAGGCAAGTAAAGGGAGGCACTTCAACCAACACCAGATCAATTGCGTCGACTTGAAAAGATCGTCCGAGGAGGCATGGGGTGCAGTTTCTTCTTATATTTGTTCTTGTGTGGCCCAAATCTGAACAAGATGCATCCTTCTGGAGGAGTTGTGCTTGTCTGCCTTCGACTTGCAGTGTCTAATACACTAATGGTCCGAACAGCGCTCGCTTCCGGCTCAGCCCCTTGCAGAATAGAACACGACGTGACATGATGACAGCCCTCCCGGAACGATTTCACATGCTGTTCTATCGGTTGGCAGGTCGCTGCTTCTTCTGTTGGCCTGTTCTCTTTCAAGCGCCGACAGGATAATGCCGTGGATACACACACAAGAATACACAAGGTGCAAATAGTAACGCTATGAGACCATATGCTGTCCATCTTCGCCCCCTCGAAGCGCAAGCAGGGCTCGCACGTCTGATACGTACTGGAGCCCCTCCAGGAAGGGGATTAGATGCTGCAGGTCGTTGTCCGTTGGATCATTGATCCAGCCTTGTATGGGAATCGCATTGTCTGAACTTGGTTTCAGCACATGACCTTTGTGAATCCCAAGAAAGAGAAAGAGACACAGAGAGAGAGAGAGCCGGGGGGAGGGGGAGGCAGCTGTTAATGACCCGGAGGGCTTGCTTACCTTGATGGAACATATAGCTGAGAGGGCTGTTGTCCAAGATCATGACCTTGCTGAGGTCGGGCTCCACGGAGCTGAGGTCCTTGATGAACGCGCCGTGACGAAACGTGCAGTGCTGTCGGTAGTACCTTGCTGAGAAGAATTTTCTCTCCGACTCAAGCCAGTCGATGACTGGGTCGGCATACTCCTGCACCGAGGCCGTGAATACGACGAGATTAAACCATTTGCATACCTAGAGGGAAAGAGAGAGGGAAAAACACTGTTAGAGCTTCTGGGCACACGCACGCGCTGGGGGCTGCGGGAACGCGACTCACCCTCCGCAAGAAATCATCGCAGTGTGGTCGCTTGTGCACGTAGTAGAGTATAGGATGCTGAGGCCCGATGCTGGCTTGGCCTCCCACCCCGACGTATGTCGTGTTCAGTTTCACCTCGACCATGTGTCCCGTGCTCATCCTGCCGCCCTTGGACATGCTGTGAATTAGGGTCTCGTCTAAGTCTAGTATCAGAGTCTTTTGGGGCGGCTGCCCGTTTGTCTCGATATTGATATATGAGGGTTGTCGTCGGGGGATCAGCGGCCTCGGAGGCGCCGGAGTTCTTGGGTACTTGGTGAGAGCCCCGGCGGGAGACGTGGGCGATTTGAGTTGCGCCGATATATCCTTCTGGTTCTGGCTGCCTCCCGTGGTGCCACGAGGGCTTCCTGATTGGCCCTTTCTGTGCTTGCGCTGCCTCAGAGCCTCTTCATTATGCAGCTTGATCCGTATAGACCTCCTGGACGGACTGATCTCCTCCTCCGGCGGTGGTGATGGCTTTGATGCTCGTGAGCTCCGACGCCCTGATCCCTTGCTGCTCCGGGCACTCCTGTCGAGCTCCGACTCCGACTCGCTGGACACACCCGAGGAGGACGAGCCAGACGAAATGACAGGATGCGCCGTCATGGCGGTGCTGCGGCCGGTATCAAGAGTCTTCTCGCCTCGTGCTGCGCCGCCATCTCGCTTCTCGTCTGCGGCTGCGCTGCCGAAGTCTTTTTGATTTGCGCCGAAGAGTCTCCTCAGCGGCGCAAGGTTGCCCTCGTCGTCGTAGAAATAAGCGATTAGGTAGAAACCTGGCGCGGCAAGCGTGGAGAGCACCCAGCGGACCGAGTTCAGGATAGCGCTGACAATTCGTTTGGGGATCAAGTGCCATGCAGACTGTCTTGCACCCATATCCTTGGGTTCGGCGTGCTGGAGGAGGGGTGTGTGTTCGTCCGGAATTGCGCCGCTCCGCTCGGGGTCGTGGCTGCGTGCCTGGTAATACTGGTACGATTCGGAGGCGTGCGGGTCCTCCTGGTGCAAGTCTCCTTCGTGAGAGGTGGGCTGCTCCTCATGGGAGGTTACGGCGATGCCCACCGACGCGAGGGAGTTGGATCGAGAGGAGGCGGGAGCGGGGGCGGGGGACACGCGGGCGGAGACAAAGTTGAGGGAGTTCATGGTTTTGCAGAGGTTGGTCGAGCCATGAGAGATCGCCCTGGGAATAGCTGGGTCGTGGAAAGGGTGAGGGCGGATCGCGGGAGGAGGGAAGGGAAAGGAGAGGAAGAGGACGAGGAGACGACTAGCCGACCAATCGCAAGACAAGACGCGCTGAAAAGACGGGCGCTGATGATAAGAAGATATGAAACGGTATGGTAAACACAGTCGACCCGAGGAGACGAGCTGGTTGAGTGCAGCGCTGGACCGCGACTGCTGATGGCCTGGAGACGAAGTTGAGAATTACGAAGTCTATAAGGCGGATGTGAGAATGAATGGACGATGGATGATGGCCATGGAATCATATGGTCTTAGCTCGGCCGCTCGGCTTGACTAGGGCGCCAACACTTCCAACACACCCCACGGCACTCTCCAGCTAGGCCCTTCAGCAGGTACCGTGTGGCAGGGGGTTATGGCATGGCCTAGAGCCTAAAGTGTGGCATGGGGACCGGGGGAGTTTCCCCCTCTGAGCGGGACGTGCTGGAGTGCTGGGTGGGCTCATAGGCCTAGGCCTGACAGCCTGTGGACTGTGAGACCTCGGCTGGGAGAATCTCAGCAGTGTCTTTGCATGGCCCATCATCTAAAGACTCTTACTGTCGACTTTTGCTTTCCTTCCTTTCCCGTATTATGACTTTTCGAGCTTCAATCCTTCAAATGAATCCCTTGCATGCCACAGGAAGATGTCATTCTGTCAGAACACAGCTTTGAAAAGACAAGTAAAGGCATCTTTGGCTCATGACACTCTCTTGCTGGCTATAATTCATGACAGGCCATGGTAGGTAACATCGACCTGACCTTGACGGCTGACCCCCCATGTACTATGGTAGGTGGCGCCGTGTGACACCTCGCGCCTCTGTACAGGGGGTATTACAGAGACTCCATACGTGACCCCACACCTGCCACGCCCGCCCGCGCCCGCAGTTGATCAAGCATCAAGTAAGTGCCTTATCATTTATCAGTAGTCGTACAGTATGTACTTGGATGGGCATATGATCTATGACCCCTACTGTGCTCTTTACATATCTCTTGAGGAACCTTTGGAGTCTCGAGAGTCCTCTCCTCCGCACACAAAACCCTACCAGCCTGAGCAGACCTTGTTGTGCTCTCTGCTTTTACTATTTTACCCTTACCTGCTTATCCTAGGAAATAAAGCTTGGATCCTCGTTCAACATCAACTCGGTCGGGTCCTCTCGAGGCAGACATGCTGCACCCCTCTTTGACAGGTTGAACCACCTCCTCCTTCGACCACCTCACCCCCGACTTCTGCTTGTCCCTTCGCCTGCGAGTCCGTCAACCTCGACTGCTTCCCTATGACAGGTCCCTACTGAGGTATGGTCCAACACACTCCGTCGACATGAAATACCGTGCAAACTACTTCCACTGCTCCCATCTCGACGGCGTCCCCGACCTCACCCCGACCCGCCCGTCTCCTGCTGCCCACACGGCAGATATCCTTTCAACATGGCTGGCATCTTCCAGTCCTTTCGCACATCGGCCATGCCGAAGCGACTCCTCCGATATGCGATGGCCCGTTTTGATATCTTCGAGGACGATGCTCTCGATCTCGAGAATCTCGACCTAGGCTTTGGCCTCCGCAACACCCTCGAGTTTAAAGATGTGGGCCTCAAGGTAGACGTATGCCGTCCTGCTCCAGCTGCCTTGCCGCCGTTCTACACTATCTAGAAGACCTTTGCAAACACTAACGGCGTCTCTCTTTTTCTTCAGAAACTTACTAAGCAGCTCGCCCTCCCGCCTGAATATCGTATTAAGCAGGCAGCGGTATCTCGCCTTCAGGTCACTGTGCCTCTCGACCTCTACTCCAGCTCCATCGAGCTGACTGCCGTCGGCGTCCGTATCTGCCTCGAGATCTCATCTGTCGATATCCAGAAGAAACCTGCTTCTGAGAAGGAGGAACAGAGGAAGAAGAAGAAGAAGCAAGAGGAGGAGGAGGAGGAGGAGGGGACTGCTGCTCCAGACCTGGTTCCCACAGCAGCTGATCTGGCTCAGTCATTTCTAGACACCCAGCCCGTCCAGGAGAAAAAGGCTCTGGAGGACGCGCTCGCTGCCGAAAGACACGACTTGGCTGCTTCGGTCGTCTCGAGCGAGGATGGTAGCGAGGATGACGCTACGTTTGGAACTGGCCAAGGCCTCTCTCTGCCTGTTTTCCTGACCGACTTCCTGCAGGGTGTCGCCGACCGCACCCGTATCACCATCCGGGACGTCGCATTCCACCTTGATGTTGAGGTGCCCGTGGAGCCTAAGAGCCTCGAGACAGAACCAGTCTCTCTCCAGCTTTGCCTTGATGAGCTGCACGTGGAGGGCCTTACGAAGCAGGTTAGGGACGACGAAAGCTCCAAGATCGTGCCCAAGGAGGGCAAGCGTCATATCCTTCTCAGCGATATACGCGCTTCCCTTGTCTCGCAGGCCGGTGCCTTCTCAAGCTTTGTAAGGTCGCCGTCTACCACATCCGCGGCATCGCAAGCTTCTGTGGCGGCGGGACTCGACTCGCCGCAGTCAGCGGCACCAGGATTAGTCCCAGATCTCCACAGCCCGCAGACCGAGGCGGAGCCTGACGATCGTGCCCACAGCCCACGGCTCTTAGATGACAGTGAGGAAGCACTCCAGATACCGTATGAGATAGAAGAATGGGGAGGCTCCGGAGATGCAGAGCAGCTGGAAGAAGAACCAGCTTCGTCTCTGTCCACGCCTAGGGCATCTATCTATCATGACTTCTCTGGCAATACTGGTCACCAGCCCGGCCTATCCCCACCTGGAGGCGACGACGTTCCTGAAGGGCCCACGGCGTCGGCAACACTGCAAACAGACCGTGACAATGATGTACTCGCAGGTTCAACGTCGTCTGATTCTGCAAGTGATGACTCTGGCGCCCAAGCCTCTGAGGATCTCGTTCAATCGCATTACTTCAGTCACGAGGAGGCGGAGAGCATGTACATGAGTGCTTTCTCTTTACCAGACTCTCAGAGATTGAAGAGCGGATCTATGCCAGGTACTTGGAACTCGAACCCCGGATCGCCTGACAACTCGCCCAAGCATCATCCTCAGGACAAGCACGCACTTCCGACCCATGCCATGAGCTCTTCAGCTCAGGATGTGAGCACGTCGGGGCCTGCCGAGGAGGCTCTTCCTCCTAAACCAGGAACTCCTAGTCTGGTCCAGAAGGCTGTGGCGAGTGAAGAGCAGATCGCAGACCCGCAAAAAGGCCCGGTCGTCCCGATCGGAGTCACTCCCAGTCTTAGCGAGGAAGGTCTGACATATGAGACTGGCAGTCGAAGGTCTAAGAGCCTCATAGTACGAGAAGTTCTGTGCATGGACTCGATCTCGGTCTATGTTCCGACGGGTCACCAGCATCTTCACGTTTCGAGTGAGGCGAGGACAGGAAATTTGGCAGAATCAGCCTTTCAGAATGTCCCAGGAGCCTTTTCCATGCATTCGTCCGTATCACAGACGCCAACTCACTTCAAAAGCCATGCACAGGCTGTGGAAGATAGTGCGAGGGACGATGCCGTCGAGGTACATGTCGCGCCTATATCAGTTCAGTTCGACGCTTCCATTGGCCTCTTACTGGCAATGGTAGCATGCAGATTACTCGAGGTCTCAAAGAGATCGCCAAAGGCTCCTGACCAAGCTGGGAGCCCTGCTGCGCAACAACCAGCTGTCTTCTCGATGCCTGACTTGAGATTTTTTGTGCAGAAGATTTCCGTGTCTTTCATGGACAAGATATCCGGCCTTGCGGACACAGGAGCAGCAAAACAAGGTCCAGGCACAGATTCTAGCTCGGAGACGCTGCTGAGAGCTGAATTTGGGGATCTGCGGGCCATCATGTCCGAGTCTCCTTCTTCAAAGGAAGCTGGCCTCACTCTGGGAGACTTCCACTTCGGCTACCCTGATAGTGATATCCTCAGCTTCGACCGAGACGCGCAGATGTACATGTCTACGAGGGACAAATTTCCCGATCCTGGGGTCGATATCTCAGTGAAGATGACGACAAACGCAGAGGGCAGCCGAGGGATCGTCAATACTCTCCCACTTCGAGTTCACATCGATCTCCAGCGCCTAGACGAGACGCTGAACTGGTTCGGTGGCCTGAGCAGCGTTTTGCAGATGGGTGCCTCGATGACCTCGAGTGGTCCACGCCCACAGAGAAAGCCCACGATCAAGCCCAGCAAGCCGAGGGGAGTACGTTTCGACATCCCGTCGCAGCCGGAGAGTGCCGACCCGGGACCTGGGGCCAAATGGGACGTCCGAATTGGTGGTCTGAGCTTTGACCTGGTGGGGAGAACATGCAGCATGCTCCTTCGAGCCAGTGCTGTAAAGGCCTCCAATCGAGGCACTGCACTCCGTGTTCATATCAGCAAGATTCACGCATCGGGACCCCACAACAAGAAATCCTCCGGTGAACCGCGGGTCAACATTACTGTGACGGGTTCTACCCTCGAGTTTCTGACATCACCGCGCGACGAGGACTTGGATCGACTTCTTGGGCTGATCATTCCTTCCAAAGACCAATACGACGATGGAGATGATGAGATTATGGTGGACACTCTGCTACGACAACGACGAAAAGGGTCAGTGGTGGCGCTCACCTTGGATGACGTGCAAGTACGGGCTGGTGAGCTCCACCAGCTCGATGCTGTTTCTGCTCTCGGGGAGGAGATTGCGCGGCTTGGGGCTGTAACCAAATATCTCCCCGAGGATGATCGCCCTGGCCTGCTGACTCTGGGAGTCATCTACAATATAGAAGCTTCTGTGGATGTCGGGGGCAGGTTCGGTATGGTGAGTGCGCACATGAAAGACCTCGAGCTGGCTCATATCACTTTCCCGTCCCTGGCCGCGTTCAGTATCGGATCCATCGAGGCCAGCAGGAACAACATCGAGGAGCTCGTCGGATCGGCCAAAGACCCTACCCAGGAACTCGCCGGGCGGTCACCCGTTCTCATGGTGCGAATGATTGGAGACCAAATGGAACCTGTCATCAGGGTCAGGATGAGGAATCTCATCTTTGAATACCGTGTTCCGACCGTCATGGATCTTTTGGGACTGTCCTCCGAGACGACGCCGCAAGAATTCGATGCCACGTTGGCGGCTTCTGTTGCGAATCTCGGTGAGAGGGCCCACCATGCGCTAATAGGGAGTGAACTGGCACCGCGGCAGAGTCTACCGACACCTCAGTCTGAAACGACGAAGCCCACAGTCTTCAATGTGGCCTTTCGCGACTGTCTATTGGGCCTCAATCCACTGGGCTTGACATCCAAACTTGCGATTTTGCTTATCGAGACCAGCGTGGAGGCCAGTATGCCAGCTGATGGCGATGTGTCCGTCGTGGCAAACCTGAAGAAGGCTGCGATTCTCCTGATCGACGATGTCTCGTTGCTCGACGCTCCTCCGAGACCGGGGCCGTCTCGACACCGAGGCTCAGACGCTCAAAGGCAGAAAGACATGCTATCGGCCCTGTGCTCCAAGGGTTACGTGAATATCTGCCAGATCTCTTCTGCGAGGGCCACTGTCCAGGTCACAAATGACGCAGATGGCGAGAAGCATATCGATGTCGAGCTCAGAGACGACCTGTTGGTGCTGGAGACTTGCGCAGATTCTACCCACACCTTGATAATTTTAGCAGGCGCACTGAAACCACCGACTCCTCCGAGTAGGGAGATTAAGTTCAAGACTGAGGTGATTCCGATGCAAGACATGCTGGCTTCTGTTACAGCTGATGCTTTCGGAAGGGCGGAGGGCAATTACGACTTTGATGACGACTTCACCATGGCGCAAGAACTTGACGGAGGGGACGAGCTGTCCGAGGGTGAGCTGATCGACGTGGACCCCATGGAGATTAGGCCACAGTCTCATTTGAACGACCCGGAAGTTTCCGAAAACCTCTTCGATGCGACGTCGTCCTCTATGTTCTCGAATCAGACCACAAAACAAGGCTCAAAGACCGAAGAGCCAGAGTTTGGTATTCATTCTGAGATCGAGGTTCACGAGAACTTCTTCGCGATGGATCCACGGTCACAGGGGAAGGGCCACCGCTGGAATTCCGCCAGAAACACATACGACGAAGTACAAGAAGAAAAGATCCGCAAAAGCCCCCTCAAGGCACGCGTGCGGGATGTACACGTTATATGGAACTTATTCGACGGCTATGACTGGCAGCACACCCGGGAATCGATAACGAAAACCGTCGAGGAGGTCGAAAACCAGGCCTTCGAACGGCGGGCTCGGTCTGGGCGAAGGTCTTTGGAAGATCCAGACTTTGACGACGACGATGTTGTGGGAGATTGTCTGTTCAATTCCATCTACGTCAGCATTCCGGCCAACCACGATCCTCGAGAGCTTGTTGGTGGCATCAACCATCAGTTAGATGATACCGAGTCGATAGCGGCGACAACGTTGACCACGGCGACAACGCGCGCAGGTGTCGGTCAGTTCCAATCGAGAGCCAAGAAACTGCGCCTCGGCAGGAGCCGACGGCACAAGATCACATTCGAGCTGGCGGGTGTCAATGTCGATCTCGTCCAGTATCCTCCAGGCTCCGGCGAGACGGATACTTCCATCGACGTGCGTGTCCACAGTCTGGACGTCTTTGACCATGTCCCTACCTCTACCTGGAAGAAGTTTGCTACGTATAATCTGGATGCTGGCGAACGCGAGATCGATACAAGCATGGTGCATATTGAACTGCTGCTGGTCAAACCGGTGCCCGACCTGGCAGCTATTGAACATGTTCTCAAAGTCACCGTTCTCCCCTTGCGCCTGCATGTTGACCAGGACGCGCTCGATTTCATCACGCGGTTTTTCCAGTTCAAGGATGAATCGCAGGCCCCTGCGCATGCCTCCCCAAGTGACGAGGCCTTTATACAGCGTGCTGAGGTTATGGATATCCCAGTCGTGCTGGATTTTAAGCCTAAAAGGGTGGACTACGCTGGACTACGGGGCGGGCGTTCTTCCGAGTTCATGAATTTTGTGATACTTGAGAGCGCACGTCTGACGCTGAAACACGTGATCCTGTATGGCGTGCCGGGCTGGGAGCGTCTGGGCAACACCCTCAACGACACCTGGACGCCAAATGTGAAAGAGGAGCAACTCGCTGGCGTGCTGGCCGGCGTGGCTCCTGTGCGGCCTTTGGTGAATGTTGGGAGCGGCTTCCGCGATCTCATTGAGATCCCCATCAAGGAATACAAGAAGGACGGTCGGATTGTACGAAGCATCGGGAAAGGCGCTGTTGCTTTTGCGCGAACAACGGGCACTGAAATTGTCAAGCTGGGAGCCAAAGTTGCTGTCGGCACGCAATACGTCCTGCAGGGTGCGGAAGGTATGTTGACTAATAATCCGGCGGAGGGCAGCAGCGCGGCCATGCGAGAGTACCAATCGGCCGTGGCGGGCTGGGAAGAAGAGGATGACGCAGAGCCAGAAGAGAAGAAGCAGATCTCTCTGTATGCAGACCAACCTACAGGGGTCATACAGGGGCTTCGACACGCATACAGCAGTCTTGCCCGAGACTTGAACGTCGCCAGAGATGCCATCATTGCAGTCCCGGCAGAGGTGATGGAGAGCCAGAATGCACACGGGGCGGCAAGAGCCGTGATGCGGAGAGCACCTACAATCATCTTCCGGCCTGCCATTGGAGCTACCCGAGCTGTTGGACAGGCGCTCATGGGAGCGACCAATGCTATGGACCCAGAGAACCTCAGAAGGGTGGACGATGTAAGTGGGCGAGATCTACGAGTTGACAACACTGCGCGCACTCCTGCTGACCAGTCACATAGAAATACAAATCAGGTCCTGGAAGATGACGACATGCCGGAGACACTCTCGAGTGACAGACAGAGCATCATGACGAGAAATGAAGGATACGAACAGTTATTGAAGACGAGGCCGCATCATGGAAGTCGGGACATTGCGCCAAGAGCAAGAATCCGCTGATTATTATTTCTTTCTTTTTCCTTTGTTTCTGTCCCACTGCCAAGACTGCAAGGAACCGTGCCGAAAGTACACTTCATCAGCATCGTATTCACGCGGGCGCACACACGCGCGCATCAGCAGGGCTGCCGCTGAAACCTACAATCTACAGCGGATTGCTGATGTGGCAGGGTAGTTCGACGATGCATATTACTCTGTCTTTTCACACTCTTTTCTCGGCATTAGGGAGCGGGCAGTGCATCTAGACAAGGCGTTGGGTGTTTCAGTACTTCCGACTTACCATACCATCTCATTGCGAGGAGTCAAAGGAACAGGATGATATATATCTTCTTCAAATGGGAATCTCTTCATCTATTTTTATTTATTTATTTTTATGTAATTCTTGGATATTGACCTGACGGTGTGACAGGTGATTCGGCAGTGAATCCCCGTGCATGCATACGTACATGCAGAGTCCCCATCAGAAACCATCGTCCTGGATGCTGCTCTTGCGTTCTGCCTCTTTTCTCTCCTTGTTGACATCGGCCCACCACCTGTGGGTCTCGTCCTTGCTGGTGCTGTTGCCGTCGGCGTCGAGCTCATCCCAAGGGTTAGGTGTCAGGATGTAGTGGATGTTCTTGACCTTGTCGTCCCTCCAGATGGGCTTGTGGACATTATCCCAGCGCAGGGTCTTGAGGGCGTTGTAGATGTAAGGCAGGGCGACCCAGCGGCCGCGGTACAGCTCGCTCAGCAGGGACTGGTCGGCAAACTCCATGGCGGCGGCGTTGTTGTCCATGTAGTCGACAATCTGCTGAAAGATCTCGACCGAAGGGTTGACGACCTGCAAGCCTCCGTTCATGAAACCCAGGGGACCGACGGCCGGGTCGGCGCCGACGGTCTGGGCGGTGTCTGGGTCGGCGTGCTGGGAGGTGAAGGCGCAGTTCTCGGGCACCCAGTCCTTGGGGTAGTGTGGCTTCTTGAGCGGGTTGCAGACGCAGGCGTGGCCGGCGGCGAAGACGCGCTTGCTGTCGGGGCCCCCCTTGGCGGCGACAGAGGGCTCGTCCAGGTCCATGGTCATGAGCTCGTCCATGTTCTGCAGGACGAGCATGTCCGAGTCGAGCTGGACGACGCGGTCGTACTGGGTCAGGCTGAAGGGGGTGAGCTTGCTCCAGCAGTCGTAGAAGCGCGGGTCGTTGCTGTAGTCCTTGGTGGACTTGGTGGGCAGCAGGTACTTGATCTGCTGGTGCGGGATGCCCCTCGCGTCCAGGGCGGCGATGCCCTCGGCTGGGAACGAGTCCGTGTACAGGGCCACTAGGGGATAGGCGGACTTGTGCTTCTTGAGCGAGTAGTCCAGAGTAATGAGGCCAGAGAGGTAGGCCGTGTTTGTGATGAGCGTCGTCCAGACTGTAGAATGGGTGTCTTTTGTCAGCAAAGAAAGCTCATCTTGGGTGGACAAAGAAGACAAGAAACTTACCTCTGCTGGAGTCGACTGCCCTCTTGCCATCAGCCATGACTAAGGACAAAAGAAAGGAAGAAAAAAATATGTGTGTGTGTGAGGGGGATACAAGAGAATCCAGTGAGGGGATTCAGATGAATGGATGATGATTGATGGTGAGTACTTTTTAGTAAGTCAATAAGTGAATACTGTAGTGCTTGGATGACGTGCCAAGTACACTAGAAAGAATGAGGACTAATTACAGGGACAAATGTTCACCACGTGCGAGGGTGATTAGATGAACTCGAAATAGAGATAGAGAGAGAGAGAGAGAGAGAGAGAGAGTTGAGGCAGAGATATATACCTCAGACTTATCTATGTGTGCATACACAACTATATAGATATATATTTATCTCTCTATATATAATCATATCTATAGAGGTGTCATCGATTTGCTGTTTGATGTGGATTTGCAGTGGATCACCAAGACTTCTTGAATCGTGCTAAACGTGTTTTAAGTACGCGGCACATTGATTTGGCACTAAACACATGCTGTGGGCGCCGAGGTAGGCGACATGGTGCGGCAGATTTCATGAGAGCATAAAACAAAGGCGGGACCTCCCCCCTCTTCTTTTCCCCAAAAAACTCCATAACTGTATGCTTGAGGTCTGTTTTACATGCTCTATGTTGTAAAGGGGCAAGGAAAAGTAGAATTGACCTGAAGAGTACCATAGTACTATATATCAAGATAGATGAACCAGATAAATGGAAGAATGAGAGGAGGGGGGGGGGGGGGCGGGAAGAAAAATGTCATTAGATGTCAAAGTACATACCTACTCAAGGACATAATATGAGCTGAGCTGGATCAGGGTGTTTAGATGGCTCTCTCTCTCTCTCTTCTTCAATTCCAGATCATCATGTCATGGTAAGCATAAACCTGTATGGTGTGATTCTCTGGTATAAGCTTGTAAACACAGAACAACTTGTCTGTTCCAGACACATAAACTATTTTTGAGGATGCAACCTTCGGCTGAGGCTATCCTGTATTCAAAGACCTCCACAACACGGTGGGTCCTCTGCGTTTTGGACTCCTCTGAGGCAGCGCTGCCAGGGTTATCTTTTGTCTTGGATCTGCAGGGTCTGTAACTCCCGCATGCAGCCCTGGTGTTTCTTGTTGTTTCTATCATGCAGTAGTGGTAGTATCCCGTACTGCCTCCATTGTAAGTACGTACCTCTCTGCTATAAAATTGCTCGCAACATCTTTTGTGGACTGGGCCGGGCCTGGTGAGAATCTCGCAGGGAACAGCCAGGCCCCTCAAGACCCCTCTCCCCCACCTCCCGACACAGTCCTTCTATGCATGTGCCTTTAGGACTGGAGAAGACAGCAATGTACTATCTCAAGGGGTATGGGTATCCAAAAGAAGTTGTAGGACTTGAGATGAAGATGAGAAAGAGAACGAGAGAAGGAGTCGGGCACACACAGGGTTCCAAGGTTCATTTCAAAGGTGAGAAAGGGTGGTGGGGTTGAGCTGGAGCTCTTATCTTATCTGGTCAGGAGTGACTAAGCAGGGGACCACCCCCCCTGCCATCTTTTGTTTGGGTTTGGCAGTGCGTGCTGCTTTCCATCTTGGGGACATACTAATGTACAGTAGTACTATTTACTGTACGTACTACCAAGATACCTATTGTTTACCTTCTGTGCTGTTAGTTCTTGGTCCTTGAACGAGAAAACACACCAATTCTCTGTTGGACTCATAATTTCTTTTATACCTTGGGGCCGCCCTGACACTCGTTTCCACCGTTTGAGACGGTCCATCGCCGCCATGCCCCTTGTCGACCCTGTCACCATGTCCGCCTCTACTTCGTCGTCGTCGTCCTCCCCTTCCAAGGCTCAGTCGATCGCCGGGAAGACTAGCGACCAGTCTCAATTGCAGCAGCCTGTTCGCCTGAAGGCGACGATTGTAGTACAAGCAGCACGTCATGTCTCCCCAGTCGTCCTTGCTGGCCTGTTCATGGCTGGCTTTGGACATCTCGTCGCCTCTCCTGTGTCGACCATGTGGGCCGCCTTGCCCGTCGTCGCCGCTCTGCAGCTCCTCCACGCCATCATCTGTCTTCCCGTGGCTGGCTCTTCCGGAGCAATCAAGGCCAGGAAACAGCGCTCTGGCGACAAGAAGAAGGCCACCGAAGGCTCCGGCCCAAACCTGGTCATTGTGGGCTATCTTACCCCCCCCCCTTCTCTTCCTCTTCTTCCTCCTCTGGACCTCTTTTCTTGCAGCAGCCTTCTTTGCTAACTGTGAAGTACCTTTGGACGAAAACAGACGGCCCTGCTCTCTCTCCTGCTCTCCGTCCTCCTGGCGCCTATCCTCCACGCTGCGATGATTCTTTTCGGCGCCCCTTTACTCACGCACGTCTCGCATACCTTCCTGTGCGCCGCACACCTGTCTCTCCTGACCTCCTTCCCGCTCTTCTACGTCCACGGTATCGACCCGACCGTGTGGACCTCACTCGCCGGTTTCAAGGCTCCTCTCGACGAGTGCTATGGTGGCCTCTTGGGAGGATTCCTAGGCGCTTGGCTGGGTGCCGTGCCTATCCCGCTGGACTGGGATCGTGAGTGGCAGAAGTGGCCCGTTACCATCTTGGTCGGTATATACGCTGGCTATCTATCTGGGCGGATACTTGGAGGTACTCTGCTCTGGGGGAAAAAGTTTTGAAGCTTAGAGCTCCTTGTCGTTGTCATCGTCATCTTCTACTACTTGCATATGTGAGCAAAGCTATGTGAGGGGATTTGATATCCCATAGCCGAAAGAAACACTGGATACCTCTAATAGAAAACAAACCATTTGAAAGAAAGGGGAAAAAAAAAAAAAAGACAAACAAAAAACCGGAACGCCGTTCATCATCAGAGTATGCTACGCAGGCCAGAATATCTTGTCCCAGCAAGGGTAACCATCCTTAGTCCCTCTTTGCGTAATGTAAATAATCTTTGTCTTCAAGCCTTGGTAAGGTGCCGCAGCTCCTTTCGTGTCTGCGCAGGGCCCCCAACGCGTTTATGATAACCAAACAAGGTCGTAAGAAGCTTCACCAGGACCGGGAAGAAAACAGCAAACAGGGTAGCCCGCACCGAGGCCACAACACCACCGCCCTGGTTCTCCTTCATCTTGGCCCCTGCTGCCGCTGCCTCCTTCTCCTCCTTGCGATACCGGTCACACACCTCGAGGAACAGCTTCGGGTCGTCCGTCATGATACAGTCCAGCTTCTTGCGGATGGCCCAGCGCATCCAGGACACCTTGTTCACGGTCCACGCGTACAGAGGCCGCCCGTCCTCCTGGCAGTCCCGGATGAAGCGCGGCCCGCCCAGGCAGTACAGCGGCTCCTGGCGCATGTTGATGGCCACGTTGGGCACTCTGAGGTACTGCCTCGCCAGGGGCAGCGTCACCCCGATCCAGGCGATGGCGAAGCCGGGGAGCAGCTCGTGGCACAGGCGGAGGTGCTTGGCCGTCCAGCAGCCCAGGACGACCCGCCGCGTCCAGGCTGCCGAGGGCGGCGGCTGCGGTGCCTCGCGGAGGATGGTCTCGGCGATGCGTGGGATCATCTCCCCGGCTGGGTCGTCGATCTTGATGTCCAGCAGCAGCCAGACGGCCTCGTTGCCCGGCTCGGCCAGGTACGCGAGCAGTTCTGACAGGCGCGGCATGGGTTGGCGCGGCTCGCGGAGGGTCCGCAGTGTTTGCAGGTAGGCCCAGTCGCGGTCTCGGACTAGGCCCTCTTCGCCGTAGCAGCGCTTGAGATCTTTGTCCTGTGAGATTCATTGGAGGGTCAGTATATAAATATTTATGTGTGTGTGTGTGTGTGTGTGTGTGTGTGTGTGTGTGTGTGTGTGTGTGTGTGTGTGTAGGTTTTGTCTTGAAATGACGAGAGAGAGAGAAGTGGAAAAGAGGAGAGAGCTCACATGTGAGATGACGACGACCTTGTCTTTGGACAGGTGCAAATCCGTCTCAATGGCGTGGGCGCCGACCTCGACAGCCCCTCGAAACGCTCCCATTGTGTTCTCTGGAAAGCTGGCCTTGTACCCTCGATGTGCAACGGCCTGAGGCATTCCATTGTGGTTGAGCGTCCACCACGCCGGCGGAATGCCATTGTCATCACTACTGGATGGTGGCTTGTTCACATCTGTCGTCTCGTCTGACAGTACTCGTTGTCGGAGGGCCGACTTCACGTCGGCAGCAGCCTCGCCCATGTTTATCGATACGTATATATGTATGTATTCGCAGTTCTCCTCCAGAATCAGATATAATGGGATGTCCTGTGTAATAGGAGATCAGGTACGATGATGGTGAGGCTGGCAATGAAGAAGAAGATGAGGAAAGATGATGATGGGCGGGGTTCTTGTGAGGAGAAGAGGGTAGGAGAGGGAACACAGAAAAGAGCAAGTGGTTCTGAAGGCGACGAACAAGCTGAAGAACTTGGTGATGATGATGCTGCTACATTTCTATTACGCTATGGTGGAGACTTACAACACACCTGCACTGCCTCCTGCGTTGTTAAATCACAATTTAAAGTAGAGCAGAATCCAAAATGTCGGATGATGAGACCCGATTCCAAGGTTCTTGGGATCTGATCTGCACGACTGCTGCTGTGTGGCGACGGGCCCGTCGGATGATTTTCCAGCCCTTTTCTCTTGAACTGGGGCTGAATCTTGCATGTGTTTGGCCTGGAGAGAAGGTAAGTAATTACTAGCTGAATGCAGACCTTGATTGTTTGGAAAGAGGACATACAGTCTACTTACCTGAATAGTGACTTCTTGGGAAGTCCTACAGTATTTTACGTCGTCCAGGACTTTTGGGACTTGTCTACTCACTCACAAGTCATACTCCGAAGGAGCCGACCTTGATTCTAAAATCCGCAAACTCCGTTCTGAGGCTTGCTCGTTGTAAAGCAATAGGTGGTCAATGCTGATTCATAGTATTTAATTTTTTAAGAATAAGGAAGAAAAGAAAGAAAAATGACCTTACTGACAAGTCAGAAATGGCCGTCGTACAGCGTGTTCTATAGGTCGTTTTGATTGGTGAGTGAGACATTTGAAGGGGGAGGGTGGGAAGGGGAACATAAGAGAGAGGTGAGCAACAGGGGAGGGGGTGGGTAGGCCTCAATCGTTGAAAGTCGGATGGAATCATTCATATTCAATCTCGTATTCATACTTTTTGAGACGTGTGAAAGCTACATGTACTCTCAAGCAGAGGGAAAGCAATCGCAAGCTAAAACAAGAGACTGCAATGTGGCAATAGTCACAGAGCAGAAAAGACAGCCACCCCCGCCTCCCCGCTCCGCCCCCCCCCCCCCCCAAAAAAAAAAGGAATCAAAAGAACCCTCATATAAAAAACACCAGCACAGAAATCACCCACCTATACACGCCATGATATCTGATATGAAGCCACAATAGCAATTTCTCTCAAGACAAACGGAGAAAGAGAACAACAAACTTCATAATAGACATTTCCCCAACAAGCGCTCAACCAGTATTGAAATAAAAAAAGTCCATTTACAATCCAAAACTACCGTCTGTTGGCAGCCCTTCCAGCACGAATCCATCCGCCGGCATCATCGATCCATGATGATGATGACTCACAGAAAACTCCCTAAAGTCCAGCGACGCCATGTCGTCGCCACCAGACACCGAGCTGAGGCTCTCCTCGCTCAGGCTCGAGGCATGTGGCGCGCCAAAGTCGCCTAGGTTGAAGGTGGACAGGTCCAGCGCGTCGGGGGACCAGTTGTTGCTGCTGCTCTCCACGGCAGAGCTGACTGGCGTCTCCAGCGTGACCTGAGGACCGCCGTAGATGGCATCGTAGAGATTGGCCTGTCCCGCGTCGATCTGACCCAGCAGTGCCTCCCACTCCGATGCAGACATGCCGCCTGAAGTGGACGCCTTTTGCGGTACCTGCACTGGGTTGTAGAATGGCTGCTGGGATGGAGCTGGCACCGTGGTTGGAGATATGCCACGCTGGTGCTGCTGCTGCTGCTGCTGGTTGTTATTGTTGTTGTTATTGTTGTTGTTGTTGTTGTTCTTCTGGCTGACCCTGCTCTGTGGTGGCGATGTTGGGTTGGGTTGCCGAGGCACACTGTTGCCCCTCATTGATAGGTAGTCTATTGGTAACTTCTGTGAACAGGCCATCATCGCAGATTGTGGTACCGACAGTCGCTGGTCACGTCGCTGCATGAAGGATGCCGGGTTGGGCCGGCCGCTGTCCAGGGAGGCCCGTGAGGCCGGGCGTTGCGCCTGCGGTCGTTCTGCTGCGGGGACTGGCGAGGTCTTGAGCATGGCCAGCCTCTTGAGCTTCTCCTGCTGCAACAAGAGGTCGGTCTCACTAACGCTGGGGTGTCGACCAAGCGAGTACTGCTGTGGCTGATTCCTCGAGATTGAGTGCCTCTGTTTCGGTTTGGAGGGTGATGGTGAGGTCTGTGGCGGTGGTGCAGCCACACTGATATCAGGACTCTGTCCGGGAGGTGTCGGTAGTGATTGTGGTGGCTCGTCCACATTGACGACAAGACTTGCGATCCGCGTAAAGTCTTGTGTGCTGTGCACCTTCATTTTCCCGACAATGCTGAGCACAGCGTTGACCAGCCTGTCGTTGTCTTTCATCATCTTGCTGTCCTGCTTGAGCTCAAGACTCTGGTACAGGAGAGCCATGCCGCAAGACACCAGCAGATCAGTCTTGTTGAGACAGAACGAGAATGACAGGCTCCTCTCTTCGAGCAGCTGTGCGATCTGGATCGTATGCTTGCTCGACTCACTGATGGACATGACTGCCGGCGCTGCCCTGGGACCGAGGCTGGATCCCACAGCAGGTCTGTAGATGAGCGTACGGATATAATAGTACGCAACAGCCTGGGAAAACGATCAAAAAGAGTCAGTACATTTGTGTATTCTCCATCATCCGGACCATATCAAGAAGAAGCCAGCATGGACAATGACCTACCAGTAGGGGAGATCGGCTGCCTGTGATGTCGGTGGATGGCTTGTCTTGTTTGAACGTGAGCTTGAGGTGTTGGGGTAGGGTGTTGGACCAATCATCCAGTTCGCCCTCCAGGCTGGACAGCTGCTGCAGAGAGAGCTCATGGCTGGTCGCGGCAGGGTAGTTCTTCTCCAGGACCCTGGCGAGGATGCGGGACGCCCGGAACAGAGCCAGAGCGCCTGACAGGCGTGTGCTCTCGCCAGGCAGCGTCGGCAGGAATCCCTTTTCGGTGACGTACTCGTCGTCTATATCGTTGGGGTATTCGGCGTATATGTCATCTTCCTTGATCAGCTTGGGCAGGCCGAGGGTGGCGGCGGAGAAGCAGTCCAGCGTGTACAGGGCCCAGAAGACCTTCTTCCTGGTCTCGATGGTGAGAGCGCCGAAGGAGAAGCGCTTTTGGGACTGATGGAGCCCGAGCCTATGCGACAGGCCGACAGCGAGGCATTTATAGTGCTGGAGGCGTTTGTAGTCGGCTCGGATCTGGCAGTACGTCAAGGCCAGGACCAGGCACTGGAGGGTCTCCATCGTGTCGTCCATCAGGATGGCCTGGAGCGACCGCTGCCACTGCTGTTCACAAGCAGCCACCTGCTCGAGATCGGGATTCTCGCTCGACAGAGCAGCCACGGCAAATACCAGGTACAGCTGCGCAAGCTTGTGATGGCTCTTGACCTTCTCGGGGTCGGCCACCCAGTCCTCGTAGATGCGGAGGAACGTCGGCTTGTGCAGGATGGGAAAGAGGGGCGCCCATTCTTGGAAATAGATGTTGACGCATCGGTCCGAGAACAGGCGCGGGGGACTCAGCATGACGGTGCTGGCGTGCTGCGCCACGAGCGGACAGCAGCCCTGGATGTGCAGAAAAGACTCGGTGTTGAAGTCTGAGCAGGGCTTGCCGGCCTCTTGGAGCCTGCGCTTGAGAGCCTCTATGAAGCCTCGCCCACTGGACGGACCCATATAGTACGAGTCTGAGTTCTCCACCCCCAACAGGAGCGGTGATGCCTGAATGCGGAATGTGTCTTCTCTCGGCGGCGTAGCCTCTCTCCCAGGTCCGCTGTCCATCATCATCGGCGAGCTGCTCATGGGCGACATGGCCGAGGCGCTGGGCCCCTCGGATAACCGGCGGTGGTTGTGGTTCCCGTGCATCTTGGACAGCATATCGATCTTCTCATCCTTCTCGTCCAGCAGATCTTTGAGGTCCCGCACCTCAGCCTCCAACACCCTGACTCTCTCTTCCAGGCTCTCTGTGTACCCCCTCGGAAAGGCGCGGCGGCTGAGCTTGTCGCTGGTGCGGCACTCGAAGCCGACATTGGCACACTGGGTACAGGTCGGCCGAATCCCGTCGCATCGTATCTTTTTGCTCCTGCAGCGGTCGCAGGCCTGGGCGATGCGGCTCTGTGAGCTGCTGCCCACCTTGATGACCTTCATGGGAAGTATTCCCGGCATGCTGGCGGTGAGGCGACACTGCGCGGGACAGGACAGATCCTCTCTTCGGTCGATCGTAATTTGAAAAGTATGTAGGTGACGAGGTATGGGGAATTTTTCACAGGAACTAAATTAATAACTTGTGTCGACTCGATTTGAGTGCTGGCCGAATTAAGCGTAAACGAGACAGATCTCGACGTATGGATGGTCAAAGATAACAGCGTTCGGTGTAATTGACGGTGCTTTTAACGAGTCATCTCAGGTCACATTCGCGTCTCCTCGCGCTTTCGTCCAGATGCTCGGCGTCGCGAACATGTGTAGTCGATGCGCAGCACTTTAAGAATGAGCCCCCACAGTGATCACAGAGACAAGAGATTCGCAGCAGACGAAAAGGAAGTTGAAAAATTGGATAATAGGGAATATCGCACGTAGGACGAGGGACTGAATTCTGGGAAATGGAGGAAGAAAGGAGAAGGGGTTCGAATTGGGTACGGTTAAAAGAGGAACCAGTGGAGGCTTTAGAAGGGGGGGGCAGGTCAAGGCGGGATGATCGAGAGAAGACAAGAGAGGGGGGGGGGGCAAGGCGAGGCGACTCGGGGCAGGGAATGGGCATGACGGTCCGGGACTAAATCCCAAACTGGGGTCAACCAGACAGGAGGTGGAGCAATCAGCTTCCATCCTCTCCCAAGCATAGACCACGTTATTGGTGTGTGGGAGTCCAAGTGTCTCCACTCGAACTATGTGTGTGCCACGAGGGAAATCTGGGGTCGAGGCCGGGGTTTGGCTTCTGGGGTCCGGTGGATTCCGGGTCGTGAAAGATAGCGGCCCTGCAGACTTCTTTGAAGGATCGATCGTACGGTAATCTTTCTCTCTCTCTCTCTCTCTCTCTCTCTCTGTGTGTGTGTGTGTGTGTGCGCGCGCGCGTGTGTGTCCATATCATTACACACAGAGGCAGAAGTACCGGTACTTGGAAGAGAGCGAGCAGGACCACCGAGCACCGAGGACCTGTACGTAACGACGCCTTTTGTTGAGAAACCCTCCTCCTCTCGTCGAAGGATTCTGTCCAGATTGACTAGGCGCGAACAGCCCTGTACCATTGGTCGACGAGAATGCGGGCGCAAGCCACTGGCTTGACTCATGATTGTGAAATCGCCAACGGTATTGCAGTAGCTCGGCTAAGTAAACCTTCAACGATGGTGGGCGACCCGGATTGGACTTGGGCTTAGTCCTGGTCCTGGTCTCCGGCCCCGTTCCCAGTTCACTGGGATCCGTTTTACCCCGGAAACCCCAGGTTTTCTTCACTTTCGGTTTCCGGCTTGCGTTAGACCCAAGAGCCAACGAACAGCCCAGCAGAGACCAATTTCTGTGCCGTGTCGCGTGGTACGGGCACCTCCTTTAGCGATGGCGTTCCCCCACTGTCCCAAGAGATGTTGAGTTGCAGTGCAGCGCTACCGTAGACGCATGCAGTATTATTCCGGTGTCACGCTCGTGAGACATGGGAAGGCACCTTGCCTGACACCCACCCAGAACCCCTACTGCCAGCAGCTTGGTGTACTTTGGCCGCTCTGGTGTTCAAGTTCACGATGGTCTTGAGATCTTGTCAACCTGCCGTCGATGGTCATGTGAATCAGTGAACCCCTTGGCGGCTTGGCGGGCTCATCTCCCGTGCATTGTTACAGCCTGTGTAATTCAGCAGTTTGGAATTTATTCAACAATTAGCACCCGAGGGTGCCGTACCATGGTTTGGAGGAGTTCGATCAGCATGCAAGGTATCCCCTCTCAGGTGTGGCCTCTCGTGATTTCTGCATTTTTGTTTCCTCAGTACCCAGTAGTTAATCAGGCGATCTGACCAAAGAAGGACGGACTCCCTCGACTCTTGAAGACCAAAAATTGACAGACAATATTCTCACTAGCATTGGCGATTTTGACAGATGCAGAGATGCTACGGGTGGAATTCGCACCAACACCCTGACGATCATCATCCTTTGTCGTCATCAGGTCTGTGAGTCGAGCTGTGATCTCCGAGTTTGTATTGATCCTGTCAATTTACATAGCAGACATAGTCGCAGGCGGCGGTGTCGTATCTGCGGTTCCGCCCACGGATCCGAATTTAGCACGTCCTCGTGCGGTTCCACTCAGGTCATCAGCGCCTGAGGGCTGAAAGTATCGGCTGTTGAGTGACACCCGACGATCGGTCTCGATCTCAAGCCCTTTGATGACGAACCAAAGCTCCACACACGACCGGCTGTGTCGCCAGATGCTGCTAGCCTTCTCATTGGCTCTCAGCCAGGAGCAGTGTCGACGAAGATTCAAGATCTCTACTCCTCAGCTGAAGTCATTTTCGGAAGGGTCCTCCTCTTGGGTATCATTAGACTCAGCGCCAGCCTGCATCGACGCGAGATAGGTTGTGACGCTCTCTTCTGCCAGAAGTTTGTTCCGCTATAGAACGTGAGCACGTCAAAATTGATTAGCTTCCGGACGTTGTTCACCACGACACGGCAAAAAGTTTCATCCTTCACACGGTGTCTAGAGGAATCTCACAGTGTAAGATGTCTGCTGGGAAACCCCCCCCCCCCAAAAAAAAAAAGGGAGAGAGGGAGAGAGATAAATAATAAAAAGCTTGCATTTGTGCGATTTTGGCGACAGTAAACTCACCTGATCTTCCAGTGCCGCTGATGTTCTCTCGAGGGCGCCCTTCTCTATGCGCTTCAACATGCGCGCGTTGATGGCGTTGAAGCTGCTGACCTCATCGACCACACCAGCTTCTTCGCTCTCGTACAGCTGTTGCAACTGCTCCTCAAGTCGCTGGGAGATTACCATGTTCACTCGTAGTCTGAACACGTCTCGCAATGGATGGTCTGCAATGAGCGTCTCAAACGATGCGGCCTGTTCAGTAACATCACTGTCTTGCCAGAACATCCTGAGCTCTCTGCCACCATCGGACGACTGCAGGATCTTGAATTCCAAGCCGTCCTCTTCATTCAGGCACACTAAAAAGGCGAAAGGGCTCGTATACTCCATCTCCCCATCGACTTCCTTGACCTGAATGGAGGGAGTGCCCGTAAAGATGTGAGCTTTCGCCCTGCCGAGCGGATCGTCTGGGAGGGTGTCTAGGGGCAAGGTGAGACAGCAAGCTCCGGATGAAGCATCTAAGAAGCCATAAGAAAACAGCATCTCCGCGGCTGGCTTGTCTGAGCCATAGCTGATGGTGATTTCATCCTTACTGTCGACCTGGCTACCAGGCCGGAGCAGCAGAACGACCTCATCTTGGGGTGTCTCCTCGTAGTATGCGTTTGCTTCAGTTGAATGATTTGCCATATCAATACATGGGACCATAGATGGTCCGGACCTGGGCAGCTCGAGCACCCTAGATCGATACCAAGCGTCAAGGCGATACCAGTCCACCAGTTGGATAGGATTGTTGTTATCCCAGAAAGCGTTCCTCCAACGTTCGATGTCGGATGACTTCTCGCGAATTTCGTCGAACTCGCGCGCGAGTGCCAGCATCTTTGCGTTTAGGGCGGGCTAAGGAGAGCAGATCCAGTCAGAGTTCGTCAAACATGAACACCAGGCGCCATGAATTCGGTGTACGCACTTCAAGGGATGTTCCTCGGAGGAGCGCGCGTTCTTCCTCGATCCACAGAATCGGCACCGGCACATGGTCATCTAGGATTTTGATATACTCTGTCCATGGAGTTGAGAGGCCTCCCAGCTCATGAGCCTGGGAAGAGAGGGCTAGCTGGGCCAACAAGAACAACAGCACATCGTGTCGTGGACTCTGCTTTGATGTCAGCTGTGTCCTTTATTTCGCCTCCATCAGACCGAGAGAACATGCGACCTGCCTTGTGCCCGCAAGCATCCAAGAGTGCCCTAAAGTTCCTGTCTGCTTTGGCATACTCTTCCACAGCTCCTGCATTCAAGAGCAGGTCACGAGGGACTGTGATGAGAGGAGACAGTCCAATTTCAGCTGATTTTGCTTGGGCGACCAGCCCATGGCCCTTGTCCGGGATGGTCTTCACCTCAACGTGAGAAAATGTTGCATTATTGAGGCTCATCCAGGCCGGAAGTGACTCCAGTGGCAGCTTCTCTCGAGGCATCATAGACAAGTTTTGCGGCAGGAAGAGAGCAGGGGATAGAAAATAAGGGCTGTTGCAGGTATCGTGGTTGAGAAATACATTTGATCCCAGAGAATATTGTTTACTACTGCGGATAAGAAGGAGCACTGAGCACTTACAGCATTAATGTCACTGTTAAGACCCCTGTATACACCCGGACCTCCCTGTTGCATCAGCAGCAGGACCCAGTCGTTTCAGGGCCGTTGGAAGCTTAACCCACTAAGCCTAGGGCCTGAACCCAAAGCCACAGTGGCTTGGTGGCAGACAGTCACTGCCAGGACAGCATGTGCTAATCGATTCCTACTTCGGAGCTACCCCTCCATGGAAGACAGTATCTTGGAGGGGGAGACTTTGATTTTCTCTCCACCACACCACACCACCGGCTACTACTACTACTGCCACCAACACCATCCCCAGGCACACCCTTCACCAAAGAACGACGAGGCCTCCCCTCAGTTGATCACCCAGAATGCCTCGCGACCCTTTAATAGGTCTTGTTGGAAAGCCCAGTGCTGGCAAATCTTCCACCTTGAATTCGCTCACAGATGCCACATCAAAAGTTGGTCCGTCATGTCCTGATCTTTACGTTTCCTGGTCTGAAGGATTGCGAGCTGATTGTAAGCTGCAGGAAACTTTCCGTATGCGCATATTTTTTTTTAACTCCCTTCTTTCTCTCTTCCATACCCCTCCTCTGGATCACAACCTTCCGACCTGACCCCATCGCATCGTTGACTCCATCCTCTCGTCCAGCCTCGAACTGACAGCATCTGTGTCGTTGATGTATAAATAGATTCACCACCATCGACCCCCAACGAGCCATAGGCTACCTCCAGATCGACTGTGCTTGCAAGCGCCACAATGTTTCCGACCGTTGCAGACCCAACTACGGGTCCTGCGACGATGGCAAACGCAGTGTCCCTATCGAACTCCTCGATGTCGCCGGTCTCGTCCCGGGCGCCCACCAGGGAAAAGGCCTCGGTAACAAATTTCTCGACGACCTCCGCCACGCGGACGCTCTGATACATGTGGTGGATGTGAGCGGGACGACGGACGCGGAGGGTAAAAACACACGGGGTTATGACCCAAGCGTTGACATCGCCTGGCTGCGCAGCGAGATCGTGGCCTGGATACGGGGAAATCTAATGGAGCGCTGGGGAAGCATCCGGAGGAGACACGTCGCGGTCAAGGCCACGGCTGTCGAGACCCTCCAGAACCAGTTTTCGGGCTACGGAAGCACGGCCAAGGTCGTCGCGCGAACCCTCGACAGGCTGAGTCTCAAAGAGCCCCTTGAGAGCTGGGACGATGAGACCATCGACAGAGTTGTGAATGCCTTCACGGACGAAAAGTTCCCCACCGTCATCGCACTCAACAAGATCGACCACCCGGATTCCGATGCCAACATTTCCCGGATCGCAAAGATGCAAGACCCCAACACAATTGTATTGTGCAGCGCCATCTCCGAGATCTTCCTGCGAAAGCTTGCCAAGCAAGGGTACATCAAGTATACGGAGGGTAGCGAGTTTGTGGACACACGGGAGGATCTCATTGCCGACGGGGACCCGGACGGCGGGGGCTTGAAAGAGCTGGACGAGAAGAACCGGGCACGGATAGAGAATCTGAAGGACATGGTCCTCTACCGCTTCGGCTCAACGGGCGTGGTACAGGTGTTAGCTAAGGCTGCCGATATTCTAGGACTGGTACCCGTATTCCCTGTCCGGAATACATCAACGTTTAGTTCCGGCGCAGCAGATTCTAAGCACGTCTTTCGGGATTGTGTTTTGGTCAAGAAGAATAGCACCGTAGCCGACGTGGCAAGAAAGGTCATGGGCGATGCCCCGATAGCGTATATAGAAGGTGCTGGTGGCTTGAGGGTCTCGGAGGACGACATTGTGGCTGTGGGAAAAAACGACGTAAGTCTGCCGCATGTTCTTCTCGTCTTCTGTCACTGTGTTGGCTGACACTATTCACAGATTTTATCGTTCAAGGTGGGAAGGGCATGAGGAAGAAACATTCAGTGTCAGACCTGCGATGCAGAGTCGTATTCACATCTTGGCTATACAAGATTCATTGGTATGGCTCTTCCGTCCTGAATCAGCTTTGACAGTCATAACATTGCGCTTTGCCAGGCCACCATGAAAAGGCCCTCGCAAGCATGGTGACGATGTCTATCAAAGGCATCATTTCCGCCTCAAGTAATTGAGGGCCATAAGTTCCACAAAATTTGGGCACTCAGCCCTTGATCAGAACGGTGCCGCTGTGTGACATCATGGGCGGTAATATCCGACGTCGGCTTTGGAAGTTGTTGCGCCAATTGATGAGCGACAATCAGCAGAGACGAAAAGGAACACTCAATATGCATAGTTGTAGATCAATCCAGATAAGAGGCCAATTCATATCAAGGGTGTGAAGGGTATCGTATCATTACTCAAACATAGCTAAGTCTCCATAACCTGGACCACCGTCCGACTGGACCATTGAGTGACAAAAGAAAAGGTGAAAAGGAGGGAAGCTGCAGTATGCTGTAAACCGAAACGCATCTCGTCGCATAGGAGCGAACCAGACGCCACGTAAAATTCCCCTCCAAGCAGCCCGTCATTATAGAACAGACGATGTAGTAAAGTGTCTCGTCAATGTTCTGTCGTGAATAATCGCCGGTTCATTGCCCCCCCCCCCCCCTGATTGTTGAAAATCCTTTCTTCGGTGGTAAGGAGTTGGTGACGAATGCGGCCAGCAACGGCGTACGCGCCGGGCCCCGCTTAGCGGCAGGACACAGTGGAAACCGGTGGCTGGGCCTCGTTGATCCGTCGGTGTGAGACAACCACAACTCCATATGGCGGCTTAATAAAGAATATTGATCTCTGAGGGGAAGGGGCATCCGCCGACTAGGCCCGATCGAAAGGTCTCAGCGGCTTTGCGGGTGCGCCATCCAGGCGCTTAATACTTGAGAATGATGTAGCTAAATGGGAGAAGGAGGGCTCATATCAGCTCGTCATGTCCATTCATGAAAAGGCAGCCTACTGCTAGAAGCTGAGGGGTGGACGTACAGGGCATGAATGATGCCAGGGATGTAACCCAGGATGGTGAGCAGGATGTTGATGAGCAGGTCAGCGCCACATCCGCGCTCGAAGAAGACACCCAGAGGTGGGAGGACAACGGCAAGGATGATCTTGCAGATATCGCTATTAAGAACAAGCTTCTGGTTAGCTCTTTGAACACAAGAGAGAGGGAGCAGTCGGGTGGATGAGGCAATGTTCAGAGGTGTACACGGGGCAAAGAGAGGAAACAACGGGCATCGGCGGGGAACATGTTGGTGTGTTTACCTGGCGGTGAAAGGCATGATTGCGGTTTGACGAGTTGGTCAACTGAACAATTGAGATGAGTTGGTTGGAATGGTCAATTGGGGCTTGACTGTAAGTTTGTCGAGCGTGATTTTCGGTAGTAGGTTGGATGTATACGATAGGTTTTGGAAATGCGTGTATAGCTGGGCGGGACAAGGACTTAAATAGAAGAGGGACCCGGTTGCATCAGCATTGAGAAAAAGAAAAGCGGTGGTGACGGGCGCAAACCAGCTTCATCACCTGGACACCCATACCAGGCAGGTTCGGCAGGGTTGGACTTGGCACAATCAAAAGACGTGCGTCATAGCCCACGGTAGCTCGATCATTGGCTCCAAGGGCCTGCCTGGCATTGGTGGCTTGTTCCGTCGCTGCGCTGCCCAGTTTCGTCTTCCCGAATGGTGCAAGGCTGCCCTCAATGCCATCTTGTAAGACCTTGCCATTGTTGATTGGGATTGATTGTAATGCTCTCATGCCATTGCGCCTCCTCTCTTCGAGCGAATTACTTTTACATACTAATGTACTGAGTTATGCCGCCGTGCATAACGTCGACGAGGACTTACGAGGTGCGGACTCTATTTACCTGCAGAAGCAGTAAAACCCTGCCTGGCGTCTACACGCAGCAAGGCAGCCAGCCCACTTTGTTTGTTTGGAACGAGTCCTTGGAGCTTCAAAAGCTCGAGCGCCATGGTTCTGGGCCGCCTCGCTGAGACAGAAGCTGGATAGCGCTGTGCTCTGGCTGGCCCAAAGTCGAGCTGCCGTCGAATCCTCTCCGGCCACCGCAGCTCTCGCTTTCGCGTTGCAGGCACTGCCACACGGTTGCGTGTTTTTCTCCTCAATTGGCACAGGAAGTTAATTGGGATCTCGCTTCAGCATCCTCCTGCTTCTCGTTTGTTTCGAAGTCTTGTCTCTACGGACGGGCGCTAATTCCCACGGAGAATTCCGGCGTTGCAGCAGGGCAAAAGGTGGTCGTCGCAGCGCAATACACGTCTGATTGATTTTTCATACGTCATCAGCATTTCGCGCCTGAGGGTATCCTCGTAAGTTAGTGGAGGTGCCGATCCTCCTCCACAGTGCTATGTGCCGACAACAGGATCAGCCCAGGAACGTCTCCACAATGACCCGCTCAGAGATGAACTTGCACTACTATATACATAGTACATGCCGAAGGGAGGGTGGCTTTGCGGCTCATGACCAGTGGCGCAGGCCTCCCGCGTGTGTGGCGGTGTCATGCATCTTGGCTACTTTCTGGCTGCAGGACAATGAGATGAACGTTCTCGCAAAAATGGCTGTCCATCGTGGCGAGAGGCAAAAAACCTGGAGACCTCAAGACGCTGAAGTATGATAATAGGCGGCCTCTGAATAATTCGTGAGATCTGGAAACCCTGCCTCTTATGACTCGCCTTTTGCAGTCCATAAGGGGCCGACGAAGAAAAGTTGCCGCTGCCAGCTGTCAGCAGCTGAAGACCGGCCGGGCCAAATTTTGAATCTTATCGTCTATAGCCAACCCTTATCGTGCTTAGACCCACTGCTCTGGTGGGTCAACGCCAATTACAGACTCGCGAGCCCATCTAGCAGAAATTTTGAAGGAGTTCGACATCGCAGAAACGACCAAATACTCTTCCTCACTTCCGACCACCAGACCACCACGCGGCGCAGGATATCCGACCTCTTTGCGTCCTCTTCTCCTTCCCATCTCAAAATCCAGACAAAATGGCTCCCCCAACTGTATGTATATGACACCGCTTTGCTGCTGGCCCAGTCTCCCCGGCCAGGGCCGCAGAGATCATGGCGTGAAGCAGTAGGCTAAGGTCAACTTTTTTCAAAATCACAGAAGAAGGGCAAGTCTAGCAAGACTACCAAGAAGGTAAGCTTTTGATCGAATCTCCCCCGTCCTATCAATCACCTTGAAGGGGTTTTGATCCTGTTCCTTACTGACGTCCGCGCCTCCCGCTCTCTGCCTGCAGTTCATCATCAACGCCTCGCAGCCTGCCAGCGACAAGATCTTCGATGTCTCCGCCTTCGAGAAGTTCCTGAACGAGAAGATCAAGGTTGAGGGTCGCGTCGGCAACCTGGGCGACACCATCCAGATCTCCCAGCAGGGCGACGGCAAGATCGAGATCATTGCCCACAACGAGCTGTCTGGCCGCTACCTCAAGTACCTGTAAGAAAATATCCCATTCACCTACAGACAGGACTCATCCAACCCCCCCCCCCCCACCGAGCCAGTGGATGAAGGAAAGGACAGCACGCTGACGGGTAATGTGGTTGTACAGGACCAAGAAGTTCCTCAAGAAGATGCAGCTCCGTGACTGGCTCCGCGTCGTCTCCACCTCCAAGGGTGTCTACGAGCTCAAGTTCTTCAACGTTGTCAACGACGAGGCCGATGAGGACGACGAGTAAGCGGCTCATCGTAATGGTATTCGCACTTCGGACACTCTTGATGGAACTGCGAACAGCGTAACTTCTCGATGAAGAGGACGGCCGCTGGTGGAATTCAGAAGAAGTGGTCGAGCATGCCGGGCCGGGGAAGACTGTCAAAGCGGAACCGGTTCGTCGCATGATGGATAGCACATAAGGGAGGGCACTTGTCTGGCCTGGCTAGAAAAAAAATACCATCCATGTTGCATCCATGATCTATGTTGAAACGAAAAGTGCCATCCCGTCTATGTTTGAAATGCTCTGGGTATCAATGCGCCCGCATCTCCAAATATTTCATCAAAGCCCCCCACCCATCTAAGTTGATATTCTGAAATACCCAATTCCTCTTTGATGCTATACAGGCCAGTCACGGCAAGACCCTCATAACGCCTTCAAATGCCACGAGAGCCATCGCGTTCGCCGGGAACGCCCTCAGGAAACACGGCAAAAATCCTCGCCAGTAGCCCCTCCACCCGCTCTCCCTGTATACGGCAGCAGCGGCATCCTTCCATCGCGGAAACCGCCTTGTGCCATCCCCCAGCCCTCCGCCCAGGGGGTCCGTCATGATCCGCTGCTTGACGACGTCGCTCGGGTAGCTGGTCAGCCAGAAGACCTGGGCGCTCAGCCCGCCGGCCCAAAAGTTGATGACCGGCTTGCTCAGATCGGTGGACCTGGTCATCCAGCGCGAGAAAAGGTCATAGCTCCCCCACCAGAAGAAGAAGAAGGACCTGAACAGCAGGGTCGCCGACAGCCCGTGGTAGATGCCCCGTACGCCGTGGGCCCGCCAGATCTTGCTCACGCAGTCAATCGGCCCTCTGTACAGTCTCTCGCTCTTGTTGGCTGCGTACTGGATCTGCAGGCGCGCTTTGACGTGCTCGACGGGGGCGGCGATGAAGGAGACGGTCGCGCCGGCCATGATACCCGCCAGACCGTGGCCGTGGACAGGCAGGGGCTTATTCGGATCGTGGAGCGGGTGGAAGGGCGGGTTGAAGATGTTCTCGCGGAGGAGGCGGCGGTAGACGGTCAGACTCCCGAGCATAACCGAGTCCATGAACATCCACCCGACCAAAGGTGGTGTTGCGCCCTTGTAGAGACCGTAGAGACCTTCATTGCGGACGGTCTGGAGCACACACTGGAGCGGGCCAGAGAAGCGAGCGGCGTCGGTGGTCTGCAGGCGGACCTTGATCGTGTCGAAAGGATGGCCCACTGTGTTTTTATGTTAGCAGGCTGGGTGTTGCTGAGCACCAGATCTTGTCAAGAGAGCGAGAGACAAGTCCTGTTGAAAGGTGCTAAGCCGTGCTGTGCTGCACTTACCAGATAGCTTCGCAATACCGGAGAAGACGCCCGCAACAAAGCCTCTATAATTTTTGGTCTCGACCGTCACTGGCTTCTTCTCCGTTCCTGACATCTTGCCCTTACCAGCCTTGGCAGCAGATTGAAGCTCCGCTGGGTCAGGATCCAAGGAATCAACAAGCAGTCAATTGAAAAGAAGAAAAAAAAAAAAAGAAGAAATGAGACACTAACATAAATTTATGTTGAACCCTGAAGAAAATGGTGAGGTAATGGACAGACGAACTTGGGTACGTAAAGTAGTGGGGTAGTTCTGATGATCCTTGTTACAATGTCGACCCTTCCCCAATAGATGGGCCAGTGCTGTGTACCTTGAGTACCTAGACAGTTGTAGAAGAAGTTTACAAATTCTTGACAGTGAGGAGACCTGTCTCTTTCAGATCTGGGTTGTAGAATACATCATGCCGTCCTCTTGACTCATCAATTTTGTCTTTCCTTCCCCCCTTTCTTTTCTTTTGGGCAGCAACCTTGCTGACATGGCCCCATTTTCCCAAGCCCTGTTGCACACAGCATACCTTCATGTCTCAGAAGAAGTCCAGGCCAGCCCCATTGCTTGTAATCACAGAGCTAGAGAATCCCTCGAGAGTCCTCCCAATCAAGACGCTGCTGAGCTGGGTATCAAGTTCCGGAGTGACAGGTCGTAGACAACATCCTCAACCTTCTTGACATGGTACTTGACAGCATCAACTCTCTTGCGTAAGATGTCATTCTTGAGATTGAGCAGCTGAAAGCCAGCATGGATGTCTTTGACAAAGTTGCTGATCTTAACAGCAAGCTCGTGGTCTCCCAGAGTGACGGAGTTGACAGCCAGACGGGACAGCTCGTCTGTTAGTGATGTGACAGCCAACAGATACTCCTCGATGGTGATGTGGAAGGCATCGCGATCTTTCAGGTTCACAGGCACTATGATGAGCAGGTGTTAGCTATGACACAAGCAGGATTAAAGGAAGAGAAAAGTCAGCTAGATACCTTTGAAGAGCTCTCCAACCTCCTCAAGGGTGAGCAGTCGTCCAAGCTTGCCCTCAGGAACCAGGTTGCCGCCTAGCCAGCTGTCCAGCAGGACTGTGAGGACTGCATCTTGAATCGTTCGAGACCACTTGACATTGTACCTGACATAAGACAAGTCAGCAAGCACACGGATCTCAGCTCAGACTCCTATGATACCTCTTTACCATGGGTGGGGAGGGGGAAAGGGAGGGCAGGCATCATACTTGTAGTAAGGGTGCTTGGACGCGGCAGTGCTTAGGGTCGAGATGTCTTCGAGCTCTGACTGGATAGAGACCTCAACCTGAGAAAGCAGAGCAGGGTCTGATATGCCAAGTTATCATCAGCAGATGGTCAATATGAGCTCGTAGAGAGTGTGTTATAGACTCACAGGCGGATCTGGGTGTTGAGTGGACTCGGGAGAGCAGACCCTGTGTGTATGACACGTCCCGTTCCAGCTTCTGAATGATCTGGGTCAGTTCATCTCGAGCCTGAGTGTCCTCATCAATCTTGGTCTTGAGGTGTTCAAATATCTGGGGATCAATCATGCCCGACATTTTGTCCAGGCCAGATTAGGGCAAGTATGAGGTTGACCAAGAAGAGGATAGGTGGTGGTGGGGGTGGAGGAGAGGTTGACCAAGTACATGGGCAGGCTGGGGCGTCGAGGGGAAAATTTGAGATCTCCAGCATAAGGAGAGAGTGATGCGGGCACGCCTAAGAGAGGAGACAGTAATATATCACAACAATGTTGGCCACACTCAACAGTAGATTTTTTCTTCTTCTTTTTTTGATACTTTTGTCAGTGAGACAAATAATGAGAGATGGCATCCATAATTAACCTCTTTTCTCCTGCGAAACAAGTGAGGCTCACAGCATCTCGGAACGAGCAAGACACCATACCCCTAACCCTGACAATCCACCCCCCCTAGGAACAAAGAAGAAAACAAAAGATAGAAAAGGAAAAAGAAGAAAAATATACCGCACGGGCTGAAATCATCGTAGAAAAGAGCTTGGAACATATGAACATGTTATATAAACTTGTCTAGACTAAACAATTGATTGGCCAAGTTTATTACGAAGGGCTATTGGAAGATTATCCTAGATGTAAAACCCAAATGCACAGAATTGAATTGCTTTTCAAAAAAAAAAAAATTTTTTAAGTTTTTTTTGGTTTGGGCAATATGAACTGCAGTCATTGTATTTTGGATAAGTGATAGCTGCTAACAAGTCTAGAAACTCAATCATTGTTACCAGTGGCAACGCCCCAGAAATATGCAGCCCATGACCCCAGAATGAATATTAGCAATGCAATGAAACAGCTTTTGCTGAAGAGCTTGTTGCGCCTCCCGCGCTGCCCCTTCTCAAACTCGTCCTTCAGTTCCACAATGATGTGGCCGTTCAGGATCCTCTTCTTCCTCGTCCACTGAAGTCTGCCAATGTCGGGTTTGATGAAACCCAGGCTGAGACTGACAAGGGCTACCAAGACAGATGCAGCCGTAAGGAAGACATAGACAATGACGACTCTGTCATAGCTGTTGTCATCTGCATCTTGGATAACACCAGTGATGACCCTCACAATGATGTTCATGCTATTATTGACAGCGATCTTGACAGCATAGGCTGAGCCAAACACCTCATGGTACCACATAGATGTGCGAATAGAATCGACGATGACAGTAGGGCCCAGAGTCACTTTGAGAAATTCTCCAGTTAGCACGAGTTCCATTATATGATGTACCAACAATATATATCTGAAGGAATCAGAGAGGACCACTTACGTGCGACTGCGTAGACACCAAAACTCGCGGCTGTACCGCTGACTGTTGGACCCCAGGCTGCCAAACACATAGCAACAAGCATGCCACAACCGCATACCATCATAACGCTGAGGCGATTCCCGAGTATATCGATGAAAATGCCGACTAACGGCACGAAGAAGAACCCCATGTACTGGGACAGCGAAGAGTACCAGCCTGCGGTCACGGCTGAGACGTTGAAGCGCTGCTCGGCCAGCTCGGTGGCGTTTTGGGAGAAAATGATGGCGGCCGAGGTCTGGAAGAGCGAGAACATGATGACGAGCCAGAACGGCCAAGGCAGCTCGAGCATCTTCCTGAAGTCCCACTTCTCGCTCTTTTCGGTGAGCTTCTCGCCGGTCGCCGGGTCGCGGAGGTTTCCATAGCGCTTTTCAGACCACTTGTTGAAGAAGTAAAAGACAAGAGTCGCAACGTTGGTAAAGAGGTTCATGAAGACAGCCATCCAGTAGACCCACGCAAAGTCGCCGAGGTTGGTCGCGATGATGTTGGCCGTGGCCTGGCCGACAAAGGAGCCGATCTTGCCGATGCCGAGCTCAAAGCCAAGCGTCGAGGCAAAGCCGTTGGATGGTGCGAACCAGGAAGAAAAGATTTTGTACTGAGCGACCTGGGTTGCGATGTCCCCGAGCGCCTGGACAATAGTTCCAAAGATCATGAACTTGTAGTTTCGAACCTGCGTGGCTGCCGCTATCAGGATGGCCCCGACGGAGAAGATGGCATTGCCGTACAACATTGCACCTGCAGGAAAGGACATGAGTTAGGAAATGAGTTCCAAAGCTAGGTGTCTTTGCATAAGATAAGTTTATAACAAAAAGGAAAGGGAAAACAATCTTTGTTGGGGGGGGGGGGGTTTTCTAAACATACCGGCGCCTCCTATTCTGTCAGTTACCAAACCGCTGACCAAGATCAAGGCTGTCACCATGAAATCCTCGCTGGCCTCGAGAACAGCATACTGAGTATTGTTGATGTTGAGTTCCTGAGATTGATGTCTAGTCAGTGAGACAAATCTTGAGTGGACGAGGGTCCGTCTAAATCATCACCAATTGCTCATACCTTCTTCAAAGTACTCTTCATAGCCCCAGTGACGCCGCTGCTCCAGTGCGAACCAAATCCGATCGCGCTGACCAGAGCAACCGCTATGATCTTCATGCTCAGGGGAACCTTGGAGCTACGGCTGTCAACCTGTGTGACATCTTGATCCAGTGTGTCGTCCTGCTCCGAGTCCACGGCCTTGACAGCCTCTTGGGCTGCCTTGCTTTCTTCAACCATGTTGTCAACGATGTCCGAAATTTGTTCCTGAGGAAGACTGGTTACTGCACAAAGAACGGCGTCCGGTGGCTCCAGCAGGGGATCTGCGCAAGTTTTATACATAGAGCCGTTGAGAAAAGATCCATCCTAGGTGCATCGGTGTAAATTCTGCTGCCCAGGTGTGCCCAGCCCGTCCAAGGCCGTCCAAGTGCACCGCTCTCGGCACCAGAGATTATCAGATCTTCCACAAGTGGCATGGTGAAGGCTCAGGTTGCAATGAAGTGGACATGTTGTCTGCGGGTCGCTCCATTCCTAATCTAATCAATCGCGATGTCTCGGATCACGACTCAACAGAGTGGGCAGTGACCCGACTTTCGTTGATCAGTTGGACTCGGCCGAGCTGCAAATTTTCTCTGCCAAGACTATAGCTGCACGAAACGTAAATTTATCGTGCGTGTCTGGAGTCTGGGCGGAGAGGACTCTTGGAAAGTGGATAGCTGCTCCTCCTACTTCGGTCCATAAGGGATGTTGGATCTGACGAGGAAAGAATGTGCCTCTTACACATCTTGTCGCAAAACTGTTGAGAACACTCATTATGCGGAATTACCCTGACTGCAAATACCTGGCCAGTATTATGGGTAATGAACAGGTTTGTGGAAGATCACCACGGAATTCCTATCTACCCCTTGCCCCAAACGAATAATATACTCCATCCAGTCTTGCTTCCTCCACTTATGGCTTGTTGACCAACTTCCGAGATCTTCCTTTACTCCGCCCTTGAACTAGCATATTTTATGTTTGTTTCTTTTCTTTTATCCTCACCCATACCGCCTCCACATCCTTGTTTATCTATGTTTTTCCTCTTGTCTTGCCCACACCATAGGATGGGGACCCTGGAGCGCCACGTGTGCGCGCTTGCGTCCGCCTTCATGTTTCCGCCGAATTTTTTCCCTCTCCCAATTTTCTTCCAGAGAAGCAAGCTTGGCAAGGACCTGGGATGCACCAGACAGCCAATCAGAGCCTGCTCTGCCACCGATTTAGGAAGCCATTGCCTCTAACAACCACATCGCACTGCAGTAACGACTTCTTGGAGCATTGCGTGGACTCTGTAAGTCTCGAATCATTCTGATATTCCAAACTACAATTGTGACAAACTATAGCCACGATACTGAGCAAACGAAAGCCCTCCAGGGGATCAGGGGACTTAGTAGTTTTTGCTCTATTATAGGCAAGAAAACAACCGTATGGAATCTTGTGTGGCGTAACAGCACATGCAGATCGCCGGTCAAGAAGAGTGCAACGGCACGAGGGCTGCTAGGTTGACCTTCCTTGGGCGTTGTTGCTTGTTTGGACATCCTTTGAGACATTACAAAGGCACAACAAAGGTATTGCCTGGCTGGACACAGAGGACCTGGAAACAATCCAATCACCATTAGCACTTTAGAATCCATTGTTCTGCTTGCAATAAGGAACGACGGCAGTCAACTAACAATGCTCAGTGTTACAATGCCGGCCCTATCAATGTCTATAAAGATGCGGGCACACACACAACTCACCACAGACGGACATGAGATGCAATCCTATCAATCAGCCAACCAACTAATCAACCAAACCTTTCTTCCCACATCTGCTGAGAGACACCAGGCCAGAGGCACGGAGCTGGGATCCGGCCAACCATCAGGATGCTTTCTTTCCTGGATCTGCGCAAGAAGTTCTTGCAAAAGAGCCTGCAGACCCAGTCCAGCTTCGGCGTCGAACTGGAATTTCTGGTTGCGGTGCGATCAGATTCGGATAACATGGTTCGTTTTGTGCCGGAGGAGCTCGCAGGTCAGCCCGGCCAGGCTATCTTGATTCCTGAGGAGAAGAATAATCTATGGGAGAGAGATACGTACTGCATCAATCATGTGCAGGCAACGCTGGACAGTTGTCTGGGTAATCTTTCCGCCAAGACGAGAGTCTTTGTCCCAAATGAGCTCTCTACTCCCGAGGAAGGCTACCTGCATGAAGATTACGAGTACTGGACTGCCAAGCAGGATGCTTCGATCGGACTGCCGGATAAGCTGTTCTCTTCTGGTGAGTATCTGGGCCACCAATGGGCGGGCATTGAAGTGACGTCTCCGGCTCTCTGGAACGAGAATGAGAGTTTCGATGAGATTCGAAAAGTCTGCGAGGTCTTGAAGGCACGGTACTGGATCCTGACCCCGCCAACGTGCGGCCTGCATGTCCACTATGGGCATGGTCAGGACCAGATTGCCGTCCAAGATCTACGCAACATCGCTGCGCTTCTCCTCGCTGCTGACCCTCTCTTGGTCCAGTTACACCCCGAGAGCCGCAAGCGAAATCGGTTTTGTGTGAGCAACCGCCTGTTCTCTGATGTTGCACAGGGTCTTAGTGCCGAGACAGCCACCGCCATGTTGATGCATGATTCTGTATCCTCAGAAGGTGAGGAGGCTCCGCAGAAGGTCATGCGGCCTCTGCAGGGTAGTAAGCTCTTGAGTCGTAGCAGTTGGCGATCTTTCAATCGCCTCATCCCTCAGGGAACACTGACTAGCTACCCAGTCGGCGAGCCAGGCTCAAAGCTCAAGTGTCCTGGGAATGCTGCCGCCAGGCTCCATGCTCCACGGAGCATTCTTGGGTGCGTGGAGGAAATCCTCTCTGCCACCCAGCCGGAGGTTGTTGCGCGGCTGATGCAGGCTCCTCCTAATACTTCCTCTAAACCGGCCTACAGCTTTGCTAATTATGACCAGCAGCAGCCCTTCCCCAACAGCAACAGCGAAATCAAGAAGACGGTCGAGTTCCGACAGGCAGCCGGTACTGTGGACGCAGATGAAATTATCACCTTTGCAAAACTTGCCATTGGACTAGCTGATTTTGCCTGTTCTTCCGACCTCGACACTTTCTGGTCCGTCATTCTGAAGTGTGCGCAAGCGGACGCCAATACGACAGCCCAAGGCAAGGACAAGACCACTTCTTACGATGTTTTCAACTTTCTAGCGGACATTGGGCTGTGTAGACTGATTCGGCCCCTGCAGAATATCGTCATCAAGAAGCATCCTACTGTACAGGAAAGCCAGTCCAAATAAGTTGCGCTGGGTGGCTGTTGGAGGCCGGCGGGCCGGCGAGAGAAGAGAAGAGGAATAGCGGATACTAGGAAGACTGACAACAGAATTATTGAGAGGTTAATTTGCATGATCATTAATCGTTTCCCAAGTGATAGTCTCCGTGGCCTCAATCTACCAATCAACATAGAGGTATATACATAAGTCGAGCGGGCTTACGGCAAAGTTCTCCGAAACTCAGGTCATTGTCGTTCCATTAGGCACCGTAAGTGACACGATTTAATATGTACATAGACAGGCTAAAGACGCTGAGTTTGGATATACGTTACTGGCTATATGACACAGGCCCGTCGGCTTGTGCATGTACAACGCACAAATGTTCCCATCCTTTCGTCCAGTTTATTGGAACGGGACTACATGACGAAGGAAGTATCACAACGCTGTCATATAAGACAAAAAGCAAACAATGGATGATTTTGGCTCCAGAGACTGGGCGCACGAATTTATCTCCTTTTTGAAGTCGTGCTCATCGATTGTGTTCTCAGCCAAAACAAAAGAACAAAGGAAGAGCAAGAGACAGCCTTTACTGCTAATAACTAACAACAAGAACGTATTGACAATATGGTCAATCTCACAGTACTCGCCTCTTTACAAGACTGCCTCAATGGTGTCTGTGCGGGTCGATCCAACTGCGTGGCATACGCCAGTGACTCTGATCCTCTTTACCAGATCGAATGGGTCAAAGCCTACAACCTCGCCATCGATGTCACCCCAACAGCTGTGATCCGTCCAAACTCAACCCAAGAGGTCGCAGCAACCGTGCAGTGCGCCGCCGAGAACGGGATCAAAGTACAAGCCCGATCGGGGGGACACTCGTACGCGAACTTTGGTCTGGGAGACGAAGCTGTTGCGGTGGACATGACCAACCTGCAGGACTACAGCATGAACGAGACAACCTGGTATGCGACCATCGGTGCTGGCATGAAGCTGGGCGATGTGGACCGGAATTTGCACAAGACGGGTCGCGCTTTTGCCCACGGGGTGTGTCCTGGCGTGGGCCTCGGCGGGCACGCCACTGTGGTATGTTGAGGAGTGTAAGATAAGAGAGCGAGATGAGTATACCATTGAAAGTGACTGACAGGTTATGTATGCAATACTAGGGCGGTCTCGGGCCAATGTCTAGGATGTGGGGTACCGCGCTTGATCACGTCGTGGAGGTCGAGATGGTCACTGCGAACGGGACGATTCTACATGTGAACGAGCGGCTCAACCCAGACATGTTCTATGTAAGTTCTCAAAAGCGATGTAAAAGGGCCAAAAAGAAACACCAGTAATAGACTCCATGTAATTTCTGCCCAGAGTGCTGACCCAGAAATAAACACATTAGGGAGTCCAGGGGGCCGGAGCCAGCTTCGGGATCATCACCGAGTTCGTCATGAGAACGCACCCTGAGCCAGAAGAAGTGGCGCAATTCACATTCGACTTCACATTTGGTGTGGAGCCAAGCAAGCTGGCGGACTCGTACATCCAGTGGCAGAAGCTCATCGCGGATCCTAGTCTTGACCGTCGCTTCGGAAGCCAACTGGTCATCTCGCCAATAGGGGTCACAATCACAGGCACATTCTACGGCTCGGCGGCCGAATGGAATGCATCTGGAATCCTCTCAAGGCTTCCACAGAATGGAAGCGTCATATTCACCGACTGGCCTAGTTCGCTGACAGCTTGGACTGTACAAGAGGCGCTGTACCTGTCCGACACGCCCTCCCACTTCTATTCCAAGAGCCTTGGTCTCCGCCAGCAGGACCTCTTGTCCGAGTATTCGGCCACCAAATTGTTTCAATACCTCGAGTCGCAGCCCAAGGGCACCCTCCTGTGGTTTATCGTCTTTGATTCTTCAGGTGGTGCTGTGGCTGATGTCCCCATGAATGCCACGGCATTTGCACATCGCAACAAGATCATGTTCTATCAGTCCTATGCCGTCGATGCTGTCGCCCTTTCCAACGAGACATGGTCCTTTCTGACTAATTTCCATAATAACTTGGTTGAGGTATTGCCTTTGAATGCTACAGGACGGGGAACGTATCCTGGATACGTGGACCTGAACATTTCGGGTGTGCCGCAGGGGCAATACTGGGAGTCAAATTTACCGGCCTTGCAGATCCTCAAATCAAAGTGGGATCCAAATGATGTTTTCCATAACCCTCAGAGTGTCCAGCCTGTTGAGGTGTAACGATTGAAGCCAGTTTATATTGGCATGAAGGTTGGATGGGCAAGGAGGGTTCCTTAGAGTATGCAGGATGCTGAATCAACAAGTCAGTCTATCATTTCGAGACTGGCAAGAGCCAGTAATTTGGGAGTCTTTCACAGTCGCTGAGTGATAGCTTCTAAATGAGTCAGTTGATCAGCTCTCCTAGCCATTGTAGGCAGCTGTATGTTCAAATCCTAGCCTCTGGGAGCCTTTTGATTCCTTTTTTGTATTTTGATCTTCAAATGCTCAATAATAAGCTCAATCTTCAATTCTCACATTGAACACATTCAAATGCAGGTTCAAAATTCACAAAGGGTTCTAGCAGCACTTTTGAATGGTATTCTCTGTGAGAGGCATCTCTTTATGACAGGAATAAAGAAGAAAGACTGTAATATTCTTTGGACTACTACTGTGCGCTCAATTCCTAAGTTGAAGAAGCTCAACTACCATGATGAGAACGTGTGATTAAGATGAGGATACTCTGACAATGAACATAGAACACACAGATAACTAAGAACAAATTATTTTTTCTGGTAAGCCCTTCTTTACTTTGTAGAGTCCGCATCACGAAGTCCAGCATACGCTTCCGTCTCGATATCTGCCCACAGTTTGAGCACCTTTGCATCACAAAACGGCAAGATCTGCGTGGCTACCATGCCTGCGATGCCATGTTCCGGATCACACCACCAGAACAGATTTGCCAGCCCAGCCCAGTTTGCAGTCTTCGTACTGCGGCCGGTAGATCCGCCATTGGAGAGCATGAAGGTGAGGCCCCAGCCTTGCGGAGGGTCGCCCGAGACAGGGTATAGATCAGGGACATTGTTTGTCAGATCTGGCTTTGCCGCGGGAATAGACTGGCGGCCGAAATTAGGGAAGTCTGAAATATGATTCTCGAACATCTCGGCAACCGTCGAAGGCTTGAGAATCTCGGCGCCCGTTGTAGGGGATTTGCCTTGGTTGAGAAGGGCAGCTAGGATTTCTGCTCTCTCGGTCAACACACAATTCGGGAGAGACCAACAAAACGCCTGATGACGATGAAGGTGACGACATCACTCAAGGGTAGCCCAATATATTTATATATATAACTTACTGCAATATTCCTGGGGCCTAGCAAAGAGACCTGCACCACCGCTGTTGAAACATCGCGAGATGTCCTCTCCCCGTTGAACGACCAGTGGTGTCCGCATGAGGTGATCTCTTGAGCGTAAAGATCCATCAGGGGAACGTTGTTGCATGAAAGCCAAGTTGGCCTTCATCTTTGGTGATGGAAACATGGACATATCTTTGATACCCAGAGGCTCAAAGATGTTCTTGACCATATAGTCGTTGAGGGTCACGCCCGTAATCCTCTCAAGGGCGATTCCGGCCCAATCAACACCAATCTATTCATTGTTAATCATGATGAATTGTCAAACTGAGGTCTTGCATGTGCCCTGGCAGGAACCTAAACAAGGAAACAAACAACTTACACCATATTCCCAGCCCTCTCCAGGCTGAAACAACAGTGGCGAGATCATTTCTTCCTGTCTGCCATTGAATTCGTCTATTCCAGCCGGATATCCCCAATCTCTCAGTCTCTCGTTGAAAAATGAGTACCCAAACCCAGCTGTGTGGCTCAGGAGCATCCGCAGCGTGATACGCTTTTTTTTGTGCTCTAAAGCCCCATCCTTCCGCAGCACCTGGAGTCCCTTGAGCTCAGGACACAGGTTCTCGATCTGTTCTCCATCGTCGAGCCTCAACTGCCCCTTCTCGACAAGCTGCATACAAGCGATGCCGGTCACCAACTTGGTGCAAGACGCGATCCAGAAGACGGTATCGAGCGTCATGTCCTCGAGGCTAGCCACTCCGCGTCGGCCAGCAGCGTGAGCAAACAGCTCCTTGCCATCCCTCCTCACGACGACCACGGTGGCTCCGGGTAGCTCATGAAGGGGGTCTGAACACGCGGCGTCGACGGTGGAGCGGAGCGTGTCGACAGTCTGTTGGCTGAATTTGGACATAATTATGATATAATGACTGTGTCTCTTAGTTATCGTTAGTTTTGGTGGTGAAAAGTAGAAAGATAATAATCTGAGTCCACGTATCGTCAGCCTAGATGAAGCTGCCAGTTAAGTACTCGCAAACCAAAGCCATTACAGCTTGGCATGAACCACATGATGAACATGGTATGGAGTCTTGGGAAAAGCCACAAGCACGAATCGCCACACATTACCAAAATGATTCCAAATGCGGGGTAACATAACTTTACACCACGGCCGTAAGCTTTTTGCTTTTCTTGAAAGGCTCTGACATTCGGACAGGAGGAAGCAAGAGAGAGGCACGGATAGACGGAGAGACGGAGGAAGAGGGGCTAGAAAGGGACGAGAGTTACTTGTGGGGCACCCCGGAGAGGCTGGAAACCATAATAATGCATACACGGCACAATTAGCATGCCAAGGGATCACTAATTACCGACGAACCCGTGGATATCAAGTATTCTACAAGCTTCATGATCAATTATATGTACGTCAAGCATTCTTCGCAACGCTTGCTTCTCGTCCGTATGGCCAGTCTCATTGTGTAACAAGTAGTTAGTGGGACTTGTCGAGATTATTCATCAACTTGTATCCTCTTTGAATCCAACGCCGGCAACAAGAAGGTGGCATGGACGGGCAAATTGGGAAAAAGCGCAGATATGTCTTAGAACCAAGAGATAGGAGGAGGAGGAAGAGAAAGAGGGGGAGGAAGATGGAGAATGGCACACTACCCAAGAGATGTGCCACACCACAGGTACCGGTTTCCTTGATTTGGAAATCCGATTACAATCCGATTGGGCTTCACAACCTAGATTTTGCTTGACATCTCCGCATTGCTCGTTACCTAGGTAATTTTGCATGTGGAGAGAAGCTCGAGGTATGCGCAAGTACCTGGGTACTACTCTTGATGATGCAGTAAACACATTGGCCCGCAGCCATTTGATTGTATATTGAGAGACGATTCATGAAGGCCTCTCTGTTCTGAGATATGAGGCTGTTGTACAACCAAGAGATGAAGACGGGGATGAGTTTCTTGTGATAACAAATCAGAATAGCAGCCCATTTGGAATCTAAGATGCATACATAAGTACTCAAGTATGATGTACAATCAGTAAGCAGATCAATAGCGACATTCCTCCACACCCTCCATCGAAACTAATGTGAGGAGAACATGGGGTAATTATGCAGATCTTAGCAGAGTCTGGGGAAGAGGAGTCAGATAGTGGAGGAGTACGCACGCCTCATCCATTCGTGCGAGCTCTGATGTATTTCCAGGCAAAGAGACATTGTCTTGCAAATGTCCAGGTGGTACAATTTGCGGAGAAATTGCTCCATTCCGGTGTGTGTGTGTGAGGGAAACCGACTATTTAATCACCCATGATGGGCAGATGCCAGTTTCTCTGGCCTTGGTTCTCATTGTTCTCATAGTGACTTGTCTCATGAGGTACAACGTATCACTACAGGAAAAAAACTGAGAAACCAGGCCACATATTCTTTTCTATATCAACTAATATTCTCTGATAGTGTTCATCATGGGAGAGCCACCAAGTTCCAACGGCTCGACTACCACGGAGGAGAAGAAGTTCAAGACGAGTCTCACTGATTATTCTACCCGCCATGGAGAAAAGACTGGACCATACGCAGACAACCTCGACATAGACGCCATCATCGTCGGAGGAGGGTTCAGTACGTGTCTCCCAAACACGTTTCAAGCATACTATGATTGTTTCACTAACACACAGGCTCTTTACAGGCGGCACCTTTATGCTCAAGACGCTCCGCGACCGCGGGTTCAAGGCTGCCATCTTCGAGGCTGGGAACGACCTGGGCGGGACATGGAGGTTCAACTGCTACCCCGGGGCGCGTGTTGACTCAGCCGTCCCGACGTATGAGTTCTCGTGGCCAGAAGTGTATGAGAGCTGGACTTGGACCACCAACTATCCCGACTACAAGGAGCTTCGAGCCTACTTCGATCATGTGGACAATGTCCTGGACATCAAGAAGGACTGCTCGTTCCACACCGTCGTGACAGGGGCCAACTTTGACAAGGGGGCTGGCAAGTGGATCGTGGAGACTGCAGATGGACGCACAAGCAAGTGCAGATTCTTAATCCTTGGATCCGGATTTGTAAGTGTTGTACACATTTCCTTGGCCCTGACCGTCAACGAAATACCACACGCATCTGCTGAAGACTCACCGTCGTCGTCTCGCACCCACAGGCCGCGAAGCGATACATTCCAGACTGGCCCGGCATTGAGAAGTTCCAGGGCGTCTTGCACCACTCTTCCTTCTGGCCAGATGAGGAAGTCGACGTCAAGGGCAAACGCTGCGCTGTCATTGGCACAGGCGCCTCGGGCGTGCAGATCAGCCAAGAGTGGGCCCCGGTCGCCGGGAGGCTGACTGTCTTTCAGAGGACGCCAAATCTGGCTCTGCCTATGGGCAGGAAACCCCTGACGGCCGAGGAGCAGAATGCCTGTAAGCAGTTGTACCACCAGCTGTTTGAGATGCGCGAGAAAAGCTTCTCGGGGTTTCTGTTTGTAAGTAGCAGCTCCTTTCCAATGTTTTATTGGTAGACGTGTGAACTAACACTGGGCAGGACTTTGCCGAGAAGCAGACCTTCGACGACACGCCCGAGGAGCGGGAGGCGTTCTACCAGAAGTTGTGGGATACCGCTGGCTTCCACTACTGGCTGGCCAACTATGATGACATGCTGAAGAACGGCGAGGCCAACACGGAGGCGTATAACTTCTGGGCCAAGAAGGTCCGTGAACGCATCACTGACCCCAAGAAGCGAGACATCCTGGCACCACTCAAGATGCCTCACTATTTCGGCATCAAGAGGCCGTGTCTTGAGCATTCCTACTATGAGGCGCTGGACCGGGAGACTGTGGAGGTTGTCGATGTTAGCAAGAATGCTATCAAGGCGTTCGATGAGACCGGAATCATCCTTGAAGATGGCACTCACTATGATGTGGATGCTATTGCCATAGCCACTGGATTTGTGCGTTGTTCTTCCCTCTTATGTTTGCTCCGGCCTCTCGCCGCAGTTCGATCTCCTCTCCCTCTCCCTCTCTGGTATTCTGACTTGCCTTGAATCATAGGATATCATGACTGGCGGCATGACCCAGATGGGCCTGAACAGCGTCCGTTCGACCCAGTTGGCAGCTGAATGGCAAGCCGCGGCCAATACATACCTGGGGATCACCGTGTCGGGGTACCCAAACATGTTTCACATGTATGGTCCTCACGGCCCTACGCTCCTCTCCAACGGACCCGCAACAGTCGAGGTCCAAGGCCGCTGGATCGCCGACGCCATCACCAAGATGCAGAGACAGGGCATCAAATATATCGATGCCACGCAGGAAGCGACCAAGACCTGGAAGGCTCGCATCAATTACCTAAGTGACCAGACGCTGTTCCCCACGACGCGAAGCACGTACAGTAAGTTGGATTTATCCATCCACCCCCCTCTTTCTCTCCCCCCCCCTCGAGTGCCTCAGAGTATGAGTGATATACTAACCGCCGTTGCACAGTGGGAGGATCCGTTCCTGGGAAGGCGTTCGAGCAGGTCAACTATTCGGGTGGGCTCTCAAAGTATAAAGATGAAATCAGGGAGGCCCTCAATACCTGGCAAGGTTTTGAGGTGGTCAAAGGCGGGGTGCCTATTGGCCTGCAGAGCGGTGTGCAGGGCAGTGTACAAAACGCCGCCATACAGAATGTTGTACCGACTGGCGTGCAGCATGGTGCTGTCATGGTATAGATTGAGAAGGGAATATGACTGAAAGTCTGCTTGAGAGAGAGGAAGAGCTCAGCGGGCTTACGCGAGATGGTGATTCCAGAAGACAAACAGCTCGAGGATTGAAAACAAGAGTCATGAGCAAACGTAAATCTTCGAAGAGCCAGTCGTGAAAGTGTTCCTATAACGAGTGTGTCTCACTGCTTGTGCTGCTGAAGAGGTATAAAAAGCGATCAGGAGTCAATGGTGAGGATGTCACAGGCGTGAGGACTGGCCAAAGATCTCTAGTCTATTTCTTTCATCGTACCTATCTCGTTGTCATTGATGTACAAGGCAGCATGCATCCGGCTGCGACAATTACCCGTGCTGTGGCTTGTCGCCTCCATCTGCTCCCACGAGCGAGCCCGTCTTTTCTCTCTTCCTCCTTTCCTCATCCCATCACCTGATGCAACGCCTACTCCTCGTCGGCGGCGAACTCGGCTATACCAGCCTTGGAGTTGAGATAGTGGTTCCTGTCAACGGTTTCTGGTCAGCACTCATTTCCGTCGTAAGGCTATTCTCATTCATCCATCCACTCTGTGCAACACCATCCCTCGCACGGCACGGACTGACCTCTCGATAGCCCAGCCCATGACGAAGTAAGCGGCGATAAAAGGAGGCACGACGTAGAGGACCTGTGAGCTGAAGCGTCGCCACGTGTTGAAGACGGCAGCGTGGGCGGCGCCAGCGAAGGGGTTTTGTCGGTTGGGAGCCAGGCCGTAGGTGACGATGCCCTTCTGCTTCTGCACCGGGGTGCCTGTTATTGGAGGTGATCCTGTCAGCATTCCTTGCTTTCAACCGTGCAAAAAACGTTCCTCTTCCTAGCATTATAGTATCGACTGCCTGCTCTCGCCCTCGGGAGGGAGTTGACCCGTCACAAAATCGTTCGACGTGGCCTCGGCTTCCGGGTTTGTCTCGTCGGCAGGTCGAAGAAGCGACGAGGTGAGAGAAAGAAGGCGTCACTCACCGAATGAGCCCCAGCCGTGGCCAAGGTACCTGTGAAGACGACAGTTAGCAAAAGACCAGCTTCCTTCAGGATAAAAAGGCGCGCCATGCGACACCCGAAGGCTCCGCAGGCCTACTGCACTTACTTGTTGTGCTTGCCAATCTCCTCGGCGCCGGAGAGCAGTCTCTGTGTAGGTCTCATATTGACGATGGGATATCAATTGATGTTCCTGAAACAAAAAAAAAAGGGGTGGGATCAATCGAGGGCGGTCGGGGGGTCGTTGAGGTCGGTCTCGTCGAGAGCTTCAAAGTTGGCTGCTTGAGCCGGCCGCTGTCGTTGGAAATCGGAATCGTCTGGCAGGCGATTGGGTCTGATTTGAGCTAGCCATAAGTAGACTAGCGTATTCAACAGGGGTTGGGAACGCAAGGAGCACGGGCCACCCAACTTTTTTGCTGCAGTTTGTATATGCAAGAGCTATCCTACCCGTGCTTGCCGTGGTACCATCAATAGTACGAGGGGTCTTTCAAGTCGAGCTCATCATCACCATCATCATCACGACCACGACCGACCAACCTCAGCCCAGCGTCTACCACTCGAGCTGAGCCACTCTTCCTTCATTTCTCTTTTAACTTTCCCCAGGTCCTCTCTCTTACTTCTAGCACCTGGCAAACGGCATCTGCTGTGCCTTCTAGACGAGAAATCCTCTCTCTCGGGTAGCTTAGCATCTGCTGCCCTTGTTTTCTACATACACACACTCACACTCTCACTCACACCCACCCACACCTCTCTCAACGATGGCGCAAATAAATCCCAATGCCCTGCGGAACATCTACCGCTTTGCCATCCCCGCCGCCCTCGGCGCAAGCTTTGTCAGCAACTCGATATACGACGTGCGCGGTGGCTCGCGCGCCGTCATCTTTGACCGTCTCTCGGGAGTCAAGGAGGGTGTGATCAACGAGGGCACACACTTCCTCATCCCTTGGCTGCAGAAGAGCATTGTCTTCGACGTGCGTACCAAGCCTAGGAACATCGCCACCACTACTGGCTCCAAGGACCTGCAGATGGTCAGCCTGACCTTGAGGGTACTGCATAGGCCTGAGGTGCAGGCACTGCCCAAAATTTACCAGGTTCGTCTACTATTCTCTTTCTCTCTCTCTCTCTTTCCGCCCTCTCCCTCCACTTCCCTTCCACCATCCGTGGACGTAAAGCTGACAGGGATCTCTTTGTCTTTCAGAACCTCGGCCAGGACTACGACGAGCGCGTGCTCCCTTCCATCGGCAACGAGGTCCTCAAATCCATCGTCGCCCAGTTCGACGCGGCCGAGCTCATCACCCAGCGTGAGGCCGTCTCCCAGCGCATCCGTACCGACCTGATGAAGCGCGCCGCCGAGTTCAACATCGCCCTCGAGGACGTTTCCATCACCCACATGACCTTTGGCAAGGAGTTCACCAAGGCCGTCGAGCAGAAGCAGATCGCCCAGCAGGACGCCGAGCGCGCCCGCTTCATTGTCGAGAAGGCGGAGCAGGAGCGCCAGGCTAACGTCATCCGTGCAGAAGGCGAGGCCGAGAGCGCCGACGCTATTGCCAAGGCCATCGCCAAGAGCGGCGACGGTCTGATCCAGATTCGCAAGATCGAGGCCAGCAGGGACATTGCGAACACCCTGGCGAGCAATCCGAACGTTGCCTATATTCCGGGCGGGCAGCAGGGGACAAACATCCTGTTGAATGCAGGCCGGGCATGAGGCGGAGGACGACAATAGGCGTGTTGCAGAATGCAAAGACGTGTCAGCTGAAAGCATCTTGGGGCTATTAGCAAGAAGTTTGGGGGGGAGGGGGGGGGGAGGAGGAAGAAGAAAACTAAAAACAAGGGGCGAGTAAAGAAGCCATCACAGAGGAGGAAGAGGATGGAGGGGAGGAACCGCATTGGGGAGGAGGCGGATGAGGAAGTCCTCTTTTTTGGGGGGTTGCCAAAATCAGCCCATGTAAACCATATATCATGACGAGGCCTGGAGGGCAGAGCACTCGTCTACTCCACTATTATGATGAATTAATGCCAGAGGAAGCACACCAGCCAGGTCCTCCCAAGCAGAAAGAAGTGATATCCTGCTGTCTCGCCCCGGGCGTCTTGTTCCAAATGTCAATCAGCAGGCATAGTATACTAAAAAAAAGGAAAGAAAGAAATCCCAAATGTTCACCGCCTGTGGTCGCAGGGCGGTCCCGTAGCTTATAGCATTGATGCTGCATAAGAGGTACGACGCTGTGTGCGCAGAGAGAAGGGAAGAGAAAGAAGCGATAGAGAGCATTGCAATCGTCGCCAGCCATAAGAGTTTTTCTATAAGCTCTAGGATGAAGCAGCCCCCAAACTCCTTGACCATATGCCTGTATGAGCCTCAGCCCTCCACGACGCCTTAGGCTATCCTTTATCCTAGACACATTCCAGAAACACCTGCTGTGAGCAGCGGGAGGAAATAGTTATTGCCCAGCATCTGCCTGAGGCTCCCCTACGATTCGGCCTCGAGGACTCCTTCGGTGAGCAGTGCACCTCCGTCGTCTAGATCAACTGACTCCTCGCTGCTCCGTTCCTGTGGTAGGGCGGTGGGTGGTTTCCAGCCTGGGGCACGGAGCTCGCCGTCCTCCCACTTCCACCCCTGGGACTTCATCAGGGTCCATTCCTTCTCTACCTTGTACCGAACCAAATCACCGGCAGACCGAGCATCCTCGGCGCTGTCGTGGCCCTCGCCCGTGTCGACCTGGATGCGCCGGTTGAGCAGAGTCTCCATGAGCAGCTTCAGGCTTGTCCGGACCGGCAGCCCGCGCTTGTGCGGGTACAGGAGGACTGTGTCGACAATCTTAGGGTGAACCATGCGCATAGCGTTGAGGTCATTCTCCAGACCATGGCCGATCAGGATCGTATCGGGGTTGATGAACGAGTGGAGCAGGTCACGGGCCAGCTCGGGCGACGAGACCTTCTGCAGGACCTTCCGCTCGCCAGGCTGCTGTGGTGGCGGCGTCCAGTCCCGGGTCCATGGTACAGCACGGGCTAGATCTTCGGGCCAGACACCGCTGTACCTCGAGTTGAGGTTCAGGATCTCGCCGTACGGCTGGACGAGGACATCGAGCAGCTCAGCACCATCGGGCCAAGAGGTGGCCGTCACCCGGATGAGCTCCATGCCGTGCACGGTGTAGCCCATCTCGCAGTCGAAGGCCACCGCCTCCTTCACCACAAAGGGGTTGTCGTTGGCGGGCGTCTCGGCATAATTCCACAAAGACGCAAGCCGCTTCGGGTCGGTGGTCTTCCAGACGTGGGCCTCACTGACGGTGCAGCCCGGAGACTCGCCCACATCCTGGTTGCAGCAGCGGTATTTCTTGGCAATCCAGGCGGTATCCCCTTTCGGCCGCTCGGGGAAGTAGGCCCTGCCGGGGTGATGATTGCACTGTCCGCCTGACGCGAGCTGGCCGGTCTCGATGTCGCGGCCAGGAAAGACCTGAAAACGAGCTGTGCACCGATCACACTGCTCCCAGCCCTGCGACCACTTCACGGCCTGCTTCGCCTCCTCGATCTGTTCGTCTGTGGGTGGCACGGGAACGTAGCCATATTGCTCGAGGTTTTGAATGGGCGTGACCAGTCTCTGCTGTAGGACAACGACCTCCTGAGCCGTGGTCAGGCCGGTGTTGATGGTGACCGGCGCGCCGATGCTGGGGGTTTTCTGGGCAGTCTTCTTCTCTAGGGCCTGTTTGCGCTCGGCCACCCAGGCGTCAAGCTTCATCCTCTTGTACTTCATAACCTCCTGCCGCATAGCATTGTCGTAGACTGCAGCCTTCTGCGTAGCCAGCTCCTGCTCGCGATCCAACACCATCCAGATGATTTCTTGGCCGGATAGGACGAGACCCTTTAGCTGGGGATCCTTAGCAGCGCCGCCCGAGACCTCGCCGTTGAGGCGGGTGTAGTCAGCATGCAGCAGGGACACCAGCTTGTGACGGACGCCGTGAGAGGCTGGAGCCGCGGTGAGATGGCGAGGATTCAAGGACTCGGGCTTTCTTGCGGATTTGGGTTTCTGCGAAGGAGGGGAACTGGATGTCGACTTGCCCGTTGCCAGTGCTTTCCGTGTGGCGCTTGGAGACCTGGCTGGGGGAGAAGCTGATGGATTGACTGGTGTCGGCTTCCTGACTGTTGAGGTAGGTGTTGCAATCCGTCCTGAAGTAGTAGGCGTCCTAGAAGCAGAGGAAGGAGGTGACACCTTGGGCGTCGTCCGGGCAAGAGTGGTAGAGGACTTGAGCGGCGTTGAGGGACTGACTGTCTGGTTTCTCAGAGAAGAGGGCGTCACAGCCAAGGGTGACGCAGGTTGACGTGCGTGGTCAGCGACGGGGGGTGACAATGGATCATAGAGATCAGACGCCTGGACTCGATCGACGGGTTTCAGGCTGTCGTCGGGATGACTTGTGATATGTGAGCCACTAGCGGGCCCGTCGCCCACGCGTCCACCTTGGCCTTCGACCTCGCCAGGCCGGTGGATTGCTGTCTTTTGACGCTTACTAGGGGGAAGCCCATTTCCATCACTCGCAGGGCCTTCCTCTTCCTCGTCTGCGGCTCCGTCGAAAGATCGGTGAAGGCTCCTCGTGTCGGAGGGTTGACTGTCGGCCCTGTGGCCAAAGAGACAGCCTGTGGTAGTGCATGTGCGGCCTTCAGTCTCCTTGGGACACGGGAGATGCTTGAGGCCGTTGAACAAAGGAACGGCGCTGGCCATCCTAACGAGGGTGGACCGGCCAGTCGAGTGTGGGAGTCAATGACGGCCCGGTAGGAGGGCGGATGCTGAGCTGTTGTAGAAGCTCAACTGCTCATCCCTCAGACGCGAAGAAGGCGCAGGGCTCCTCAAAACGCGAGGTAGCGGTGAACGCTGTGCCTTGGGGCCAAAGTGACGTGAAGAGAGACCCGCCGACGACGACGTATAGACGCGCGGGGATAGGAACCTCAGTGACAAAATCGACATTTACGATTATGAGATGGAAGGAAAGGAGGGAAAAGACTGTAGCCACATGGAGAGAAAGCGAAAATCGTTAGTCGAAAGTTCTTGTATACTCTTGTGTCGTTTGTGCCAACAAGAGGCCGGGGTAACGAACGGGCGATTGTTTGTTGATTGATGTCCTTTGTCTGTGCTTTGGTTTGGGTCGTGGACAAAGGGTTTTGGTTGATGTCGAATCCAGAAAGAGACGGACACCCCTGTGAGGCTGAAGGGTACAGTGGGTCTCGGTTGAACCGCTGGGGGAAGAACGGTGGGACCAATTGTAACGTGCTTACTACGTATTGCGTACATAGTGCATTGTACCATGTCGTGTCGCGGCACTACTCGCAGTAGGTGCTGCTAAGGGACGGTACTATCCGTACACGCTTGCAGTACTAATGTAGTACCAGAGTATGTGCTTACTTCGTCACTGTAATGCCGTCTATATCATGTACTACGTATGTATTTCAACTATGTACATCTACGGTTTGCCATTATATACCAAGTATTTGGTATACATAATTGACTCCTACTTTATACATTACAGAAAATAAATACGTAGTAGACAAGACACGAAGCGCATCTTTTCAACGTTTGTAGTGCGATAGTTGAGGGGGCAGAAGTATTTCTGAAGAATTACTATAATCAGCTTGGCCTCAACGTTTGCACCACCGCTCAACCAAAATCAGGAGTGAAGTGAGTGGATTATGAGAGGAAGGGTTGCCAAGTCCTTCAAGCACATTCTCAATCGACGTACACACTTATCGGTCACCGATATCCAACTGAGAAAACACCTCCTTGATGCCATGCAGGGCGGTATCCTCCTTATCTGGATGATCCAGATAGGCATGAAAGATGTTCCAGATGGTTGAGGTCTTATCTGTGGGGGCTTGTCACAAGCCAAGAGACGTGCTCGGAATTATCTATTTATTGATCTGTTCGCCTATCTGTCCTGCCCATTCTGTGTCTTGTTGGCAGGTGGAAAGTTGTTTCATTCAAAGACTCCTCCGTTTCCTGTCGTTGCCCGCATGTCGAGAACGGCCGCCCGACCACCAACACCAACAACACTGGAACTGGAGGAGCACGCGTACAAGACTGACTGGCTTGCTGATCTTTACACAGAAACCTACATACACACAGTACTGAGGAGGAGAGAGGAGAAGGAGGTCTCAAGTCAATCGCAATTTTATCGCTTCTCGTTGGAACGAAGAGAGTGGGGTTGTGATTTTCCCCTTATATATTCTGTGCAGTGCAGTACGTGCAGACGTGCATGATTGCATAGAAATCGCTACAAGACTTGTCCGTGAGCGAGAGTGTGGGTGTTGGTGGTTGGGCGTGGGTGATAACAACAGCATCTGCAGTGGTTGTGGCTGATAAAGCAGAAGCTCGCCCCCCTTTTGTTGCAAGGAGGATAACTCTAGCCACAGTGCTGCACTGCAGCCTGCAGGTACGCCCGGATTTAGCGGTGTTTTGGCGGGCAGCCCATCTTTTTGCGGCTCGTCATCCCACCTGGCCGAAACCAACAACCCCCTACAAAAGACACTCAAGCTGCTGCCCTTCTCGATCCGGTCCATCGACCGGTCCCTGATCAGCCATTACGACGAGATGGCTGATTATACCGGCGGTGAGATCGAGGCTGACCACCTCGTCGTTTTGGTCCATGGGGTATGTTCTCCTGTTCTCCTGTTCTCCTGTTTGCGTTCTTGTTCCCCTCGTGCTGGATGGGTTTTCTGATCTTGATTTGATTTGATTCGATTCCTGCCTCCCATCTTCCCCCTATCCTGCACATATGCACGCCAACCCACGCAGACATATTTTTTTTTCTATGGAACATGACAGGTCACTGACAAGCTCGCCTCCTTTTTCTTCTTCTTCTAGCTATGGGGAAACCCAAACCATATGGCGAGCATCGCCAAGGCCTTACGCGCGAAACATCCTGCCGATAAGCTGTACATCCTCTGCGCCAAGAGGAACAGCGGTTCCTTCACCTACGACGGCGCCGAGCTCGGGGGCGAGAGAGTGTGTCTCGAGATCCAGGAGGAGCTGCAGGCGATCGAGCGGCGAGGAGGCAAGATCAGGAGGCTATCCATCATCGGCTACAGCCACGGCGGCCTTGTCGCGCGTTATGCCATCGGCCTGCTGTACGCCAAGGGGACGCTGGACGAACTCGAGTGCATGAACTTCACCGCCTTTGCCAGCCCCTTCCTCGGCGTCCGCACCCCGCTGCACGGCACTGCCAACCACCTCTGGAACGTCCTCGGCGCTCGCACCCTGTCCATGTCTGGCAGGCAGCTCTTCCTCATCGACAAATTCCGCGACACGGGCCGCCCCTTGCTCGCAGTGCTGGCCGACCGCAACTCCATCTTCTATAAGGGCCTGGCCAGGTTCAAGCGGCGCACGCTGTACGCCAACATCGAGAACGACCGGAGCACCGTCCACTACACTTCCGCCATAGCCAAGACCGACCCCTACACGAACATGGACAGGGTGCGGGTCAACTACCTGAAGGGCTACGAGGATGTGATTCTTGACCCGGTGCACCCAGTCGAGCACATCCCACCGCACGCCTGGAAGAAGGAGCCTTTTCCCGAGTGGGCGACCAAGTGGATACGGCGCGTGCCCCTGATCGTTGCGCTGGTCATCTTCGTGCCCATCGGCATTGTGGCCTTCCTCATCAACAGCGTCATTCAGACGGTGCGGAGCTCCAAGCGCATTGCCCTGCATGAGAAAGGCCTGGCGGGCATCAACATTGCCGATTATCGGCCGCCGACTCTCATGATCAACGAACTCCGGGAGGCCGTTGAGGATGTATACGAGGGTCTGAACAGCTTTCAGCAGAATGAGTACCTCGGCCTGACGGACGACGACGACGATGACGAGGAGGGCGAGGGCGAAGTCTCGGACCTCGAGAAGGAGGCCCAAGAGCCGCTGCTGGAGAAGCAGGACTCTGAGAAGATCCACAACAATATGGCGGCCAGGCGGGCGAGCGATGCGAACATCCTGCGGCTGGAGCGCAGACAGAGCCAGCCGGGCCAGCCGACGCTGGCCCTCGCACCCTGCCAGTTCGAGATGATCTCGGCCCTCGACAGCCTCGGCTGGCGCAAATACCCCGTCTGGATCCATCGCAACCGCCACAGCCATGCTGCCATTATCGTGCGCATCGACAAGGAATCACATAGCGAAGGACATGTGGTGTTGAGGCACTGGCTGACTGAGGAATTTTTGGTTTAGATGTATGCATTCATGTACATGCACTTGTATATATAGATAGATGGTAAGATGGAGTGATGGCTACTGGGCGCTGATTTAAACATCCTTTTGCAATAAAACTAATATCTATATGCTTAACAGCCTCCTTTTTTTCCAGGGATTGCATCTCTGGTGCCTTGCTTGGGACACGTCACACGTCTAGTGTGTGCGACCTGGACAGATGATGCTTGTAGTTATAATTTTAGAGTACCATTAACGAGCATTGATACACGGGTAGGATCGTCGTCAGTCCTTGTCTTGACTCGGGCTTCATCCGAACAATCAACCTTTTCTCGGCCCTGGATCGCTGTGTAAAGTATGCATAGTAGTGCAGCGAGAAAATCATCCATGACAGTAATGACGTGACCATCTTTTTCTTGTCTGGGCTGCTTCCCGGTCCCGGGTAAGTCCGTCCGTCCGTCCAAGCCAAGCAAGCAAGTTTAAAGTGTCTGCTTGTCGCCTCACTCTTATTGTTTCCCTTTTGTTTTCAATGACTCAAGGATTCGAAGGGCGGGGCCCGCATGCGTCCATCCACGCTGGCAACCCCCCGACCGGGGGGCTCACTACCCCATTTGGGAGGCGAGCGCCGGCCAACACGAACGATAAGGTGGTGGGTGCGTGGCTGATTCCGATGATGAAAGGATCTCGCGATTTGGAACGGGGACTCGTGTTGCGAGAGGCTTGGCTCTTTTCTTCTTCAACGTAGTGCACAATCTTGTATGGGTGACAATTCATAATGATCAGAAACACAGTTCTAGAGGAATAAAAGGCTACAATTCGTAGGATTATCACGAGAATGTAGGGGTGGTAACGGTTATTCTCATGTTGGCTGTTTGTAAGCAGTCACACGACCAACACCCGCCGAATCCATCCATACCCCCGCCCGTCTTGGTAATGCCCTCGTCTCTCTTATCTATCTCTGCCCCTTGGGCTAATAAAGCAACAGTCCATATCACCAGCGCAGTATGCAGGATGAAAAAGACCCTCCCATGCCAACAGATATCTCGCTCATAAAACCAAATAAATAAATAAAAAAAAATCAGTGTAAATTGGTAGAACCGGCTCCTCCCTCCACCAAAGGCGCCGATGCGTAAACAGGGTGAATTATGGTGATAAAGGTACAAAGAAGAGGGTGGAAGGTTTCATCCTCATCCGTTCCCTCTCACGCAGCCAGTGTTGCGTGTTTTCTGGTGTGTGTATATGTGTGTGTGTGTGTGTGTGTATAGTGTTGACGTCGTCCAAGAGTATATGAGGTCTGTCTCTTTCCCTTTTACTCTCTCGAAAGTGAGTTTGAGGGCGCTGTGTGACTCGTCTAGAGACTTGTTGAAATCGTATACGGCGACCATTCGAGATTTCTCATTGTAGATCGTATATTTGGGTGGACCATGATCTTATATCCTGACGACCTGTGTACGCTCCTTGAGGAGCTGAGCGGCGTTCTCCTGGAACAGCTTGGTCTTGGTCTGAGCGTTTGAGACGTAGAAGTTAGTCTTTTGTCCGATTGATCCGGTTCTAGCCTGGCTTGGTTGTTTTCGTAATCTATCAGAACTTACCACATCGGCCATCTCGCAGTTGTGTTCCTCCATGAACCTGTGTGCGCTGCAGAAGAGCTTGCCGCAGTCGTCACACTTGCCGACAATGGGGTGGGCAAGCTTCCGGCACTCCTTGCCCTCGATCTTGGCTGGGCATCTGGGCTTGGCCATTTTTGCCTGGTTGGATGGTTGTTGTATGAGTGTGGTGGGGGGACAGCTCGTGTGAGAACGGCGACAGAGAGAAGTCGGCCGAGGTTGGTCGAAGAGGAGGGGGATAGTGTGTGGTTGGGTGGGAGGATGAGGAGAAGGGTAGGAGGTGGTGGTGGTGAGATTCGAAAAGAGGAGGACGTCTCTTAAGAATAGTTGGAAGCCGAGGTAGTCACGAGGAGGAAGGAATAAGAAAGGAAGAGGGAGAGACAAGGCGGACGAGGCTGGCGGAAAGTGGGAAATTGGCAATGTTATGTACCGTAGGCAAACATGCCATTTACGTGGTGACTAGTTCCGAGGATGGCGACAGCAAGAGAAGAAAGGGAAGATGCTGGAAAGGGCGGCAAATAGGGACCGACGTCAGGGGGGGGGGTGTGTACAGTACAGTACACGGCAGAGAAAGGCAGGCCAGGCCGGCCAGGGGTACTTTGTTCCGGGGACGTCAGATGGACGACGATCTTGATTAGGTACTAGTATGGTGTACTTTCTGGGGGTGGAGTGCAGGGGAGGGGTGTGAAGGTACAGAACTGTGTAGTGTGAGGACGTGTGAGTTGTATGAGTGTGTGTGTTGGCTGGTGGTGATCGGTCGAGCCGGTGCCGTAGACTTTGTTCACATACTTGTTATCGCTCTGGTAAGTAGTCCCTCTTCTCGTTTTCTCCATTTTGCCGGTAGGGAGCTTGTTTTTGTCGGAAGAGGCTACTGCGTCCCAGCGCAGAGGAAGGGGAACGTGGCGTCGGGACGGGGTGAGCGGTCTGGTGACGAGGCTGATGATAGCGAGAGGGACCAGGCGAGGCTCCGCTTTCGGTGGGTGGTGGCGAACTAAGCAATGGCAAACAAGTTATAGAAGCCAAGACTGACAAGGACTCTTGACATTGAGAAGGAAGATTATCATCTTGAGATATATCCACAAGCAATCAAGGACATAGGAAGAAGAGTTGGAGGAACATGAAAAAAAGCTGATGAAAAAGAGGTCACCTGTCATTCGTACTTGCAGGGCTGTAAGGGCTGATGGTAGGTTGCCAGCTTGGTCACAAGACACGACAAGACAGGTGTCCGTCTCAGTAAGTCAAGTCATTCAATTCATTATTACAGTCTCAGTACCCACCCCCCAATAGAGAATTCCAGTTTCTTGGTTGCATCGTGTCGCAGTACGGCACAGGGCTATTCTTTCCCCATTGATACCAACCACGATATATTCTGTCCTTTTGACCTGGGCGAATAATGCATTTCTCCTCCTTTTCTTCCTGCCTCTCATCTCGAGCGAGATCCAACAACTTCCGGCACGGACGGCAGGGTTTCGGCTCGGCTGGGGCTTGGGGCCTTGGACCTGCTGGGCTGGGTTGTCTTGGTGGATTTCGTTGATGACGCGAGTGCTTGGGAGCCTGGCCTCGGTTCTGGTGACCTTGCACGACGGGTGAGAGAAGTAAAAAATAAAATAAAAAAAGCCTTGTTCCTTCCCTTGAAGTGCCGGGAGCAGGGGACCCTCCTCTCCTCTCCTACTACTGCGTAAGTAGACCCCTGCTAGATCAAGATACCCTCCCGGCGTGTTTCCATCGTATCGGTACGTATTTTATGTAAGTACTCAAGGTGGAAGGCACGCTAGGGTAGCACTGTAGCACTGCCCGTGGGTCCCGTCTAGCCATGTGGGCGCATCCGCTGTCCGCCAAAAAGAAAGAGCCACCCCATTAAATGGGAATGCATTGGAGGGGAGATTCAGCCTCCCGACGAAGTCAAGTACAAGGTATGTACTGTATGTAACTTGAAGTGTGTATCATGTCGTGAGATGGTAGATGACGGCCCAACCTTGGAGGACAAACCACACAAATGCCGAAACAAGACAAGACCAAAAGGGACCGGCCACATCCCCATCTGACTCGTCAAAAAGGAACAAGCCGTGGTTTGAATTGACTATAAGAGCATAACATGAACAGGCCCAGGCCCAATCCCTCTTCCATGGCATCGCATCGTAGGGTCGCAGAGGCCCATCGTCCAGCCCAGCCCAGCCCAGCCAACCAGCCGGGCATTTCCCCCATGCACTGTAGTACTGTAGTACCTAATCATTCATGCCTAGCCTGTCTTGGGTACAAACCCCATGCATCTATTGCATCCGTCTCATCCATCCATCCGTCTGGTGGGACGGGAAGTGGTGGACAGCGTGGCGTGGCTTGTTCTTAACTGGCTGGGCTAGATGGATGAATGGATGGGAAAAAGGTCATCGCCGGCATGGCGCGTGCAGAAATACACGGCGAACACGACAGCAAGCCAGCGATCATCCGTCTATTGTATTTGCGACACTCACTAGTGGAAAGCCCCAGTAGATTTTGTGGAAATATTTACACCTCACCATGTGTGCGTGCGTGTTGAACTAGCTGGCCATCCTCATCCTGCTGTTGTTGCTGCTGCGGAACATACGGTAGTCACATTTCGCATTGTACATATTTTATGAAGGATCGTTGCAAAATGGGCAAGAGGAGACTGACTCAAGCACACACCAGTCCTCGAACAAGATGTTTGGGCGCGTGTGCAGTACAGCCGAAGTATGTAGTAGTAGTACCATGAATTTTGAAACGTCGTCCTTTTGCTGACCTACTGACTGGTTGGGTGGTTGGGTGGCTGGCTGACGGACTGGCTGACAGATACTCCGTGTCAAAGGTAGGCAAAAAGAGAGGGAAAGAGAGCAAGGAAACAAGAGAAGAGAATTGAATCCTCATCTCATACCAGTCCTCAATCCTCACTGTCGCCCTTGACGATATCTCAACAATCAATTTGACAAAAGTCCACCGCATGACCAAAGACACAAACAAGCAGGGAGTAGGACCGTCAAGAGCAAGGAATGGACCCTGAAAAACCCAGAGTCCGGGCCCAAGGATGCGACCAGCCGAAACCGCGAGCAAGTCTTGGTTGATGGGCTTGATACGCTCGCACCCCTTCCTGGACCCACGAAGGGGCCCCACCGAATCGTGGAGAGAGACGGAGGTGTGAGAACGAGAGGCGGAGAGGGGTCCAAGATCTGTGTGTGTATGGCTCTCCCTGCCTGACACTCTCTCTCCCTTTTGACTGCAGCAGTATGTGCATCTGCAAGTGCAATGTGCATAGACGCCCACCACGCATGCATGGCCTGCTGCATCCAAGGGCAACAGGCACCAAGCACCAGCACCACTTACCATCACCTCTTCCGAATCCGTCCGTGATCATTCGGGTACGACACGAATCAGACGAGGACACGATATTTGGTCTGGTCCCCTGGCTGACAACGACCCGGTTGCCCATTCACACCCCCATTGATAAGCCCTTACTGTAACTGGCTGGGACGGACCATATTCTCTCTCTCCCTCTCTCGCTGTCAGACTCAGAGTCGCAGAGTCCAAGGATAACGACCAATACTGTAATCAGTTGCCAGGGAGGAAAGGAAGGGTTGCTCACTTTTTGGCTACGCCGAGTTTCACCCGGGACCAAACCGCTCCACCCCAAGAGTCGATCCTATCTCGGGCCCTGATAAGCCACCAGCAGAGAGTCACCTGCTACCTCGCCGCGCGGCCGCAGCAAGTTGGTCCAAACGTCCCCATACCATGCATATTTAAAGTACATGGTAGTAGATACATACATACAGTTCATCATGATCATGAAAAGGTCCAGGAGCTAGAAGAACCCCCCGGCCGGCTTCCTTAAGATGTCACATTGTCCCGTCAAATAGAGACCACACGCCGTGCCGCTGCAGCAATCGACGATACGTCGTGCGATGCGTCCACGTCTTTCAACGATGACAGCGTGTCTGGTTGTCCGTTCGTCTTCACTGTATACTTCATCCATCGTCCTGCCAATGGTCTGAATAAGAAAGGTCACCATTTCATTCTGTACCACCCGCTGCGAAAGAGAATAGGAATCGAACTGTCCAGGCCGTCAGCCGGGCACAACCCATCAGGACAACACTCTCGGCCTGCCATGCATCCCGCCCCTCCTGACCTCGTTCCTACGTGCGAATATTCCAGCGACACACTCGAGGTTGTCACGTGCTACTCCAAAGTTTGTGTTAGGATTGAACGAGTCCATTATGAATTGTAGTGAGGAGCCCAGCTGCCGAAGGAGGGACAGGCGCGGATTTTAAATTCCGTGTAGAAAGGTTGATGCCATGACACAGACGGCTCAAGGAGATGTCTTGATCAATTGAGAGGGTCGCCTCTTCCACGTCGTGTCACAATCCTTAGAGACCAGTGGCAGTCGAGCGAAGAGACGCTTGTTTGTGTGAACAGAGACGTTCTCCTACACACCTTCACTTCTCGTGCCCGGCTTCACTCTTAACCGCTCGTCTTTTTTCTGCTGTTCTTGGACGACACGAAGCAGATGCCCGCGCAGGTGTTGAACCGCAACTTGTAAGTCTCACTCTGCCCACGCCCTCTTCGGCCTATCGATTATGGAGAGCAGTTCACTTGCTGGGGGCTCGCCGTTCACAATGCATGGATGGTCTCGCGGACGATCACTATCTTTGGACTTGGGCTGCTTGGATTATTTTTGATTCGCTATCAACGTTTCGGCGACCAAGGGTCGATCCCAGTTGTCAGGCTACACAAAAACCACAATGCATGTTCGAGCAAGCCATCTCTGGCGTGCGGCCCTGGCCAAGAGTCTTTAGATAGCCAGTCTCTCCACCTTGTCCTTCAGGGCCCGGATCTGACCCATCAGGTCAGAGGCCTCGTTGCTGGTAATGGCAGCAGCGATCACAGCGCGCGAGACACCGCAGGCTCGGCCGAGGGCGACCTTCGAGGGAACGTAGACCTGCGAGAGCTTGAAGTCAGCCTGCTAGCTCCAACATGCGTGCGGTGGGTTGACGACATCCGGTCAGGTTGCGACTCACGTAGGGGGTGTTCTTGTCTTCGGCCAGGAGGGGAATGTGCAGGAGGATGGCCAGAGGCGCGGTGTCGGCAGCGAGCACGACGACCTCAGCCGTTCCACGGTTCAGAGCCTTGGTGGCCTCGTTGGCACCCTTCTTGAGCTGGCGGTAGTGGCTGGCCGACTGGATCAGGTCCAGGATTTCCTGTTTGCCTTTTCGTCAGTTGATGTCGTGTATAAAATCGTTGAAAAGGTTGAGTCGTCTCTCAGTATTCACGAACCTGGGACAGGGCAGCATCGGCGATGGGCCACGCAGCAGACTCGTTCTGGTTGGACATGTTGGCAGAGAAATGGATTGCGAATTATCCAAGGGAGAGGCAAAGAGGTACACAGCAGGGTTCCTTTCCGTAGATCGCCCTGTATTCTGGATCTAGATGGTGATGATGGAGAATGGGTGAGTGAGTGTTGGGATTGGCCTTGCCCAAGGGACTTGGGAAAAAAGATTGGAAAGAGTTTAAAGTGGGGCTTACCGATAAGCTGATAGGATCATTTGGTTGTTGCGTTTCCCGGCCCCAAGCCGCTGACAGGTGGTTCCGCTCTGCTGGCCTGATGGGAGCTTTTCGTTATAGCGCAAGTTAGTGGTGATGCTGCTGACCTGGCAGTGCCTGGGAGGTGCTGAGCTGGCCTGCGTTCAGGCCTGACTTTGGGACCTGCCCAGCGTGCCCAGCGTTTCCAGCCCCCCTGCTGGAGGATTTGCCGCAGGACAAGGAGTGCAGGCAAAACCTTGCCCTCCCAATCAAAGGCGGATTCCAGCTGCAACTGCAGCAAACGACGCAACTCGCAACTCGTCACCATCATCCATCCACTCACTGGCCCCAAGCTAGCTGCTGCTTCTATTCCTCACCCACCCGAAACAAGACTCTCAACAACGCCCTTTCGCCATTACGACTTCAACGCGCTATCGCGACCATTCCATCTTCATACTCTCCTTCTACTACCTCCTTTACCTTTTCTCATCCTCCACAACCGTCAAGATGCCTTCAGATCTGTGGTAAGTACTTGCTGCTGATGGGCGTCCCGAGCTCCCCTGCCGTCACTTGAAGCTTAGACCAGAGACATCACCTCCCTCAACCTGTCTCAAACACTTCGAAATCAACCTTAGATGACATTCCCAGCTGATCATGATGAACTCGCAGTCCCGTCTATGCGGTTAGTTCTCCCTCCAGGGCACCTCCCTGCCCACCGTCGTCATCGTCATCCTGAAAAGCTCCCTCCGGCTCGAGACGAACTTATCCACGAGAATATCATCGAGAGACAACGTTATGCTGACAACCTTCTAGCCCTTCTTCGGTGCCATGGGCTGCACAGCTGCAATCGTCTTCACATGTCTGGGCGCGTCATACGGAACCGCCAAGTCTGGCGTGGGTATCGCGGCGATGGGTGTCCTGCGACCTGACCTCATCGTGAAGAGTACGTCCCGACAATAAGAGCTGCCTTCCATTCCGACGATGAACTTTGCTTACCGATAACCTCTAGACATTGTCCCCGTTATTATGGCCGGTATCATCGGTATCTACGGTCTCGTCGTCTCCGTCCTCATTTCCGACGGTCTCAAGCAGACCGACTACCCCCTGTTCACCGGCTTCATCCAGCTCGGTGCCGGTCTGGCCGTCGGTCTGGCCGGTCTGGCTGCCGGTTTCGCCATCGGCATCGTCGGTGATGCTGGTGTGCGCGGTACTGCCCAGCAGCCAAGGCTCTTCGTCGGCATGATTCTGATTCTCATTTTCGCTGAGGTCTTGGGTGAGTTATTTTTAGAAACAACAGCTGCATCCTCCTGCTCCCATGTCATCTCGAGGAGCCGAGGTCAGACAACGATGGGCACATGCTGACAAAATCTACCCAACAGGTCTGTACGGTCTCATTGTTGCGCTGCTCATGAACTCCAAGGCCTCGCTGAACGTCAGCTGCTAAAGCGCTTCGCTGTCCACGTCTCGACCCGTCGACACGATACTCCGAAGCGGACCGGCGACTGGAAACCTTGCGCAAGGTCCTCTTCGAAGCTTACAAGAACGACACAGTCGGCGGTAGCACAAAAGTCACGGAATCAGCTTGGGACTCTGGATAAATGGGTCATGCTCTGGGGAAACAACCGCATTCAAGCACGGCGGTTCACTCCCCTGACCAGGATGAACGAAAGGGGCGTAGACGGAGAGGACGGATGATGGGGAACGGTGCGTCTGGAGCATATACGTGTAAAATCTGTCACATTAGGCGGCATCATCGGTTGTCTTTTTTCTCGTCATAGATGTTGGGAGGCGGGAGAAGTGGTGTGTGGGAGAAGACTGTAGTGTAGGATGGGAGTAATGCTGCGTTGATTCTGCGATTTCTGGGTTTCACGGCTGCATTAAGTACTGACAAGTGTGTTTTTGCATTACACCTCATCCTCAAGAACGTTCTCCCTGTCTTGTTGACATTTGTTTTGGCAAGCCCTTGCATGTATCGATGTCCTGCCCGATCTGCTTACTGTTGCTGTCCTGCAATGTATGCTTTCTGAGCCCACCACGTCCTCAGGAACTTATTCTTCATGATTTCCGCCATTATGTCTCACTCATCATCGACATGGGCCGGCATCTACCTCTCTGTCCAACTTTTTGCCTATTGGCTCTCCAGGTCTGCAAAGCTCACGAAATGACGAGACAATGCTCAGCAGTCAACACAGATTCTGCAAATGTTTTATTAGATTGATTTTCTTTCCCCCCTGAGAAAATATCCATTAACTGGATAGGTGTGTGTCACTTTTCGCTGCTCGCGAGGCGCAACGTACTATATGTGCATTACCACGTATAAACAAGAGTGAAGATGATGCAACCAACGCCCGGGGGTGTGATGCTACTATTAAGCCATTAGGTCGCATTGGATCAATGTCCGGCCCCCTTCACTAACTCCCACCATAGCCTTCCTGTCCTCTTCCTCTCTTTTTTTTTTTTTGTTCGCCCCCCCCTTCCCCCTTCCCCTTTTCTTTTCTTTTCGCACTTTTCATGCCCTCCTTTTGCCCTGGCTCCATCAAATAGCTTCCAGCCGTCGGAGAAGGGTCCATCTAATACAAGAATAGAAAGACTATTGCCACCATAAAGAAATGCAAGAGTTAAAAGCAAGTACGTTTGTCGGAACATATACAAGGTGAATCGAACTGGAAGTTATATCAAGTCATGTCCCGCTCCCTGCCTCCTCTGCATTCCGACACCAACAACCTGTTCATCTTCCGAGGCCATAGTCATGGTATGAGCCTGCTTAGATGACATACTGCAGGAGAAAGAAGATGATGGTTAGCAGGTGTAGGTTCATGTCGTTCCTGTCGTTCCTGTCTTTCCTTTTCTTGTTCTTCTTCGAAGATCTACAAAGAATGGATTGAGACTTACGGGGATGAACAGGTATGGGACCTGCCTCTCGTACTCCTTCCAGGCATCTCCATACTTCTCGCGACAGCGCTCAATGTCCCGAGAGGCACGGTGGGCGATCATGCCGAGGAAGAAGATGGGGTAGAACCAGGGGAATGGGCTGCTGAAGCCGGTGATCAGACCCCAGCAGATGGCGAAGAAGGCATCGCACGTGTAGTGGACCTTGCGGGCGAGTCCGTACCAGCCGTCCACGAGGATGGCATCGCCGGTCTGCGTAGGGATCTTCCTGGGGTTCTTGACGGACTGCCATGGGACCTGGGGGAAGGTGTTGCGCTTGGTGAAGGTACCGCGCTCGGTGGCGCGGAAGCTGTTCTTTTGGCCGTTGCAGCTGTCCCAGACCCAGTAGACGAAAATGTAGGCGGCGAAGAGGAAGGTCAGGAAGACACGGTTCCAGCGGTACTCGGACGGGTCGTGGTTGGCGAGGTAGATGGTGCAGTGGCAGTAGGACAGCGGCACACCCGCCATGTTCCAGAAAATAAGCATGAACCCCCACTTCTCGTAGTACATGTCCCAGGTGGTGATGATCAGCTCCTCGCCCTTGCTGCAGGCGTTGGCGTACAGCCAGTGCGCCATCACGATGAAGCACACCTCGCCCGATACATAGCCGTACTGCTCGTACTGCCGCACGGCGGTGCTCACGCTGAGCAGCAGCAGGATGTACCAGGGCAGCCGGACCTCGAAGAACATCTTGAAGTCCAGGATGCCAAACATGCGCGGGTTCAGCTCGGCGCCCATGAAGAAGTCATAGATGGGGGAGCCAGTCATGCGGTGCTGGGCACCACGCCAGAGAGCCGAGAAGTAGGCGATGAACGCGACGAGGTAGCCAGAGAGGATGGCGACGGACAGCAGGGGCCCAAACTCGTCAATGAAACTGGCGGCACTGTAGATGCCCGAGAGGTGCAGGGCGGCAAAGACGGCGAGGGTGATGTAGAGGGACACGAAGCCGGAGCAGTAGTACTTTAGCTGCTTGCCGCCCTCGAAGGGCAGGGGCTTTCCATAGCCGTAGACGCCAGGCGCGAAGAGGTACAGGACCATTTCGAAGACGAAGAAGATCCAGTACATGGCCCAGGCCTTGAGGGTGGGGAATGCGCCCGTGTAGACCAGGTGGCCGAGGTGCTGGAAGAAGTCTCCCCAGCTCTGGCCGGCTTCCCGCGCGGGAAAACGACCGTCGTAGTAGGTTGCGCCGATCCACATATACCACATCAACAGGGGAAAGCCAATCATCATGGCAGACACACCCAGGCTGCCGCCAAACTCGTATCTTCCCGAGTAATCGATCTTGTGGTCCATGCCGGGCTTCCAGCCGTCCACTACCCTGTCCTCGGCAGCAGCAGCATGCCCGTTGGTGGCCTCAGCAGCAGCAGTCTTGCGCCTTGTAAGCACGCCCTCCTCCTCTTCAGGCTGACCAGCCTGCTGAGCCGAGTTCTGGACAAGGCTGCTGTTCTCGTTGTCGTCATCGATGTGCTCGACGAACTTGGGTGCGCCTCGTCGCCGGAGGGCACGGGTGGCGCGTGAGGAGGTGGTAGTCTCGGCGGCGGAGCTGGACTCGGCGTCGGCATCAGAGCCTTCGAAGGACAATGAGGTTTGTCGCTTGGAGACGCGACGGCCAGGCGTCTCGATCATGCCCTCAAAGGGCTCCTTCTTTCTGTGAGGAGGCAGAGAGTCAGACAGAGGACACAACGCGTGCGCCATCCGGGCAGAGCAATGTGAGGTGGTATTGCGAACTTACCGAGGAGTCTGGCGAAGAGAGTACCTCGACATTGTTTTCTGGTCGGTATGGTTCGCTTAAGAGAAAAGGAAAGAGAATGAAACAGACAGATTGAACCTGATATGGACGTGGTATTGAGCCAGACAATATCAATTGCCAAGCAGTTGCTCTCGCCAGCACAACGAACGACCTTGAGACTTGACAGGTCACTCGGATGGGCGGTTGCAACGTGATACTGTAGTGAGTGGGTTCATGGGCAGTATTCGAGCTAAGCTACCTGGAAAGAGCGAAGCAGGAGGGTCTTCCAAACAAATCAAATCTGCTCTCGGCTCCACCTCGGCTGTTGGCAGGGCAAGCAGGGATCTGTTGTGGTTGGCACAGCAGCCAGTCACTGCTAGTGTGAATTTACACCAACCAACCAATCTCCTTGAGGGAAAGGAAAATCAAACAAAAAATTAATTTATTTGTTTCCAACCTGAAATACGAAAAACAGATCCAACAACGAGAAGGTTGGGGGGAAGGGGCGGGAGGGAAAAATGAAAGGAAGAAAACAAGGAAGAAATCAGAAATGAAAAAGAGAGGGGGGGGGGGCATACTGGAAAATGGAGAGCAATCCGCTTCACACTGGCATCAAAGCAAGCTTCCTCTGGTGATTGACACGTCTTGCTAAGTAAGTACTTTGTAACAAGATCAATGACAAGTAGTTTCGGCCATTCTCTCTTTTCATATTGATTTTCCTCATTAGATCCAGCTCTAAGTACTATTAGTACCTCATCAGCTACCTTAGCAAGTCTTTTTCATTTGCATTTATTGGCTGCTGAGAATGTTGTTCCAACTTGATTCATCGATGGTTTCTCACCATAAGCAGAGTTTGTGCACTGATGGCCGGGATGATGTGTTCATCCCTTTTCTGTCGCAATCTGAGTTGCTGCGTTGGAAATTATTGAGCGCTGTGAGTTATGTGTTGTAGATTGTCATTATTCCTGTAGGACCTGTGTTTCTGCTATATAACACGTTCTCACTCGAAGAAAACCTTGATATCGGGGACTTGGGCTGCAGCTGTTCGTTGATGAGTCCATGTCGTCCGGTCGTTTCACTTACTTGATTGGTTAACGATGTTTACAAAGGATCGAGTGTATATTTCTGCTCCCTTGCGTAAGACACTTGCCGCGTATTTGAAAGCCCTCTTAATGGTACTCTCCGTCACGGAGCTCGAGGGCCTAAGTCTATCAGTCCATCGGATATCAACTCGACCGCTCTTCATCCTGCTCACAACATACACACACCATGGTTGTAGTGAGGCAAACGCTACAGAGCAGATGACGCCCTCAAGTCTCGATTAATGAGCTCGGAACCAGCCTGTCCGATTATGATGATCACCTGGTAGATGTTTCTCATGTGGTGGCCCTCCTGTGCATAACCGCATGTGAACTACCCACCTTTAGCCCAGCCTCTTAAGTACCTGCATAGCGGCACTATTATATTCCCAGACTTGTCTTGAAGACTTGTTAATTTGATGCCCCCCACCCCCCCCCCTTTTCCCACATGGTCGGAATGATTGTTATCTCGCAAGGTTCTGTTTCTGGGTTGCATGTTGGCAATTCGCGGCTCTTCCGACTTAAACTCCAGATTGTCCGGTTGATTGAGAATTGAACCCGCTGGATCCTGAATTTTGATAGGACACAGATATTAAGCATCAAATATAGTCCTCAGTACCAATATACAGCCTTTCTCCTACTCGTCCAAATAGGCGTTTGACATGTTGATTTCCCTGGTTCTCATAGGCTTGGCGTCGTATTCATCAATGTGGCACGCCGCACTCTTCGGCACTTCTTTTGGAACATTTGTCTTCTGTCATACTTGGAAAGACGAAGATCGTTCACAAATATCGATCATTACATGAATTTATAAGTAGTGGCTATTTTCTTGATCAGTTGACTCTTTGCTCAGACCTCTCCTCTTCGTTTTTTTGCCTTGGCTCAGATTATTATAGTAGACACATGTTTGCGGAATAGACATACCATTCCACAAACTGCCTTTCATTCAGTCACTTACTCACAATTCTTATCACCATCACTTGCTGAGAACATGGCGTGGTCACAGGTCATTGGCCTCCTGGCCCTGAGCGTGCTGGGTACTTCGTCACCCACGCCACAGATTGGTGGAGGCGGCGCCGAATACACGATGCTCCGTTTCGTAAGCAACTTCATACATGCATTCATCCAACACATACACCCATGTTGTTCACATATTTGTGAGACAAATGAATACTGACTCTCATGGTTTGTTAGGGCTGCGCACAGGTCGTCATCGACCGTCTCGACCCTCTAGTTTCTCCAGGATCAGTGCCATCGGGCCATGTTCATCAGATCGTTGGCGGAAATGCGTTCAATGCCACTATGACGACGGGAGATGTTTCGGACGAGTACGTGGTGTCCGCACTCTAGATATTTAGGACAATTCTTTTTTGACCAGTCTCTTGTGAGGGGACTTGCACTAACATCACCTATGCGACGTTGATAGCACTACTTGTACCACCTGCGCCTTCTCACAGGATCGCAGTAACTACTGGTGCGTATTCGTCATTAGTGTTATTAGTCAAGAGTCTACTATCAAGTTGCTTCGATGTACTAATGGGTGGAATGCATGATAGGACAGCAAACATGTACTTCAAGGCTTCCAACGGCTCTTACCATCGCGTCCCTCAGGGCGGAGCAGCCTATCAATTCAATGATAACTTCAGCACACAGATCGGAGGAGGGATCCTCGTATACTACGTGTCATATCCCTCTCTTAACATCACTGCCTTCAAGCCTGGGTTCCGGATGCTCGTCGGGGACTATACTCGGCGCACCAACCCAGGCAGCACACTGAAGTATCAAAACTGCTTTCGCTGCTACACGGGTCCCAATTACGGTGGCGATACCTCAGCGCCCTGCCAGGGGAGGTATGTGCTCAGAAGTGATTTGCAAAGTTCTGTCCTGAAGTTGTACTGATGCAACTCTATTTATAGCAATGACTACCAAGGACTCCCTCCACAGGCTTGTCCAGGAGGCATTCGGTCAAACATTCTCTTCCCAACGTAAGTTTTTCGTGGCTCTTCACTACTTGAGTAATACATTCTACCTGTCAATGATTGTGCTGATTGATCTTGAAATAGCTGTTGGGACGGCGTCAACCTTGTAAGCAACTGTCCCATCTGCCTTGTCGGCTATAGGGTTACAACACTTCAGCACGCTCTTGGGCTGCCCAGGAGGATGTTCTGCTCGATGAATCTTGTCACCTCTGATACCTTGATTATCCTGAATTACTTTTTCCCCCTTTCTTTTGGAAATAAAGTCTGTGATCATAGCATTGCTCACTCAAAGATGGACAGGATACACCGAACCACCAGGATCACGTCGCTTATCCCACCTCCGGCCCGACCACCTTCATCGATCAACCTGGCGAGTGTCCATCCACACATCCTGTTCGCATCCCGCAGGTGATGTTTGAGGTGGTCTGGAACACCACCCAGTACAACGACGAGTGGCCCACAGACGGCTCCCAACCCTTCTACCTAAGCTACGGGGACAACACCGGCTACGGCCAGCACGCCGACTACGTCTTTGGCTGGCAAAACACCTCTCTCCAGGGGGCCATGGACGTGGCTGGTTGTATGGGCGCCACGTGCTCTCAGGCGAACCTGCTCACCCAGGACATCAACACGGCCAAGGAGTGTACTGTGAAGAAGGAGGTCAATGAGGATGAGGACGGCTGTGAGTGCAAGGCCGTCGACTATCGTGTGTGTATCGTGAGTTGCTAATAGCTATTTAGGGATGTCGGCCCTTCCGGGGCAGAGTATGTAATGCTCACGGTAGGATTTTATTTCTTTATTATATCAATTCATTCAGCGATCACAGAGGTCGCTGTACGCCGTGGGACCACGAGAAGAGCGTGTTCCGTAGGCGCACCTTGTATTCGTGACCTGTGATTCCTCCTCAAGAGCTTTTACAGGTACTTGTTATGTGTGCAGCAGTTTCTGTGGCGAGTTGTTTCGTATGGTTTGTCAATCTTCGTTGCTGGAGATTTGATTGATTATCATACTCAAAGTTTCCATTGTTAGATTTAATGCAATTGCATTTCACTTTCGCATCCCACGCGCGATGCACAGCCCTCCTAGCAGAATCCCTTATGTTAGGATCGATTCGTTGTCCAAACCAAAATGTTATCCCTTTTTGAGGAAGAGAAAAGAGAATTTCCAAAAAATTATGGATATTTGCTGCTGTCGCAACAAGCTACACTTTATTTTCGATCAAAATCGTTTTCTCTTTCCGGTTTTCTCTTGCTCTTTACATGCATAGATAGATACGTATACAAATATATATATCTATATGTTATATTTTTCAAGTCGTCATTTTCAACATCTTCTCTGATTATTGAGCACGCCTTTCATGTCAAGGGACACACGTGGAACTGAAAGCAAAAAAATAAAGTCGTCACACGGCTCAGATTAGTGATCTGTTGGCTGAGCGGGCAAATTAATAATGCAGAGGACTGCAGCAGCAGAAGATATCGTGTGATCGGTTCCGGAGCATCTTGTCAGCCGCAAGGCATGAATTATCCTGCAAGTTGATTGGTTCATTTGCTGCCACCTTCCCAAGCGCCAATTGTAATTGAGCCGTTCCGCTTTGAAATCCGATGGCTGTTTGGATTTCCGGCATATTTTTACCGTCTTTGAGGAATCTGCCGTGCTGCGCCGTGCGTACGTAATCCCCGCTTTTAAACCTTTCGATGAATGAATGATGCAATCATGGGTTCGAGCCTTGGGTTGGGGCGCTACGGGGTTTCTCGGGCGTAAAGACGCGGCCGCATTTATCTCCAGCGGACTTGAGAGATCTTAAGCGGTACTTGGCAGGACACTCCTCCTGCTGTATTAATATGGTAGTACACATATGATCAACTAGGAGACTTCATTGCAACACGTTGTCTTCGTAAGTATATAAACAGCTAGTTGGTTCTCGTCTCCAAGTGGTGACTGTCCTGGGAGTCCATCATCGTCTTGACCAAACCAGACACTCACAATCAATTACACACTCTCACTGCCTGCGTCCGATTCCAAAACACGTACTTTTCGACACTCACCTGAACTGCATTCTATTACATACTTCGCACCCATCATGGCGTCGAAATACAACAAGCTTCAAGGAAAACACGTCCTCATCATTGGCGGGACCTCTGGAATTGGGTACGCGGTGGCAGAAGCGTCTCTGGCGGCCGGAGCCAAGGTTACCGTGTCCTCGTCCAGCCAGGCCCGAGTCGAGTCTACTGTCCAGAAACTCAAAGAAAACTTCCCTAACGGCACCGCTGCCGGTCACGCCTGCGATGTGTCCAAGCCCACCGTCGAACAGGATCTCGAGGCGCTCTTCACCAAGGTCGGACAGGTCGACCACATCGTCTACACGGCTGGTGGCAAGCTCTCCCAGCTGGACCTTCCCGACGTCACCTACGAGAAGCTCATCGCAGCTGGACAGATCCGCTTCTTCGCCGCGTTTTTCGCGGCCAAGGTCGGCCGTAAATTTTTGACCCCCGGCCCGTATTCGTCTATCGTCTTTACCACTGGTACTGTCAGCCAAAAGCCGATTCCAGGGTGGTCTGCATTGGCTGGTTATGGCGGCGGCCTGCATGCGCTGACGAGAAACCTGGCTCTCGACTTGAAACCCATCCGCGTCAATCTTGTCAGCCCTGGCGCCGTGGAGACGGAGCTCTGGGAGACTGGGAATAAAGAGGCCGACGAGAAGTTGAAGGCAATGCTTGACGGCGTTGTCAAGACTTTACCGACGGGAAGAATTGCCCAGCCTGAGGATGTGGCCGAGGCTTATCTGTTTCTATTGAAGGACCCGAGTGTTACTGGCACTGTTGTTGACAGCAATTCAGGAGCGTTGCTGGTCTAATTTTCGAGGTGACAACGGCTCTCCCTCCCCCCCCCCCCCATCTCTAGGTATCACTATACTGTATTAGCTTTGCATATTCCTGTTTGTTTCGCGTCGAGACAAGATAAGCATGTATTACATTATTTAACAAGTAACGTGTTTCACCATCGAATGATGGGCTGATGTGTGAGCCCGGGAGACTTCTTTTAATGTTCAAGAGTCACTACAAATATCGAAGCATACCACAGCCTATCACGCGTTGTAATCTCCGTAATCCTTTGCCTTCTCATCCTCGATGCCTTGACCGTTCACCCTCGGCTTCCTTGCATTCCATACGCGCCTCACAAAATCTCTTTCATGAACCAAGTAAGTTAGAAGAAACACTATCACTGTGAGCGGTACAGTAGCAGCCCAGTACCACCAAAAGGGCGGCCCTCCTTCCTGTCCGAATATATCCGTGGGTATACTGAAGATTGATGCCACACAAGCCGGGGGTGCGAACAGCATGGCCACCAGAGTCAGCGTTCTAGCCGTGCGGGCCTCCAGGATCGAGAGACGACCGCCGATCATGCCGTTGAGCGCTGCTAGAGACGATGTCATGCGGGCGTAGTCTGCGAGACGCAAGCGGAACTCCCGATGAAGGTAGAGAAGATCTGGAGTTGATGTCCGCCAGTCTGCGTGCCCAGGAGAATGGACTGGGCTATTGTTCATGTTCGTGTGTCGCCGAGAGGCATCGAGAAAACCCTCTGCGTCCACATCAAAGTGCTCGTACGGTTCATGCCCATGCGGAATGCCAAAGCAGTCCAGCACGTGGCTGAGTGCCTCGAAGTATTCTGGACACTTAAAGTGGCTCCACGCGCTCTCGACCTGGCTGGCTTCGTCGATTTCCTGCTGTGTCCGGCGCTGGACCGCCCACCCTGAGGATCGCATGGACGCGGTCTGATGGCTGACAAAGCCCAACAACTGGCAATAGTGGCTGGCGGCGATCTTCCTGAGGAATACTGCCGCTGACTCTGGCTCTGTGACGGGTCCCAATACAGCGGAATGTTCTCGGATGTAGTAGTTTATGTCGTCGAAAAGGGATGTGTGTGGTGGAGCCTCGATTCTTGCACCACGGACGTGATCAGGTATGAATCCATGATAGCCGCCTTCGAAGATTTTGGTAGCCACGTCGATCTCCAGCCCGTTGATCATGACCTTTCTGGGAGGAGGGTCGCACAGAATCACAGCTTTGGTTATCCATAATCCACGTGTCAGTACACACGAAGCACTATATCCCTCGTGCAAGAACCCAAACTGAAGTCGAAACCGATGTTCTGCACTTACCATTCCAGCCGTAGCCGTGTCTTTCGGACCAGAATGAACACTTTCGCGGCGCGATGAGAAGCCATTCAGAAGTCTTGCTCCATTTATGACACTGGAGATCTCTCCCTGTTGCTGCGCACTGCACAATGCTATTCTTCGCGTTCTTCATATAGTGATCGAAGGACTTCTGGCTTGTAATCTGCCACATTTCGAAATATTCAATCGAGAATCTCCTCCTCGGATTACAAATCGTTGGAAGTCTCGGGCAGTTGATGGTCTCGTTGAAGCGAAATGTTGTATTGTTCCACTGATGGATATTGAGCATGTCCTGTGGCATGTGTAGGCTTGTCTCTAGCACTTGTCTGAGTTTATGACCGGCCTGGCAAGGCCTGCAGGTGGCCGATGGATGACGTCCATTGCATTGTGATGGGGTTTGCACGATAAACAAACGTTGTCGACCTGTTCTAGCATACGGCTGTGAGCCCTCCTTTAGGGCTTCCTCAAGCTTGGACAAGTCGTTCTTGTGCTTGATCCCACCCAAGTTAGATGCTGCGCCTGACTCTTCAAAGTCCCATATAGAGACGCTCGCTTCCATTGGCAACACTGTCGGGAGAAGTGGCCTTGAGCCAAGGGTTCGAGTTGAGATTACACGAGGAAACTTCTGGCATAGAGAAAAAGTGAAGAAGAGTATGTCAAAAGGTAGGTTTCCGCTCCAAGGGCGCTTAATTAGGTATTATATGGTAACGATTTATTACACCTCGCACTCCAGCAGGGTGGTCAGCAGCAGATCTCGCCCGACTAACCATTCATATAACACTTAAGCTCATGCATATAAGCACTGCCACACTATAGTACATAGCTCCAACCCCCATGGTCATAGGTCATTGGACGAAATGGCCTTGGCGGCGTAGGAGAGGCTGTGTAATTCGACCTCCTTGATCCTGCGACATGCAGTGCTAAGGGTTAGGCTGCAGCATAGAGTCATTTGTAGACGGCTTTTCTTCTCCTTCTTCTTCTTTCGTTTTTATGCGCTTTGTGATTTTAATCAGATCACACTATATTCTAAGTATACAGATTTCGCTTTCTCTCGAGCTCTCCCTCTCTCTTTCTATGCCCGGCTGGATTGCTAAAGTGAGCACTGTGGTATTGTGTTTCCACTTGATGAGAGACAGCAATGACCCAATAACCTCATGTGAAACTTTTCATGTAGAGTGATATCAGCACTAGATGATCCTACTCCTGGGCATTCCTGTCGACCTTAGCCTCCAGCAAGGCATTTTCCAAACGAAAAGATGAAGTATTCATATGGGACAGTTGCTAATGATTTTGATAGTAATGCCTGAGGGAGTAGAATAAATAATATGAGGGAAGTAATTATTGAAAGGTCTGACAAGCACATCGATATCTGATGAGTTGAGTAATTGACATACATTTTCTATTTATTTGGATACTTAGATACTGCTAACCGATCTCTGCAATGTTGATCTACACAATCGTCACATCCGTCAACTCCCCATTGTTTGGATCCTCGGCCCACCTGGAGTCCCATTCTCCCTCTTGATGCCCAGGAAGAGCTCGCTCGTCTGCCAGACCAATTCTCTCGTAGCATCCCGCCTGCGACTTTCCCGCAGCCCGAAGAACCAGAAAACAAGGCTCGTGCACCTTGGCAATAACCTTGTAGCCAAGAAGAAGGAGAGAATATCCAGAGCTGCGGCCCGGGAGTACACTCGACGGATCGTCACATATGAATGGTAGGCTTCTCTCACCTTTGTCGAACAACCGAAAGGTGATTTTGTCGTTGCTGTAGTGACTTTCATCCAAGTGAAAGTCAGTGCCACTGTATTGGCAAGAAAGATCTCTAATAAGCCGGCCGCGCAGAACAAGTTTGGCCGAGGCGACCTGTCCAAACGGATCGGCGGCTCGGTCGAGGGGCTCTGCTGTCGCCTCCAAAACTTCCACCGCACTCTCTACGCGAAGCGCATCCATCGGTGAGATGGGCGCATCCAATGACATAAACGACCATGTTGGAGCACGCCACGGCTCAGCACGCCTGGGATCGTACACACCAGTGATTGTACCGTTGTCGGAACGCCACGAGGCTGCCGTGTAGGTGACATACCAACAAAGGCTCCTCACCAGTAACTCGTCGCCCCAGAGCCCCGCAAGGTATGTGGGCTGGCGACCCAGGTGACGGGTCAAGAGATCCGAAAATTTCCTTGCCAGGCCCGACAATGCAGGAAGCTTGTCCTTCTTGTCGGTGATGCTCCGCCTCGTGAAGACATGCACATAGTTACTCCAGACGTTCCTCCAGAAGAAGGACATGTCATAGCCCTCTGTCGAAAGAACATCGGACCGACGCAGAACAACGTTCGGGTTCTCGGTCACGTCAACCTCTGTCTCGCCGAGACCACACTCGCACCATCCCGCCTCGTTGCACTCCCACATCATCTCGTCGGACGTATAGTGCAAGATCCGGTTCGAGAGGACACTCTCCTGCATGCACCACGCTCGTGCGGCCAGCGGCTCCGTGGTTGTGGTGTCGGCAGACCAGTCGGCCGAGATTGGCACGCGGAACAGGAGCCCCCAGTCGCAGTCATTGTGATATTTGGCGATGTTCGCTCGCGTGTATACCTCGCGTCCGTCGCGCAACTTTCCGAGTGATCTGGTCTGGGAGCCGAACCACTGCTTGCCAAAGATGCCCACAGAGGAGCCCTCGGCTTGCGTGGCTGAGATGGTGAGCAGTGCGTTTGAATAGACGTCGCACATCTTGCCAGACTCTCTGATCCACTCCTCCGCGTCGTGCTGAATGATGCACAAGGCATCCACCCACAAGTACTGTATGCCCAGCTTCCGGGTGATCGTCACTGCATCTTGAATCGTCTTGGGCATATGTGAGAACTTGATGGCCTCGAGGTGTTCTTGATAATTTGCCTTGAGCTTGAACTCTGGGAAATCCTTCTTGACGGTCTTCATAGGCGGGTGCTGCTCCCACCAGCCCCAGCAATAACTGAGCGCAATGTATGGCTTATTTTTGCAGGCTGATCCCTTTGTCTCGAACAAGAATGGTTCCCTGACGCCTTCTAGCCCGACGTCGATAACCCTGGTGGGCATAGGGAGATCCCCAGGCATCTGGCATCTTGGATGGTCAGCTCGGCACTTTTTGAGCCACGACGCGGCCAAGGCGAGTGATGTTTCGGAGCCGGAGTTCTCGGAAACCTCGATAGTGGGGCCGATGTATGGCGCTTTTGGGTCTTTTTGTTTTTGTGCGGTCCCGTTCTGGGTGATTCCATTCGTGTGCGGGCTTCGAGTAAAGAGCTCGATGGAGTACTTGGGAGCCCTATATTTAACTCGCAACGGCTGGTCCCGTGCAATGAGCAGTTCTACGAAGTCATCGTCCTTGAACTCTGAAGTGTATAGTTGGAGGGCTCTCCAGACGAGTTGGCACTCGTCACAACTGGACGACTTCAGGCCTCCAACACTGATCCATTTGGGTATTTTGGCCTTCGAGCCTGGCGGCAAGTTTTGCAGTTCCGGTGGGTGGATGTTGGCACAAAGTTCGCAGCTCATGTTCAAAGCAATCTGAGGAATATAGAATTGAACGTTGACGGGACAAGATCATAGCCACCGATGTGGGGAGGAAAAGAAGAAGAGGGATAAGGAGGAGGATCAGAACATTCTTACACGTAGGAGCCAAAATTCTCCATGGGGATGGTTCCACGATGCTGCAATACCAAGCCAGCTGAAGTCAGGGTTTCGCATCCTGTGAATTGATGCATCGTCAGTGATACAATGCAATCATGAGTTATAGATGAGCGAGAACTGAACAATGATCATGATGTCCAGACATGGCTCTACCATTCATTCTGAATCAAAGATACGACGGAACTCATGCCCCCAAACTTGGAAGCCAAAAGATGCCGTCGTCCAACCAAGTCTTTGGCAAATCCTGAAGTCGAAAACAATTGGGCAAAGCCTTGGACCCACTGGTCGACCACATGCGACTCAGCCCCATAAGAAAGGGGTTTTACTTAGATGGCCAAAAGTCGCGGCCACGGTGATACGGTATTTGCCTGGACTCGAATCAGGCAACGATATACGAGAGCTAATAATCGATCAACAATTTTCTCGGTCCACTTTGGTCAGTTTTTCTCATAAGCATTTATCTCAGCGTTTAATCAGCACAAGGTGTCGAGGTACTCAAGCACATCCAAGGGTTTCCCAATTGTTACAATTCCGTCTCTCCACGCTTGATCCACTTTTGATGGCTATCAGTAGAGGATTGTTACAAGCATGATAGCAAACATCATTCATCTCTACCGTTCAGGAACGACTGCAAGCGAACACAGTGAGCACTCAAGAGAGGACAAAAAATCACTCATCATAGCTCAGGGTAACTCCGAAGCCATGTAAGATGAAGAAGTCCGGTTCTTCAGTAGTAGCTTAGTCAAACCCTTCTACAAATTAGCTACTTGAGGGCTTCAGTTCCGTCACTGAGGTCCTTCTTGAGCAGGCTGTGCTGCCATTATGTGCTTTATTATGAAAGTGTGCTTCTCACATAGTCGGTATTAGGCATAAAAGTAAGCGACTTTGGTTTTGCTGTCGTTACTGAGACCCTGAACACCTCGACAAGTAGGAGACAAGCCGAGCACTGCCGCGCTGTACCACTGTAAGTAGCTGCAGTAGGGGTTGGGCTAGAGATCCCTCTCTGCATGCGCGGTGAGATGTCGTAGGCCAGCCAATCGTTTTCATTTCAGCCGTCCTGCAACTCCACAATGGCGCTGTATGCTAGTTGTGCGAAACCGATCCCGATCCCGCCGCGTCCAAGTTTGATCCTTATCAATAGGGAGGACCGGACTGTCAGAGTGCTGAGCCACACGTGTGCGTTGCTGGCTCAAGTTCGCAACCAAAGAGACAACACAATGTTTGGGCAGGATGGGTGGAGCTGAGTCAAACCCACATATTCTTCACGAGGAACGAGGAACGAACCCGTCGTCGTGGGGTAGAAGTAAGCAGGATTGATGGGGGCGGCGCAGACTTTGAAAGATGGTGATGGTGTCTTCGATAATGATATAAAGATCGGAATCAGGACCTTTGTACATGTCTCTGATCAACTGTTTCCGGATCTTGATAATTACCTCTTCTATCTAATGGTCCTATAGCAGCTTGTTTTTTTTTTGTATTCGTATCAAAAAGACATACTGCCATAAATAACCACATTATCTTACACGGCACTCGCAAGATATTTACCAATCTGTCTCTTCACATCGCAAACTTTTGTTCTCTCTCCTACCTTGACCAATAAAAAAAAGTCAATACTCGAGTTTCCGACTTGTCATTGTTATTGTCGTCCGAGGGGCACCGCAACCATGGCCTCACAACTCTACAACCGCATGGTGGCCAGCCTACCACAGCTAATGGCACGGCGTTCTTCCTCCTCGTCCTCCGACGACTGGTACCCATGGAACTACACCAGCGTCAACGGACGAGTCTGCGACATGCCGCGGCCGATGCTAAACACCGAGACAGCCACGCTGGCGGGCGGCATGGACTTCTCCACCATCAACAAGATCATCACGGGCGCGTGTGCCCTCTTTGTGCTGCTGAGCCTGCTCGTGCTCATGTTTCGGCACGCCACGCACTTTTCGCGGCCCAATGAGCAGCTCCACATCATGCGCATCTGCTGCTACCTGCCCATCTTCAGCATCGGCTGCTTCCTGCAGGTCTCGTTCCCGAACGCCTACGTCTACCTGAACCCGTGGCTCGATTTCGCGCAGGCCGTCGCCCTCTGCAACTTCTTCCTCATGATGTGCCAGTTTGTCTCCCCGTCCGACAGCCAGCGCGAGCTGTTCTTTGCGGCCCTCAAGGTGCCACAGAAGAAGAGGCGGAACAACATCAGGAGAGGCGGGAGGAGAGGCAGAGGCAGGAGGGCAGGAGGCTACGACGACCAGGAGCAGCAGCAGCAGCAGCAGCAGCAGCAGCAGCAGCAGGTCAATGACGAACCAGTCAACGGCCTGCACTGGTATCGCCGCATGTTCATCTTGATATTCCAGTACCCGGTGGTCCAGGCTGTTGTGTCGATACTCACCGCCATCACAGAGAGCCAAGGCGTCTATTGCCTGGTCTCTTCCAAACCTCACTTTGCACACCTCTGGCTCGACATTGTCCACACGGCTAGCCTGGCTGTTGCCGTCATGGCATGCCTGAGGCTCCTGAGCGGGCTGCGTGGCCAGTTGAAGCACCACAGGCCTCTGCTCAAGCTGGCCGCATTCAAGCTCCTAATTGCCATCACGGGTCTGATTCAGGTACGTGCTTTAATCCATCATCATCCCTCATACACCATGATTGCCCATGAATAGTAGTAGAGGAGTTTGGCTAACAACGCCCTTCCAGCTCATCTACTGGATCCTTCGGACGGTTAAACCGACCCCTCTCAAGCCTACCGCCTCCCTTTCCTTCGCAGACGACTTCATCGGCATCCCCGTGCTAGTCATGGCCCTCCTCACCGTTCCCTTCTCGATCCTCTTCCACTTCGCCTACGATGTCCAGACATACTACCTTGAAAACGTCGACAAGAACCTGCCACTCACCCAAAGGGATGCAGAGGCTGGTGATAGCACCGACTCCCCCTCCTCGTCCCTGAAGCCCAATGCTGGCCTGAGCTCGGCAGGGTCATCGTACCAGGGCGGGTTTTTGGGGATATGGGCCTGGCTGGGCATGCTCAACCCGAGCGAGCTCATCTCTGGACTCAGGTTTGGGCTCACCATGTTGAACAGGGAGAACCGGGAGATGGGTGTCGACACAGTGCGGAGAGCGCAGACGGGGGAGTTTGATAACTGAATGCCTTGAGGGCTCGAGTCCTTTCTTTTGTTCGTCGAGAACAAGCATTATACTAATTCGAGGATGCGAGGTTACTTTTCTTGATATCCAATAGACTACTGCAGATTTCATCTTCTTTCTAGAATTGGAATCGTTCATTAAGTAATTATAAGTTAACTGCTTATGGTCTCTTCAACTACTTCGAGGCAAGGCTGAACGCTAATGTCTGTGGATAAGATGATATCGGCCAGTGTTTGGCAAGAGTGAAAAACGACAATTCTTCATTCACCATGCAAGCTATTTTATACCGTTTTTGGTGCACGGATGGAGGACAACCTTTGGTTATATGCTCCTCTGGAGAGAGTTTCTATCCTGTTCCTCTTCCCTTTCCACAAGACAAAAGCTCATATCAAGTCCGCGCCACTCGATGCAGGACCAAACCCGACCAGAGAGACACCTGTCCTCCCCCAGGTGCGGAAATTGGCCGGGTTCCCAGGCTCCTTGGCACCGTCGTGATGGATATACGGCCACTCTTCTCTCAATGCCACCCTAGCTTCTTCTGCGCTGGTTGGTGGTGCTTGGGGGCTGGAGCCGGTGGTGTGTTCTCGATCTAGGAGGAAAGAGTCTATGCGGTTCTGATAGGAGCCGCAACAAGTCAGATTTGAGGCGATCGCCTGGTTTTCAGGACACAATTGATGTTTCAGAGGGGGAGAGCACTTACCCAGTCAACCCTACCAGCCAGAACGTCGTCCAAGGGGTAGTAGTTACTACTACTCGAAGCCCGATCTTTTCGAGTTCCCAGATTATCCAGCCATGCATAGTTCCACAACACAGAATGTCCCTTGTTCGCTGCGGCTACTCTCTCGGTCAGAGCCGTAGGTTCTTCCTGGTTATTGGTGGCAGTGGATGACCAGCCCGGTATGAGCGCTGGCTTTCCACAATTCCGCAAACCGTTTGCATTGCTGGGCTCTGTATTTGGGACAGCAGAAGAGGAGGAGACCGCTTTATCCACTCCCCCTCCCCCTCCGTCATCAAGCGATGATAGTCGTCCCTGGTCCTGCTGCTGAGGGATCGTGGAGAGGATATGCTTGAGGACCTCAGTTGCGTGGGCTGCCTCTTTGCACATGCCACTCATCATGCTCCAAAGGGTGTGGGCTCTCTTGAGAGCGTTGACTTTGCGGTCTGTATCTTGCTGGGTGGTGCTAATCGTTTGCAGTCATATTCATTGACTGTGTCAGCATTCCAGTACAGAGTGGCCAGCAAGAAAGAAAGACAGAAAGGGGGGAAACAGGATAGGCATATAGACAAGATTTTCTATTACCTCTGGCGATCCCCAACAAGGAGGTCGAGACATATGCACATAGCCGCCAGCAAAAAGTCATGATAGCCCGTATTGGTCAGCATATATCTCTTCTCAAACAGCCTCGCCCCTCGACGGCTGTGCTCTTCGAACTCGGCCTGAAGATCCAACAGGCGCAGTGAGGCATCCCGACAGGCCTCGCGTGAGCCGTCGTAGACGCCGTTCTTCTTTTCCAAGGTGAGATATCTGCGGTGCAACACGCACATGGACTTGAGGTAAATCATCTCGCACAGCAAGCGACGCATGATGACATCGGGCACATCTGCGAAGCCGCTCTCGCGGATAGGCCTATACCGTAGGCTTGGCGGTACGTCGTCGTGCAGCGCTCGCAGGTCGGCATCGAGGCGTCTGACGTCGCCATAGGAGGGCGGAATGGCACCCAGGGCCTGCTGTACAACGCGGCGCAGGAGCTTGGTTTGTTTGCTGTAGTAGATGAACCCCAGGATGGGCGTGAAATCACCCGTGGGCCTGGCCCGTGGTAGAACTTTGCTGTCCTCGTTGAACTCGTCGTCGTGTAAGTTGGCGGGCAGTTGAGTGTCCACGTCGGTGTCCTGGATGATGGGTGGAATGCCCAGCTGGAAACTGTGGACGACATCAAACCACTCGAGCGTGAACCAAGTCCTTCTGCGCATCTCTGCCTCGAACGGAGAGATCCTCAGGGCGCCGTCGCTTGGGCTCATGTTGGAAGCATCGCGGTGATATCCCATACGCTGGGCGAGTCGTACGGCCGTGCTGATCGAATGCCAACACAGGGGGTCCGCATCGCGCTTCTGCAGGACCAGGTGCATGCCAAACAACAGAGTGGCCTCGACACAATAAGGCTTTCCACAGAGGTAGTTGCCTGCCACGAGACAGCGGTAGGCCATCGAGCTGAGGTCGGCAATCTTGTCCTCTGCCTTTGTAACGACGGAGGCGGCGGGCCTGTTTGTCCCCGCTCCTCTTCCTCTTTCTCCTCCCCCTCCTCCTCCTCCTCCTCCTCCTGCTGCTGCTGCTGCTGCTGTGCTACCAGCCCCCACGACACCTCTCGAGGCCTGCTGGAAGATGGAGGTTGATAGCAGGGTAAAGAGGATGCTGATCCAGAGGAGGCTTGTCTTTTCTGGGTCCTGCCAGAACTTCTCATAGGTTCGTTGGAACTGGCCCGTGTGTAGCGTCGCAGGGATCATGTAGACCTGCTGGAAGTAAGAAGTGAGCAAGTCGTCGCACTCGACCCTGAGGGGAAGCCGCCTCATGACCTCATTGATAGTCAAGGGGCGCTGGTCTGCTGGCCCAAGAAGAAGATACTGATTCACGTCAGAAGTAGTAGGTGGGGAGGAGGCAGCCCTTGTTGTTGTTGTTGTTGTTGTTGTTGTTGTTGTTGTTGAAGATGATGGCGGTGGTGGTGCCACACTGGTGGTGGCAGCGGTGGAGGCATCGACGAAGCCCTGGAGGTCGCGTATACAGTCGAGGACGGCCTCATAGCTGGTGGCGCCGACAAAGCGCACCTCGTTGCCCTCCTTGCTCAGATGACCACTGCCAACGACGGGCTGTGCCTGGACGGTGCCCTGGTCATGACTTCCTTCTCTCTCAGCAGAAGCAAAAGCAGAAGAGGAAGCATGACGCGAGGTACCTGTCGAGCTGGTCTCACCATCGTTGGTGACAGCGACATCACCACCAGGAGAAGCCCCGTCTTGGTGCATGAGCCCGCTGACCAGGCTCTCCAGCACCTGCAACCTCGCCTGAACCTCACTCTTTTGCACTGCTGCTGCTGGACTGTGACCCTGACGCCCACCCGCGCCCTCGCCGCCGCCAGAGACGCTACGACTCCCACGCCCTCCTCCACTCGACGACCAAAGAAAGAACTTGCACGAGGCCTCATCGTGCCTCTTCACGCACGAGGCGCACGGCTGCTGGCGGTCACACCTCAGCTTGCGGCTGCGGCAGGGTAGGCATGAGACGACCTGGCGGTTGCGCCTGATGACTTTTCTATGGGGTTCGGAGGTGGAGGTCAGGCGGAAGACGCCCGTGTAGTCGGCCACATCGGTATTGTTGGGCATGGTCTCGATCTTAGTTTTCCCCGCCCTCTCTGTCTCTTCTTTCTTGCTTCTTCCTTCCTATATCATCAAAGGGTGTTCCCAAGAGGCAAAGTAAGCTCTGGAGAGAATCAATAACAGGACTAAGGATGGGTACGCAGAAGGAGGCATGTAGGTAAGTCTGAACTGGGTGCGCGTGTTGTTTCACAATCCAATGAATGAATAGATGGATGGATGAATGAATGAATGAATGTTTTGGTGTAAGTTGCGTGCCAAAGGACGAGAGCATGGAGTTAAGTCCGTCTAGGTTCCGTCAAATGCACCGAGGCAGGGAAGCACGGAGCCGACGGCGGCGGGCCGCGTTCCGGAGATTGTCGGATATTTTTCAGCAAAGGAAGAAAGGGAGTTAACCGCTCATGGATATTGTGCATGCCACGTACATAAAATTGCATGCGTGTTGTTGTTTGCAAGTACGAAGTCGATTGTTGAGCACTGCAATGATTTCTTATCCAAGACAATTCAAACTGTCATGAGATATAAACGTCATTCCTTGGTGGTACAGACACGCTATGGTGAAGTCCTCCTTCCTTCCGAGCTGTGGAAAAAGTGGACCATTCTGGCCCTAACCCTCCCTCCTATGTGACTGCCAACTATGAGCCTTGACATGGCCACGCCAAAGTTTCTTTTCTTCTTCTTCTTCTTCTTTAGGTTCCATTTCCACATTGTTTCTGCCACTATCGTACTCACAAGTTCCGATATTTTGTCTCTCTTAATCTTTACAAAAATCGAGAAATCCCAAAAAATCGTGTCCTCCAAGGTCCAAGGAAGAGTCAACGCCTGATCAGTCTTGTCTCTAAGTACTCAGCATTATCGCTGATCGGCTTTAGCAGTGTGACGCGTTCCATGGAAAATTACAGTGGGCCTGTCACAGCAGACGGCGCAGCCTGATCGCCGCCTGGTACATGTATTTTGAACTAAGTACTCTTCCCAACTCGTTATCTGCTAAATCTTTCTCTTTTCATATCGCACCTCTGGCAGCATCTGCATCGTTCACGGGGCTCACGGGCGGAGCTGACGGGCGGGGCGGCCTTCAAGTGTACTCAATCCGGAGGAGCATCTGCTCGGCCGATCGCTGCTCCAAGGACGAAGTGTACTCGGCATCCCTAATCTGGAGGCATAAATGTTAAGACAACTCTTTTTTGCGACCAATCTTTCGCGGACAAGGCGTCGGAACCGAGATGCCTACAGTATAGCGATGCGCGCTTGAGCCGCTAGTAGAGACAACCACTCCTTTTCGGTATTCGCCTGCAGCAGAAGATGCACTCTTAGCCCGCTGGTGCCCTGAGTTTTGGGCCTCGCTGAGTTCGTTCGTAATGCGGTAACTTGCCTCGCGCCTGATACCATACAAGATTGCTCATCTTATACTCCCATTTTGGCTCTGCGGGAACGTATACGCTCTCTTGCAAGTATTCGTTGGATGGGGGCAATAGGGGTTCTCCAGTTTCCGCCATACTCCGGTGCTGTGGTGCGAAGGTTGGGCAAAAACAAAAAAAAAAAAAAAGGTGAAGTTGAGAGACAATTAGGGCTGATTATGAATGCTAAAATAGGGGATTTGCTTAGAATTAGTAATTAAGACTCATCTATAGATCTGCTCTCCTGCTAACTGATCAGCTAATAGCTCTAATCCTAACTCAGCACCTTTATATCCACCGGGTATTAAAATACTTTGGAAATGCACTTTCGCCCCGAATACTGACCGCGAGGCTCTCATGGATTTCCCCTCCGACCACTCCCAGCCTTACTGTCAACTCCAGGTGTTGCTACTTATATCTTGTCATCATTCCCCTGCGCTCGCTTTGGTGATTCGCAAAATGAGATGACGGGTTGCGTCTCGAGAATATGGCCGCGTTGGTGGAAGAACTTGCCGAGGCTCTGAGCAAAGAGCTGACTGCTAATCATTGCATCTCCTCACCTGCTCTCGCGTCCATCTGTTCCCCTGAGGCTCTCCAGGCGGCACTCGGCCCACCAGACGATGCAGATTACGACCCGGCGACAGGCCGCAAGCTCCTAGCCCTCCTGATCTATCTCGGACAGCCGCGCGAGGTGATTGTGCAGTGCCTGAATCGAAGACCCGATGATAACGAGCTGTTCAATGTGTTTGAGTTCCAGCCCGGCTGCACGCAGGAAGGACTGGCGAGCATAATTCCAGACGATTCCGAGCTCCGGAGGCAGGTGTTCGAATCGCAATGGATCATCCCGCCGATGCTTTCGGGCAGTGAGCATCAGCATTTTCCAGCACAGTTTAAAGCGCCGTTTCGTCGAGTTGATACCGGCCGCTCCTTGCGAGACGGAGCGTTTGGGAGGCTTTTTGTTGTTCGTGTCGTCAAAGGCCATCTTGATGCAGAGGTATAAACCAGAAAGATCCCGAAAATTACCTTCTTGAGAGAGATCACAGTGGCTCACCGTGGTCCAGGAAGCCGACTTGGTTGTATGCAAAGAAGTCCAATATGGGCCTGGGAAATCAGCCGAGCTCGAGGCGAAACTTATGAGACGCTTCCGGCACGATGCCATTGTTCCTCTCCTGGCCAGTTTCGACGCTCCTATGGGCGCAGTGAGCGCCAGTCCAGCGCCTTCATTGCATCTTATTATGCCGTTTGCTTCAGGTGGTGACTTGCAGCAATTCATAGAGGCACAGAGCATTCCCGACTTCCTCACAGATGACGCCCAAACCAGGTCCTTGCTCCTATCCCAGATCCAAGCTCTTTTTTCTGGACTCGCTTTTCTACAGCGCCCCCAAAAGCCCAGCGACGAGATTGTCCTCCACTTTGACCTGAAGCCGCGGAATATCCTCTGGTTCTTCTCTGAGGGTGGACATTCCTTGAAGATTGCCGACTTTGGAAACGCTCAGACGATGAAGAGTGATGCTCTTTGCGGTCCTGCTGTAGAGCACACAACAGCCGAATATGCACCGCCTGAAGCATTCAATGATCGGGGAACTCTAGTACCAGGAGAGAGTCATGGCACGCAGTTCGACGTATACTCAATGGGTTGTATTGCGCTGCAACTGATGACTGTTGTCGTTTACGGGTGGGGTCGCCATGTCCACGCGATTCGACAGTACAGGCCGATCGCAGGGGACTCACGCGTTCCTTTTTGCAAGGACCCAGAAGTCATCAGAGACTGGCTCGCTACCCTGAGAGAAGAACAAGACGACCTTCAACGACATGACAGAGTTGTATCCATGACGCTGGAACTTGTCCGGCAATGCTTGGATCATGATCCGTCCGCCAGGCCATGCGCATGGGAAGTTGATATTCATCTTGCTCAATGCCTATCCGGGACTCAGGATAATCATCTTGCCGGCGACCGCGCAATAATGATTGCACCGATGATTCCAGAACCGGCCAATTGTTTTGGTCCCATGAGACCGGGTCCATCTGAGCGAGCGAAAGCTCTGGCTGGAAGCGATGCCCCCGTACTTGTCAACCTCATTCAGCAGGCAGGATGGGATGAGTTTCTGCTCAAGAGGTCTGAAAGGGTGGCTGTAAGATCCAGCCGCCGGTTGCTCCAGAATCTTCCTACATCGCACACACGAGTTCAGTATGGACTGAAGCGTACCATTGATAGAATACGTGATGCGTTTCTCCAGCCAGGGTGTACTTGTGTCGGAATCTGGGGCTTAGGCGGCTCTGGGTATGGCGTTCCTCACTTTTCTGAACAATGCCGCAGTGACGAGCTAATCCGCAGTCCTTAGAAAATCGCGATCAGCCTACGAGTATTGCAAACTTGCGTACAATGTTCGACCCGGCCAAGCCGGCAATCAATATCTCGGACCAGCGCACGTCTTCTGGGTCGACGCTGGGAATCCTTACAAGGTGGCGCAGTCTTGCGTCGCCATCTGCAACAAGATCGGCAAACCGGTTCCAGAGGACTGCGCCGAGCCATTCCGCATAGTCAAGTCGTGGCTCGAGCTTGAGTGTGAAGAGAAATGGATCATGGTCATGGACGGACTCGACAGCGAAGTTGAAGCCTGCAGATGGCAAGAATGGGGCCTGCCAACCCCGGCACGCCGCGGCGCAGGGAGTGTTATTATAACGACAAAGAATAGGGAATTACTCCAGGATTTCACCCATTTTGACGAGAACACGACGATTGCTGTCAATACTCTTGAAGAAAGGGATGCGTTCAAGATATTTGTCCAGGAAGTGGGCGAGGACTCTATTCACGTTACCGCTGGACAGGACTATTTCAAGATGCTGTGGGAGATCCTTGGTATCCCATTGTTTGTGATACTCGCCGCCCAGTACCTCAAAAAGCACATGTTCGGTCACGCAACCTTGCAAAGGTTAACCGCCCGTCTGCAAGAGGACGTGCCGAATTTCAAGTGCCTGGACAAACGGCCTCAGACTGCTGGAAAGGTTCAGGAGGTGGAACTTATGCAGTATAGGATCTTTTGTGTCCTGCTGGATCCGTTCGTCGACCAGTACAAGCCCGACACGGACGAGTTCGGCCTCCAAGCCACGCTCTGTTGCATGGCACCCGATAATCTCGATGTCGACATCATCTCTTCTTTCTACGAAGACTCGGACCCCATCGAAGAGTGGTTGGGCACCCTGGGTAATTACAGATATATTACACCGCAGGGAAACGGAGGGCAGTTCACAATGCACGATCTTGTGCACAAATTCTTCTTCCGCTACGTTTTCGAGCATCCCGATCTGGGGCCGAAATACCTCCTGGGAGAATTCGGAGAAGTCTTGAAGTGCATTTATTTCCGCTCCCAGCAATACCGACCGGAGAAGTCCTGGACCGCGAACTCCGGGACTCCGCAACACGCGTCCCACGGCAAGCGTAGATTCATGCCGCACTTTGAGGTCTTCAATGATTTCGTCAAGGTACTGAACAAGCAGAAGCTCACGACTGGTACCCCTGCCGCAGAGGGTGTACGCTTAGGGGCTCGAGAAGTACAGGGCATCATCAGCTTCTCCCGGGTGCTCCATACGGACAACAACACCAATGAGGCTCTTGCCTTGCTAGAATTCGCTCTAAACCAGGGCGTCAAACCTCACACGAGGATACCAAAGAAAGAAGTTGAAGTGGAGGTAGAGCTGCATCGTAGTATTGCTTACTACCATCTTGAACGACACTCCGTGGAAACGAAAAAGTTCAATGTGAACCAAGCCAAGATACATTTCGAGGCGGCTCTTCAGCTCGCACGAGATCATGGCCTACACAAGAAAATATGGAGGACCTGGATCGGCCTTGTCGAGGCCATGGCCAGCTTGCATCTGCTAGAAGAGGCGGATGCTCAGATCCACCTCCTCGAGAGTTACATGACGGACAGCAACAGCCACCTCACTGGCAAAGACAACGAGCGGACGGAATTCTCGAGCCGACTAGACGTCCAAAAAGTCCAGATCGAGTTCGAGAAGGCGAAACGCGACCAAAAACATGGCCTCTTCACTTCGGCAGGGAACCGCCTCCTTTCAGCACGACTGATGTGCGCGCAGGCCGTCGTCAGAACGCACCGGGGCACCGCCGACGGGGCGGCCCGGGAAGAAGTCACATTCGAGAAGCTCCGCAAGCTGGCCGAGATCGATATGGAAATACCGCATCCGTTCCCACTGTGCGAGGCCGAGGCCATCTACGAGGCCCACCTGCGACGGCGGGAGCGACAGTTCACGACCAACTCGTCGTCTGCTGGAAAGGGGGCTGACATGAGCTCTCGCACAAGCGAGCCCATACGCCGAGACGCCCTCGTGCACCTCGCGCGGGCCCGGAGCAACCTGGCCATGGTGTGGCTGCGCATGGGCTGGCTCTGCACTGCTCTCATGGAGCCGGAAGCCGTGGCGCGCGCCCACTGGGAACGGGCGAGGGCCGCTATGGAGCCTACCGTGCGCGAGATGGGGGCAGTGTGTGGATGTGCCGACGGACTGGCGCAGTCGATGGCGTATAGCCTGCGGGAAATGCTTCACGAGCTGGGCCTGAGGGACGAGTGCCGGCTTTTGGAGACGCGGTTTGGCCTGTTGCCTTCAGAAGACCTCGAGCGTCCGCCTTGGTTCCAGCGTGGTGCTGGTCTTGATGCGGAGACTTGGCCCACGTCGTGGACAACACCGCTTCGGTTTCATGATGTCCCCAATGAGTCGTCCCAGGCCGGCTCGGAAAGGATGATTCTCAGCCTTGGGTCATTCTACGACGAGCCACAACCTCGACGTCTTCACGGTGCTAAACATCTTGACAGGCGTTCCGTCGACCTTGCTACCATTTTAAGGGGGACATGATCGGCTATGGGTTCGAGCGTAACCAAACGCTATATAACATTCAAGGCGATAGCCAAGAGGAACATGTTCCATTCTCGTGGACAAAACTCAGGGAAACAACAATATGCCTGAATCCCGCCTACTTCGAAACCTCTGGACCCAGCCAACTCATCAATCAACATATTTATTGTGCCATTGGACCTTTTCTGGTTGCATTTTCCCGTTCGAGGAGAAGATGTCCTCAGTTTTCCAGGCTTCCCGTGCCCAAGTCAGCATGAGCAGATCCTCCGAATCATGTGAGAAGTCGAGGGTGGCCAGATGGGAGAACTTACATCCAGAACCGTACGTGTTGGAAGAGTCCGAGGCGTCATTCATATCGGCCGTGATCTCCTTTTGCTCCTCTCTTGCGACGGAGACGTATGCATGTCAGTAAGTGAAGAATATTACACTGAATATGCGCTGAGCCTTATGATAGTTACTCACCTGGTGTATGTTGTGGTGGTATCCACACGTTGGGTTGAAAGCGTCGAAGTCTCATGATACTTGCTCGAGTTTTGTTCTTTTTTACCCATTGTAGAAACTTTTTCGACCTTGCGATTTGGTGTGGGGATCAAGCTTGAGTAGAACTGGGCGAAGAGTGGAATTTTGGAGATAGCGAGGGTTAAAAGATTATCGGTGGCATTTATACTTATACTCAGCTTGGGCAAGGACTTGGAACCTAGAGTGGTTGCCTGCAAGCAACAGTTTATCTGGCAGGATGCAGAATAACAGGGCTTTCCCCAAACGCACTCTCGCCCTGTTTTCAACAAGTGGGCGAATCGGATCTTGACGGCAAGTTGCGTACGCCTCTCGCCCTGTTTTACAAAGTGGGCGAATTGGAGATACTACCATGTCCATTATCAACATGCAGTCAGCATCGCCCGAGGCATTCCGCGCAGCAAGGCAGAACCACTTGGGTTCTCAGGATCCACGGCTGCACACAACTCTTGCATGCGATTTTGCAAGGGTTTGTAGGAGTCTACAACCCAAGGATAACAACATATACAATTAACTTCTTGTTCCGGGATTTTCTCATCATCTCTTGCGGCACTTGTTCCAAATCACAAACTGTCCAAGGCAAAATGGATGGGATCTCGACCGCTGCGTCTCTTGTAGCCTTGCTTCAAGTTGCGGCCCAGTCTTGCAAGTTTATCCTCGGGAGCTATGAGGCGATCGCTGGTGCCCCCGGCGAGATCCGTACGCATTGTATCACTATTAAAGCACTGATCTCTACTTTAGATCGACTTGCCACAGCCTGGACGGGACTCCCGGCGGGCATCACAGCGGACGCGGAGCTGAGAAGCACCCTCGGTACCTTCATCGATGAGGTACGGGAGGCGGAAAAAGCAGCAGCCGAAGTCGGTCGTCTCCTTGCAAAAGGCGGCGTCCGGGGTTGGCTTGCCAGGGTGAATCATGCAATGCAGGACCGACGACTTGTCCGATTCCGCGAGCGCGTGACCTACTTTTATGCTGTCTTCTTGAACGAGACGCAGGTACTTGAAATGTGCGCTCGGAACTGACTGTTTTCTAATGTTATACATAGGGGACGTCGAGTTATCGTCAAGAAAGTCATTCCTCTGGACGCTGACGCGCTGCAGGGAGATTTTAAAAGTTTTAGTTTCTCGAAGCGAGGTGATTGTTGCTCAGTCCAGACCAGGACATAACAATACAATTACAAACAGCGCTCAGCCTGTCGGCGTTATAATCCCGCCTGCAGTGCCCTTGGGTCACAACTTGGTTGACCATGCCGGCCAACTTGCACCGAGTTCACCATCACCGCCGGCCTGCGGCTCTGCAGGACTCTCTGTTGCAGAGGTCGGAATGCAGCCCAAGGCTTCCAAAGCATGGACCATGGGGCCTTCTCTCCTGCGCTTACGGCATGGACATGCGGTCTTTCGGCAGGGCACATCACGAACTTGTGCAATATACACTGTTCTCTTATCATCGTGGGCGTACCAAGTGTCCCTGACTGTGTTCTCTTGGAAAGTCACTCTGACGATTCTCGGATGCACGCGTTTGCCGGGCCTTGGCGGGATGTGGATGGATCCTAAAATACGTGTGACAAGCGTCGTGCCAGACGATTGGCCCATATTCAGAGCCATCAAAGAAGGCGATTGTGATACTGTCCGAGAACTCCTCGTGTCGAGACAAGTCTGCATCACGGATACGACGCGCCAGGGAGAAAGCCTCCTCCATGTAATAATGCCTTTGCAATGAGAAATCAAGCAGTGTCTGGGGCACAAACATACCTAGGTAGCTAACCTCACCTTCAGGTGGCCACTCGGCACCAAAAGACAGGCATAGCGCAGCTACTTCTCCATCTCGGCGCTGATGTCAATGCAACTGATGACCTTGGCGTGTAAGTCCTTGGCCCTTTTCCCCTTTTCGAGAACCCCTGGGACTGGGGCCTGAGGCTTGAGTTAATAGAACCGAAAGCTGATACCACGTGACTCTCGACATGCTAGAACCCCTTTGCATCTCTCCATCCGCTTGTCCAACGACCTCGCTCTATCCAAAGCCCTCCTCGCATCCGGCGCTGATCTCGCCCGCCGCGACCTCTCACAGCGCACACCACTACATCACTACTTTTCCTCGCACACACGCGCCGTGCTCTACGAGGCGGCTCTGCACAGCCAGGACAGCGACCTGGACGCCCTGGCAGCACCCGACGACCAGGGCATGCGCCTCATCCACTACCTCGCATGGACGCGCTCCTCCACTGCCAAGGAGGACCTCCTCTTCCTCGCCCAGCGCCAACAGCTCCCCGCCGAGTCCTGGACCCTCCCTGACAGCGCGGGCCGCTCGCTGCTCCACCTCGCCGCCGAGCGCGGCAACATCCCGCTCATGCGCCACCTGCTCAGAATGAAGGGCTCAGGTTCCGAGAGTCTAGGTCCCTTCCGTGGCCGTGACCGGACGGGGTGCACGGCGCTCCACTGTGCGACGAGGAGCGGGCGGGCGGCCGCGGCGCTGAGGGTGCTGATCGAGGAAGCGGGGTTTGACCTGCATGAGAGTGACAGAGGAGGCAGCACCGCGCTGCACCACGCTGCGGCGAACGGCAGGCTGGGTGCGGCGGTCGTCCTGCTGGAGCTCGGGGCGGTGGCGGATCTGACGAGTAAGAATGCACGAGGCAAGACGCCGCTGAACTTGACCAGGACCCGAGAGATGAGGGACTTGTTGGAAGGGAGAGCGCAAGGTCATCAGGGAGCGTGTGAGCAAATCGTGGAAGCCAACATATACGGCCAGACCGGCGCGGAGCGGTCAGTCCAGGGGCCCTTGAAAATCATGAAGAAAGGCTGGGCGCAGTCGATTTCGTCCAGTCGCATACTACTATTGTATACTGTGGGAGTTGTTCTGTTTCTCCTGCAGATTGGACGACTATAGGAATTTTCTAGCTGGGGGATTAGAGCTTTTTTTTTTCCTTCCATGGTTTTACACTGAAAGTGGGATAAGAAACGGATTGTTTGTGACGATCCGTTTTATTCTGTTTCTTGCTTGGTTTCAAAGATAGATCGTTTATAATTTTTGGGAAAGATGAACTCGTCTTTCTGGTGAAATACTGTTTGCTGTATAAATCATCATTCCCATGTGTGAGTAACGGAAGGGGAAAAAAAGAGGAGGAAAAAAAAAAGAAAAGAAAAGAAAAGAAAAGAAGAAAAAAAAAACCAAAAGCCAGATCATGAACAGCTGTAGCTGCATACCCCAAGTACTGTGCTGCAGCTGGTCCTCGTGTGGCCTCGAGGGCAGCAAGCAGCCTTGGTGCGGCCGCCAGACGCTCACCAATCTAATATGCTAAAAGCTGGAGGTCGGTTCTGATGAGAAAGTGAACGTGGCTTGAGCAATGTTTGTCGAGTGAGGATTCTGACAAAGGGCCTGCAGTGGTTGCCGCTCTGCTTAGGGCTCGGAGTACCACATTCTGCGCCATCTACTTTGGCGGACCACACGCGAGAAGCCTGCATCAAGTTTCTCCATTGTCAACTGTCGATGTTTGATGTCGCGCCAAGGAGAGAGTAGCCCTACCCGTGAGACATCCCAGGAATTTCGCTTTCTCTGTCCATTGTTTTCTGTTCACTGGAAAGTCAGTGGGCGGAGAAGTTTCAACTGCAGCCTCCATGAGTACACGCGTAAAACTCGGGCTTGTAAACGAAGCTTAAGTACCTACCATCTGGTTTATATATATTCTACATATATATATATATATATATGTGTGTGTGTGTGTGTGTGTGTGTGTGTGTGTGTGTGTGTGTATATGATAGCGGGGGGTCTTTTCTATGCAAATTCTTGTGTCTTCGGATGAAAACCCTGCGTGACACAGGTAAACCTCTTAGAATTCAACGCTGTCCCATCTAGATGTCGAGACTATTACTTCAGTACTTATCTAGCTCAGAACATACTCTACAAAAGGCTTCTCAGGATCGTCAAACAACTTAGTCACGTCTAACCCTTGCACGTAACAGTCTCCCTGGAGGGTGTACGTATCCCCTTCACCAGGCCGCAGAGCAAAAGGGTAATGGGATCCAGAAAGGAAGACAATTCTATCACCCGGCTGCACTGGCGGATCTGCAAGCCCCATAGACCCTCCCTCGGTAACGAATAGCTTCCTCCCATAAACAACCTTCTCCAAATCCAAGGCATAGCGTTGGTAAGCACTCTTGTACCAATCATATAGTGTATTCTCGTCCCTGTTTCCATTGCTGAGGTCCGTGCAATATTCGACGTCCTCAAAGTATCGGGGCTCCTTCTCCATAAGCACACCCGTACCGTATCGTTTGTACCATATCACTCCAGCCAAGCGTGCCCAGCTGTAGGTTGAGCCGAGCCCAGTGCCTTCAGCAACTAGTGTCGATAGGAACGCATCAGCTGCCGTGGTGTGCGGGTCGACCGACATCGAGCCCGTTTCCGAGTCTTGCGTCCGGGACCAGGTCTCGCCAGCGAGACTCTCCCATCCTGAGAGAACCTGGGAGAACGCCTCTGTACCAGGCGCATATTCTGTGCTTGCGGGCATCTCATCCCCAACGGCCAGAACAGTGTCGACGGCCTTACCCTTGATTACGAGTTCCTTGCCGCCGTTGCGGACACGCAGCCCGGGCAATGCCTTGGTCAGATACTTTGATATCCACTGACCAAGTTCCTTGGTGCAAATGGTGACCCTCTGGGGAAGACGACATGAGGAGCGTCTTGCGCTAAAATCTGGCACCCAAGAAGGTAGACCGGGTAGAGTCTTCTTCGTTCCACACAGGTTCAAGAGGCGGATGTTAGCGTTATTCTGGATGATGACCTGGGCGAATTTGCGATAAATTTCTTGAACATCCAACTCGTACTCCACTTTGACTAAGCCAGGTCTCAGCAGGCCAAGTATGCCGTAGACTCTATCTTTTGGCTCGGTAGCTTGACAAAACTGACTGTACGTGAGCAAGTCCTCGTATGCCTCGTGCTCGGTCGACAGGTGCAGTCGGCCCAGCTGATGTGCTCGGCTTTGGTGGTGTAGGCCACCGAGGGGATGGTAGGCTTCCTTCCTGTAACCCGACGGCCTGAAGAATTCTTCCCAGGGGGCTGAGTCGGATCCACAGCAGATAATGGCTTCTTTGCTGAGGGCTTTCTCCTGAATTACCCATGTCCGGAAAAACCAAGGTCGCCGACAGAGGCGTCGAAACGCCGCAAGAGTTGGCCCTTGATAAAGTGGCGGGTTGACGTGAGATTCGCCGAAAGGGTCTTTTGGCCTGGCGCGACCTGAAAGTACATCATCTCGGTGCTTCTGGAACTCTGCAAGATGTTGGAAGACTAGGTGAGAGTCCTCACTTGCCTTTCCCAGCCAGACGAGGACTCTGCACGCGTTTCTGTATATGTCGCCCATGAGAGTTACTTGCTGGTTGCGCTCGTTGGTGTCGCATTGATTAATACAGGTGGCGTCGACCCATAAGTGTCGCGGCTGGGACTGCAGCCGAAGTGCGAGCAGGGCTTCGTACAGGTTGGGCTTGACCTGGAAAACCTTGCCATCCAGCTTGATGTATCTCGACACAGGGCTGTCGCCCCATACGTAGGAAAGTGTTTCATAGTCTGGGTTCAAACTCAGATCGGAAGCCACGAGTTCACATTCAATCAGGGACCCTGAATCCGTAGCAGGGTGGAGGATCATTGTACGGAATGCGTCGCGGCCGGATAACGGCTTGTGTTCAAACTTCTCCCCGTCAATCATGTCCATTGGCAACAGCTGGGATTCAGGGTTTGTTGATTCTATGTGGTCGTCCCAGTAGTCGAATGTTTGGTCCTTGTTGTTGATCACGGTCTCGATGGGCGCACGCCGCTGAGTGTTCACCCGCCACTGGTCTCGCATTCTTTGCGCTTCCTCCGGCATATGACGCTCCAGCAGCCAAATGAGAGACCATAGCCCCGAGAGACCACCACTCCCCCACCCTTTCGTTTTGAGCGTCTTTTCCAGGGTCGTCAACACGTTGTTTCCTGTCTCCGGGCAGTGAAGGTTGGCGCCCCGCTCAAGAAGAAAGTCGATGGTCTTCTTAGACCCAGTCCTGCATGCAATTTGCAAAAGCGTCTCGCCCTTTTCATCCTTGTCGGGCCGGGTGTGGAATTCCTCGTTGATATTTCCGAGGCAATTTGAGGTAAGGAAATCAAGCATGTCCATATCACCCCTCGTGATCACTGACACAGCAAGCTGTCCAAGCTCATCGGGAGGCACCAGATTGCCCCATCTCTGAAATAAGAGGTTCAGCAGCTCGCAGTTTCCTTTCTCGACAGCAGACTTCTGTGCTTGAGCAGCGTCGAACTCTGAGCCGTGGTCGACAAGGAGCTGAATTGTCTCAAAGCTTTTAATATCGGGGACACGGGCAAGTCTACACCCCATCTGCAGAAGACGCTTTACCAGGGAGACCTCGCCGTGTTTAATAGATATCTCGAATAACTGGGCCCGGTCATCTGGGTTGGATCCAACTTCCAAGAGCACGTGACACGTCTCCCAGTAATTCGACATCAGCTGCTCCGACTCCGAACGTTTCATAGTACGATTCCACCGATGGGAATAGGGACTCTTCGCAAAGGCATGCGCCTCGTCGATGGCGACCGCCAGAGCCGTCTGCTTCCGAGCCTTGCGTGGAACAGATTCGCCCGATAAACGAGGGCGTCTTTTATCTATTGCAACACAAGTCGAAAGGCCCAGATCTTGAGGCCGGGCGTCCTTGCCAAGAAGGAGTTTAACCACATCTGCCTGCCCCCCGGCGGCCGCAGCATGAAGTGCACAAGCGTAGAACCTCCCTCCGCTACGATCTTGAACTGTCGGGGCGTCGATTGGAACTCCAAACTCCATCAACCTCTTGATCCATGAAGCATTCCCCTGGAAACATGCCGTCTGCAAAAGTTTGACCATGCGTGGATCGTCGCGTGGGCACGATAACCCAGCATCCAGCAGATCGCTTGCAATCTGTCTCCATCCATCTCCAGGTTTCAATCTCCACGGATAATCTAAAACAAAAGGCGTTTGGAACTCCTGCCATGCAAAGGCCTCGAGTGTTGCCTGCAGTAGGTTCAGCGCTGTCACCTCTCGCCACGAGAAAAACTGGTGCGTCGTCGATATATCGGCCCCTTGTCCCAAAAGCTTCCGAAATAGCTTGTGATGTCCAAGCATGCAAGCGTAGAAGAGTGCAGTGTTCCCATGATCGTCGAAAGCCCTGACGCCGGCCCCATGCTCAACAAGTAGCGGGAGAATCTCAATCAACTCGCTAGAGAAGGAGTCCAACTCCCAGGTTGCAAAGCTCCATCTCTTCTCGGTTCGAAAACACGAGGCGAGGGCAAATGGTAGAATATCAGCTCCGTCTTTCAGGAAGTCAGGCGCAACCACGCCCTTGATCTTTTGGAAGAGAATGAGGGCGATCTTGTACTGCCTCTGTTTGAGTAGGGACCTCAGACTTTGGATGACAGATGGTGTGAAGGCCTCGCGACCTGCGCCAGCGCCAGCAGCGCAGCATTCGTCCCACATCGCTTCCTCAAAAGCTGTCAAGTCGAAATCTGCCAAGTCGCGGGACCCGTCAGCGGCGATGTTCATACATATGGCGAGTAATTTTTGTCCAGCGACCGGCCCCATCTGGATCTCAATATCCGCATCAGGCTGAGCCACAGCGACCTCCAGCTGTAGTGAAGGCACTTCCTCCATGAAGTATGCTTATTAGATTATAGACGGATTAATCTGATGATGGACATTGGGCGTTGGATCATCGAGTTTGGACAGTGTAGGACTTGGAAAAGTTCAGCTACCCAAGTTTGTAGAGCAGGGCAAGATGCGGGGAGTAATACAAGCTGCGAGGGTGGCTGCTGCCTTATCGAACCTGGGTTCTGTCAGCAATTGGTATCGCCTCGAACTTTCCCCTCCCGATCGCCTTTCTCCTGCTTTTTTACTAGCTATAAAGCTTTTAAATATTACATATTCGAAACTTGAATTGATAACTCAAAAGCTACGTACAAGTAATTTGTCTGATAATAATAAATATAAGATTATATCCAACCTTTTAGTCTTAGAAATTTGGAACTACCCCAACATAAGTCATCTTGTGTAATAATGCAAAGAAAAGTAGAGCGTAGGCAACGATTTACACGGTAGTATCATGGTTCTGCGCTTATAGAAATGTGTGAGAAGGAGGAGGGGGGGGGGGATGGTTGAGAAGCATGTTACACTATTATATTCATCTTTGAAATAAGACTCTTGAGAACAATGAATAAGTAGTGTACCTATGGTATAATGAACATTATAGATCGATGGGCCACCCAGGAGTCCTCTACTCAAGTACGTTAATAGCTGCCGGACAAGATCCAGCCCAGACCCAATGGCGGATTGACTATCAGCCAACAAGGGATCTATTGCTCATATCCTCATTCTAACTCAGATCGAACAATCATTATGGGTGCTTTTTTTGCGTACAATAGAGCTAGACAAGTGGTGACACAGATTAATGGGGGGGTATGCAGCAAGTTGCGCCCTCAGGGCTCATCTCCAACAATCCTCTCGTCTTCTTCCTCTTCCACAATCGGGTCTGTCTCCTCCAGTCCCCTCAACACCTCCTCGATCTCTGACGGGTCCGTAATCGCCCACACACCACCGCCCTTGACGGCATCTGTCCCACGAATCCCGACTTCTTTTCCCACCAGGTTTCTCCCCACTTTTCCAGGGCCTATGCCGATCCACCGCCTGACTTTTTCCTGCTGGTCTAGATACCGTATGCTGTCCCACCACCTCACTGTTTCCAGGCACGACCTGGCCACGAGGTCCTTCAACATGGCCTTGCTCTCAAAGGGCCTCGCCGTGACGTTACTGATCGCCCTCACTTTCCCAGGAAACGTGACAAGCTCTCCTTGCTCTCCCTCCTCCCTCTGGTCGTGGCCTCTTGACCCTTTTGTCCTCCTCCGGCTTTTCCCATCCAGCAGGCGCCGCATGGTGGCGACGGCAGGCTTCATAATGGGGCTGTGGAAGGGACTGTCGCTGTTCAGCCGGACGGCCCTCGGGTCGTGGCCCAGGAACTGCCTCACGTGGGCCACCAGGGTCTTGATGCGCTCGATGGACCCGCTCAGCACGATCTGGTTCTTGCTGTTGATGTTGGCAATCTTGACCTGCTGGATGGGCGGAACCTCGGAGTCGGCGCCGCTGTCGGACTTGTCGCTGCTGGGCACGGTGAAGTTGTTGACGGCGTCGATCAGGCCCGCCAGGTACTCGGGCTCCGTGACGATAGCCACCATCCCATAATCCCCGCCGTACTCCTCCCTTGCCGTCGCCGTCGCAGCCGCCATCACCTCGGCCCGCCTCTTGACAAGATACAGACTGTCCTCGAACGCGAGGTATCCGCCCGCCACGAGGGCTGCGAACTCGCCCAAGCTGTGGCCCAGGGTGAAGTCGATGCGGTCGCTGACATGGAAGCCAAACTCGCGCTCCAGGACGCGCAGGACGAGGATCGAGGTTGCCATGATCGCAGGCTGGGCATGGGGGGTCGCGGAGAGGAGCGAGTTGGGGCCCTCGGCGATGATGCGCGTCAGGGAGTAGCCCATCACCGTATCGATCTCGTCAAGGATGGGCGCCGCGGTGCGAGGGAAAGCTTCGACCCAAGGGGTCAGCATGCCTACTTTTTGGACGCCCTGGCCTGCAAAAAGAGAGACACAGGAACCTATTGTTAGTCATGGAGACTGAAAAGAATACTGGAAGGGGGGTCTCGGCATCCGTACCTGGGAAGAACAATGCTGTCTTCGGCCGTGTAGTCCTCTTGGAGGACGAGGCATGGCGTCTTTGTCCTTGTAGGTGTCGCTGCCGTTGTGCTTGACCACCTCTCGAGACCCTGGGTGATAATGTTGACACCACCCTCCTCTGCACAGTCCTGGGTCCAGCCGCCAGACGTCGAGGTATTATAGAGTGGCAGGTCTGCTGAGAGGACAGCCCGCGCAGAGGGAGGGGGAGGAGGCGGCGGCTTGACGCTGGTATTCGTGCTGCTGTTGCCGTTGCCGTCTTCATCGTTGTCGTCATCGTCGTGACTCAACCGACTTGCTGCTCTTCTACCGCCGCACTTTCTCTCTCCCTCTCTCCAGCTGGCCCAGCTCGAGATGCCAAGCCGCGCGACGATCCGCGAGAGAGAGAAAGAAAAGAAAAGGTCACCGCATCAGGCGTTCGAGAGCCGCCCTTCTGTGTAGTCGTGGACGGGAATGTGAGAAAGCGTTGACCAAAAAGGACGTGACGACGGGGAAAGGGAAACCCACACAGCCTCGGCTCAGTAATACAGTCTAGAATAGCTGCGATGACATACGATCGGCAGTAGTGTTTAGCAGTGGGTACAATAGGCGCCACGGAAAGGAACAAGGGGCCTTCTTCAGGCGGCCTGAGGAGGATTAGCCGCTGCCGAGGACAGGCGAGCGACTCTTTTCCGCTGACCCGCCGTAGCCGAGGCTGTTGTAGACAGTCCAAGGGGCCTGCAGCTCCCGCCTGTAGCGCCTGTAGACGCTGTACTGTAGACGCTGTAGAAATCGCGCTTGTGGGCGAAGAAGCATTGTCGCGAAAGACTACAAAACAAGCGATCTCTCTGTTTACTTGCCAGCATAGTGTACACAGAACAATTGAGCTTAAGAAACATTTCAGCACTGAGTCCGCAGCAGTATACTTGCCAATTGTACCCTTTGTTTTTTTTTTTTCTTCTTCTGTCATCTTCTTCTTTTTTGATTTATTTTCTTAACCTCAGTGGCCAGATGAGCACCCAAGGGTGGGTCGTTTTGGTGAAGATGACACCAGGTACAAGTCCATGAACATAGTTCAACTGCAATTACAGTAGTGCATCTTCACGGTATGAGATAGTCCCAGACTCATTCTGGTAAAGCTTGTTTCTGTGGTTGATTTATGTTTCATTCTCTTCTTTCTGAAATACCCCGGAAAAAGGGCCACCAAACCTGCAATTCCACGTGAACTTGCATTGGGCCCCTTTGAGACTCAGTAAGAGCCTGGATTTTGCTCTCATAACAAGTCTATGTGGCCATATTGCCTCTTTCCCCGTTGTGCATTCCAATCTCGTTCTCCTTCCTCTTTTTCAGTCACCAAAAACACTCTCAATCAGCTCACTCTGTGCACCCCGGGGTGCAAGAAGACACGCCCTCTTTCAAGGACTTTGGAAGCTCCCCTTCGGTGCATGGAAATGGAAAAAGGGTGAACAAATCGAGATGAGAATGTTGAGAGGCCCATGGCTTTTCTTTACGTTCTTTCTTTCTCTTCTTCATCATCAACCATTAAAATGGGTATCTTGGACAAGCAAGAGGACTAAAAACAGTTGCTACAAGCAAAACAAGTAAAAGCAGTAAGTGCAGCGAAATCAGAAGCAATAAAAAGAAAAAAGGAAGAAAAAGATATATAGAGAAAACTCCAGGGAAATCCACAACAAGTCCAGCTTTTTCTTTTTTCCTTCTTTTTTTCTTTTTCCTTTAGGAATACGGCGATGCGATACCCCTTGTGACCTTGGCTGGATTACCAGTACATATGCAAAAAGCCGGTTGTGTCTAGATTCATAATCAAATGTCAACTGTTGGCACATGTCATGGTCGAGAAGAGGAGAGAGAGAGAGTGAGGAGACACAATGACATACCCTCGTCACCAGGCTCATGGCGCCAACAGTTGTGCCCCGACCGATCTTGACACCCCCAAGGATCACCACGCTGCCCCCGATGAAGCAATCGTCCTCGATGACAATCCTCTGGCCCTGGCAAGCTCCCTTTGCGCCATTTCTTCTCCTCGGGTCGGTCGTCATGCTCGTCGTGTAGAAGCTCACATTGGGTCCGATGACGACGTTGTTCCCGATGATGACCTCGCACGCGTCTACCATGGTGCAGTTGCGCCCAATCACGGTGTTCTTTCCAATCTGGATGTTGTATCCATAATCGCAGGTAAAGGGAGCCTCCACGACGACGTGGTCGCCCACGCGCCCAGCATTCATCACAGGGATCGTCTGCACGGGCGAGAGTTGGATGGGCACCTTGGGCTGCAGGATTTCGCGGAAGAGCCGTGCTCTCTCCTCGGGCGATGCACCGTTGGCCGGGTTCATGCTGTTATTGAAGCGGCAGAGAGCCGCATTGCAACGCTCTCTCTCTAACACGAGCTCCTTGTCGAACGGATAGTACTGCCTCTCCGCAAGCATCTCGTCCTTCTCGCGGCGGCCACCACCGCCTGCCACTGCTGATGCGGGCGAGGAGAACTGCGAGGTGTGCGAAAGCGCGAGCTGTGCCGTCGTCTGGGCTGTGCTGCTGGACTGCGGCGTGCTGATGGGGCTGTTGGTGCGTGTGGCGTGCATGATGTTGATATGAGGGAGGGTGGTGCCCGTACTGCTCTGCGGTGTCATGTCTGGCTCGGTGGAGCGGGTGAGATCGTGCAGAGGCGGCACACGCTGGTATTCCTTGGGTCCTCTGTCGGGGAAAGGCACGGGAGCGGCGCTGACAGGAGTCGGGAAGACGTTGGCGGGCGTGCTGCTGGTGGTGGTTGTATAGGCGGTAGAGAGAGCAGACAACTTGTTGTTGTCTGGGCTGACGACGGATGCGCTGGGAAGTGTGGACGCGGTGGGCCTGTCATCATCCGAGTAAAGAGGTCGACCCTGGGGCGGCTCGATTCTCAGCGGCTGACCTCGATATGAAGGAAGAGGCTCTCGCTTCTGTTGGCTCAGGGGGGGCTGTGGCGGTTGCGGTGGTGGTTGTTGGTTGGGATAAGGCGGCGCCTGCTGAGGCATGCCATAGGCGCCTGGCGGCTTGTAGGATGGATCCTTTGACTCGATCTGGACCGTCTGCGCCTTGCTCTCTGGTTTGGGCCATGATCCTCTCTGCGGAGGGTATCCGGCGCAGACGAAGCCCCCCTTCAAACAGTTGGTACCTATATTCCTCGCCAATGTCAGCTATGCCTTCTGAGAGATGACCTATTTTGTATGGGAGGCGTGACGAAAGGACGGTGGCTGTTGTGAGCTACTCACACTCGGGCTTTGCCTCGTCGCACTTCTTCTTCCTCTTCCGGCAGGTCAGGCAGCCTGTCTTGGTCCGATTGCTGAAGTTGCGCTTTCTCTTCTTGGCGTCGGACTGGACCACGCCATCCCTTCGCTGTTCAGGCGTGTACGGTCCCGAATAGGCCATCAGCCGGTCATCACCTTCAGGGCTCGTCTGTGGATACTCATGCTCGGCAGCAGCCCTCCGCAGCGCCTCGCCCATTTGCTGCTCTTCGCTCTGGGCCGAGTCGGGCGCCGCCGATGCAGGCTGGCTGTAGACGGATCGCTCGTCACGGCTGGTGTGCGACGAATACCAAGCCTCATGGTCCCGTTCACGCTCACGATCCCGTTCTCGTTCTCGTTGCTCATCGCTATAGGTATGATACTCGCCCCGATCGCGTCGTTCCTGGTCGTAAAGGTCTCTGTCTCTCTCCCTGGGCGGTTCGGAGAGCTGTGACCGTTCCTGGTGGGAAATTTCCTGTTGCCTCTCCACCGACATAGGCATCTCCCTGCGATCATCGCCAGGATCGTCGTGTGACCTCTTCCTTTTATGCGACGAGGCTTCAGCGTCAGGATGAGTTGCTGCAGAAGAAGAAGTATATTGATGATGAGCAGCCTGGCCCTGTTGACTTCTTCCTCCTTCCCGTGTCGGCGAGGCCTCACTCGACGATGACTCTCGTTGTTGTTGTTGTTGTTGTTGCCGCCGTTGATCCAGAGGCGGTTGTAATGGTGCTGTTTGTGGCGCTGTGGTCCCATGAGCGCCATCGATAGAGCCGGCGCGTTGCACGTCCACGGATAATCCTCCATTCGTGTCCTGCACGCCCTTTTTTGGCGACCCCCCGCCGTTCATAGCTGTAAAGCTTGCCATCTTGTTTCGTTCGAACTGAGATCAGCACGCAGGTGGGTTGTTGTGGCAAGGGCGTAAACACCAGCGTGAGATGGATAGACGAGGTTACCGATGATGGGCTGGATCCTCTTCTTCTTGTTTATTTCCTCCTCTGGTGCTTTTCTTCTCTCCCTAGACAAGTCTTGCCGGAGAGGAAATTTGGTGAGAGGTCACCCGCGCCGAGGATGGCGAGTACGGACTCTTTGCTCCTCTTTGAGTAACGCAATACCCCTCCTGGGACGGTTGGGTTTGTCTCGAGGCGGAGGTGTGAGTACAAACAGAAAAATGAGAAACTCAACGTTGCGCAGAACACGACGGCGAGCCTTGAACCAGGATGATCAAGTAAGGATACCGGCGGTGGTCCTCTGCTTCCAACAACCCCCCCACACCCGCCAAGCAGAGAGCACCAGTCACTCACTATAAGACTTGTGGGATATTGAAGGTGACACAAGCAGAGCACAAGAGATTGAGACACCAAGCTGGGATCTCCTCCGTCTCTCACTCACGCCTAATCAAAACCCACGTTCGGGGTGCCAGCTCGACAGATTGTGTTGGAAGTAGCATATGAGAAAGAAACAAGAAGAAAAAAACACAGAGAATTGATGGTGCCTGTCCTCACCCAAACACACGCATTTCTCTGTGCTCCGTCCGAGTAAGCGCCGATATCGTCTGGCCTTCACGACGCCCGAGTCCTCCGCCGTCTTGGATTAGGGCCAAGACACAGATATCACAGATACATGCGTCTGTCTCGTGCGCCCGAAGTCCGAAAATTATAGAAAGGGCGAACCGGAGAATTGGGGAGGATCGACAAAAGGTGGATTTTGGCAGTGACGCACGATTGAATTAAAGAAGAAGAAAATTGACTGCCGGAGAAAACAATTCTTTATCGTTGTACTCGGTGGAATGTAAAATGGACAGAGAAGACGATAGATGATTTGACCGGATCCGCCCCGTGTGAGATGAGAATCTTGTCTGGATGAATCAGCGACTAAATGTGTGATTAGCGTCCACCCATCCTCCGAAGAGGGGGGTAGGAAAGGCGGAGGGAGGGAGGGAGGGAGAAGAGGGGCCTAGAAGCGAGGGAAAAGGCGGCGGGGCTCTTTTGCAAAGGTGCTGCGTGTGCAGTAAGGCAAGGCCAGGCCAGGGCAAGGCAAGGCGAGGAGGAGTTCGAGGTAGGGTGAGTTAAGGTAAAAGTCAGGTAAAAGGGTAAGTGCATGTGTGTAGATGGTGGTGCGGGTATGGGAGCCCTGGGAGAAGGGTGCAGGGAAGGGCAAGCAACTGGGATGGGATAGGACAGGACAGGATAGGGTAGGATTTGGCGGACGAGTAAGAGGAGAGCGTGTTGTCGTGCGCGTATCTTGCCTTGGAGACGCAACCAGGTGGTGGGTCGGACTGGGAAGGCCAGGGCGGCACAGATTGAGCCCATTAGACGGGGCAGGACGGGGGTGTGCTAGACGCAGAGGGAGGCGGTATGTATGGGTACCTACGTTGCTTGGATAGGCTGTCTTGGCGGAGAGGTACAGTACCTCTCTTGTCACTCTTGAAGCTGTGGGCCAGGGTTGGCCTCTTCTCTTGTTCGAGGTTACTTCGACTTTGGGTCGATCATTGAACTGCGCCGCCTAGCCTCGGTCAGACTACAAGGAATAGTAGAGCCGAAGGAGATTTTACTGTCTCTCGATTTCAGCGGACGGCAAGTGCTTCTACCCTTTCGCAGACTGTATTAGAGTAGAGAATAGATATCTGCTTGCTCGATCGAGCTGGGCATCTGTTTCTATCAGCATCATCTCTTGTAGTTCGGATAGAAAATGTCACTGGCTGAATCTATTGTGAGGAAGGAGGGTCAAAAGTGAACTGTACAGGCAGCCTGGTCCCCAACAGGATCCAAGGGGAGAGGAGGGGAGAAACGAGGGAGTAGGGAAGGGAGAGAGACACCTCCCGCCCTCTTTGCTAGTCGCGCGGGTAAGGCACAGGGTCATAATTTCCAATAAACCCACTTGTCAAGGGAACGCGGCAATCTGAGCAGCCTGCAACGTTGACTGACTTTCCAACGCCAAGTGGAGACGCCGGAAAGGGGAACGCGAAAGGAAGGGTGGAGAGGGCAATGCATTGCAGCGCCAGGCCTCCCAAGGTCCAGGCGAATTGTACACGTCAGAGCTACAGAACAAAGAAAGAAAGAAAAATGGGAACCAACAGCAGCGAAGGAGGAGAAGAAGAAGAAGAAGAAGAAGAAGAACACTACAGAAACAAGTAACAATAAAGAAGAAAGGAGGGGGGGGGGGGGAATAAAGAAGCAAAGAGAGCCGCGCGCGCGACATGACGCTGCACGACAGCCCAATATCTGCTGGCTGATGATGATGATGATAATGATGCACATGGAAGAAAATGGTTCCGTACAGAACGCATCAACTAGCCATTTGCTGCATGGTTCAGTCTAGGCCTCCGCTTGTCTTGTCGCTACCTGACAAGAGCAAGGCGTGACGATGTGCGTGTGCGTGCGCGTGCGTGCATTGGTGGGTGTGTGAGTGTGATGTGAGTGTAAATGCCAATGATTGGTTGCCCGGCAGAGTGTCATGGGTGCCTGAGTATGTAACGTCGAAAGTACTGTACGTCTCTTTTTTTTTAAGAAAATAAAAAATAAAAAATTCGCTGCAGAGTGTGATCGGATACGGATTACCGTGTTTGCATAGTGAGCGTTCAGACAGATCCGCGTCCAAGCATATTTGCACAGCGTACGGTAGAACTTCAAGAATTGAAAAAAAGACAGGAAGCATTCGCGAATGACATGGGCAGGTTTTCAGAGCATGTACATGGTAGATTGAAGCACTCACCGATAGGGGGATTGATTCGACAGGAAGGTGATGATGACCTCGGCCGAGACTGATTGGACTCGCTCTCTTCCTGGGATGATCAGCGTGATGATGTTTGTTGCGTGAGGTCACGGAATCGAACGAAGCTGCAAGCTGCAGGTGGTCCAAGATTGACGCAAGAGGTCCGTCGTCCTTGTCTTAATGTTCCCTTGCATCAGGCAATTTGACGAAATCTCGTGCGTTGGTCAGTCGACTCCAGTTGTCTCTCAGGACGCTGGGTGTGCTCTTGTCGTCCTTTTTTTTTCTTCTTCTCCCGTCCTTTTACCCCGGCTCCAGCTGAATAGGTAGTATGGAGAAATAAGAGCCCTCGAAGTGAAGGAGGAAGGGAAGTGGTGAAGGCTGAAAATGGGGGAGTAGAAGCTGAGTCTCTGCGGAACCGCGCTTGAGGGGGGAAGGCACGTTGCCGCTGGCGCGCGATTATTATGGAAATCAGGGCGTCTGCTCTGGAGGACAGAGCGAGGCACTACAGATGTACTAATACCCCTAGTGGGTAGTACTATAGTACAGTGTGTTAGGCCGGGGCTGACCCACGACAGTACGGCTCTTGAGGCGGTTTCCCTGATGAATTTGGTGACATGTACAGTACATGGTACAGTACAGTACTAGCACATGACACACTAGGTCGTCTAGCTACGCTTGTTGCACGTCGTCCCTGCCGACTCTTACTGTGATGGTAGTTTCGCTTCCCGGTACTCTCTTGCATGTTATTCGCATATATGCAATGCATGTCAACCAAGTCACTTTCTTTCAGCTTGCCTCTCTGCCCTGCAGCAGCCTCAAAACAGGTTGGAATGCTACTGTACGGAGTAGTTGTCTCTCTTGCCGAGATTGTCACCTTTTGGGCATGGTTTGTCCTTCTTCTTCTTCTTCGCTGCTCTGTTGGGCTGGCACATGTTACATACGACCTCGGGAGTCCGAACCCTGAAGAGGAAAAGAAAACGGATGGCGTGGCTCCTCTCAGGGCCTTCCTCCTACCACCACCCCCCTTTCTCCTCTCCTCATCTGAGCCCCCGAGGTAGCAGCGATTGCTACACAAAAAGACGCGAGATTAGCCAGCCACTTACGCTCCTTCACAGCGGTTGTAGCTGTACGGACAGAGAAAAGAGGGCGTGCGCGCAGAGAGATTGGGATGACGAATGGTGGTTGTGTCTCGAAGGTGGCGCAGTCACGGGAAATAAGATGAGAGAGAGAGAGAGAGGAAGAAGAGAGGAAGACATGCAAGCCAGCCGCGGACGGGTGGAATTTGATGATAAGTAAGACAAACGTGGCGGTTGGAGGATGGTAAAAGGACTCCCTCCCCGGCCCCTCTCTTCCCAACCCCAGAATAATCATGTCTGCAGAAGAAGGAGGACTCATCTGGGTCTGTTTCGAGGTGGCCCAAGATCAGGATCCAAGGTCCAGATCCAACGGCCAGGAAGGGGAGAAGGAGGACCTCGGGTGATGTTGCAAGCAGCGAAGCAACGTGACAGCCTGAAGGCTTTGCTGCTGGCCAGACAGACTGCTACCTACCATGACACAGTAGTGTAGCATTGGACACTGTACTGCACGCCGTGGCACATGGAGCATGAGACGTACAGATACAAGCTTGCCCGCCACCCTTGTCAGAATCAGGTACCACCACAAAACCCACCGTAGCGCACAGCGTTTTCCTCAATCCTCTCGTTTCGATACCCGCATGGCTCGCGCCAAGTTCGCATCGGCTCCAATGTTCGGGCGGCATGGCGCTTGTCCAGCAGCGTGTGTGTATCGGTAGCACACAATAAGTCTTATGCGGCACTCACTGTGACACAACAACACCCGGTGAGTATGTCGATCCAGTAGCGTGACCCTCTCTCTGGTCGATAGTCTTAATTTTGTTTTAAAATGAAGGAAAGAAAGGGAGAAAAGAAGCAAATAGAGAGAAAGACACGGAAGAAAAAAGAAAGAGACACAGAGATCTCCCAAAGAATGACTTCTTTTAGCCATCAATAGGAAAAGGGAGTGAGAGAGCGGAGACCTCTTTCTCGTCGGGATAGTTCGTGCTAAAGAAGCGCGCTGGGGTTTCTCTGGTGCGCCCGAAAGGGGCGCCGCCCGTTCCGCCGCTTGTTTCGATGAAGGAGGTCCAGGGACAAGGGCTGCCAATGGATGCTGGAGGGAGAAATCCATGATAGATAGAGAGGAGGCACATCCCTTTCTCCTTAATCGCAGCCGCGGGCTGACGATAATCCTGCGTAAAGTGTCAGACAGTCCAAGGGCAGCCTGTTTGGCGGTACTGCAAATACGGTACGCTACTGGAAGCAAGTAACAGAAAATCTACAGCCTTGACCCCAGTGCCTGCCGGTATACATAGTCGTGCTGCTGGAATTGCACAGAATCTTGGTGGGACAAGGTACGTGCGAACAGGGGACAGATAAACGGACATCCAGACACATACTGCCATATAGTACATACACAGCATGTGCGTACTTCCTTACTTACGTACATAGTTGTGGCTCCTCTAGAACGATGGTCAGATAGGAGCTGGCTATAGGTTATTTTACGAGAGAAACATGACAGTCCGTCGGGAAAGGGAGGAAGAGGGGGCAAGATTTTAGGTAGAATCCTCCCGTCTGTGCTGTCACCTACCCATGGATGATGAAGAACTGAAGTAGTAATGTACTATGTACTGTTGTAGCCAACAAAAAGAAGAGGAAGAAGATCACCGTCAGCCAACCCACCCATACACCCACCACCAGAACCAGCATGCTTAGCAAAGTAGCAACGACAACACCGCTGCTACTAAACCATTCCGGTTTCCCGGCCATGCAGGTTGGTGGTATCCTAAGGCCCAGAAGAGAGACACAGAGAGAGAGAGGCATTGGTCGACCTACAAAGACAGAGAAGATCGGGAATACAAGACCTTCCGGATACGGCGGCCGGCAACATCATTCCTCAAACACCCCTGTGGATCAAATACTACTTGGGACTGCCCATTTGGCAAAAAGAGATGTCATTTTGTGTCTGGACCTTCTTTTCCGCCTATCCCCGCCGTCGGGTGATCGCGCTTAGGCCACGTTCAGCGCGAGGAGGGTGGGATGCCATGGTGCAAAAGCCTGGCAAGGGATGCACGTCACCCTTTCTTTCATGTTCTCCAGATGAGATCCCGGTATGCCAATCCTTCGGAACAGAACCAGGCCGTTGGGCATCCCCAAAGGAAGCGATCCGATCTGTGCCTAAGTTGAGTGGCTGCCCTGGTTTACCAACCATGAGACCAGACCAGAATCCTCAATCGGATCTTCAGAGTACCTCTCTTTCCCCTCCTCTCTCTCTCTCTCTCTCTCTCTCTCTCTCTCTCTCTCTCTCTCTCTCTTTTTCTCACACACACACATATTTCCCATCATCGCGGGAGATCGTCGTCGATAGAATGAATAGCATGCGCACAATGGTTCCTGTTCAACAAGAGTTCTTCGCTACTCGGCCAGCGGACGCACTGGCCGAGGTAGTTAGCCCGTTCAGTAGTATCGGTGTCCAACAACCACCGCTAGCTGATGCCCGCGGGTCTTGAAAAGGCAAAAGCCGTGCAGTACCTTGCACAATAACCACAATAACCTGTGGCCCGAGAGAGAGAGGGGATGCAACCCCACAAAATCCAGACCGACGGAGAGGAAAAGAATGGTATGAAAAATCCTTCCTTTATGAGGAATCGAGCCGCGACCCCTGGTCTCTTGGGGGCTCCTCTGGCATGGGATGTGAGACTAATAGTACGACTATGGTCCATAGTAATAACTCCTCTTCCCGCCGCCGTGTTAGACAGACTGGCCGGCTCTGCCATATCATTGGCGAGAACCATGGGTGGAGCAAGCCCAGCCCAACGCGATTTCGGCCCTTGGGAGTGTGTGTGTGAGTGTGTGTGTGTGTCTCTGTGTCTGTGTGGCCGCATGGTGCATAATCATGGACCAAAGAGACGCGAAAGCCCAGAACCAATGACTTGGTCGGCGACAAGGAATGGCGACAGTCTAGCGCGGCTGCGTTTGAAGCCCTGGGGGACGCCTAGGACCAGGGGGCCCTCAGCCTCTTCTTCCGCGGCCTGTAAATGTCCCTACGCTTGTTACTTGGTAGGCCCCATCGTAATCCATTGTGGGGCTCATATTTTGTACTTTACCGTAGTACTATGTTCGTTTCATGAGATACTGAGTTGGTGATTTTGGGAGAGAGACTTTTTTTTTCTTTTTGTTTTTTTTTCTTTTTTGAAAATAGGCCTTCTAGAGTACATAAGATTGCCCTGTCACGAGAAGCGTCATGGGAACCACTCGTGTCGTTTGTGTCATTCGCACGCATGTTCTCTCTAGCGAGAGCCGCCCTGAGTCAACTTGCACTCGCATCTTTGAAGGATGAGGATACACAACCCTTGTCATTCCCCATTCACTAAATAAAAAGGCCTCAGCTCGCACTCTTTTTCCTGTACTATGCAGACTCAACTGTCGACCCACATTCTCTCTGCACGACATGATTTATGGTGCATATACCGCTCTCTGCCACCCAGCCTTGTTGTTGGGACGAGCGTGTCATGCATGCATGCTAGTTCTCCTCCATCAGCCATGAGTCGTGTTCTTTGACAGTACCTTGCGTAGTAATTCTGGTACAGTACTATAGTAGAATGTTTTTCTGTCTGGAGGTGTTTACTTTTTCGGTGACATGAGGTTTGTGTTTTGAGGGCAACTGTGGCTGCACAGGCAGACAATTTCCTCTTCTTTCTTTCTGCTCCGGCTGTCCTATTTATACCAATAAATATGCTGCAATTCGCACCTCCAACATACATACTGTACTTTATTACATACCTGAAGTACTTATATGCAGCATAGTCCCACCAAAGCTCTCCAGGGGGTCGGCATCCCGAGAACCATGCCCGGCCTGGCTGCAGGTCAGCCCAGGCCAGTCTGTATACTTCTTGGTTGGTCACACACCTTTACGCAGGCGTGTGGAGGAGCATGTTCGCGGCATAGCATGATTGGTCGAGAATAGAAGGGCCATCATGAACCTATAACAGACCGTTAAAAGATGATCTTCTCTTGCTCCGTTTCCCCCTCCATTCTCACCCCTGTTTTCTTCTCTTGGATTCTTTTTTATTTTTGCCTTTTTCCACTGTGTCTACCGGGATTGTTTTTCATAGGCGAGATGTGGGTTCGTGGTACCGTGCCGGCTCTCTCTCCCTCTCGGCGAACGGTAACTGTGCTACTTGCTACTCACTCAACGCAACCTCCAAGGGCAACTTGAGGCAATTAGACGAAAGGGAAGACGAGGGGGGGTCCCTTTGTCATGTTCGACTCGACACCACTTTCAGTCCCAGCCCAGTCCTTGGCGTGATGACCTGCAACCCCCCGGCTGCATTTTGCATATGCGCGACCCGTCAGCACACACCACCACCACCCCCCTCCCTTCTCTTGGACGAGTCGCTTATCGAGCGCGATCCGCGGAGGTCTTGCTCGGCTAAGCTTGTTCTCCTTCATTTTTTTTCCCTTGTCTTACTTTGGAAAAGAAGGCTTCACACACAACACACCTGCCCCCCGGTAAGAATAGAGGATGTTCTTTCGCCAATTGCCCCGGGGTCTAACAGAAAGGACATAGTTCCGAAGTGTTTCTTACCAACGGCGCCTGATGTATGTGTCCAGCTGACCAACCTTTTCATCACATCGTGGGCTGGGAATATAGCTGCGGCGCGGTTGTCTTGCCCTCCCGAGTCCTTCCCCTCCTCCTCCATCTTAATTCTCCTCTCACCTACTCGCTCTCATCATCATCGCTACTCTCCTGCACTCACAATATACCTGTCAGATGGTGCCATGTACGTACACAGCGAGTGAAAGAGTGAGAGAGAGAGAGAGAGAGAGTATGTATGTGTGTGTGTGTGTGTGTCTCTCGCGGAACACAAAGATGACTAGCTTGATCCTTCGGGCCTTACCCTGACCACGAATTGCCGAGGGGGTCCCTCTTATTTGCGAATAGACTCATCCGTGCACAGTGTAGTCTTTCTTAGCTCTCGATAATCATTCTCTGGCGTCCTTGTCCTCGCCTACGTCGTCGCACCCTTCGTCCTCCTCTCAGCAGGAGCTCGACCAGTGGAAAAGAGAGTGTGTAACTTCCTCCCCTCCTGGTGTTTGATTTTGTTTTTGTGCTACTATTTATCATGACTACCAACCAACCACCCTCACGCCAGGCCAGGCCAGGCCAGGCTACAACAGTGTAACCCTCGTAGGTACCACCGAGTGGTACTTTGAAGCAACCAGCCCGTTGGGCCTCTCTCTGTCCCCGTCTCTTTTTTCTTTCTTTCTGTTCCTTTCTCTGGGTCCAGGAGATCGACATTGAAAGTGACGAAACGGCGCCTGCGTGTAAGCATTTAGCGCCCTCCGCGCAGAGTATACCCCTCCATATTGCTTAGGGATCATAGTCACCTGATTGATAATTATCCCTTGCAGCCAGAGACCTCCCTCGGGGGTGTGAGTGTGTGCACGGATTCCAATCTGAAGAGTAGGTGCAAGCGGGCCGTCATGAGTGGGTGAGGATAACAAGAGCAGCATTGGAATAACAAATTGCTTATTACAAAGTGCTATGGACTCTTCAATGTTGATTACTAGGCTAAGATGACCTCTAGAGCAGGGTGTGGTTATGCACTACTTGATTCCTCCTTATTGTCGATAGTGTACGTTGCGTCTGTATTCTGACACCCTCCAGCATAAGCACTCTATAACCTTGGCAGCATGAAAGTACAAGTACAAACACATGAAAAACAGAAAGGTCATCACGATCTAGACAAGGCTCGGATGTAGGATTCGCGGTGCTTCTTGATTTGCGGGGGAGGGTGAAGGGGGGGGGGTCTGGTTTTGCAGGGATCACTTCGAGTGTGTGTGTACATCCTCAAGTGCACAGCATGTATCCTGCATAAATGAGGCTGCTTACAGAGCAACGATATAAAAAAAGGAACTGATTACTTGACAAGTTCACGAATTTTATGCCTTTGTCTCGCACACACAATGTCTGATCGAGGGCCGGAAAGGCGAAGGATCAGCCAGCAGGCCAAAGGGCCAGATCTGGGCCAGGGCATCCAATTTATCTTTTTTGCCCCTCTTCTTCTTACTGCCATGATGTTGGGATGATTTTGGTGGTTGATTGTATGCTGCAGCCCAGATATCCTACTTTTAATCGGAAGTGGTGAGGCGGATCATATAACACATATATCGACGGTGAAGACATTTGTTTTGCCCGTCAACGAGTATGAAGATAGGCTGGGCAGATGGACGAATAACGAGACAGAACCAGTCAAAGTCGACATCTGCTGTATACCAACTTACACCATTGGGTACTTCAACAAGTCACATGAAATTCCCCAGCCTCTTCTTTATGGTGTACTAGTAGCGTTGCGTTGCTATAAGACCTAAACTTGGTGACGAAGCATTCTCAGCGATTGTGTCTACCACAAAAAACAACCACTTCACCAACCCAGCGCACCAGAATGTTGCTAAGCCAGCCAGTTGCTCAAGTCTAAAGTACAGTTTTCAGATTCATTATTTTGTATGAATAAATAGAACATGGCGTCATGCTGACCAAAAGTCCAGATTTCTCAAAGCCGCGGCGTGCTGCAGCAAACCGCACTGCAGTGCGAGTGGCCAGCAACAAATCAGAGGCGCAGCAATAGCCGCCCATATCGAGAAGCGCCTCGCCAGGGCCTCACTTCGTTTCTCACCACCAGCCAAGGAAATATCCTAACCTGTTCGGCCATGCAGCCATCTCTCTCCCTCTCTCACCACGATGATGCCCTCTCATTCTGGTTCCTTCCGTCCCCCCCAAGTTGACACATTTTCTCCATGACTGGATGACGAAAGAGGAATGAATGAAGAAAAAAAAAGCCCACCCCAGCTGGGTCCCTTGTCAACCCCCCAATTGCCCCACGCCGGCGCTTAACCCTCTCCCCCTTCACCTTCTTTGTCTTGCCGCCCCGCGCAATAAACGAGATCTCAAGATGCATCATGCACGACTGGCAGCCAAGGTCTAGGTTCAGGGGCATGGGCGGACCGGCTCATGAGAAGCAAGAAAAGATCTCTAAATGGCACCGTTCCATCGGGCCGGCACATGGATGCCTGATCGGTCTGGGTCGACAAGTACTTTTGCCCTGCCTTACCTGGGGGTTGTACCTGTACCACCTGAGAGAGAAGGATGGAGGGAAGGAAGGAAGGGGGCATCTGCTGCTGTTGTTGGTGACGGTGGTGGTGGTGGTGTAGGTCCCAGGCAGTCGGGTCGCAGGCGCTTCCACGAGGGGTGGGCTTACCCACTTTGTTGTGTTGATGTCGGCAGGTGTGCAGGTGTGCCGTGGAGGTTGTGCCGAGGGAGGGTGGCTGAAGGTGCTTGTGGGCGTCACGCGGGCAAGACGTCACACGGAGGATTGTGTGCAGCCGTTGAGAAGAAGGAGAAGGAGGAGAAGGAGGAGGAGGAGGAGGAGGAGGAGGATGGAGTCCAGAAGAGGCCATCAACAGGCACACTGTTGACTGAGAACCTCAATTGTCGCCTCGTCCTCCTGTCGAGCTGCTGACCACATCGCCACCAGGGCGCTTACGTGCAGTCTTCCGAGCGGCTACCCACCGATGCCTGGCCAGCAGGGTCTACAGTGGTCTGTCCTCATTGGTGTGCATGTGTACGTCTGTCGACTTGGCTTGTATGTGCTTGCCATGAGTGCTGTGCGTGTGGTGGGCCAGGACGGAGTAAACAGGCAGGGGCATACGCAGAGACCCAACTGCAAACCAAACAAGACGACCACTGCCGGGTTCAAAAACGAACAAGCCTTGGTCTGGCCCTCCCCTGATCCGTCAGCTATAAAAAGACGCGGCTACGCAGGGTGACGAGATGCGGCTGCAGGACAGGTAACTTGTCTATCGCAACGACACACAAAGGCCCTTCCATCATCAACCTATCATATGCCTTCCTTTCCATCTCACCTTGGTGGTTATTGAGATGCATATTTCGAAACAATTGGCGAATGCAGGGAAACAAACATTTAATTGTGACTGTTTCGTTCACCCGCTTTCTCCCCCATTTAGACCCAGCGCCTAGATTTGGTTGGTGGGCTCCTGTAAGTTGAAGTCATGGCTCTCGTACCGGTACGAAACCCACGAGGGAAATCCCCGCTGGGTACTTGATGATTGCTGCGATCAATGTCGAAGTACATCTAGTCTTGTCGTAGGACATGCAGGCCAGGATAAAATTGTGCCATCACGACAGGGTTTGTATGTTGGGTTTTGAATGTGTCGACAACAGAGCTGAGAATAGCATCAGGTCCACTCACTCACACACGCACTCTCTTTCTCGTGGCACCGGACAGAAAGGTAAATAACGGTCATGAATCGACCTATCGCTTAGACGAGTTGGCCAGAGGGTAGTGAGAGAAGGGTGATGATGCCCAAGAATAGAATTGCTCTTGTTACATTGTGTTTCGCAGTATAATATACCAAGGTCCTTCATTATCAGTCTCATCCTAAAAATAGAGTAGCAGGGATGATCTTGATGCACTCATCAGGAGAAGACTGTGCAAGAGCTACCACCACCATCACCAACAGCAGCGACGAAGACGCATTGCCAACAGCTCCCTCTTGTCTCACTTCTTCTGCCTCTTGGTGCTCTTGTCGGATGTAGCGCTGAGAACGCTAGCACTTCGCTTGTTCCGGGGTCCACCGCTGCTCCCTGGCCTGGTTGCACCCTCCTCCTGCTTTACGAGCGGTGTTGGTTGATCTTCGCCCTCAGCAGCTGCAGCTGCAGCGGACGCGTCGCCGTCGCTATTTTTGGTCGGCGCCTCTTCTGCCTTTGCCGCCTTGGCTGCTGCTTCCGTCGCAGGCGCTTCAGCGGCAGCAGCAGCAGCAGGTTGTGAGTCGCTGCCTTTGGCATTCGAATCGCCGTTCGTCTCTGCCGACTTGTCCCCCTCAGCCGTGGTAGCAGTCGCGGCTGCGTTCTCAGAAGAGGTGGACGCCTCGCCGTCCTTCTTCTTCTTCTTCTTGTCATCGGCAGACGGCTGCTCATCGGCCTGGCCGTCCAGACCCAAGGCTGCTCTCGCCTTGGCCCGCTCTGCCCTCTTCGCCTCCTCGATTTTGATCTCGTTCTCGAGCTTGTCCTTCTGCTTTCTCAGGTCTACCAGGCTGGTGACGGCGAGTACAAGCTTCTCGTACTCGGCCACGACTGTCGCGGTAGGCATGTTGAGACGTACAGGGATACTGAGCTCGTTGAGGACGTGCTGTATCCGTGCCTGCTGCTGGCCGCTCTTGTGGGAGAACAGCTTGTTAACCCGTTCATACCGGAACGTCGGTCCAGAGCTGAGCCGCTCGTGCGTCGAGACGCCGTAGATCTGCTCTTCGTACTCGCTGAGCTTGCGTCTCTCGGGAGGTGGCTGTCCCTTCTTGTTGCCCACAGGCGTGGGCTTCTCGGCGCCGATCGAGTCGCGGTGGCCGGCGGACTGGGCGGCGATGCTCTCACGCCGACTTGGCGCTGTCTCAGATACCGCGCTCGATGGCTGGGCATTTGCACTCGCAGCACCAGTAGCCGGGCTCGCGGTCTCGGGCGCCGTGAGGGGCTTGCGTTTCCTGGCTTGGCTCTGGGTTTGCAATGTGTTGAGCAGCTGAGAGAGCCCCGCACTGCCTCTGAAGGCGCTGATGTCCTGGTCCGCGTGGGGATGATCAAGCCTCTGGTAGAGCTCCCTGCGCTCCTCGTTGAATCTCTCGGCACGGGCCATGATGCGCTTGACCTCGATGAGGAGCGACTCTTCCTCCTTGGCCTCGGCTTCTGTCCTCGACATGGTGTTCAGCGCGAACCTCTTGCGTTGGGCTTCCTTGTCCGGGTCGAAGTTCAACATCATGGTGTGCATGTCCCATTCAAATTGTGTCATGTACTGCTTCGGCTTCTGAACCTCCATCATCTTGGCCGCCACCTCGTAGTACCGTGCCTTGAGATCCTCCATGGTCCGCTGTCTTGGGGCGGGAACGACTGCCGTGCTCGACCCATCCAAGTCCATATCATCAGGTTGTTTTGGCGAGTACTCAAATCGGTCCCATATGAGAGGCCACCGCAGGTCAAAGTCCCTGACCAGCTGGAACAGGTAATCGGTCTCGTCTTTGGTCCAGTCGTCGCTCTGTAGCTTTGCGTCGTACTGCTCCTCGTTGTAGTCGGGCACCTGGACCTTGACGTTGAATCTCGCAAATGCCGAGTCCTCGACCTCAGGCTCACCCTCCTTCTGCTTGTCGCCCTGCTCTCCGCCCTCTGTAGCTCCTTCGCCTCCTCCTTCGACGGTTTCGCCCTCTACTGCTGTACTTCCATCAGCCCGGTCTGGCCTTGGCCCTGCCTCTGACTTGCGCTTCCAGTGCCGTAAAACTAAGCTGTTGTCATCACGCGCCGAGTTTCGGAAGGCCCGTAGTTCCCATTTAGAGGCCGGTTTGCGATTAATCTGACGACGCTTCTTGTAGAGAGAGACTTCGGGTACGATGGCAATCGGTGTGTCGCCTCCCAGGCTCTGAACTTCCCGTGCAAGTCCTTTCAGGTTGGGCCTTGGAGCGGCAATCTTTTGCTTCTTGGAAGGACGTGGTGCCAAGCCCTCAGAGGGCAGGTTGAGGACATCACGAACGTCGTTAGAGGCCATGGCGGGGTTCTCGCTTTGTTGACGTCGACGTCGACGTCGACGTTGGTATTGATTGTCGTCAGGCTGGGTCTTGGGAGGAGATTGTTGTTGTACGAGGGAGGGGCGTGTCGAGCCTCGAGGCAGTGGATGTGGCTCGATAAATTCAGTCAATCATGGGTTGGGAGGACATGAATGGAGCGAGGGGTCGCAACTGATGGATACTGTTGTATGGTGGGTTTGGTGGCAGGTGGGTGGATTGCCCATTTCGATTTCACGTCTGTCACCAAACCGCGTTTCTGCAGAATAATAAAGTGGAGGCTCGCACAGACCATTTGCTTACGTGATGATGGCGTTTCTTGCTCTTTTCGGGGACAAGTTCAGGGGGAGCTTGGGCCTGCGGACACCTGGGCAAGTGCCACAGTGGACCTGAACCTGCTAGAGCTGGGGGACCTGGGGACCCCTGCACATGCATTTGGAGACCGTGGCTGCTTCGATTCTCGACCACCGAGCCACTGCAAGCAAGGGCCTGGACAGCATCACATCTTCTTCTCGCACGACGACGACGCGACAGACCGACTACTTCCACAAAATCACGTCTCGTCCTCTAAAGACCAATTGTTTGATTGCGCTATCCTCCGTGGGGCCTACATCTCAAGCGTGCAACTTTCCAGTTCGATCCCGACGGGACAAAACAGACAATGAGGGCCTTCTTCCCCCTCGTGGCCTTGAGCTCCCTTGCTCAGGTCACCCAGGCCCTCTACTTCTTTCTCGACGGCACTACCCAGAAGTGTTTCTACGAGGAGCTTCCTAAGGACACTCTGGTGGTTGGACACTACTCGGCAGAGGAGTATGATGACCAGAGACACGCCTGGTGGAAGCATGATGGCATCAGCATCTTTATTACTGTGGATGTATGTTGTATTTCTGAATGATGGCGTGGACAAACTGTCGTTCGACCTCTCTTTCTCCCTCCCTCTTCTCTCTCGTGCGCCTAGTGGAAACCAAATCTAATGCGTGCGCGCTTGCGCCCCCCGATGAACAGGAACTCTTCGACAACAACCACCGCATAGTAACGCAGAAAGGTGGCGCAGGCGGCCGCTTTACCTTCACTGCCGCCGAGGCTGGCGACCACAAGATCTGCTTCACTCCCTCCTCTGACAGCGGCAAGACGGCCTGGCTTAGCACCTCCAATCCCAATGGCGGCATCAAGCTGACCCTCGACATGACCATCGGCGAGACCAGCGTGATCGAGAGCTCCGACAAGGACAAGCTGGAGGATATCCAGTCGAGGATCAAGGACCTGAACTCGCGGCTGCAGGATATTCGCAGAGACCAGGTCTTCCAGAGGGTACGCTTCTTCTATAAGCTCCTTTTTCATATGACAAGCTTGGACTTGGATTTGGACTATTTGTGGCGGTCGGGGGAAGCTAATGTTGATGAAACAGGAACGAGAAGCCGAATTCCGCGACCAGTCTGAAGCTACGAACTCGCGCGTGGTCCGGTGGATGCTTATCCAATTGGTTGTTCTCGGCGGTACTTGCGCCTGGCAGCTCTCTCACCTCCGATCCTTCTTCATCAAGCAGAAGCTTACTTGAAAGGGTGCTAAGGAAAGGAAGGAAGACAGAAGTTGTACGTTTGACGACGCGAAACGTATGTTATGGACTAGGGATGGGGAGAGGACCGGACAGGGGAAAAGTTACGTTCTCATGAATGAGAAGGGCGTTGGTGTGGGCAGCCTGTTTGGTTGAAATGATATACCTATGCTTATGGCAAACCTCAGAGACGATCATGCTAGATCGAGGTACACCCCGGAAAAAGACGGGAATCTACTCTCTTCCCCTACAATGGGAGCATTTGCTTTTTGCTTGCGATATCCCTTACTTGCATATGTGTTTCGTGTCGCCAAAGTTCATGATGGGAAGAATCATGGTCAATTGTCTCTTTCAGTACCGCTACCTGCTAATGTATAGAACCGCATTTGACCAACCCTTCGCTGAAACGCCGTCATGACCCGATTCATCAAATGAGAACCCAACGCATGAAGATCAGCAAAACGCATCTTACTCTGCGACACAGGCGCATCTCACTTCTTCTCTCCTGCCAGCTATCATGTCCTGGGCTTGCCTGGCTTCGTGGTCTCGGGCGGATCTGCCGTGGCAGGACCCCAGAGACACCACACGCACTTGAGCTCATTGTTCCGAGGTTTGCAAATGTACTGCGGGGCCTCCTTGCGAGGAGCGAGGGCCATCAGGTCCTCCAGGGTGTGCCTGCGGGCCTCGAAGGTGCTGAGGGTCAGGCGGATCTTGGGATGTGGGAGCTTCAGCAGATCATCCACCTCACGCCTGGTCAGGCTCTTGCTGACGGCCTCCCTGATCATGTCGTCCTCTGCCTGCGTGAAGGACAGGTATTTATCGATACGCCGCTTGATCTCGCCTGCGTACATGGCCTCTTTTGTCTCGGCGGACCGCCCAGAGTCGACTCTGAAGTCATTGGCTATCTGGACCGGATCTTTGCCTTGGTTGTAGTAGAGATCGATAATGGCCCTGTCATCTTCCTCGGTGAAGTGAGCCGCCGTGTCGTAGTTACATCCCCCTTTGCCCTCGATGAGACATATTCTCATAGTCACCTCGGCCTCGCTCAGCCCTATCGCCTTGGAGATCTCGCGGATAGTCCTGTTCTTCCTCCTTATCGTCATGAGCAGGTCCCTCTTGATCGGTGGCAGATGGTACAGAGCCATGAGGTACTCAATATCCAATTTCGATTTCTCTCTTCGATCAGGAGTTGCTGCCTGGGCATCTACAGCACCCTTTGTACTATTATCACCGCAATGGACCTGCTCAGCCCTTGGTACTATCTCCAATGTAGAGGTCAAGGGATTCAAGCGGACGTCCTCTTCTCGTAACCCAAGTATATTCAATATGGCCTGTTCACTCATGTGAGCATAAGGATTGGAAGAGAGTGCATGTGCCGCACTCGCCGTAGATCGAGAGTGTCCAGCGATGATCCCCTGTGGTGCTGGGTTTGTGCGCCTGTTTGTGGGAAAGCGGTAATAGGCTGGGTATCGAGTATAAAGTGGACAATATGGTGGACTTGTATCAGAGGGGCCAAATTGTGTAGACAACTCTGATAGAGGTGTTTTCCAAGCACCATTGTTTGGGTTTTCTTCCAGGTATGTTTCCAGGAGGCCGAGGGAGTGTTGGATTGGGTCGTCAGTATCTTGGTCCTCGAGCCCCGTTGCTGGATCTGACCACCTGCGCATGGTTGGTAATGATGGTTGGTAATGATTTTGAAGGAGTCAACACTGGCGAGACTCGTGATGATGAATCGTGAAATGATCTTCTGGTTCTGGACATACCTAGAAGAACTATAAGGCAGCCGCGATCAGAGTAGTCCCCAGGCCTGTTCTCATAGTATCAAGGCAGGAGAAGAGAACCTCTTGCAAGTTGTATGTGCTTCAACACATATATGGACGCACAAAACAGTACTTTTGCGAATATTGAATGTATGAGTGTACAAGCGATCAAGAAAAGTGCATGAAAAAGAAATAAATGGAAAAAAGAAGAAGGAGAGAGTGGGCGAGGGAGAAAGAGTGTGTGTGTATGCGCGCGCAAAAGAGGCTTCCGCAGCTGCCTATTACCGTTTGGAGATTCATTCACTGTTGGCAAGGCTGGTGAGTAAGTGAATGTAAATGAACATCAGATTACTGACTCCTAAATTTCCGTTGCCAGATTGACACCGTATGTTCCTCAGGTAACGTCAAACACGGTGACCGCAGGAGCATTTCAGTAACACATCGAAGTCTGAAACTTGAGTTCTCTAACAACGAATCCTCCGAGGAATATATTGTGACCTTAAAGTAATTAGTTATTATAGTAAGTATACACAGAGACTCGTCGTCAATTACCACTCCCCCTCGCACATGACAAAGATCAAGGATAATTACACCTCCTCACGCCGTCCTCCCTGAAAATCTCCAAGAAGGGTGCCTCGCTCGAAAAGACGAGGAAGCCGTTGCGACAATCCTGTGTTTCCGTTGCCCAAGTAGCCCCTCCGTTCTTCCAGGCCACCAAGTTGCCGTCGTTGCCACCGTGGTATATGAGCTCGGCGGCACCAGGTCCATAACGGTTCATGGCCCACTGGACGTGCCCGTTGGCGGCGTAGACCACCAGGTTGCCGTCAGGCTGGTAGACAAAACGGTTGCCGTTCTCGAAGATGAGGAAGGGCGTGTCGCTGGGGCTGACGCGGAATGTATCCCCCCTAAAGGAGACGGAATGACGGCCAGTGTGCACGCCGTTGTTGAACCTGATCTGCTTGGCGTTTTCGATGGCCTGTGCCTTCTCATGCTCAAAGTTCTGTCTGGCCGCGTCAACGTCTCTTGAGATCGAGGCTCTGGCCTCTTCAATCTCTCTGTTGGCCTGCTCCTTGGCGAGCTGGATCTCCTTCCTGGCCTGGTCACGCTCTTCTCGGGCGGCATTGATGGCAGCATCCGTCGCGATGGCATCCGTGTCGTAGACGGGAGCGGCCTCGCGCACTGTCGTGGACAGCTTTGTCGAGCTCGAGTCGCCCCAGATGACACCCAGCCGCAGGATGCCTCCGTTGGTGGATTCGTCCATGGAGATGCGGCCAAAGAAGCCCTTGAACGTGCCACGGCTGAAAGCAGAGTCGAGGAAGACCGTCTTGATCTGCTCATACTCGATGTTGTCCTTCTTGACCCGGTCGCCAGCTAGGACTTCGTTCTTGATAGCCTGACCTAGAAGTCTGCGTCCGCGGTTGGTGTACATACAGACGGAGAGGACCCGCACGGCATCCTCTGCCTTTTGATCGCCTCTAATAGTGGGCACGCCGACCTCGATGGCAGCAGAGGTGATTCGTTCGCCTGGTTGGAAGTTGCTGAGGGTCTTTGGCGTGAGATTTGCCGCGGGCTATAATTTCATTCAAATAATGCGATTAGTTTTCCGAATCAATCTTCAGTACTGTTCATAGAACACAAGTAATTTCATTGTGGTGTGAGTGAATGGGATGACTTACCAGTCCCTTTCTCAAGAGAAGTCCGTTCTCGTACACCACCTCGACCGACCCAACACAACCCCATTTTGTGATGCCAATAGTGATAGACTCGACCTGCCACTCGGGGAAGAGGAACTCGAGGTTGTTGAAAAAGTCTCCCTTCTCCGTGTTGGGCGTGGCTCTCGAGACTTGCAGGTGCCTGCCAATCCCGGGGCTCTTCATCTTGATCTCGTCAAGAGACGTTGTCTCAGCCATTGTGAGGTCCTGGTCCATCTGGTACAGCGCTGGTGAGTCGTTCTCCAGCCTCTCCTGGTCGATCTGTTCTTGTTTCAGATCCTCCTCCGTCTGCGTCTTGGCCATGATCCTCCTTCCGCTGAGCGGATCCGACTTGGGCTTGAGTGCGTCTGGAACTTTGGTGACGGGCAGGCGCGTCTCGAAGAGCAGGGGCGCCTGGAAGGGCTCCTCGTGGTCCTCGTCTGTCGCAAGCTTGGGATCCTTCTCGATCTGGTCGACCTCGTTGACGATAAACACCATTTGCCTGCGGATGAACTTGCGTGCATCGCTGAAGCCAGCCAGAGACGCATCGAAGCGAGAAGTGTCGAGGGCGGCAGTCAGCGCAGCCGCATACCTCTTGGCCGCCACCAGGGCATTCTGGTCGCCCGAAGCAGCGGCCTGACCCATCGCCGTGATGGCCCTGGACTTGCTGGGCGTATCCACTTCTCCTTCGCCCTTCTTACCATCGTTTGCGTCTGTCCAGGGTTCAATCTCCAAAGTCTTGCTCTGGATCCGGTAGACATCGTCTCCGAGCTTCTTGTACAGGGACTTGTACGACATGAAGGCATCCATCAGCACGTTGGTGTAGATCTGCGCATTCTCATACTGGAGAGGAGAATATTGCGCAGGCTTGAGCGAGACAAAACTTCGCAGGCTCTCGTACTTGGTCAGGATGGCATGTGTTCTCTGCGGGCAGTCGGCAACGAGGCTGGGGAAGCGGGCAGCAGCCTGCATGACGCTCTGGATGTTCCATGGCTGCTCCATCGGCTTGATGTGGCCACCACCGCACCAGCTCACCTGGATGGTGGTCTCGGTGTTCATCTCCAGGTTGGTCCTGGCGATGCCCACATTGGCCTCTGCGGTGATATCAACTGGGCCAGCTGTCAGAGCGACCTTTGCCTCGGCCTGGATGTCTAGCAGCTTGGCCTTGTTGTGCACTTTCATGCTGATGATGGCGTTGAACTCGCCTCCTTCTTGGAAGCCAGAGATGAAGCTGTCTCCGTAGACCTTGTTGAAGTCATCTGAGCCGATGCCCACAGAGCGCATGGGATTATAGACAAGGGCGTCTTTGAAGTTGACCGTCTGGTTGACGACCTTGACGGAAATGTAGAAGTTGAGGTCGCTCTCCTTGAACTTGTCCGAATCCACAAACGATCCTCGACCAGAGCCGCCAATCTTGGCCATCTTGACCGAGAGCGCGCCAGAGATGGCCATGTCCTCCGTGACATCGCTGAGCCTGTCGATGAATCTGCTCGAGTATGTGACCGTCTGGCTTGGGCCCCTCGCTCCGCTGGCGTCGAAGTTGTACTTCTCGTCGCTGGTCGCCATGCCTTCGAACCGATCCGCAAACTGGTTCTGGGCCTTGATCTTGTTGAGGTCCTCGAGGGTCAGCGCATCCTTCTTGGCAGCCACAGCCTCAGCGATGGCCTTCTGGGCTGCTGCACGGCGCACTGCCTCATATTCCCTCTTCTCCTTGCGGATCTGCCTCTGCTCTTCGCGCTCCTCTGCCTGGCGCTCTCGCTCTTCCTCCCGTGCCTGGATCTCCAGTTTTCTCTGGTAGTCACGCTGCTCGCGCATGCGTTCCTTCTCCAGCTTAATCATCTCGAGCCTCTCTTGCTTGTCCAGGCGCGCCTGCTCGAGCTCGACCTCGCCTGCTGGCTTCTGGGCGACAACAACTACATCTTTGGCTCCCCGTTTGGGAATCTCTTTCACCTGAAACTTGGTGGATGGCGCCTTGGTAGTTCCTGTGTTGCTTGATTTGGCGTTTTCTTGCTTGTTACCGACTGATGAAGAGCGCAGTCGGGACTTGGGACCAGCGGGCTTCTCTGGCTCAGCAGCAGCCTTCTTTGGGTCGGCTTTTCCTGTGGCAGATGTCGACGTGGCCGCGACGGCCTTGATTGATTCCTCGTCGGCGGGGGCCTCGTCGCCGTCTTCTGTTGAGGCCTTCTCATCATCTTTCCTAGCTGTGTCGCTGTTCTCGGCTTCGGCCTTCTCTTCAGTGTCGTCGATCTCAGGGGTGTCCTCTTTAGCCACATCCACAGCAGACTCGCTTCCACTGCCATCTGCGTCGGCTGTTTCTCCCTCTTCTTCTTTTGAACCAGAATCGTCTGCAGCCTGGGCTTCTGCATCTCCCGACGCCTCCTCGGCCGATTCATCTTCATCGCCTGCAGCAGCAACGCCCGCCGCCTGGGCGCCCGCATCGGTCTCCTCAGCAGCAGCATCAGCATCATATCCAGACTGAGCCTTGGAACTAGAGACAATGGCGTAGTCATCGTCACCTCCTGCAGCCTCCAATAGCTTGGCTGCAGCGACAGGACCTTCTTTGACGACCTCCTTGATCCTGTTCCAGACACTGGGCTTTCCTGAACTCTCTGCTACAATGCGCATCGTCGTGCCATCGTTTGTGATGACGTTCTCGGCTCTGTTGGGGTCGATGACCACGGCATCGTCCACACAGATTTGTTGCGTGTAGGAATTAAATCTGGGGTCTCACGTTAGCCATGGCGTAGTCCTAGAGAAGAAGATCTGGGCACTTGAGAGAAGGGGAAATTTTCTTACCCTTGCCCAAGCCGCATGGCATTGGTGTAGGGTGCTACGAGCAGAGCCATCTTGAGACGCTACTATGATTAAAACAACAATGAAATGAAATGAACTGGCTTCTGTGGGTGCGGTTGATAAATTGGAAGATTTGTTGTACAAGTATTGGCGCAAAGCAGACTTCAACCACACTCACCAAGGACGCAAGCAGACATATATATACACACACACACACATATATATATATATATATTTATTTGTTACTTAGAATGAGTAGGGGTTCGTGGAAAGTGGCCGTCAGTCACATGCAGAGACTGACCTTGCCTGGTCTAGACATAGATCTTTCAAGAGTCGGCCTGGACCACTCGATCCATGGACGTATAGTCTCAGCCCCATGAGCTGATAATCTGTGTATGGCTGTTTGGGGTAATTACAGTAGTACGTTTTCATGGTGGAGATGCACCGCAGTGAGGGACTATTGCAACTAGTGTAGAGGTTCTCAGTTCTCAGGGTCTCGCATCTAGAACATCAAAGGTGATAGGGGTATAGTATCAATTGTTTGGCTGAGCTTAATTGTAACTATCGTGAACTGGAACAGTGGAATCCGAGCCAAGGCAGTGCGACCACAAGCCAGCCTCTCGGGAGCATCCGTCGAACCTTGGCGGACGCCACAAGCCCCGGGACTAGACCCGCCCGGTCCTCCGCGTGGTCTTTGCTGTAGGAGCTAACACCCCATCTAGACCTCGTCGTGCAAGGGGACATGGCCAGATGTGCGAGTCTGGAAGCAGATGAATCGTGTTCAGCTGCGCAGGGAGACCAGCTCAGCTTATGGAGACCTTCGCTTCGATAGTTTCGCTGGCTCTCCAGATCTGCCCAGGTGACCAGTCAACATGAAAAGCATACTCTTTTCGTGATGGCTTTCCCTCTTGTTGACACGTCTTTGTGATTAGTTACACCAACAAGGCGGTATAGCAATATTTTTTTCTTCGTCTTCTTTCCCCTGTCTTGCGCTCAGACCTCTTCGTCCTTAGAGGCTAGAACTATTGCATGTTCACATGTAATCGACGAAGCAGAGCTGGCCCCTTTTCCCATAACCTCGGCGTATTTTCTGTTTGTCCAACTTTGAGCTGCATTCGATGATCAGCCTTGGAGAGAAAAAAATTGGCCATTGGTAATTATGAGTTACAACCGCGTTTGAACGGACCGCCATCATGTCACGAGCAAAAATCCAAGATGATGAATTCGAAGACTGGCTCCAACTAGACAGCCAAGATGAGAACTGGCTCGCCCAGCAGGTGGCTCTAGGTGTGCCGCTCACCTTACCGTGGAAGAAGGAGAAGGTCAGGCTGGGAACTTGCTTCCAGTCTCGCCTACAGAACGGCAACCCTTGGCTCAAAGACAACCCCTTCATCTTGTCGGATCTCTACATGATTCCAAAAACCCTGCGGAGCGAATACGGCAGCACTTCTTCTTTCCATTCGGTCAATACAAGTCGCAAGTCAGAGACGGGAAATCATCTGAGTCTGGGCTTTGGTATAGGTGTTGGCCTGCCCTTTTTATGTTCTGCGTCTGTCAAGGGAACATATGATGAGCATGTCCAAAACAATAACGACGTGAGTCAGCCCCAACGCCTGCTCGAAACGGCTTTTTTTTTTTTTTTTTTTTTTTTTTTTTTTTTTTTTTGACCTTTTTCTTTCTTACTAACATGAAATATGAAAAATTAAAGTCCGACAAAAGCTCCATTCGTGCCAGTGTTCGGAGTGCTACTGTGCAGCTGGAGCGCAATCCCAGGCTGAGCCACGAGGCAATGGCAATGCTCAAATACGGCGGAGGATACGAAGCCTTCACAGAGAAATATGGTGATTATTTCGTTTGGGGGTACCGTCTTGGAGGGGATACTGGCTTGATGATAAGCAGCAAAAGCTTCTCGACAAAAAAGGACGAGTCGTATGGCATTACTCTCACAGTCGAGGTTCTGCTGATCGAGGTCAGCGAGACCTGGACAAAGGATATTCATAGCTTCTCCGCGGGCAAATCAATGAGGCTGGTGGGCTATGATACACTGAGTGATACGAACTGGAACGTTACTACTACCGCTGAAAGTGGCATCACTGCCTTGGTGGACGGGACCAGGGAGGTCATTTTGGCCTCACAGAATATTCTTGAGAGGACGCTGAAAGAGCTCGAGAAACAAAACATGGCAGATGGGGATGACTTGTCTCATGAGCAGTGTGAGTTCTTGACTGGCAGTGGGCTAGCTGTAGAGCTCGTCCTGCTTCCCATGTCTGCACTGAGAGATGTAGCCCGCTGGACGACGGAAAAGAATGTAATTTAGGAACATGATTGATTAATAAATATAAGTTCATAGCTTTAAGCGTACGGATGTTAATCTGATTCAAGTAAAAACTCTCCAGCCACAATCCGTGATAGCAGCTGTCTGCTTGTCTACTCATACAGGGCGCATATAAATTGAGTGGGAAGAAAAACATCTGGAGGCCCATTCTGGGAGGAAATCAACGGATCTGCCCATATTACCATGTGCTAGCTGAGGAGTAGTCTCTTGGTGTCCACCTATCAGTTAAACGTACAGGATGTGAATTTTGTAACTAATCATTCAGTTAACATAACTTATGGCTCAAAACCAATTCAAGTTAATCAGTTACAGACAAGAATCACAAAAAAGAGTACATGTCATGATACGTTTGAATTCAACAGCACTTTACAAGAAACACTAATATGATGCAAGATAATCACATACAAATGGGAATTGGCGCCTCTCCACTCTGATGGCATCTCATGTGTTATCACGAGCACCGAAAGACAGACAGATCAAGAGCCTAGGCTCAAGTCGACCCAAAGCGCCCGCATCACCTCCACCGCAACCCATCCCTGCCTGTTCAAGCCCCCAGCAGAGTCAAAATGGGGCCCGTTATTCTTGAACAGGTCAAGTTGTTGGTGATTCGCGAGCACCTCCCCATTAGGGACACCCGTCTCATATGCAGCCGCAGCCACGCCTTTGATGTCCTAGCAAAGCGAGATTATTTAGTACCCAACAGTCAGTAAAAGCTAGTGTTATGGAGAACGTACCCCTTGCTTCCACACGCTCTTGAGTATGCAATAGAGGTACTTCTCAATAGGAAGCTGTGGTCTGACATTGTCTTTTTTTCCTTGATCAACCGCCTTTTGAGTTTTCGTTTTAGCATCGCCCTCAAGGCCCTCGAATTGCTTCTGAGGGATGCTGATCATTGTTTCCGGAACCAAGTGAATCTCTGCAGCCCATTCGGGGTCCCAGGCTGTGCCCAAGAGAAGATGGTCACAGGCCTTGCTAAGGATCATGGAGACGGACTTGTCGTAAAGTCCCTTCGTTGGCATCTTCTTCCCGGCCAAGGCTTGCAACTCTTCTGTGCCATGGTTCGGCAGACTCAAGATCAGAGCCGTTCGCATGACACTTGCTGCTGTGGCTTCCACGCAAAACCCTCCCTTGCTGGTGTTGGTGCGTTTCCAAAGGTAAGCCAGAACTATTTTGGCCTCTAATTTGTGAAATGTAAGCAGATCGTATCATCGCTTAGGGCCTTTGCTTCCACAAAAGAACGTACCTTCACTGGGAGGATGTTCTGCAGCCCATGCTTTGATCTTGTCGCGCGCAGCCTTCCTCTCCTGCTGCCTCTGGATCATCTTATTGCTCATCATCTTTCCTTGCTGATATTGTAAGAGTGTGAAGAATGGGTGCGGCTGGTTGTGAGGGATGATGATTATGAGTAATACGTAGGTGTACTTGCGTCCCTATTTATATCCTCTTCTCACACTCCACCTCACTGGCTCTTGGAAGTCTTTTGAGCAACTGTCTTTGACATCTTTCAGTAGTTCTGCTTCTAGACTTACAGAGTGGATCCACTACACTCGTGATCAACCCCAGCATATATAGCGTACAGGCCCAGGAGTGTTGATCCCCTGAAAGCCAGTGACAGTGTGCTTGCAGTTCAGCTGAACTTTTTGTGGAACTACTATTGACATCCTAAACCAGTGCGAAAACCAATCATACCCCACAGCTGTTGTCTCTAGTGCGGATATACCTTGGTCACTGTGTTTCCTGATTTCTCCTTGCCAAGCAAGTGACCACTTCTACGACGTCTCCCTTCCACCAAAAAGCTGAAGATTGACTTTTTGACTACTGGGCAAGTAGTCATGATCTGACTTTAACGCTCATTTCAGCTAGCCTCCTAGGCTGCAAGACAAACTAATGAGCCTAGGCCCATGACAGCCAGGGGACATGTGGCGGATTCAACCTCGGAAGCGAGAAAACAGGGGACTATTATCACATCTTGAATAGGTGGGCTCATCAGCTCTACTTTTGAGATAAGAGACAGGTAGAATACGTCTGTGACATTGTGACAACAGGCAAAGGCCGAGAGTTCTGTCTTAGCAAGGAGAAGCTAAGGCTCGTCTTGGCCGCTCTGTTCTCTATTGCCTTCTCTTGCAGAAGTTTGCCCGATCATATGGAATGATCTATGAGTTGATTATTATGGATCTAGGCTTTCTATTCCTTTCTGGAAGGATGAGGTCACATTTCCCATACCTTGATTAGTCCATGGTTCCCTCACAGTCTGCCCTTGAGGTTTGCCCGTCACTGACCACTAGCTTCTAATCGCCCTTTAGTTACATCACACTGGCGACTGCGAAGAGAGCTGATTCCCTCTCCAGTATCAGTAGACACTGCCCTGGCCTCTTCTGTTGGTTATTGGACGGCACAGAGCTCCCAGCAGGGCTAATTGGCAGAGGAATATGCTCCTCTTTATGGTTGGTCTACGGCAACTTGGAGGTCATTTCCACAGACATGGCTCTGCAAGCCTCGAAGCTGTCGTATGAGAAGCTTTGCTGACCACTCCAAACAATCCCGCAATGGAGTATCTTGGCTTCTAACATATTCCGCGGACTTGGATTATTTATATTGGAATCTGGTTGGTCAGAGATTGTCCTCTTTGAGCACTGAGCAAAGTCTGTCAATACGTGTAACACACTGGCTAGTGGTGTGAGTCCTGGGGTGCATATAAAGAGAATCGTCAAATACAGATGATTCTCGATCTTTTTGACGCCCTAGAGCATGAAATTCTCTCCTCCAGTGTTTGAGGGAACCGTGTTATTCGTTGATTCTTATGTGTAGAACTGCACGTGTGACAGCTGCTGCCACTCTGTCTGCAAAATTTTGTGTTTTATACAAGGGCTTCTACTCCGTATTGCGCTTGGTGTTGACTAGAACCAGACTCATGTGTCTGCTCATGGTCTATGCAATCACTAGGTCAGCGGTGGTCTGTGATTATGTCGAGACTGACAACCTTAGAGGCCGCATAGGCTTGACTGAACATGACTGGCCTACAAAATGGCTGGACCATAATCCTTTTTACTCATGGCCCAAGCCGTGGGTGATCTTATCCCAATGGACAACTGGTGGTCACGCCATGTTTCGTGCCTTCCTGCTGCTAGGTGTCTTCATCGTACTTACTTTCTTTTTTCCTGAACGCAAGTCTGACTTCATCATAACTACATACTCGGCTTTTCCACGCCGCCAGACTGACAAGATATTGGGGGTATTTTTCATTAAGATAGATATTCAATTTCCACTTTAAGTTGGATGCTCAGCAGGCTCAGACTAGGACTTGGCTACAAAGAGCTGATGTCTCAACGGGCAGGAGGGGGGGGGTGTCAGTTCAATGACTGACATGGAGAGTGAGCGAGGCAGAGTCAGACCAACAAATCTCCTTGTCAGTTGATGTAGACTAATTGTATCTCGAAATTAAGGCTACTGAAAGTAGTTCACCAGTATTCGCCGTGAGTAAATGTTGCTTACTATTCGTGAATCCCAACCACAGACAATTTGCATCAGCTTCTGGATCACGGAGAAAAAAAGCCCAAGTCGGCCACTGAACATTCAGTCCCTGTGTCATCTCTCGGACGTTCCTTTTGCGCTGTCTTCTGGGTTGACAGTACTCGTCCTATGATGTGAAAGCTTAGTTGGCACACTGAAATTGAATTTGATACCAACGGATGGGTGGCTGTCGAGTCCTCTATTGGGGACTGTGGGTGTAGAGAAGGCTTGAAGGGGGATGTTCCAATTGACAGCTTTCTCTCTCTCTCTCTCTCTTTCTCTCTCTCTCTCACACACACACACATTTTCTCTTTTCCCCATGCCTTCTGATTTTCATCTTCTTTGCCCTCGTTTTGGTCTTCACATCCACCACCCTCTGCCCACTTGATCTCCTTCCTCAATCTGTGTACCAAATCGACAACTAGATACTGAGAGGTCCTCACCACTGACTGAACAATTTAAAAGCATACCGAGGGGTGGCGGTCCTATTGGGATCACCACATGCATAGGGTTGAACAGACCCTGAAACACCACCTTGATATGGTAATTGCTACTTCATATGTGGAGAGTCTTATCGTACGAAACACGTCTAAGCCTTGCTACTATCGTACAAATGTGTGTGGGAGCCAACATTATTTCTTTTTAAAAACAAGAATGCCAATACAAATTGGCTTCAGGCTATCACTATAACAACTGTTGCTGTTCACAACCTGCGCTGACGTTTACAAGCGAGATGACCCAATTAACAGTTAAAGCGCCCTTCCGGGGGCCGCCGAGCCCCGCCCCGGCGGCTATTCAATGGTAGCATGGGCGCAGATAGAGAGAGAAAACGATGCCATGCCTACTAGATCTATCTGCGAAATGTCCGAGCAGACCAACGTTTGGGAGCGATGGCGCTACGGCCTCTTTCTGTGTCATCTTCTCCAACTGCGGCCTGTAGGAAGGTCAAGCTCATCTCGATTACACACATGTTGCTGCCGCGGTTGCATCCCGACGTCGGAATGACCAGCTGGCCACGTCTGAGATGCGGGAGACGACCTGGAGGATGGCGCGTCTTGATTGGTAAATTGTCGAGCAGCTGATAGATGACGGTACTTGACCTGCGAGGTCCTTTATGCGGTGTTACCTGGAAGACGGGAAAGAAGAAGGAAGAAAAGAAGTAAAAGATATTTACTACACTAGGTTGGGAATAGTCAAACAAAATCCAGAAAGAAACAGAAGCCAAGTCAGTCTGCAGCGCCTCGAGTCATCACGCGCATTGGGCCTTCTTCCATCTGCGACACGTCAACTCAATTCATGCAGATCGATGATGCTGATGATGAGGTGGCGGCGGTGGTGGTCTGTGTCGAGTGCCCGAACCCATCCTCCATCCTAGAGAAACAATCAAGATGGAAGAACCGTTGTGTTGACAAGCACGACACCAGATACAAACACACATCTAGATACTGTGGTAGGACCTCGGCTTTTGTTTTCAAGTAAAGGATGTAATGACTTCCAGCCAGTAAAAACGGGCCGTACCCATAGCCAAGGATGCTGACACAGGAGGAACACGGCTCACGGGCGTCAATCTCATGGCCCCCGGTCCTCGGCTGCAGGATTTCGCATCTCGCTCCATCTCGGTACGGAGATGGGATGGGGTTTGGGTAAATAACTGCTGGGAATGATGTATTAGCGCTTCTGCCATTTGCTGGCTTGCCTCATGAGAGCAAGTATGTAGTGTAGTGCAGTGCAACATATCAAGTAGTAATTACTTTATGTAGTAATTGTGTCGAGCAGGTCGAGGAGCAATGTGGATGGTACACACATACATTTATGGACCATGGTAGCATCATGTATGTACATTGTTACTTATTATGCATACATAATCTGACAGGCGTGAGCTCTTGTGGTGGTGTGGATATTTCGTCAGGTCGATTCGATGCATCTTGATCTTTGTTTTTTTTTCTTTCCCTTTCTTTCCTCCGGGGTTCTCGATTGGTTTTCGGTTGCAATAATCCTTCATGAGCGACATTGTTGAGATGAAAGCGCTCAAGAAAGCAATTTCAGTGCCTCCTTTTTCTTCTTCTTTTCCTTTCTACCCCATTATTCTCTTTACTCCTCTCCCTTTTTGTTTTATTTTTCTTCTTGTTGAATTCCTCCTTGCCTCACCCCTCCTCCAAATTTGATGAGGTTGGAAGATGGTATCCATTCTCTTTCCTTTCATTCACCTCAAAGAACTATGGGTAATATGGGGTTGCTCCACTTGGATAAGTCCTGTTCTTTTTTCCTCTCCTTCTTTTCATCTCTTTTTTCTTTCTTTCTTTCTTTCTTTCTTCCCTTTTTGCTGGGAGGTCCCACGGACTGGCCGTGCTGAGGCTGGCCTTTACATCGTTACAGCTTTGATGTGGGTCGATCCGTGGTATTAGCAGGCAGCCTGCTAAATGTTGCCCTCCTTCTGTTAGTGAGTGGATGTCGCCAAATCTACCTTAGGTGGGCTGCTTGACTTCGTTTAGCCCCGGTTAAACCCCCCTGGTACCCCTGGCGCCGCCCCAGGCAGTCTCCTGGGGTGGTTCTGGCCCAATATAGGCCCGTGCCCCCGGGCGTTTCTATGGGGCTTTGGGAGGGGCACAGGGGGCCGCTGGGGGTTACGCTGTTGCACTCGGATGTCTCGATTGGGGTGGAAAGGGGGAAACTAACCTCTTCTCGTTGTGTCCCGTAATAATGCCTTGACAATTGATGGTTGATGACCCGGTTTGCCTGGTCTGTCGTGCCTTGGCCTGTGACCTCGGACCTGTGCGCCCTTCTCTGCCTCTCAGCAGAACGGCTGTGTACCAAATTTGGACCCGTGATCCGTCCGGGCTTCTTTTTTCATCTTTTTTTCCCTGTAATTCTTCTCTCCGTCCCTGTTCTACCTTGCCTTATGCCTCTCACTCTGCCCACCGACTACGACTGCACAGCACGGGCTCCTCCATTACACACCTCAAGGCCACTGAGGTCAGCAGTGTCACTGGTGCCAAGTTCGAGTCAAGCCCTGCAGCCAAGCCCAGACGGGACCAGAACAAGGAAGGAACAAGTCGGGGAGACGACGAACAGAAAGAAAAGGAAGAAAAAAAAGGCAAGAAGAGGGCAGTGCAGCTATCAAACTTCGACCTGGGCCTAGACCAACTTGCGTCTAGCCTACCACAGGACCTGAATCTGGCTACCACTAGCCTTCCCGTCTGCCTGCCAACCTGCCTGCCGTCTTGCCACGCCTGCCTGCAGCCCGTATCCGCTCCCACCGTCCACCGTTCACTGTCGCCCAATCCTGCCCTGGCCCAACTCTCGACTCCCTCCCTCTCTTTTCCTAGACCCTGAAGCTTTGACGAATCCAATTCACTGGCGATCCCAGGGAGGCGTGATCTGTCACCCACCCACAACCCTCAGTCTTCCCATTCAACAACCTCTCCCATCCATCCCCCTTTGCAGGCCAAGGTCCAACCAAGATCACAGTTGGCGCCAGACCTCCTCCGCCTCCTCCCTCTGTGCTGTTCTAGTTCGCACAAGAAATAAACCGACAACTCCTTTCTTGCAAAAGTGTGATTGATCGCAGATCTATCAGCCGCTTGCTGTTGTGTTTCCCCCGGCCCTTTCGTCCCGGTCCTCCCAAGCCAGGTTCCATTCAGCCCAGTCAGCCTGTTCTAGCTGCTGCTTCGTTTCTATAACAAGTATCCTCGGGCTTTTCTTTCCCCTGGTCTTTAGAATTCCATTGGCAGCTCGACATACATACACGTCACAAGACAGTTCAGTATTTTGATCCTTCAGCGCCACCCTTGAATCAGATTTTGCCTCGACAAACAGCCAGTTCCACGGGTCGGCCGAGTACGAACGAGCGGGAAGAGAGCCCATAGCCTCAACTAAAATACGGCCCCTAATCCGAATCTCGGCCAGGTTCCCGCCTCCTGCTGCGGCCACTGCCACCATTCAGGCAACCTAACCCAACCCATTCACCATTGTCAGAGCAGCGCCAAGAAATAAGGCAACGCAACGCAACTCGACATTGCCTCTCTGTCTCTACCTCTCAGCTGCTCTTCTCTCTCCCTCGCTGCCTATCTGTTTTTGCCTATCCCTGCCCACCCCGGCTTCTAGAACAACCAGGTATGTAAAATGTTGCACTTTAGGGTGGCCGAGTTAAGCACAAGGACAGGCATCAGAGCCCCATCCACACACACAAGGCCCTGAACCACTAGACACTACCACTGGGCACTGGCCACTGCCACCGCTGGCGACCACCACCACCACCACCAGCACCTTCTTCTTCCTACTTCCTCCACTACCCTGCATCTCCCAGCAGGTGCTGCCGCCCTTGTCTGCCGCTCACCCTTCCCCCTAGCAGGTTGCCCCGTACCCAACCAATAACTCGGACAGGGTCCCCCCCCTCCAACCCCCAAATCTATGCTTGTGCAGTACCTGTCGTCTTCAGCAGCTGCGCCGTAGACCATCTCCCTCCTAGCCTGTTGGCTCAGATCGGCTACCCTTCTCTCCTATCTCTCCACATCCTTCCTCCAGCCCTCAATTACACGCCTGGCCGACGTACAACAGACCACACTACACCACACCCTCTCTGTCGGGCGTGAGAGTTTCTCTATTCCCGACTTCTTTTTCCTCTCTCTCCCTCCCTCTCTCCCTCCCTCTCTATCAGAGCGACGTCGAAGTGACGCGCGCCTCCATCAACCAGTTTCACGGAGCATGACCGACGTTGTGCTCTGCTGACCGCCTCATCTGCAACCATCTAGGTCTTCAGCCAACCCCCCTCCCCCCGGGCCTGGTCATTTAGCATCTTGCAGATTGCTAAACCCCTCGTCGTCGTCTGTCCAGGTTTTGTCGACTTAACTTTCCGACATTTCCCTTCCATCGGCCGACCGGCTTCTTACGTCCTTGCAGGACTGTCAAAATCGCGACAATGGCCTCCTCGTCATCAAACGTCGTTGGTGTGCATTACAGGGTGGGAAAGAAGATCGGCGAGGGCTCTTTCGGTGTCATCTTCGAGGGAACCAATCTATTGAACAACCAGCAGGTTGCCATCAAATTTGTACGTCACCGCCTTGGACTGGTCCTTGTCCGTTTTTCGCTCGCTACAGATGGCTTCTGAAAAGAGAGCAGCATACAGAAAAGGGGGCGGAGACAGGGGGAAAAAGAAAGCTGAAGAAAGAAGAGAGCGACCGACTAAACGACATTCAATAGGAACCACGAAAGAGCGATGCTCCTCAGCTTCGAGACGAGTACAGGACATACAAGATTCTCGTCGGCTGCCGTAAGTCCGCCAGTATGCCCTCACGTCGCCCACACAACACCGCTAACACCCAGCCTCCGCAGCCGGAATCCCAAATGTGTACTACTTCGGTCAAGAGGGTCTTCACAACATCCTCGTCATCGACCTGCTGGGTCCCTCGCTGGAGGATCTGTTTGATCACTGCGGCCGGAGGTTCACGCTGAAGACCGTCATCCAGGTTGCCAAGCAGATGGTAAGGCCATATGGTGTTGCTGCTTCATGCGGCTGGTCCTTCCCGCCAGCTGGCATTGTGATTACTTGACCCCCTTTTTTTGCTAATCGGAGGCGACAATAGCTTTCTCGAGTCCAAACCATCCACGAAAAGAACCTCATCTACCGCGACATCAAACCCGACAACTTTCTGATCAATAGAATCGACAAGGCCGTCGTCAACAGCGATCGGAGATCGATTAACCAGGTCCACGTTGTTGACTTTGGAATGGCGAAGCAGTACCGAGACCCCAAGACGAAACAACACATCCCCTATCGCGAACGGAAGTCCCTGTCAGGAACGGCCCGATACATGAGTATCAACACCCATCTTGGGAGGGAGCAGTCGAGACGCGACGACCTGGAGGCTCTGGGTCATGTCTTTATGTATTTTCTGCGGGGTGGGCTGCCGTGGCAAGGCCTGAAGGCTGCGACGAACAAGCAAAAATACGAGAAGATCGGCGAGAAGAAGCAGACCACCGCTGTGGACGAGCTCTGCGCGGGCTTCCCGGTCCAGTTCAAGGAGTACCTCGAGTATGTGCGGAACCTAGGCTTTGAGGAGACGCCCGACTACGAACACATGCGGGGCCTGTTCACGCAGGCGGCGCAGAAGGAAGGCATCGAGGAGGACAATAAGTATGACTGGGATCACATCATCGACAAGCTGCTGGAGAGCAAGTATGGCCGTGGCACACCACAGCTCCGGAACCCGGAGCAGAGGCCTGGTCCTTCCAACATGGAGGTCTACGGCCACTCGCGGGGCGGCAACACGACTCCTCACCTGTCGGACCCTCGCATGACACGCCTGACAGCAGACCGTTTAAACGCCGCACAACCCCCACCACCTTCTCCGATCAAGCAAAGCCCGAAAGATCGGCGAAACGGCCCAGACCGCTTGATGATGTCGCCCCGTTCCGGAGCCGGGGGTCTCCGCGACATGGCAACGCCGACAGGTTCTACGCAGGCCCAGTTCCAGGCCAGTACCCAGAACCTGCCCAAGCCCATGAACTCGACACAAGCGATGAACCAGCCAACATCCACTCCGAACCGGGCGGCCTATGAGGAGCAGGCGACACCGGGACCGACGGGCTTCCAGAAGGTCATGAAGGCTCTGTGCTGCGGCTAGAAACCGAGCCCCGGTCGCCGTGGTCTTTCCAGCTTCTGATCCCTCCCCACGACGGAGATCTGTAATTTGCTGGGCCATGGTCAACTTATACACAACACACACTGCTTACTACTCCTGGGTGTGGAGAGGAAATGGGCACGCTCCTGCCTTGCTGGTTGTGGGGACCGGTTCGGCGGGATTCTTAGACCACCACCACCTTGGGGGGGGGGATTCATTTTCGGAACGATCCGGATCTTTTTCTCGGTTATAGAGGCATTCTCATGACTTTACGCTCGCTCACATATTCCGGCTTTTTTCTTCTTCTTCCTCTCCATATACGTATGCATTTGCGGACCACTTGGTCCCTCCTAATCGACAACCCCCTCCCCCCACACCCACTTTTCCCGCTTAATGACGCCTTTCCGCCTCCTTCAAACCGGAATTTCGAATGACCGGCCGTGAATCTCGATGCTCCTCCCCCAATGGCAAGGTTGTTTAGGTCAGCAGCACTGAATTGTCGGACGACCAGTCGACAACGCCATCAACACGTTGAGCGGCAGACTGTGTGGGGAGAGCCTCACAGCTCTGTCTCCAGGCAGCGTGGGGGTTGGGGCTCTGATGAAGCCCTTTTAGCTAGTTGGTGGATGTGACGCCAACCGAATATGGGATTACGCAGCTGCGACTCGTGGTTCAAGGGCCTTCAGAATCCGGCCTCTCCCACTTTAATACCGAGCTTTGCTGCGCTCACGAAGCAGCGAGCAAGAACAAGCACGTTACTTGGGGGTAAGGTGGGAAGCTTTGGTTTCGGGCCTGGTATCGACAGCCTGGTACCATTTTCTCTCCTGCGACGTGTGGTGGACGATGACGGCCGTTTGTTCTTCTACTTTTCTTACTGCTGGAGTCAGGAATAGCATAGGAGTTGTTTTCTTTCTCTCTATTTATTATTATTATTATTGTCTTTTCCCGTGCAGAAATATATGAGTAGCATGGTGGATGGAGCGCATACAGGAACGGGATGGAGATGAAGTGACACACCGCAACCATGGAAGAGGTCCTCCGGAGGGAGGGACAGAGAGCGAGAGAAGGGCAGAGCAAGAGAGAGCGAGTGAGGGATAGACAGACAGGGCACAAAATAGGAATCTAGGGATAGCATTGAAAACCTCACAAACTAACTGTTTGACTAGTCTTTTTTTGCAGTTGATTGCCTGTGACATCGGAGGCAGTTTCTCTTAGTGGTCAGATCACGGCCGAATTTACTGTTTCCAAGATTGAGCCTCTTTTCCAGAGGCTGATCTTCTTGACAAGCTTGGCCAGCTTTCTTGTAGGGCGTATCAAGACGAGACAGGTACGTTGTGCAGATGCTGAAGAAATGATCCAGGACATGCAGTGTTGGTTTATTCGTACTGGCATTGGCTTACATAATAACACAACGCCTCGGTCCGCTGACTGGAAGTACTTGTGTACCTGAGTACATAAAGCCTACCACGTGCCTGCTAAGTACTCTGGTACTGTACTGTACTAAGACATACGCTACAGTTACAGGGGAAAGCTATGGCCGCCAAGGTCCCCAGCTGCATTGTGTCACTGTACCAACCGCTGGGAACTGAACTGCTACTGCCTCCGCCATTCTTCCTCTCTCCCCTCCCAACCATTACTTCGAAAAGAGACACAATTACCTAGCACAGCACAGTAAAGCACAAGGCAAACCAGCCAGGCCTAACAGTCATGGCGACAGCGATACCCTCAATAGCCTGTCTGGGCGTCATAGGGCGAAATGTGCGTACTTTTCCCCCGCTTGCTCACCCTGCCATCTCCAAATTGTCCCTTCTCCCAATTCCCGTCCTCTCTACCTTTGCCCCTTTTCGATGCTATGGATTGTGTTTTATGCTGAATGAATCTGCTAACCTTTGTCCTCTCTGTCTCTCTCTCACACGCACACAGAATAATCCCCTTCATATCTCCATTTTCCCCTCCCACGAACCTCACACCAACACCCTCCAGCCGATCCGCTCCCCGCTCCAGTTCTCCCTCCTCTTGTCCTCCACCCTCGACATCTTCGAGCTGCGCGCCAGAAACTCGGTCATACTACCCCCTTCCTCCGCCTCCTCTTCTGTCACAGCGGGAGCAGCAGCAGCACCCATGTCAGGCGACTACGGGCTCCTGCACGCCGTGGACGAGCGGCTCGCGGCGTACGGCTTCGAGACGAACACGGGGGTCAAGTTTGTGGCGGTGGTGGACATGCGTGGACGGAGGATCGACGGTGCGGCGTTGGCTATGAGTCCTGCGCTGCAGCAGCTTGAAGGGTTCAGCGGCGCGGCTGCTGGGGCCAGTGCCGGGGCAGGTGGTGGGGGAGGCGGGGGAGGTGGTGGTGGGAGGGCGGCGAGTGTGGTGGGGCTGCGGGAGAGTGATCTCAAGGTTGTGTTTAAGGCTATGCAGAGCGCGTATGTGAGGTTGCTGCAGAACCCGTTCTATGAGCCGGATGAGCATGGAGGTGGTGGGGGAGGAGGGAAGGGGGGCAAGAGAATCGTGAGCAGACGGTTCGAGTCAGAGATGAGACGGATTGGGGAGGCCTGGACTGTAGGTGTGACGAGCTTGTGATGAATATGAGGGATAAGAGGGAGGGGGAGAGGGGGAGAGAGCTCTACACAACTGGCTATCTCACCTCAACCCCCATCCTTCTCGCAAGCCACCCTCCGCCTCCTAGTACGCGCCCAGTGGCATTTGGCCTTGCGTGGAAAAGGGTCTTGCGTCAGGGCGTTGGTGAAAGGATACACCTGCCTGTATCGAAGCGGCACTTCCAAGGCTTTCTTTGGCAGGCACATGAGCCAGCCTGTACCGTGGAGCCACTGGATGCTTCACGAGGACAAGGTCGGTCACGTTTGCCAAACCAACCCCCCTCCCCCTCCAACCCCTCCATGGCATTGCAAGGCAAGGAAAGCATTCTGTGCAAGGCGTTTTCAGGGAGTTTGTGTGAGAGGACTGTGCCTTGTTTTCTTTCATTTCTGAGGCAAGTGGAAGAGGCCTTGTCCCCCTCTGTGTGTATCTGTAACGGACCCAGCATGTACGGAAAGTTTGTTTTGTTTTTGATACCTGACCTGCTTGTCATGATTTGGTTCCCCGCCTCTCTATGGCATTTCATGCGTGAGCTATAGGCGCTCGTTACATCCCAGCTTCCAGCTGTTGATTGGGTCTTCATACCACACCTCCGAGCAGGAGGTTTGTTCCCTTTCCATCTCTTTTGGTGACTATTTCTGTTCCGTCGACGCGCGTGCACACACACATTCTCTCCCCCTCCCTCACCATTGCCAGCTCTGGTTGTTTCAACTGTAAGCATCATGCTAGAATGGAGGCAATCTTGGTTGGCAATCAAAGTGCAGAAGACCTTTGTTGACTTGAGGCCTGGACAAACTTGGGCTGAGCAACAGGACAGACGGAAGGTTCTTGACATCCTTTCCTGTAAGAGGCTCAGACAGAGAGACGGTGAATGTGAGTCTATAAGTCGCGAACTGTCGGATGATTCGGTAAGTGGGAAATCACTTCCTACGTCCCTTAGCCCAACCTTATATTCATCCAAACCCGCCAGAGTCATTCTGCTCACCCCAAATAGTATGTCTCACACTCCTTGGCGAGTTTGGCCCCCTCTTCCTCCCCCCCCCCAGACCTAAGGACAAGGGATAATCCCGCGGGGGGGGGGGGGGGGGGTTGACGGGCATGAGATCCCAATGCAGGGTCGCAAGGTTGTCAAGGCACCTGCAGCTGACTATGTAACTGTAGGAAAAGATCAGATGCACACCCATCATCCATTGACAACCATGGTGATTGCAACACAGTCCAATGTGCCAGGAGGATTTGGGACAAATCTTGTGGGTGCATCAAGAAAGAAAATTGGATGGAGATGGAAGGCTCTCTTCTATGGAGATGAATATTGAATGGGCAGTGCAGACAAGCCACACATACACACACACACACACACACACACACACACACTATATGCTATGAGTTTCCTAAACTGGAGCACGAGGCATTCTGAGTGGTCCCCGACCAAGGGTGTTTCCGATACCAAACGGGCGACATGGTACTATATTTATTCCAATGGCTTGCCGGACATTAATACGTACAAAACCTAACAGGCTTGACAGTGGAGCACACAAGATCGATAAAGGTGACGGCCATCGTCCAATTCCTCAACGATCTCGCCGAGAGACAAGGCAGAATGAACAGACAAGACAGCCTTGGACCGTGCATCTTTGACAAGGGGTGGGTCGAATCGTATTTTTTTTTCACTTGCCGCAGACATTAGTCCCAAGCCTGAGGAAAGCATACGGTCGATCACTTTACACAGAGACAGAATGACAAGCCTAAGCTTATCTTCAAAGGGAGTTGCTAGGGAAGTTAAACGTTCGAAACGCGCAAGCGCAAGGGGTCTGGAATCCCTGATGAATCGTACCTGAGTTGAGGTAGTGTTGCGGGAGGGTGGAAACCTCTTTAGTTCCCGCATGTCGGTATCGTATTCGTATTTGTTTCTGGATGCTATTTTTCTTTGTACTGATAGTACATAAGTATAGTCAAAGTAATAATGCTGTACTATAGCCAGCAACATACCACAATACGGCTTCAATGCCCACTTACGAGGAGATTCGGTTTTTTTCATCCCCTCCTCAGCCACCTTTGGATGGGCCAGAACCACTGTACTACCAATGCTGGTTTTTTCTTAGTGTTGTCTCTTGCTCTCTCACTCCATATGCGTGGCATCTGGAAAGAAGAAAGAGAGAGCGAGAGAGAGCAAGGTAAAAAAGAAAAGAGGGTCCCGAAAGTAGTGTGTGTGGGTAGGGGTTTGTGCTCTCGCATGCAGTCTAGGTCCGCTTCCCCCCAAGCCCTTGTCCGCCCCCGTTCATTGTATGCCGGCAGTCGAGCTTCGTTCCGAGCCCTTTATGGGGATTAAACTCGTTTTCGAGTTTGAAGAGATGCACACAGCCACAGCAGATGCGTTGGACCGTGGGCCGTCCCAGGATAGCTCTTTGAAACTCCCATTGGCCATGCAAAGAAGAAGTGGTGACCGACTATTCACAGCCTTGATGTGGTCCTTTAACATGTTACTAGCAACTCCATGGCTATGCTTGCAAACTCAGCTGGCACTACGCAGACCTCCTTTCTCGAGATCGCCAATATAATTACGGCCAGTGGCTCCTTGGTCTTTTCCTAAATTGTTGAACTTCATGACTATCAAACACCGTGCTCTACAAGACCTTGCACATACATGGACTCGGGGAAGAGATAAGAACCAATCCAAGAGCATAACAAATCTTCTTCTACTCTCTTTCTCTCTCTTTCTCATTTACTCCCTTCACAATACTCCCTCCCTTCCCCTTCTGTCTAGTCAAAGTGTCTTCCTATTCTGCCTCCTGCTCCTCCTCCTCCTCCTCCTCCTCTAGACCCCGAGCGGTCTATCATGTCTTCTCTCAGCGATGTTGTCATCAATGCGGCCCGCGCAACCGTCGATATACCTCCGCCTCCACAATCCGTCATCAACCTCGCCTGGGCAGATCTCATTTTCGCCTTCATCTTCCTCTTCATCAACGGATGGATAGCATGGAAACATGGAAAGGCAGGCATGGTGTGCTGGCAAATCCTGCTGCCGGCCTTCATCGCTCGGATCATCGCGGACATTTACCAAATCATCAACAAAGACCAGCCTATGATCCCCACCGCCGTATCAACAATGACTGCTTCTGCTGTTCTTGCTTGTATTTCTCTCGCCCTCATCGGCATCATATATGAGTGGTACGTGTGTGGTTACTTTTTTACTTTCTTATTCTCTTATGTAAAAATTGCATTCGGAGCGTCGGTCCGGCTATGGTGTGTGTGAAGAGCAATAACAATATGATTGAAACAATTTTTCTGACTTTCTCTTTTGTGCATTCTCCAGCAACACGATTCTCCCGACGAAACCCAAAGCCTGGTCCGAGAAGATCATCCTCGGCGTGCTCCACCTCTTCAACACAGGCGGCATCGCAGTGGCCACCTACGGCGGCTCGGCCAGCGCCACGGGCGAGGGTGGAGTCATCAACCAAAGCCTCTACCGCATCGGCACCCTCATCCTCCTCTTCGTCCTCTTCAGCGTCTGCGGCTGGATGTGGCCCACCTTCCGCAAGATCCAGCGCTACTCGCGCTTCCACCCCAACGCGCGACCGGCCCGCCACATGTTCTGGGCTGCCGTCGCCGCCATGGCCTTTTGGCTGCTGCGCCTTGCCTACGACACCTTCTATGCCTACGACCACCTGACCGAGCTGGACCCGGTCATGGGCACCTTTGGCACCAAGCTCGTGCTCGTCTTTGGCACGTACCTGGGCGCCTCGATTGCGCTGCTGGCGGGTGGCTGGCTGGGCATGAGCAAGATCCCTCTGGACATGACGATGGAGCTGGTGACTAGTTCAGAGGAGCGGCAGGAGGATGTTGAGATGTTGGTGCACCGGAAGTGATGGACTGGAGTCTTTTGTTTCTTCTTCTTTTTTCTTGTTCTTTTTTCCTTCCTCTGTAGGAATGGGTAGGGGTCAAAAAGGATAGAGAGGGTTTCCTATATTAGTGACAAGGCTAGACCTGCACTGCGAAAGAGGATTCTTGGTTTGGTTGGCTTGGGCTGGTTTGGGAGAAAGGCAGCGTAGCATCTTGTTCTTCTTTGTTTCATTGTCCTTTAGCCTCTTTTTTCTTTTTCTGCAGAAATACCCACATTCATATTATGCCTATCAACTGTGTCTAGTTGTTGTGTGACTTTCTTCTGCCTTGAGTAATCATGCCTTTCTTGTTGCACATGGATTTGAACTCGGGGTGCATTAGATGCTGTACCTCTGCCCTTGACAGGATCTTCTTTTCACGGCCAACAAGAACTCAGTTTACAAGGTACTTGGCTGGTGTGAAACACCAGGGGCATTGATGGTGTCGATCCTGGAGAGAGAGACAGAGAAAGAGAGAGAGAGAGAGAGAGAGAGAGAGAGAGAGAGAGAGAGAGAGACAGAGGAACAGTGTTGTTGATGGTCTTGAGTCACAAGTTGCAAGTCTAAGCCCGTTTGGAAGGTCGACTGGAGAGATGACCATGAGAATGATTCCATGAGTGATCAAGTGGCCCCCTTGAAACTCATGCGTGATGAGTGAAGCCAGTCCTCTGGAACCAAACATGTCAGCAGCCAAGCCAGCTGTGTGTTTTTATCTATATACCTAATTGAGTTCAAAAGAGCACGGAAGATGAAAGAAAAGATTCTCCATGACCGAGTCTTTGGAGCATATAAGTCAGTACTCAAGTAGGGAAGACCAGGTGGATCTACGGCTACAAAGATGTTATCAGATTTACTGATGACACCCGTCTGTATCTCTCAACATGAAATCTTGGGCCGGAAAGGAAAGTTGAAAAAGATAGAACAGAAGAACACCAGGATTAACTAGACTAAACGGGATGGTAAATATCAGAATAAAAGCATTATAAGTATAATAGCTAATTAATATGGCTCTAAAAGCTTAATTATTTAAGTGTTCACAAGAGAAAATACTAATAGTTCTTGCGATTCATAAAGGATATAATGAATAAAACGATTTATCTCGGAGTCTCGCTCTAATCCAGGGACCTCCTGGGACGACTTGATTTTACAGACCCTTGAAAGTCAAAACCACATGCGGTCAAATATTTCTATCCTGAAGTCTTCTCTGAGCACTTCGTAGCAGACACATCATGACTGGCTCGCAAGTTGGGCCAGCCACCTTTCCAGATCAGCCATGATACGCTGCCCAAACGTCGCATCGACAGCGCAGTCCGGCCAGTTGGTGCTGACACACATGCCCCGGCCAGCGACGCTGACTGGGGAAAACTCCATGGCGGCCGCGGGGATTTCGGTGCTGAGGCCAAACTGCGCTCGGTCGATCGACCACCTCTGGCCGTCGTCGCACTTGGTGTCGCCGCCGGTGGACGCAGAGATGCGTCATCTATGAAAAAGGCCCGGAACTGGGGTTTGTACGGAGCGGAGCGGATCGGGAACCAGGCTGCTTGGGACACGTCCCGGTTCAGAAACCGAGGCCGAGTTTCCTCCCAGAATACCTTGGCGAGGTACTTGAGATCTACTGGAAGACTCTTTAAGCTCTCGATTGGGGTTGGAAGCAAGGGGGCCGCTTGAGGTAGTCTCAGGATATCGCCATCCAAGCCAGTCCGCTCGCATGCTCCGTTGTCAGCATTGAGCATCTCGAGAAAGTCTTCGTGGAACACCTTGGCGCCTGCACCGTCGAATTGGGGGTGATTCCACGTGAGTAAGACCTCCATGATAGGATCGTTCCCTTGTCGAATGACGGTGATCTTCCAGCCCGGCTGCTTAATAGAAAGGTCTGGGAAACGGTCATCGAGCTGAGTGCGAAAGATTTCCTGCACCGTCTGTTCAAAGTCGTCATGCCCTCCGATATAAAGCCATTTTATATGTTGCGTCAGGTCGAGACTCTGCAGCTGGATCCACGAGGGAGTCTTGGAAGTGGCATCCACCATGCCGACTTGCAGCATCGGATGTCTCATAATGGTGTCCACCGACAGCGACCTTGACTGCCTCCTCCAGTTGGGTCTGCGACTCTGCCAGTGCAAGACGTGGCGGGATCGCATAGCGACAAGAGAGAATAGTGCCACGGTATTGGTCCAGTAGATACATGGCCAGTTGGTACGTCTCGCTAGACACATCGTCGTTAATTAGATGCCCCCCGAGATGCCATACCAGTATGCGACACTGGGTACTTACTTGATTCCGAATGTGCGAAGCACCATCGTCTCTGTGCCATGTCTGAGTTTGTTTGCCATGGTTCGTTGCTAACGTGGCAGATCAAGAAGAGACGGATCTGATAAATAAATACTCGATTGCTGCCAGAGAAGGCGTGCAATAGATCTCGTCGTGATAGCCTCAATTCGAACTTGGCGACAGACGCGGCGAAATGATTGACTACGTAATTGAGGATGAGATATTGTTTTGTATTGGAAGAACGAAGAGAATGAGAATTTAGCGAGTGATTACTTTTATCTCTAGAATGAATACCCGTGGACCCTGGTCATTTCATTTCTGCCCACAAAAACTATCCCCTTTGAGTATCAGTTCTGAATCCTTCGGCTTGCTCTTCAGGTTTAGATACTCCGCCAACCTGACACCAACATCCAACGCTACGGCCCCAACAACTTGTTGTGCTCCCTGCCGGTATTATCAGGGGCTCTGTGGATAATGGCGTCGAATTCTACCGTGGCTTCCCTTATTCCCAAGTTCCAGCCGGCTTTCTGAGACTGAAGCCCCCGGTACGCCTCGAGAGTTTCGGCTCAGTCCAGGCCATCTCTATCGGCCGCACATGGGTTTGAAGTGGGCGGCAGACAACATTGCAGCGTTTGGAGGTGATGCCAATGCGGTCACGATAATACGGGGTGATAGCGTCGGCTGTATGAATAGTTCTGATCAGCTTGCACTGTTAGACGGCAACAACACCTACAAAGGCTGACTCTTGTTCCGACGGGCCGTTATGGATAGCGGTTGCGATTACTCAATATGAGAACAGTGCCTCTGAGCTGGAACTGACGATGATGCCCATAAATCATAATCAACCACTACACTAAGAGAAACAAACTCGGTTTTCTCTCAGCTCGTAATGATCAAAGGCTCTTAACTGCATTTTGCAGATGAAACTGTTCAGCTAATCTGCACCTCGACATCGTAGCCTAAAAAGGAATATGCTTTACTTTCTTGACCGCTGCTAGCCTGGCCGCAGTCATCATCCTGCTGAAGGCTGCAGAATTGGCCGGCTAGATCTGTGGACATTATAGGCCTTAAGCCATGCGACCTGTGTGATCTGAGATGTGAGATCTGATCGTGGGCCCGTAATTATGGAGATTTCGGAGATCTCTTGAGACAGAACCTTAGTAATGATGTTGTCGTTTGCATCAAGCACAGTATTGGCACACCAACAAGCTGTCTACGACCTAAGGGCATTCACCGGCATTTAGACAAGTACGCGCAGCCGTTCCACTCAAGCAGCCTCCAGTTCTGGATTATAAATGTATATTATATGTATTCCAAGTCATTGATTTGTTCATCTTGCAACTTCCTGCCAAGATTGGGCAGGCCGGTGATGATGGTCCCGATGTGGAATCACGATGATTATTTTAGCTTTATCAGAGCCATGCGCGGGGAGGCCTGGTATAGGATGGACGGGGTGAAGAAAACGAGTAAGCACCACCCGCCCAGAGACCCGTTTCAACCTTAAGTTTAACCTTCGTAAATCGAAAACAGGCTGCAGAATTCCAGAGCCTCGTGCTAACAAACCATTGTGTCCAATCGCGTAATCATCTGGCTTGGTTGGGCATTGGCCGCCAGGAAGCAGAGTTTCCCTCTTTTCCCACGGCCTAGTCAGGTTTCGAATGGAACAAACAGCGTAATGGAATGCGATGTCGACATCTATCGGGCAGTGTTTAAAAGAAAGCCTTTTCTCCCACAATATCATTGATTCTATGCTCTCAGATCACAAGAATTCCATCAAGTCAACGAGCAGCCCTTGTCAGCATTGAATCACCTCGAGAGCGTAGATCGTCACCTCGAAACCTTTTCTTTTACCTTTTCCCCCTACACCCTGACTTCACACAGAGGTTTCTCTCTATCATCATCTTCTCTCTATATCACCTTAGCCACTATGCCTTCCCTCAAGACAGCTCTTCTCTTGAGCGCGACCTCCCTGATCTCGACCGGCTCGGCCCTAGGAATTAACTGTCGTGGCTCCGGCCTTTGCACCTTTGCTACCATTGAGAGTATGTCTTTCAAATTCTCAGCATCTCCTGTCAGGCTGTAGTTGCCTGGGCTGTCTCGAAGACACAAGGGACAAGGACGTTTCCCAGGAACACTCTGAGAAGATTAGTTCCTTTTGCAGCCTTCGAGACTGTTCCAGCAAACGCCAACCTCTTTTCTATCCCTGTTGAAAACCAAAGATTGTGAGGGTGATGTGTTCTAACAGGCGAATAGACCATTCTGGGACGAATATCGTGCAGGTAAGAACGCTTCAGAATTGAACTACCCTCAACAACATCAAAAGTCCAGAGGGGACTGCAAGAATCTATTATCAGACACTTGCTAACCGATCGTCTCAACAAACCCACAGCTCTGGCACGACGTTCTCAACACGACCACCGTCGATGGGGGCACGACGTATTCCAACGGCGACCACGTCGTTTGCATCGGCAGCTCGGCCTCCATCACAGTGGGTGCCGATGTAGGGGCCGAATTTGGCGGTGCTTCTGGGTCTCTGAGCCTGTCATCCAACGCCAACATCGGGACCGGCGGTGTCTGTCTGTTCCCGCAGAACATGGCTGACGGGGCGACTATTACGCTGGAGTCGATCCGCAGCCTCGTCGATGCGCTTGGCGAGCATGGATGCACGACCTGTGGCTCGGTTCCCATTCACTATGTGGACCAGGGCAGCAACTCTCCGTCGGATGGTATCCTGACGTCCAACTATGTTGGCAACCCGTTCTGTATGTTTACACACTCACACGAAACCCATCTTCTCCTTTTCGAGTCTAGGCAATGGCTGACGAGTGATGACAGGTGATGACAACTGTATTACGTCTGTTGGAAGTACTTAAGGGTTATGTTCTGAGATTTCAAGGAGTCATGGCGTTCATTAGGAGGGTTGACTTTATTTGATGCACGTTTTTAGTTCAAAGTTTACGAGCAGGCCTCAGCTTTAGCTTTTGTCTTTTATTCTTCAGTTTTCAATATCCGTTCAAGGTTCTTTGCTGGTTGTATAAGGTCTTGTCTACTTAAGCAAGCGGGAGTTCTTCCGGCTCCTCCGCCTCCCGCAGGAATTCTTTTGGCTACTTGGCCGGAATTCCGAATCAGATCACTTCCAGTCATTGCATCACATAAGAAAATGAGTGATTGGTGTATTTGCAATGTATTCATTCTCAGACGGACCTTCTTATTCACAAACCCCAAATCCTACAAGTGCGCCAGGCTCGATCTTCTTCTATGTTCTCTCTTGAATTCATCAGGAGGATCAACAAGTCCTTCAGCATATATTTGAGAGAAAAATATTCAACCAGAAGCTGTGTAGCATGCAGAACAGGCTGCTTCTCTTCAGATCATAGACACCTCGCCCCCCGTCCCCTCCTTCTCGGGAGCTTATATTCACAGCATCATGAATACAGCAGCAACAGCCATCATGGCACCAAAGGCGCTAACAGTCTTGCTTGACGAGGCAGAAGCGGTCTTTGTGCTGGATGTGCTCGCGGTCGCCGCGCTGCTGTTGCTGAAAGCGATGCCAGCCACTGCAGCCGACCCCCCAGCGGCGTTGGTGCAGTTACCAGGAGCAAACTGGGCCGAGAGGTCCGTCAGCTGGCCCGTGAACTGTCCTGTGAGCTGGGTGGCGACGGACTGCAGGGTTGAGGGGACCTTGGACACGGTGGCGGAGATGAGGCTGTTGGCGGCGCTGCCGATGTCGGTGGTCTGCTGCTGCACAATGTCGCAGAGGCTGGCCTGCTGGATCTGCGGCTTCTTGGCGACGAGGTCGCTGGACAGGCTCGCGGCGGACGACTGGATGGGAGACAGGGAACTCTGAAGGGTAATGGCGTCCTGTGCCGAAATAGCTGCGGTTCCCTGGATCGTTGATGTGCCCTGGGTCAGGACCGTCTTCAGGCTGGCGGCGTTGGTGGCGAGCTGGGTGAAGTCTTGGCCGTTGAAGGCCTTGACGGTGGTGTCGAGGGTTGTGATGGCGTTGGAGGCCTGGGTGATGACGGACTGGATGGTGGCGACGTCTCGTTTGGGGAGAGGATCCCACGTCTGGTCAGCCACGGTGGAAGCCGCCAGGGCGAGGGTGGTGGTGAGCAGCGATGCCACGGCCTTCATGATTGCGACGATGGTGATCTTTGGATCGAAATTAAAAAAGAAAAAGAAATATTGTTGAGCAGTATTATAAGTAGTTATCGAGCCCAGCTCGTTTGAATGAATTATCCAGATTGCTCAAGTTGAGATATCGCCAGAGATGATGGCGAGGATGAGGCGAGGATGGCTGGTTCCAGCTGGCCCTATAAATATTTTCTCATCAACTACCCATCGGACCAGACTGCCGGTGGCCTGCTAATGATCACATCTTGGCAACAGTTACTGTATTTGGAAGTGAGGTTTCACGATGCTCGTGCCTGGGGACCTTCGAGCTTCATCCAATGGTAGGTGTGGTTTCATTGTACAACTACTTCAGATGAAGCAAGAAACCAGCCTCGCAAGGGGGACATGCCAAGTTTTGGGATCAATTCCCAACTATGTCTTTCATTCACTTGGATCAGTAAGTCTGCTCGCATCGATCGCTGTAAGGGTTGACTCGTTCGTCGTCCGAACTCCAATACCCCCCCCCCCCCCCCTTCGTCAGCTGTCGCACGCACGCATCGACTTCTGGAGTAGGAATCTCGGCGTTTTACTTGCGACTTGACATGTCCGACAGCTGGGGCCGGTCGGTCAGGAGCGCTGCATGTCAGAAGTGTGGAAATAATGGGAGAAAACGGTAATTCACCACACACAAATGTATGTGGGGTGGAAGGCTCATCTGTCTCAGTTCTGCACCGCATGCTTTGCCAACTTTGGTAACTGCCAACATTGGAACTCACACACAATTCATGCGAGGAATCCAATCGACCGAGAAGAAACTCCCCATTCTATTCAAAAATAGATTACGCAACCAAACATATCCTGGATTCCATTGCCGATTGTTTCCTCCAATTATTGAGGCAGCTAGACTACTTATGACCTGGACATGATACTGAGAATTGTGCGAACAAGAACACTCAATCAAGACGGTTGATGCTGTTGTTCCTTCTCAACATGTACTCAATACTGATAGTGTTATGAATGAGATGATTTCGAAATGCTTTGCGAGTGGACCATGCATCAAAGGCAGTAATAAGAACATGTAAAGTGCTGAATGCGTAATTCAAAAGCAGGACAAGTAAAGGGTCAAATGCAAGGCTGGACTTACTCACTTCTTACAGTACACGCACAAGTCAGGCTGCTTAGCCGCCCCCCTGTTCTTTTTAACAATTGCAGCCTCCCCAAGCAGTTCCCCTGCAGAGGAGCTACAGTAGCTTCCCCAATGCCGAGGCTCCCACATCCGCTCGCAAACGTCAATCCAACAGCTTCGATAAAAAGCTGCCAAGCTAAGTAATTATCTTGCCTGGAATATTTCTCAACATTTGGCGCCTCAAGCAACTCACGCTCGAACTCGCATGCCTTATCCTTCTTCCTCGTCCTCGTCAGCATCCCTCCTCTCCAAGTGCGGCACGACGCTCACCTGCATCCTACGCTCCGTGCCCCTCTGGGTGGTCGTCGTTGTCGTGCTGCTGCTCGGCGCCCTGCGACGGCGCATCGCGCTGCTCCTCTTGCCCTCTAGCCCACACGACAAAACTCAGCTCGTGCAACAGCAAAAGCCAGCTGCGAAGGCACAGTAATCATAGAGAGAGACTTTTGTGGGCGATGAGGCAAACATAAGCGAGGAAAGACAGGGCAAGCAGGGAAGGACGGACGGACGACACAAAAGAGCCGAACAGCCTCCTAAAGAAAGAAAAATAGAAGATAAAGAAAAAGAAAAGATGGCCTCCGCAAACGCCCTTGGTTACATATTGCCCTTGGGCATGGGCTCGGCAGCTGTAGCGGGCCTGTCGCTCGCGCATGTTGACTGGAAGACTATCATATTGAAGTTTGTCACGGGGCCTGGGCGGACGAGCCGGATCTTGCTGGCCATTTTTGTGTTGATCAACTACAAGAGCATGCCCTTTATGTGGACGGTATGTTTTTTCCCCATTCTCCTTTTTCTTTTCTTTTTTCTTCTTTCTTTCTACCTCTCCCTCGTCCTCCTTCTACAGACTGGTCTGGCTAACGTTTCAATCCTCTTTTAACGTAAATGTAGTACCGCGTTCTGGGCGCTATAACCCGCCAACACCTCCCCTACCTCCGCCCCGCCCGCCTCCACCCGCGCATGCTCTTCCACTACTCCATTACCTCCTCCTACAACTCCCTCCTGGAGACAGACTACAACTTCCACAAGTCCAACTCCACCTACTTCAGCGACCTCGACGTCGCCCGCTCCCACTGCGTCTCGCACCTCCTGCGGCCCGGCATGGACGCCATTGCCCGCAACGCGGAGACGCAGTGTGTCCGCACCAAGGACGGCGAGCTCGCCAAGGGGGGCATGGCGGTCGGGCTGGGGGCTGTGTTTTGTTCCTTTCGGAGGGAGGTTGCTGTGCTGCAGGGCTATGAGATGTGGACGCGGGTGTTGGCCTGGGATCGGAAATGGGTCTATCTTGTCACGCACTTTGTGGTCAAGGGGAAAGTCAGGCCGACCGCGTGGGACCAGGATGGGAGTGAGCGCTGGTTCGGCCCGCTCCGAAAGAAGCAAAAGACGGCCGGGCTGAGTGGGGCCGAGGCAAAGGAGCTTGAGAAGCATGTCATTGCCACCGCGGTGAGCAAGTACGTGTTCAAGGTGGGACGGTTCACGGTGCATCCTGCCATCCTGCTGGAGAAGAGCGGCCTCTTGCCTGCGCGGCCGGGCGGCTGGATCGGCGGCGTGAACGAGGTGTGGGACGAGGTTGTTGACGAGGATCTGGGAGGGGCCCAGAATGGTGAGAGTGAGGAGGAGGACGGGGTTGGAGACTGGAGGCAGGTCGAGTCGCAGAGGAGGCAGGGCATGAAGTTTGCAGAACGATTTGCTGCGTTGGACGGGCTCAACGGACTGTTTGATGGCGGTGAACATGGTGCACTTGGTCGGTTTTACCCTGGCTAAAGGTTGTTGTCGTTTACAGAGGTTTTAGACTCGGATTAGAAAGAAAGAGACGGGACATTACGAGAATATAGAGAGAACTAGAAAGTTTTATACTAGAGGCAAACACTCTTCAGCAATTCGTTACAATCACAAATATATATTGTCATTCTGATCATTCTGAATGGTTCCTTATTCTATCTATAAAAGTCTTGAGCAAAATGTGGTGTACTTGAGCCACTTTGTATTGGTATATCATTCATCCCATCACTCGAAGAAAATTCCATCTTCAGCCGTCTAGACCTGAACTTTTTTCTTTCCTCCTTTTGAAACTTCCATGAAATAATCCACTATCTGCCAGCTGACATGTGGATAAGTATCTCCCCTCCCCCTCTTATTTGTCCATCGTGAATTGAAAGTTGGGGAGAGAAAGAGAGAGAAAAGAGGGGGCTGTCTATATGCAGCCCAGGAGGAATGGAAAGCCACACAAGAGGCAAGCTAGCTTATAGGGCCAACAGGCCAACAATTCCAACAACAGCGGCCCAGCCGAGACCGTAGAGCTCTGGCCGGCTGCCAGCAGAGCTGGAGCTGGAGGAGGAAGAGGAGGAGGCGGCTGATGACGAGCTGGTGCCTGTGCTGGTGCCCGTGGTCGAGGAGTTGGACGCCGTGGAAGACGTGGTGTTGCCGCTGACCTCCTCGCAGATCTCAGTCACAACCTTTTGGGTGGCTGAAGAGTGAGAGGAGAAGTTAGTTACCAGTCCGGTAAATGTTACCCAGCTAAGGGACACTTACAGGTGATGTCCGTGACGGAGCATGACGTGGTCAGACACGAAGTGGCGTTGGTCTCAATGGTCGCCTTGTTGTCACACTGGCAGGAGTAATCTGTGGCGCCGCAGCCTGCAGAGGCAGCTCCGGTGGTGAGGCACGAGGTGGCGCACGAGGGCAGCTGGGATGCGATGGCGGTGACGTTGGAATCAGAAGAGGCTGCTGAGGCCAGGCTGATGAAGCCAGCGAGGGCGATGTTCTTGAACTGCATGTTGGATGGTGTTGGGTTATGTATGTGCTGTAGAGGTAGGTAGCTACAAGGCTTGTGTGATATTCAGACTTGGTCTGTACGTAGATGTGTTGAGTGTGATGGAAAGAAGAGAGTGTTGTAGTCACAGACCAACTGTAGTAATACCGTCAAGAAAAAGAGTGTTGAGGACGGAGGAAAATGGTCAAATGGTCATAAATGAGGGTCAGAGGGTTGAAGGGTTGAAGGGTTGAAGAGATGGTATTCGTTCCTCCAGTCTCGAGAGCAAAGAGAGCGAGCATGGCAAGAGTGGGCACTATTTATCTGTAATACATAGTACCTCGATCGAAACTTTGTTCAGGGTTTCTCGATGGTAAGAAGAATAGGGAACAGGGCGAGGAAAAGACTGGATCCTGTGAAGGTAGAACCATGTCCCACATCCATGTTCCATGTCATGAAGCCGGAGTCCCGAGAGAGCCTAGACCATCGGAAAGGGGAAGTGGAAGCGGATACTTGAAAACAGTGACACCGGCACTGGCCGTAAGCCTCGAAAACAAAAGGGTGTCACTAAGGGGTGTATGGATAATTGTCATAGCGGCAAGATGGTCTCTGAAGCCGTCGAGATAGGTTTGCCTTCTATCCTTCCTTCGCAACAACCTAATGCAAGCCTAGGAGTCAGGAGAGGGCTCGAGAAGGAGGCAAACCTCGTTCTCAATGAGCCCAAGCTTGTCAAGCGCCGGAGGATGTTGCCATGATGCGACAAGGACACTTTCCTTGAGGTGCCCCAGACGAGGTCTGTGTGTGTGTCTGTGTGTGTTCCCAGTGTAGGTTCTCGCCGAAAGAGCGAAAGCAGGAGATCCTGACTCGGCAGGAAGAAGAGACAACCATGCACAGATGCGAACTATCATACTATGCACCAACCATAGTAACACACGTACAAGCTGTCAGGGGAGGGAGGTTGAGGCATTATACACAGTTCAGGGCAGTGGCAAAGTGACTGTCCAACCAGTGGCATGGCGTCCATCAGCAAAACCAAGGGGAAAATTTTTGAAGAGCTGGAAACAAGTACAACAGGACCAGAAACGCCCGACGTTGAAACCAATGTCGATCCACACTATCCATGTACCATCGTAGACAGCAACGTCGCCCTAGCCCAATCAAGAAAGCCTGCGAAATGCGATCTTGGTCAGAGGTGGAGAACAAGTGAGCTGGGTGTTGGGTTACTGTACCATAGTTACCTGCGTACATACATCATAAAGTACCAAAGGTTTTCAGGACTTATAGTGAAGGCAGGGCGGACGTTCAGCCCAGCCCGATCCTGTCCCGATCTCCACAGTGGACCACGTTTTGAAAGGTCACCGTGGAGTGACGACGTGAGACATTGTTCGACAAGGCTGAGGATTGGAAGGAAAACAAGAAAACTGGGCCCTTGGTAGACACAGGGCCAGAACAGGGGGAGGGTTGAAGTCTTATTGCTCCGAGAGCAGGAGGAGGCAAGAGACGGTTATCGGTGCGAAATGAAGAACGAGAAATTAATGAAGTAATGGCTGCAGTAGCCTGGCTGCCTTGAGCTGAACGCTGACTTTGAAGGAAGAGGAAGTGACCACAAACCGAGGACCGCGCTCTGGCCCTGAAACAAGGTTGAATTCATGGCAAGACAGTCGCACATGTTATTCCTGATAACTCAGGGGCTTGCTTGGATGGCACTGTCCATCATTTTTCAAGCGGCCTTGGCCAACCCAACGGAACCTTTCTCTACTGGGGCGCGCGCTCCTAGAAGAGTTTGGTCTTATGGTGTCGCCGGCGGTAGGCCTATGCATCCAAGCGAGATCACCATTTTCTTCTTTTTGGGGGGCTTGGAAAATCATTACTCAGAGAATGAGGAAGAACAGTGCCTGTGGTGCCCCTGTTTCCCTGGAAGAGAGAAGAAGTTGGCTGTCGTTGTGTGCAGTCAGCCGAGAGCATTTGAGCTCTTAACGTAGGATCCTGACATGCTCTCGGAGTCTCATCGTCCGTCCCTATTTCTAGGGAAGTAGTGGACGAAAAGCAAACAGATGCAATGAGGGCGCACGGCGGTACTTGTGTTGGTAGGAAGAGGGAATTTCTCTTGGTGGATTGTTGACTTGGTTCCATTCATTGATTCATTCAGGAGCGACGCAATGGGCACCTGTATTCATTGGCTGTTGCCCCACCCCTGAAATATCTATTTGGGTTTTGTTAGTCTGACTGCTTTGGGGGGGGGGGCGCTGATCTCATCGGTCAGTGCTGCGGGGCATTTCTCCCTGAACCTGAGCATTTCAGGTCGAGGCTTATACTAAATATTTCCCCCCACCACCTCAAACCACGACTTGACAACGACCACCACGATAACCACAACCACAGTCTTCCCATCAGCTGTGTGTGTATATATATATATACTGGTTGTAAGTCGTTAGACAGATCGAACTCTTCAAGGAGTCCAGTTCTGCCCCCTCATCTGCTGCCGCCTTTCCATACGTCCATAGCCAGCATCAGCTCGACACAATGCCCGAACCAGTATCAGTCCTGTTCGTCTGCCTGGGCAACATTTGCCGCTCAACCATGGCGGAGGGTGTCTTCCAGAGCATCACGTCCAAGCCCCCATACGAAGGCCTGGTGAAGAAGCTGGACAGCTGCGGAACGGGCGCGTACCACGTCGGTGACGACCCAGATGACAGGACTATGGATACGCTGGAGAAGCATGGCATCACGGACTACGTGCACGCTGCGCGAAAGGTACGCCACTTCTCTCAAACAGACGACCCCCCCTCTATCCACGTTCAGCAGTCTTGGACGAACCCAGAGGAAGAGGACTAACTCAAGGTTGTCTCGTCCCCTGTCGCCGCAGGTACATATCAAGGACTTTGACAACTTCGACTACATCTTCGCCATGGATCGAAACAACCTCCGCGACCTCGAGCGCATGCACAAGAACAAGCCCGAGGCCAGGGCCAAGGTGATGCTGTTTGGCGAGTTCTCCGGCACGGGCAAGGCCGAGATCGTCCAAGACCCTTGGTATGGAGGGATCGACGGCTTCGAGACGACATACCAGCAGTGCATACGGTTCACCAGGAACTTTCTCCAGGTCGTCTTCCCAGACATCACACCTCCCGAGGAGTGATTGAACCTCGCCATACACATATCAACTCACAAGCAAGAAACGAAATATGGTTAATAGCGAATGCATACTTTTCGGCGTTTTGGGTATCTTTGATAAAAAGAGGTTGGAAGACTTGACTTGAGAGAGCGATCATAATAGAATAGAAAGAAAGATGTTTTGGGAAGGGGAAAGAAAAAGAAGGGCACATGTGATACCCAGCCTCGTAGAGTTAGGATTGGCTTATAGAGTGAATCATGGATAGACTTGATCGGCAGCTTGTTTGAAACCCCCAGGTCGTTGAGTGAAGTTTTGAGGCTTGAGCCGTAGTGCCCCGGCGCATTCGGTCCTTTGGGATGGTTGATGATGTGTGCTTACCTCGCTCACTACTAGCGACGGAATGATCGGCCAGGTTCCTGGCTGGTCTGGCCCTTGGTCCATGAACTACCGGTTGTGGGCAAGCGATGGGTGTCGAGGTCTCTCCAGCCAACCACCACTGCGCAGTGACTCTCTCCAAGTCTTCTGTCTCGTCTGCCGATCACCCAAGCTACCAAAGGGCGCGCGGGCACGGGTACCATAGTAGTCGGACGGGGTGGCGTTATACTAAACCAACTGTCGGATGCAACCAAGTCGCAATGCATGTTCAGCCCTACCGTATCGCCCCCAATGGCACCGTCGAGACGACTTGGCAGTGTGACACTGCGACAAGATGAAGCTTGACCGGGCGTAGCAGCCCATCGGCGGCGGCGACGATCGAATGCGGCCTCTGTCTGACCTTGGAGAAAGAACGTTTATTACTGGAGAAGGACGGTCGCATCGTCCACAGATAGATACCATAGTATTACGGCAGATGGGTTCGGCGCGCAGACGTTGCCTTATTAAGTCAGTCAAATCTGACCAATTCATTGCCAACCCGGAGCTATAAGCCTGTCTCGGATAGGCCCAACAATCCTTCGTGTGGTTGGCTGGTTGCAAGCAACAGAAAGACCAACTTTTGTTGTGTACTTTTGCGCTTGGCACTCGTCCTCCTCCTCTTGCCTGTGGATTTTCTCACTCTTTGTCTCTTTCTCTTCTCTTTGTTCCCTGGGAGGGTAGACTCTTAGCAGCACTGCCCAAAAGGTCCCACCGAGCTCCTCCGACTGCCACATCTATTTCCCCCTTCGAGTTCAAATTGACTGTGGCTGTGTGAGGGTAAGGTTGCAGTACATGTCCGACACTAGCATCATCACCATCATCTCGTCCATCCTTTGTTATCATCTGTAGGGCGGTGTGGGATGGGGGAGGGCCTCGTCTCGGCAGTGCTGTGGTCCAAAGTTTGAGGGTGGACCTTTTTTTTTAATTTAGAATCGTGATGAGTAGAGACAGGTCCAGATAAAATAATGAGGTCCCTATATCCGTCAAGTCTACATAATATAAAGTACTTGGTGCCAATGGACAAACAGAGCTGTCGTTTGCTGCCAGCTCAGAAGGAATCACCTACCTTCTCTACCATGAGGCCGTTCGATGCTTGCTGCTTGCTGTCTGTCTATCTGTCGTCGAGATGCGTTGTGAACACACCCCCTAGCAAAAGAAAATTGGGTGCAAAATGGTTGCAGCCCGAAGAGGACTGGGTGGGGGTGGGTGTGGGTTAGATGGCATGAATGCAGATGCGGATGCCGGAAACCTGCAAATCATCAATGCCTTCAGGGCGTAGCATCAACTTTCTCTGTACCAAACTAAGACCATTCCTGCCGCTGTAGATCTGGGTTGCTCCCCCTGCACAGGGCGGCTGTAGAGCTAATTACCCACCAGGAGTGGGCGAAGCACATCCTGCCCATTGGCTCCCGACTGGCCCTGACTGTGGCTCTGGCGCACTCTGGGTTCCCGGTACCTAGCGCTACAGTGATGCCATAGTGCCGTTGTAGGTAACCAGCTCCCAAGTGACAGGGTTCCCCTCTTCACACAGTCATCAACCCATAGCACGATAGGGACGGTGGTACAGTGGTACTCTGCCCTATGGAGGAGGGGAGGAGGGGAGGAGGGGAGGAGGGGAGGAAGGAGGGGGAAACCCAGCCAACCTCTCGAACCTGAAGATACATTAAACCGTTCCCCATGGTTCTTACCTTCTTACCACCATAAATCCCACCTCACCTCTCCTTTCCACGGCGCATCCCAACATTTCCTCCTGTCTTCTTTGTGTTTATCTATCATGACCAGGAGAGTTCTCTGAAGGCATTCGCTACTGCTAAGATAGCTTTTTCATCCATACTTCAGCCTCTTTGGGCGACCACCTTCTCTCGTCCCCCCCCCCCCTCTCTTGACGGCCTGTGGCAGTAGGACAACTTTACTGCTCTCTCCACCATCAAGCGTTGTTGTGTGTGTGTATCCAGTAGCCTCACCAGAACGGGTAAGCTTCCGCCTTGTCTTGTGTTTACTTGGCCGCGTCTGTCTTTGTCCTGTCCTGCCCAATATTTGTGTGTGTATGTCGCTTGCTCTAGCTTCGGGGTCGATTCTGACTGTGCCATGGATTCAATTCATTTGAAAACATGGTCCAGAGGGCTGACGCTGATGATGTGGTGGAGACTATGGTATATTTTTACTCAGAGTGTTACCCTTTGCTGACAGCCTTGCAGGTGTCTTGGACCACACATAGACGCTATCCAGGGCCTGCGACTCCGCCTCCTTTGTTTAAACAAATCCCGTCCTCTTCCTTTCATCCTTTCGAACAACGACCGTGACGAGTCTCTAAAAGGGAACGAGCTCCCTCCCTCTCACACGCATCGACACATACAAACACGTCTCTTGAACGTTTGACCACCTCGAGTTCCAGAACCCTGTCCTCGGTATACATACCATAGATCCAGGCATACGAACAATTCAAGATGGCAGAGTTACAAGGTCGCAAGGTGTTCAAGGTGTTCAACCAGGACTTTATCGTCGATGAGCGCTACACCGTCACCAAAGAGTTGGGCCAGGGAGCCTATGGTATTGTCTGGTGAGCAGCAACGCCCAGTCCACACTCTCTTTATCCTCTTTCTTTTGGGCCTGTCTACTGATCACTGCGTTGTTTCTCTTTTTCTACAGCGCTGCCACGAACAATCAGACCAACGAAGGTGTCGCTATCAAGAAGGTCACCAATGTCTTCAGCAAGAAGATCCTGGCCAAACGAGCTTTGCGCGAGATCAAGCTCCTTCAGCACTTCCGAGGACACCGCAACGTAAGCGTTCCCCTAGGAGGAGGAAGAAAGGAACGAAAGATGGAGAACAAGGAGAGGGCCGCAAACAAAAGAGCATGAGCTGACAGCAAGGGCGCCTAGATCACCTGTCTGTATGATATGGACATCCCCCGACCTGACAACTTCAATGAGACTTATCTGTACGAAGGTAGGTCAGAACCGCAGGTTGCAAGAAAGAAACACGGATGGGAGAATCATAGTAGTAGGCTGACTAGAAATGGTGGACCTGCACAGAGCTGATGGAATGCGATCTCGCCGCCATCATCCGGTCTGGCCAGCCCCTGACCGACGCACACTTCCAGTCCTTCATCTACCAAATCCTCTGCGGTCTAAAGTACATCCACTCGGCGAATGTGCTGCACCGTGACCTAAAGCCCGGAAATCTTCTGGTCAATGCGGACTGCGAGCTCAAGATTTGCGATTTCGGCCTGGCCCGTGGGTTCTCGGTTGACCCCGAAGAAAATGCCGGTTATATGACGGAATACGTGGCCACGCGGTGGTACCGTGCCCCCGAGATCATGTTGAGCTTCCAGAGCTACACCAAAGCCAGTACGTGAAAACCTATCAGACTCGACGGCAACCCCCTGAAGACCCTGGAGAGCGAGAAAGAGAGAGAGAGAGAGAGAGACTTGTCTGCTAACGTGTTCCCTGTCTCTTTTTTTGTCTTTTTGTAGTCGATGTGTGGTCTGTTGGCTGTATTCTTGCCGAGCTTCTGGGCGGTAGACCTTTTTTCAAGGGCCGGGACTACGTGGACCAGCTCAACCAGATCCTCCACATCCTCGGCACGCCCAACGAGGAGACGCTCTCCCGCATAGGGTCTCCACGCGCCCAGGAGTACGTGCGAAACCTCCCCTTCATGCCCAAGAAGTCGTTCCAGTCGTTGTTCCCCAACGCCAACCCGGACGCCCTGGACCTGTTGGACCGCATGCTCGCCTTCGACCCGACCTCGCGCATCAGTGTCGAGCAGGCTCTGGAGCACCCTTACCTGCAGATCTGGCACGATGCCTCTGACGAGCCCGACTGCCCAACCCACTTCAACTTCGACTTTGAGGTCGTCGAGGACGTAGGCGAGATGCGCAAGATGATCCTGGAGGAGGTGTTCCGGTTCCGACAGACGGTGCGGACCGTGCCCGGCGGGGCTGGGAACCAACATGGGGCGCAGGCCGCAGCAGGCCAGGTGCCTATGCCCAGCGGCGGCCAGCAGCAGTGGAGGACAGAAGACCCGCGGCCGGAGGAGTACCTGGGCCACAGCCAGGGCGGTCTGGAGGCAGACCTAGCGATGGGTGCCGACGGGAGGAGATAGAGTCTCACTTCCTCGGCCGCAGACGACCTACTCTCCCCGGGGGAAGCAGACCTGTGGAGCCGGACCTGCCAGTGGCTATTTGATGAGGATCTCGAGAACGGCATCCTCACAACCGGCAGCAGCAGCCTGGACATAGACCGTCATCTTGGTGAGGAGGACGAAGACGACACCGCCGAGAACCAGAAGAAGAGGAACTGCGGGGAACTGACAGGTCGCAGTCCTGTGGTAGAGGACCTCAGCCCGGACGGGCAGAGACATTATTGGGCGCGGGAGCAGATGTGGCTTCGCGAAGCCGTGCGGAGGTTGGACATGGACGGGCAATGACGACAACGGGGTTGTTGCAGCCTCCCGACTCCGGGGTTTCGGTCACGTTTGATAGGGTTGCGTGTGGCGTCAGGCAAGAAGGCCTGCGTGGGGAGAATGGCAAGTAAGAGGACGAAGTCATCATCATCTGGATGAGGGACAGAAAGAGGTTGAGGTGTGTGATGGACATTCGATTTCACGAAGCAGAAACAGCAGCGGGCGTGCGCGTGATGTCTTTTTTCCTTGTCTTTGTTTCTTCTTCTTTCCGAATAGCTTTTCTCGTTTCCTCTCCTCTTCTCTCTCTCTGTCTCTCTCTCTTACACAGCACATTATCATCTATCCATCTGTTGGACGACTTGTAAAATTGGCGAGCGTACCTCTATCACATGCGTGAGGTCGCCGACACCCGAAGATGGCGGTTTTCTGGTGCGGAAAGGGTCCCACCCTGAACAGAGATGCTGAAACACGAAACACGCAAAAGACTAGACTGAGCATTAGCTGTCACTTTCCGGGGGTCCTCGGGGTTTCTTCTACTGCAGGACCCCTCGCCAAGCTACAGACGCACGTCCATGCTACATAAAATTTCGTCTCATGTTGGGAGAGCAAGGCTTGCTTAGCTTTATCTTTAACCTTGACAATAACGTTTCGCCCTTTCGAAGGATTGGAAAGAAAGAAGGAAAAAGCCCGTCCTACTCTCCTGGTACAAACTACGACGAAACATTGACATAATACAGGCCCCCCCTGCTTTGTCTCATGCCCCGTTCGAAACGGTTTCCACTCGGACCGGGAATGACAAGTATTGTTGGGAGGGGGGCGGGGGAGGGAAGGAAACTCCTGTAAAAGGGGACGTGGGGTTTTGAAGAGAGCAAGGGGGAAGAAGAAGGATTTTTTGGGCAGGTCGATTCAATTGATGTCTTGATCTGCGTGGGTTGGTGGGGGGGAAGATGTAAGGAGGGGGCGGGGGAGCGGATGATGATGATGAGCTAAATCCTATGTTAAACTCTAAAAAGTAATGAAACAAACGACAGACAGGGCTTGGATGAACGTGCGGGCGGAGGAGGCAGAGTGTGTGCGCTTTGATCATCATTGAATTCCTTGCTACAGAAATTACTATCATCCACCTCATTGTAACTCAGATCAACATGACGTATTTTTCATGTTATCTTGAGTTTAGGATCTTTTTTCCAATTTTTTTTCTTCTTCTGATTATGATCTCTCCAACGCATATTATGATTGTATGTATGTATGTAATTAATTGATCAATAATTGTCTAGAACGATTGACTGTCTTTTCTCCTCCTCTCCGTGCCTTTGAAGAGTTTGACTCTTGAAAACGAGAGATGTGGGTGCAAGTAATGTTAAAACTTTGTCTAAATTAACCACTCCCTCCTCATCTGTCAAGACGAAAAATGGCGTCCAGGGTATATCCAAGCGAAGGTTTATGCAGTTAAGTGTTTTGTGCGTGTTGTGTTGTGTGGTGTGGTGTGTTGTTCGTGTGTTTTTTTTGTTTCCTTTTCACAATATAGATCCATCCATCCAGCCACCCACCCACCCAACGCCGCCCCAAAAGGCAACACTAGACATTGAAAGAGAAGAGAAAGAAATAAGAAGAGTTAAGGTGAGGGAGAGTGAGAAGCACAGGGAGAAAAGATGGGAGGGACGGAGTGAGAGAGAGAGAGAGAGAGAGAGAAAGAGAAGAGAAAGAAGCCGACCAGAGAAAGAGAAAGAAAGAAAGAAAAAAACACAACATCATCATCATCATCACCTTGCCTCATCCTCATCCATAGAACCAATACTGCGCAGTGTACGGCACACTAAAGGTCCCGTTCCCACTTGCCCCGCTCACACTACACGCCTCAGCTCCACCACCGGCCGTGACGACGCGGTACACGTTCGAGATGCCCACACTCAGGCCTCGTCCGCTGTCCGCCAGCTCCAGCCAGTCGACGGCCTTGGTGTCCAGCAAGCCCGAGTCGGCCGTGGTGGGCGCGGCCACGTCGCCCACCTTCTTGGCGCTGAAGAACAGGCCTGCCGTGGCGGCGCCGGCCAGGTTGAAGGTGGGCGAGGACTCGCTGTCGAAGTAGTGGTGGCCCAGGTAGGACGCCGAGAGGCCGTCTTCGGAGAGGTCGAGGGCCGCGGCGGGCGAGGGGAACGGGTCGGCGCTGTCGGCGTTGTAGGACGACTCCGGGTACGTGGTGTCGTCCTGCTTGGCGACGACGGCGTCACCTGCGGCCGGGTCGACGAGGTTGAGCGGGATGGCCTGATCCCAGAGCACGGCGGAGGTCATGTTGGCCCACGACGTGCTGGACATGCTTGTGCTGGACAGGCCTGGGTAGAGGCTCGTCACGTCGTAGAGGACGGCGAGGGCGCCTGTGTTGACGGCTGTGGCGGTGCTGTCGTCGGCGCAGGTGTAGTTCTGGATGCCGTGGCCGACGGCGACGTACAGCAGCGTGAGGTTGGACTCCGGGGCAGGGAGATCAGTGGCTGCTAATGGGTAGATGTGTTAGCTAAATTGTGGGAGAAAGGAGAGAAGAAGGAAGAAGAAGGAAGACTTACACCCTGTGCTGGGAAGGGTCGGTGTCACAGATACTGAGGCCGCCGCTGAGGTAGCCGCCACCGTGGAGGTCAAGGAGGAGGAGGCTATCAAAGACAACGACGAGGGTGACGATAAAGAGGACGATGAAGATGAAGAAGAGGCTGAGGGCTTTGTGGGCCTGCACTTGACCGCCGGGGCCGCGAGTGCTGCCGTCAAAGAGACCGCAAGGGATATTATCTGTGAGGATCGCATGATGATGTTGTGGTTGTGTTTGTATCTATGTAGAATAGGGAAATAATATGTATAAGTCTTTCTTCTGGGGTTTGATCTTTTTGCAAGATAGTGTAGTTGTCGGGATGAGGTTCGGATGAGATGATGGCTCCAAAGCTAATAAGGCTGGAAGGAGAGGAAACAGGATGCAGAATTTAAATTATGGCCTTCTCTCGTGCCAGTATACTCTCAGTCTCTTTTTGCAAGGGACAGGAGAAGGAGAAAGGGGCAAGAAAGAGGAAGATGCAGTAAGTTTGTTTCAACACACAGGAGCAACAGATGCTTTCTCAACTTGGGGCCGAGACTGTATCGTGTGTGTGCAGGTATGTGTGTGTGTGTGTGTTGTTCTCAAGTCTACAACACAAGAACAAGAACACTTGTGACAGGAGTGCGCAGTATGTCCGTCCGTGCAGAGGAATAAGTATGGTTTGAGAAGAGAGAGGGCCTGACACGCAGGGACAAGGTGCTCCTGCATGAGTCTTTTCGTACATATATACCACGAGAAGAGACAGAGCGAGAGGGAAGAGATGGCAGAGACAGAGAGAGACATGATCCCTGGCAAGCCATGGTCGGAGCACGGCTACTATCGCCAGCCCCAAATGGGTTACTATGGGTAGGTACTTAACACTACATGCATGCTCGTGGCGCACCAGGGGAAGAGAAGATACGACGCTGTGAGACCCCCGGTCACCTGAACTGAGCAGGGGTGAAGGAGGCGAGAGGGAAAAAGAAAAAGAAAGAAGGGGAGGAGGAGGGGTGAAAACGAGGGGGGGCCCTGGGAGAGCATTCGAGATTTGTGTAAGTACATACCATTATATGCAAGGAGGACATGGTTCTCGATCCCCCCCAAGATGCACAGAAGTGGAGGAGACGAGACACGAAGGAAAAGGCCGAAATGTACCTACACGAAGTGATGGTACCTATAGTAGTAATCTACATGCTACTACTATAGTAAGCCATTGCACAGATACATAAAAAGATATGCCGCAGGGGTTTGGTAAGGTTATTAACCAACAGGCCATGGCCAACAACGGGTGGCTGCCGCTCTGAGACCTAGGGCGACAAGAGGAGTCTGAGAAAGACAAGCTTCTCCACCCGAGTGCCTAAGTGTTATACAGTAGATGACATGCTGACTGAGAAAACAGACAGGACACAAGCCATCGGGTCGGGAGGAGCAGAGCAGCAAAAGGAAACCCTCGGGAGCGGCTCTGTGCATGACTCCAGAGTCAAACACCCATCCACCACCATGCTCGCTTCACACAGGCGCAGAGATCTTTCCGTATGCCAGCCATTCACCCACTTGCTTCGTCCCTCGGCCTTAAACTTGGAACGTGGACTTGTCGTACTGCCGTCGAGTCTCTCGAGGACGGCTGCCGACTCTGGCCTAGCACCAACGGACGGCAGAGTGCGGCATGCCCTGCCTCGTTCCTTGTACCATACTGTGGTAAAACGAACGAATATTGGGAAGGGTGGGTCTTCTCCCCCTCCAGGATATTATTAAAATAGCGCTATGGCCTCCGTGTGGGTGTTTCTGTGTGTGTGGCGCATCGGAGCTGCAGTAGTTCGACGTCCCCTGCCCCTGGTTTCCCGTCGTTGCAACATTGGGCCCCCGTCTTTCTTCCGCCCTCTCGAAGAAATAGGAATAGCTGCGAAGGAGAAGCTGATGGTTCCAGGTGAGACAAGGCTCCGTCGTGGTGGAAATGGAGGTGCTGTTGTTGTTGCGGCTGCGGCTGCTACTCATTGACGATGGGGATCCAGTCTATTGTCTGCAGGGCAGTTAGTGAGTTCATTCTGTACCGTGCTTCTAAGATTTGCAAGGCCTTAGTAGTAGTATTAGTAGCAGCATGTGTTGTTGATGGGTCAGTATTCCCAAGGCAAGGCGGTAACATCGTAATGCAATGACTACTATGGGAAAAGATAATGGAGGGTGGCCATTGGACAGCAGGCAATGTGTACATGGTACATTTGTGCCGTGAACACTGGATGGGCTGCCGAGAGGCCGAGATCTTCTCCAGTGATCCTCGTCCTGGGATCCACCAAGAGACCATGCAGTAGATCTCGGTTTCCTTCCACAAGACAGCCAGCCAGCCACGCAAGACAGAGAGGGGCATAGATAGACACACACATAGAAACAACTGAGAAAAGATCTCTCGGCCGAGACGGGAATTGGCTCAGCCTGTTTTGTTGACGTGACTCCTGCCGTCTCGCTCTCGATTCTTTCGGGCTTCAACAACAATTTCGGCTTTAATGATCACAACAACACCACGGCAAGATTCTGATTTTCAACTTCGAGTGAGCGATTGGATGAATAATCGGGTTGTTAAGGAGGGCCGTTCATACCCAGGTTTCCCGAGTTGCCCATCTCTCGAATGGGTGCGTAATACGAGGCGAGACGAGGCGCGTAGGACAAGTCATATGCTGTACTTGATGGTGAAAGCCGACCTTTTTCGTTCTACCTGCTCGTCTTGTCTGTCCTGAGCCAGCCAATATTGTGGGCAGGCGAGATTGGATTGCTGGGCGAGAGGAGGGTTACAGTTGCAGTCGGGTAAGAGATTTGACTTGACGCGCATGCAGTCGAGAGCCACCATTTTTTTTTTCTTGCCATTCCGAGATGATGGCCTGTCTGTCTCCTCTCATCCTCCCCACCCTTTCCGTCTCTCCTTCCCTCTCAGAAAATAAGCGACAATAGAACGTTAGGAAAAGAAAAGGAAGGAGGGGACTGGACTGACGGCGCTTTCCTGAAAAGAGGTCATGCGCGGCTACAGCAAGAGCCTAGGTGCCTTTTCATTCGTTCAAGCGGCTGCAAGACAGTGGGGCCGGGCGGGCTGGACCACCACCACCTGGACTGGGCTTGTATTTATAGCGACGTTAGGCCTCTCCAGGTCCTGTACTCTTACTATAGTAGTGAGTTGGCGCTGGAGGATGCCCTGCAGATTCCCTGCAAGCGCGCTGCAAGTGCTTTTGCCGAGATGCTACCAATAAGTGCTGTGCTATGGTTCTACAGTTACTTGCAGCAGCAACAGCAGCAGCACTCACTACAAGAGTATTATCATATGTACTGCGTATTAAGCATAGTAGTACCGATGGCACCCTTCTTCTTTTTTTGGTGGGGTGGGATGAGCGGCTTGCAACGTCCAACAACCACCAACCAAATCCAATCCGGCCCACACACCAAAAAAGACCACCTGCTGTGGCACTCAACCCTCACTCTCTCAGTCTACACACACACACACACACACAAACACACACGGCGCCTGTGAGAGCGGCCTGAAAGCACGACCTCGTTTACTAAATCTAGACGGCGCTATTAACGGCTTGCGTGTGCACCTTGCAGATGGAGAATTCGATGCAGATGATTTACTTACCTATTACAGTCCCAAGACGGGCTTCACTGGCGGTGCTGCTGCCCTGCTTGGGCCCCAACCACGCGAAGGCACACACACCACTGCTGCAGTAATTACACATTAGTACATATAGTACTAATGCGACGTACCTATCATGCTCACATGCTCCAGCAACAGCATGTCATCCTCGGTAGTGCCAATTTTTTTTTTGTCCCTAGAGGCAACGTTGTCCCGTGGCGACTATGGCGGGCGGGGGGGCTAAATATTAGGTTGCAGTAATGATTATGGCTGGCTTGCTTGCTTGTTTGTTCATCTGCCTGCCTACCTGCCTGTCTGTCTGTCCGCTTCTACAGACAGGTGAACATTCATAGCAAGATTTCCCAAGGCGTGACGAGGCGGGTTGAGCCAAAAGAGGCCTCAGTATAATATGCCCAAGGGGGTGCGACATCGGCTGCAACCCAGAAGACGATCTGTACTCTCCCTTTCTATCTGTTCACCAGTCGATCATGCCGCATGGCGCTTCTCAAGCAAAAAGAGCAGGGAAATGAGTGGTCATCACCATGTCTCCCCCTTCTCACACCATTGCAAATTGTTGTCTCGGATTTTCTTTTTAACTTTCCTTCCCTGTCGTGTGATACACGAAAATCATGCTTGATCATGGTAATACTCACCAGGGCGCTTTTGATTCTTGTTCGACCACGTGTCGGTCTGTCCGTCGACTCTGAATCACGACGTCAAGTGAGGATGCTCAGCCTCTCTGTGTCCGCTGAACCTAATCATCATACTCTGTGTACTATAATGGAGGCATAGGCTGGGTAACCGCGAAGTTTGATTGTTTATACTCTGAAAGACGCCAATTCCATGTTCATCTGTCTCCTCGATCCATCTCGCTACCAGAATAACGAATATTTCTTTTCATATATACACAAGTACGTATATATAGATACAAGACAAAGAGAAATGAAAATAAAATGAGGCAGCCCAAGGACGGGCGGCAAGGGACCCGTGGTCATGTCTTGGTCATGCGCCTGCCCGCATATCAAAATCCGGCCCGTCTGTGTCCTGCTCCGCCATACAGATCGGCAGTTAGGCGCCGGTGTGGCGGGTACGGTGATGCTGATGATCAATTTAATTTATTCTATCCGTTGCGAGATGATCCTGGTCTGGAAGCTTGAAAGGGTGGGTTACATAATTAATGCGGAACGGAACAATGATAGACATGGCACCTGGGGAAAATGGCACCAAAGAAGGAGGAGGAAGGGTGCAATGCTCCTATGTGACTCTGGGATACGATTCTGTGCCATCACATGTAATGAATGCTTGGAATAGTGCGGGTGACTGCAGCTTTCATGATCATAACATGCACAGACTTGGGCCGATCCTCCCAAAGAGATTGTCTAGCTGTAATCATCCATCAATGTCTCAAAACTGCACTCAATGTGCGCAGGGTCAACCCCACGAGGGAATGTAATCACTGGCAAACTGTGTGTAAAAAGAAATGTGCAGGCGAGTGTATTTGTGGCTGGCTTCCATAATTCACTCTTGCTTTTGATGTGTCTATGGCCTAATATTGCCTAAGGAGTTATGACTTTTGGTCTCCGGTTTCTGTTTCGACATTCAAGCACCCATCCTACTCTGGCTTTCAAACAAATACTACTACCATTGCTATTTCCATATTAATCAGGGCAAACTAAGTAGTCTTTGGGAGTCTCGCACACTAGAATTGCCTGCTAAGAACTGAATAGAATACCATACGACTAGATGGTCTGTTGGTGTTTTCTTCTTTCTTTTCTCTCCATATTTGTCGCATTGACAGAGCCAGATCAATATTTGGGAAAGAATTGTATGAACTCACTGACAATTCGCATTGGAACGTTACGGGAACAAGTTAAGACAATAACAGCCAGCCGTCTTACTTACAAGTTGCGACAAAATCATCCTGATGCCTCTCAGCCGCATGCGGACACGGCTGGTGAGAACACAATGAATGCCTTGCAGTTGGCTTGGAATTCTCTGAACAAAGTCGAGAAGGAAAACAGAAAATGCTGTCTAGATAGCATACATATCTTCTCTTTCTGGTGATGGGATGGCTCGTCGAGGTATGTCCTGTTGTATGTAGTTTATTTATCTATCCGATGCTTGTTTGTGTTCATGATGAAATCCTCCTTCACTACCAGCAGTATCACGGCAATCTGCTTCTTCTTCTCCTTCCTCTACTTCCCCCAACCTGCCGCACCCACAAACACTTCCTCACCCCCCACAACTGCCATCCTGCTCCCCCTCTACGTCTACCCAGGCCTAGGCGCATGGAGCCCCATCTACACCGCCATCAAGAACCACCCACACCTCCAGTTCCAGGTGGTCATCAACCCCAGCTCCGGCCCAGGCCCGTCCTCGCCTCCGGGAGCCGACAGCCGCTGGGTCAAAGCCACCGCCAAAATCAACTCCTTCCACAACGCCCGCACGTTTGGCTATGTACACCTCCTGGGCGGGGCCGAGCCAGCCGCCTCGGTCGAGGCCAACATCACAGCCTGGGCGTCCTGGGCCTCGTATGGCGACGGCGACGGCGACGGCGATGCTGCGAACATCTCCATGCACGGCATCTTCTTCGACGAGACGCCTGACAACCGCACTGCTTACATGCGCAACCTGACTTCCTTTGCGCGCGCTGCTCTCGACGCAGGCTCCGAGATCATCTTCAACCCGGGCAGGACGGTGCTGGACGATACCTACTTCACCCTAGCCGACCATGTCGTCGTCTCTGAGCTCGCGGCCGGTGACTATACCACCGCTGTGCCTACGGACAGTGTGCCTTCGCAGTATGCTTCCAAGGCGTCTATTCTGGTGTATGACTTTAAGAATCGGTCTGCATCTGACTCTGGAGGAAACGCAAAGGCAGAGCTGAGGACATGGCTGGAGGGGATGGTCGCGGCTGGCATAGGGAGTGTGAATGTCGTTGACTATGGTTGGGATGCCTCTGATAGTGGAGATGCACCGGCGAACATTGGCACTGTGGCCAGCTTGCTTGCTCAGGCTACTGGCGGTGGCATGTCCCGATGGGATGGTCTGGGAAGCTCATCAGTCGTGCTGATTATGATGGCTGGCGCTGTGACGCTGTTGGTGACGGCCGTCTTTTGACGATTGAGGTTCCTTCCGTCAAACAATCACAATAGTCCAGCATCCTGTAGGTCCAGCTTTAGTTCTTCAAACATCATAAAGTCTATTTCATGGGGCTCTTCGAAAGAGGAGAAAAACTTAAAGGGGTATCGCGGGTCAGCACCGACGCCTCTTCTCTCCGAATATCTAGGTTCGTCCATCCGCATATGTCTTTGCCCTCCCGAGGTAAAGGCACAGTAAACCAGGCTCGCCAGGTAAATAGATGCTCCTCGGCATGCTCACCGCCCGAACCCGATGCTAGTCGTGAACATCATCATAATAAAAAAAAGAAAAAAAAAGAAAAAAAAAAGGGCTAGCATGCTGTAGTAATCATCAAACCGTCAACCGCCCTCTAATCATGCCAGGAACTCTTCTTCCCTTCCTCGATGCTGTACAGTAACCTGCACTTGTCCTTTTGACACACCTTCTCCCTGCCTAGTCGCTTGAACTTGGGCCCCATCGGCCCCGTGACGTAGTGATACTGTCCAAACAACCGCCACTGCCTCTCGTCGCCCAGACCGTACAGCTCGTCGCCCCAAGGCCCATCGAAGTGGAACCACGACGTCGGTGCGTCGGGGTTTGACGAGGCCGGTACGAGAGATGTGGGCTGCACGACCTCACCGCGCCTATTGAGCTGCACTGTGCGGTTGGTGTGTGCTTCGAGGACGCCCGCACCGAAGGGATAGGGAGTCGACTCGTCGAGGAGGAGTTCCTTGTCTGAGCCGCCACCACGGCCCTCGTCCTCCTCGGGCGGGGGTGGGGAGTCCTCGTAGTCATAGAAGTAGGCATACTTGTTCAGTGAGGGGTCCCAGAGTGGCCCACGGTCGGTAACATCCTTGAGCATTTGGAATGGCAGGACATAGGCGTGAGGACCAGGGAAGGCATACATGGCGTGGCTGCCAACGGCGGAATAGATTACTGGTCGCTCGACGATCTCAGTGGTGCCTTCACCAGTCGCACTGTTGGTTGTAGTGGTGATGTTCATGCGCTTCTTCTCCAGTGCACCCCACGCGTAGGCCTGTCCGCCCTCGTGCTCGCTCAGGAACATGGCGCGCGGCTCACTGTTCTCGAAGCGCACCATACAGTGTTCCCAGTCGCCGACGTGATTGCCGAACCGCATGTCGAGTACAGTCTGGCCGAGGTTATAGCTGTAAAAGAAGAACCAGAAGGCATCCAGTATGCCTGAGCCCTTGTCGACCAAGACCAGAACAGCCGGGGCTGCTGAGTAACCACTGGCGTCTGGTTTGTGACCTGGCGTGGTTGGGGGCGGCGGGAATGGCTTTTGAGAATGGTCACCAGAGAGGACGGCCCGGCGCATATGCTTGGACAGCATCTCGCTGGGCTCAAAGGAGCGCTGCTCACGTGGGTCGGAGATGCGGCGCAGCGGATGGTCTTTGTCCACGTCGAACCACGTGGTTCCCTCTGTATACGGCGCATTTGGTTGCTCAGCATTGTGGTCGCCCGCAGGGTCGATCGTCTCATCGTCGTCCTCGTCAAATGGCTCCGGTCTGCCGACATGGCTGGACAGCCACTCTGGTCGCTGCTCGACGTCTTCCCTGCTCGTCAGGTAGACCATATCAGGTATGGTGCTCAGGTCGTACAGGTTGGCCAGCGACAGAGGCTCTGTGGTGTTGAGTGGCTCCTTATTGACAAACGGGGTCATATGCCGGATATGTTCCGAAATATCCGAGGGCCAAAAGCTCTCCCCCGAGTACAGATGCACCAGAGGCGCATTTCTGAGTACGTATTCGGGCACGTCGTCCAGCGTCTGGCCTCTCTCCTGTACCGGCCTTGCCCTCGTCCCAAGGTCTTCCCAGGAGGCCGAAGACACATCTCTGCGTCCCTGAAGTGACCTCCTCTTCTTGAGCTCTAGTTCGCCGAGCTCGGAGACCGGTATGGCTGGGCCCCTTGGCTTCACAGGGTCGTCCCACCGCATATGATGTATTCCGCACACGCTGAACCACTTGCAGGCCTGTCGGTCGAGCCAGTACGGCGAGGAGTTGACCCAGGCCTTGTCGCGCTTCTGATCTTCCGGGCTGGGCGGGTTTGGGATTAGGATCTTGGGAACGAACCACGTGATAAAGACGAGAGAGGCGATGATGGCGACCGCAACGGTCGCACGTCGGAGGTGGTACATGGCGACTTCGGTGCCTTTTTCCCTCTCTTTCCCCACCCTGGGAGAAGGAGAGCAGGGAAAGTTCAAGAATGGAGAAAAAATAATAATGAAAAAAAAAAAATGATGTTTTGGATGCCCCCAAGAAAAGTGAGTGCTTCTGTGAGTGTATAGATGTTTGCCGGGTGGGGATGTCTTCAGCTGGGCGACAAAGGAAGGGCGTCTTGCGGAGGCCGAGGCATCGCAGTGGAACCGTAGGAAGGAGAAATCAGGACCTAAGAATAAATGCTATGAAAATGATAGACGGCTAGGACATGATGTCTGTCAAAGCATTGTAGTTTTCCAAGAAGGTGAAGGGAACCAAGAGAGTGGGAGAGTAATGCGAGAAGAAGAAGAAGAAGAAGAAGAAGAGGACGAAGGTTGGTCTGTTCGGAAGTTCAGGCGGAAGAGGGCATCATTAGGACCCTGGAAATACTTTGTCTAGGATACTATGTAAATCAGGGACATGCTTAACTGCGCACTGCCACTGCTACTTCCCTACTGTCACGGCCCCTGGGCTCTCACTAGAGATGGCAAAGTCCAAGTGACTCCAGCTTTTGGTGTGACATATGCGGGGGTGCATGTATGCAGTACCCCATGCATCACTATAGCACTATGACACTCCGCAGGCTTACTGACGCAGGCACGTACCCTACTATGGTAGATCCCAAAAACGCGAATGGCGAGGGGCACTAGCATACACGTACTGTGATTTGTATCGAAAATGTTAGTGCTGACCCCATGACAACCCTTAGTAAAGGTACTAAAGTAAGAACATACTACCACTACATCCTACTCCACAGGACTGAGGAACATTCCCCTCCACAGATCGCTGATATGGCACATAGTAGAAGAGCCTTGGTTGCAACCCCTGACAACCACATGCGGCCAGGGAATGTTCAGGGTCCACACGCCGCCTCGTCACAGCCAACGCCTTGCTCCACGAGACCCAAGATGGTATTATCATACGCCGTGCAGTGTAGACAGTTGCAGCAGACCTCCACTTTCTTATCTTGCGACGAGATCATCAGACATGACTCCCAGCAATGAGGGGTTGTTTGGGGTCAGTCATTGAATCAGTCATCTGTAGGGCATGTCAGAAGAAATAGAAAAGGCAAAACAACACGCTTGAACAAACTGCCCAGATGCAGCGAATAAAAAACCAAAAATACAAAACCATGGGGTATCATATCTGACTGACTGCCAAACTCCATCGCCGTGTGAAGAAAGTCCCAAATAAACCAATCACTCCGTCACTCACTCCGAGTCCATGACTGTATCCTCCTCAGCGCCGTGAACATGTCCTTCGACTTCACCACCAGTGTTCTCACCGCCGCCCTCTCCGCTGCCACGACCCAGTTCGTCCCACGTCGTAGGTGTGGGCCTCGACAAGACACTTTCGTCTTCTTCTCTATCGTCCACCTCCTCGCCCCTAATCCTATCGTCACCATTACCACTGCCATTTGCACCCCTGTCCGCAAAGGTCACCACCCGCCTCCTCATCCATCGATTCCCGCCATGCCTCTTCTTCTTGGGTCTTGCCAGCCTCTCCTCCATTAGCCGCTGCTGTCTCTTGCGGTCTCTGGCTCGCTTCTTTTGTAGCGATGCCTCTTCCGGGTCGTCGTCGCGGTCCACCCAGTCTCGCGTCGTGTCCCGGGTCATGGTCGTGGCATCGTCCATCTCGCCTCTGCTTCGCTTGATTGCCATCAGGTTCTCGAGGAACCGCGCCTGCGGCTTGCGCCGCCCATGCTTGTCGAAGGCGATCGGGATTTCGATGCCTGCTTCCTTGCGCAGGTGCTTGTACCGGTCGGGTGCCGGCCGCCGGTTCTGTTGTGCGAGCGCCGCCGCCGCCGCTGCAGCCGTGTCGCCCCGGTTTTTAGGCCGCAGGTCTGCCGGCACCGTGAGAATACGCGCCGAGCATGCCGCCATCAGGTCCACGCCGCCCGCAAGCGACCGCAGGTGAGGCAGGTTACGCTCGACCACCTCATCATGGTCGCCAAACAGGAGCTCCGTACCGATGTTGTGTGCCCAGCTGCCCGAAAAGATGCGCCCCTTGTAGGAGATGATAGGGTTGTCCGAGTGCAGGTCGAGGATCTGGATCTCGCCCACATTCTTGATCCGTGCTGGTCTGTCCGGCTGGTCTCTGCCGAGATGCGGTATTACCGAAGGAGCACGTGACGCTGCTCTTGACGGGGTTCTCTGCGTGTTCCCTGGCGGCGCCCGAGACGGAGCTCGCTGTGCTATGTTCCGCAGCGTAGGATCGATAAGGTTGTCGTCCTTGTCGCGGCCGGCGTCTCGACCCTCGTGTTCGCCCTTGACCCTGTGGCTTCCGCCGCCTCCTCCTCCTTCTCTGGTGTCCTCGTTTACGTCTCCATCCCTGCCCTCAATTTCCTCCTCGTCCTCGTCGTCGTCCTGCGGCGCAAGTTCCCCCTCGTCCTCATTCTCCTCGTCGCCAAACAGCATAGCGTTCGTCTTTGTGGGTCGAAGCTTGGTGTTCTTGTTCGGATCGGCGTAGACGGGGTTGAACCACTGTTTGTAACCGCCTCGATTCTGTGCATGGAAGGAATCCTTGACCTTCTCGAACATGCCCGAATGCGACATGTCTATCGTCAGGTAATAGGTCTGATGGACGCCGTCAGCTTTCTTCCTCTTTCTTCTTTTGTTTTACAATAGTTTTGTGTGTGTCGCCCAAGGGATATGGTGCATTCGTACCTCCGTCTCGGTATTCGAGTACTCATATTCCCACTCATCTTGGTCGTCGCCTGCTTTAGACGACGACGATAATTGCGCGAGCGGGAAGCTGGCGGCGGTCTCAGGCGTTGTGCCTGGCCAGGCAATGGGCGCCTTGGCCGTCCTCACCATTGTCGATGTGGAGAGGGAGCTCTCATGTCAGTTAGAACATGCAATGTTTGGTGCAGCACCCATGGAACAAAAGGCAAGGGTGAAATCTGTTTGTATGGTTGGTTGTTGGAGGAGGAGGAGAGACAAGAACACGGGTGGGCAAAGGCTGGAGAGTTGCATATGAATCGTGAGGTGGGCGGGTGGACCCTGTAGGAAAATCTTAGCTCAGCTCTTAGTGACGGCATCAGTGGTGTGAGCCCCTGTAAATTCTTGCCCATCAGCGCCTGTTACCCCCTGTCAAACTTGACCCCTCCTTGTCAGTCGTCAGTAGTAGCGCCATGCAGGCTGCCCCTCGCTGCCCCTCCATTTGAACGTTTTTGGAGATTCAAATTCGATGCTTGGGTGTTTGACTCACTCACCAACCTTTTTTTCACCCATGATCTCCCACGCCCCAACTTCACACTCATGATTATCCTCGATACGAAGTTGAGACCGTCTGAGGCAGATACAGAATACTCAAGATGCCTACCGTCTATTTATTAGACTATGTTGCCGGAAATGTGAGGAGTTTGGTCAACGCCATTGAAAAGGTCGGATATGAAGTCGCTTGGGTGAAGACGCCAGAAGAGGTCGCCAATGCTGAGGTGAGTAACTCGCATTCATGCAATGCATGCTACTCTGGTCCAATCTTTTTGTTTCACTAAACTAATCTTCCATTGCGCCCATAGAAACTCATCCTGCCTGGCGTAGGCCACTTTGGCCACTGCCTCACCCAACTTTCCTCTGCCGGTTTCCTGCCTGCCATCAAGGCTCACGTAGAGGCTGGCAAGCCATTCATGGGAATCTGTGTCGGTCTGCAAGCCCTGTTTGAAGGGTCCTCTGAGAATCCAAACTGTCCTGGCCTGGGTCTCATCCCCAGCCGCTTGGGCCGCTTTGACAACGCCGTCAAAGCCGTTCCTCACATCGGCTGGAACGACGCACTCGTCGCTGGCGGTGCATCACTATACGACCTCCGCCCTGGGAGCAAGTACTACTACGTCCACAGCTACCGGTGTACATACGAGCCTGGCGTGCTGGAGGGCCAAGGGTGGTCCGTCGCCACGGCTGGCTACGGCAACGAGATCTTTGTCGGAGCTGTGGCCAGGGGGAACGTGCTGGCCACGCAGTTCCACCCGGAGAAGAGTGGTGTCGCAGGCCTGCGGGTGATCAGGGCATTCCTAACTGGTGACGGTGCCAGGACTCTCGGTCAATCCCTGCCTGCGCCGCCACCGGCCACGACCACGACCACGACCAGCACCACCACCACTGCATCGATAGCACCGCCTGGCAACAAGGATGTGGTGCCCCCACCACAAGGGCTCACCCGCCGTGTGATAGCCTGCCTTGACGTGCGCACCAACGACGCCGGCGACCTGGTGGTGACCAAGGGCGACCAGTACGACGTGCGCGAGAAGTCAGACGGGCGGGGCGTGCGCAACCTGGGCAAGCCCGTTGAGATGGCTAGGCGGTACTACGAGCAGGGCGCAGATGAGGTGACCTTTCTAAACATCACCTCGTTCCGAGACCTGCCGCTCCGTGACCTCCCCATGCTCGAGATCCTCCGCCAGACCTCGCAGACCGTCTTTGTCCCGCTGACCATCGGCGGCGGTATCCGCGACACCGTCGACACAGACGGCACCAAGGTGTCCGCCCTCGAGATCGCCAGCATGTACTTCCGCAGCGGCGCAGACAAGGTCAGCATCGGCAGCGACGCCGTCACCGCCGCAGAGGAATACTACGCCGCCGGCGAGACCCTGTCGGGCAAGACAGCCATCGAGCAGATCTCGTCCGCGTACGGGAACCAGGCCGTCGTCGTCTCCGTCGACCCAAAGCGTGTCTACGTCGCCGGGCCCGACGCCACCCCGCACAGCACGGTCAAGACGAGCCAGCCGGGCCCCGGGGGCGAGGAGCACGTGTGGTACGCCTGCACCATCAAGGGCGGCCGGGAGACGCGCGACCTCGACGTCGTGCAGCTGTGCCGGGCCGTCGAGGCCATGGGCTGCGGCGAGATTCTGCTCAACTGCATCGACCGCGACGGCACCAACAGTGGCTTCGACCTCGAGCTGATCCGCCAGGTGAAGAGTGCCATCAGGATCCCCGTCATCTCGAGCAGCGGCGCGGGCAACCCGGGCCATTTCCAGGAGGTCTTTGACGAGACCACCACGGATGCCGCGCTCGGGGCTGGCATGTTCCACAGGGGTGAGTACACCGTGAGACAGGTCAAGGAGTTCTTGGGCGGCAACGGCCTGGCGGTAAGGGGTTTTGAGGGAGATTTGTGATTTACTTTCATGCATGTATCGAAGATTATCAGTTCATCAAGCTCCTTTTGTGATTTACTGGGTTCAAGGGGACCAGAAAAAAGGGGGGCGTAGCAAGGCGGCTTCACATAGACAGCCTGGGGCATACACAAATATTGGTAGACAAAAGATTATATAGAATTGCATAAAGATACCGTGCATGAATGTTAGCTAATTCTTGCAACCTGTTCAGCTAACCCATGAACAAAAAAAGCCAGTTGAAGTATGAATAGGTGTGACGCTATTACGCTCCCAGAACTCCTGAGTGGTACTGTGTCTCCCCTTCTCTTCTTCTTTTTTTCCTGTTGCTTTTTATTTGCTTTTGCTATTCCTCCCAGCAGAGAAAAAGACCGTGGAATTTTTTGAAGGTTGTGTCGACAAAACAGTGGCAGACGAAACCGGGCAAGTGCTGTGCGTACAACCAAACAAGACCAAATAGAGGAATCAAGTAAAAGAAACCACACAGGCATGGACAGGAAAGATTGCTCGCCTTAATCCTACACCTCCATACCCATGAAAAGCCACCTGCTACTGGTGACATCCCGGATCTCGGCCCACCGGTCGAGAGTGTCCATCTCGAAGCCGGCCCACGCCAGGCCCTTGGTCAGAGATTGCATCTCATCGGCCTCGATGGACCGATCAATGCAGATGACCAGCCTGGAGCAGCCGAGAGGGGTCTCAGCCAGCTCGATCAGGGCGACTAGGGCCTTCTTCAAGTCGCGACCGACCACACCCGCGTCGAAGAAAGTGAATAGGGACTTTTCGCCGGTGGTCAGGTCCTCGGCTACGAAGGCGAGGAAGCTAGCACCGCCCTGGTAGTCCCAAATTTCCATCCACGACGTCGCCTCAATGCCGGTGCCGGTACACGGCCCGTAGAGACTTGTCCTCTCGTTGTCGTCGGAGCAAGAAGAGTCGCAAGGCAGGGTCATGCACTGATGGACGTCGGAGCGGTGGTCGTCGCAGGTATAAGAACCGAAGTAGCCAGAGTCGACAGAAGCAACACTCCTCCCAGTGTCGGATGACTGGCTACGATCTCGACTCGATGATTGATGTTGATGATGATGTTGATAAACACCCGTCAGGCCGGAGCCATGAGTGGCCGCGTTCTCCTCACCGTGGAAAACGACCTTCATGGTCTCGCAAAAGAATCTCTCACATTCTTCCCTGATGCGAAGTGTTGCCCCCCCTCGACGGGTACGAGCATTGCCGGAGCCGTTGGCGTTTGTGTGATTGCGCTTGGGCTTGGGCTTGATGGCGAGCTCGTTGTCGGAGGTGAATGCCGCGAGGGGGGGACTGGACGGAGGGGATGGTAGTCCTGAGATAGGGACCTCAGGAATACCACTCGGCCCCTATCGAGAGAAACTTATGTCAGTTATGGTCTTGGAGAGCAGTAGGGCTCCGGGGGGGGGGGGGGGTTGTTCTTTTCCTTACCTGCAGCCAGGGTAGTGCAGTAGTGGAGGCCCTTCAGAGAGCCGGCGACATCGACGACGTAGCAGCTGGCGAGCACATTGGCCTGACGGGCAACGTCCTCGCCATAATTACTACTGGATGAATTGGAATTTAAGTTTTTCATGGGCGCCATTTCGTCTTGCCACCTTGGGGGATTTGTCGTCTACGGTGGGGAGAAGAAGATCGGACTGGTTGGAGGTTGAAAATCGAGGTCAAGTCGATTGGGCACAAATGCTAGGTAGAGGTAAAGTAGGTGTGTGTAGGTAGTGTACTTTGTTGAGGTTGGCAGGCTGGAGGCTGTAGGTCGGATGGTTGACAGACAGGAGTTGTTGTGTTGACTGACGAGGAATCAATTTCAGAGTGTGGCTGAGACAAGAGGCGAGAAGAGTAGAAATGGAACGACGAACGGATGAGGAACGGGGGTGGGGAGGTTGGGAGAATGGCAAATGTACCGGAGTACTGAATGGTTGCAAAGTGACTCGCCGCCAAGGTTGCAAGGTTGGACCGTGTAGCGCTGTCCTGTTCTGCGGGTCTCTGGGAAATTTCGACGCTTCGCTTCCAGAGTGCCCTGCAGTTGTGCACGTGGTGTGTAATGGAGTCCGTATTTGTGTATGCACCCGGGTTATAGCGGCAGTGCCAGGGTTTTAGTGCCCCTGCCAGCGCTATCGTCGCTTCACTCTCCCCATGCTTCCTCCCCATCCGGAAAAGAAGCCGCTGAACCAAGTGCCAACCACAAGCTCCACATCACAGAAGGTGCTGGATGAAGTTTGGACCCTGCATATTTCTAGAACAACTTCGTTCGACAATTTATTCGTGCTACCCTACCTACTCCTCTTGCTGTTGCTACTCTAATTGTCTCAGTTGATTAATCTGCATCAGCTCTCTTCTCCTTCTTTTCCTTCTCCTTCTCCTCATTCCTCCCCGCCTTCTCTTTCCTTCTCCAGTGGGGTTTGCGGAGGGAATCATTACAAGCCTGGCAAGCTTGGGTGGTGAGGTGGGTGGAAATAGGCGGCTTGGAGATTTGAGAATCTCCAAAGCAGACGTGTCCGACTCTAAATGGCTTCATTACACCATGTCGTTGTCAATCCGCTTCAATTTCTGTAGCAGATGTCGATCGATGACCAAACGCAGTAATGCCTGCGTCTGCATCTGCGCGGACAACACGTACTTACATGAACCACCTGATTGTACATGCATATTCTCCAACAATATGTGCGCTGGCAGGAATCTGCACTTGTGGAATTGTTGTCCATATCTAAGGAAAAGTCCCAACAAACCCTTCTGACGCACAGTCTGGTCTTGACGGGCAGTACCTAGTCAGATCATGCAAACTCCAGGCCTGCCTCCAGCTGTTGAACGTTGTGAAGCTTCATGGTGATGCAGGAGACCGACGGCAGATGCCTCATAACATATCTCTCAGCCTCCAAGGCTTGTACAAGTGGCGATTCATCTGTGGTGGGCTGTCATACCGTCTGTGGTGGCGCTCAACACAGGCCGGAACTGGTGATTCGACGGCTTCTTCTGGCCGCTCAGACTGGCCAGCACAACACATTGGATCAACAACACGTTGAGCGATGCGAGGACATACACAGTACATGATAAGCAAACTCTTCGCCATAAATGTCTCTGTCTCTTTTCGAGTTGCTTCAAGAAGAAAGAGAGGGAGAGTGGGAGAAAGACGTAGAGATCCGGGGCCCGGGGACAAGACACAGTGCCGCGTTTGACCCCCGACACCCGGCCGGTTGATCCGGAATGCGGATTACAGATTACCAATCGAGAGGAGCGCCCTCTCTAAACCAACAAGGGCCCTTCTCTTGCTCGTCACCGACTTCGTTGGCTGGAACCAATAAAGCTCTTCAATCCACCATTCTATTGCCTCGCCAAGGGGCAGTGCAGTTCCCATCCTGTATTATTTTGTTATTCATTGTAACATGTTCTGTACAATTCTTTTCCCTTGCGCCCTAGAACCCATGTCGCCTTCCGATCAACGAGACGCTGGACATATACAAATACACACAGACACACAGCGCAAGAGAGAGGTGGGGATCTTGGCCACGGTAAAGGACACTTTGATAATCAAAACCACTAGGTCAACGAAATGGCCAAGGAAGAGCAACTAAATACCAGCAGTCTCCCGAGACCTGGCAGCCATTTGACGAACAACTATACACCAAGCGAAGGTTCCACCGTGGCCGTTGCCTCTGAAGACTCACCGCTGCTGGGATCAAGGTCGACATCTCCAACTCTCCGCGATGTCTCACCAGGTGAATTCCATCGCTCACGTACTGGTGGTGCGGTTGGGGCTGGGACCGACGATGACGATGCAGTTCAGCATCACGTCACCCCGATAAGGGCTGTGTGCATCTGTCTCAGCATATGGATCCTCATGTTCATGCAGGCGTGTAACAGTGAGTCTCTCATGCATTGTACCCTCTAGTTGCAGATTTCTTGGTTTGGTAACATGCTCGCTGACCTGATGTAACATTTTGCAGTGTCTGGGATGACAATGGTCCAGGGCAACATTGCAGATGACCTCGAGGCTTACGACGGCGCGATGTGGTTCACTTCCGTCTACCTGATCGTCATGGCCTCGACCTCACCCCTGGCGAGTCGGCTGGCGACCATCTTCTCCCTGCGCCATATGATCTTGGCCACGGCATGTCTCTTCGCACTTGGCGCCATCGTCACATCTCGTGCCGAATCGTTTGCGATATTCCTGCTTGGGAGGACTCTGACTGGCATGGCTGGAGGCTGCATCATGACCCTGTCCCTCATCCTGGTCCTCCAGCTCACATCGAGGAGACGTAGGGGCTTATTTGTTGGCATGGTCAACGCTGGGTTCACAGTTGGCATCTCTGCAGGTGCTGTAGTGTTCGGTGCACTGCTGCCAGTACTCGGCTGGCGGGAGTTGTTCCTCGTACAGGCACCCGTTTCTCTGCTGGCTGGCTTTGGCGTCTATCTCAGCATTCCTGCGTCGACATCAGATGGCCTCTCTAAGGACAAGAGCACCCTGCAGAAGCTCAAGACCATCGACTACGGCGGGGCTCTTTGCCTGACAGCGACCATCGTGCTCTTCCTCTACGGCCTGTCTGGCACGATCCAACCCCTCCCGATGATACTGTCTATCCTGACGCTGGCTTTGTTTGTGTTCAACGAGTACAAGTTGGTGACCGACCCTCTCATCCCACTGAGCATCCTTCGGTCCCGGGGAGTGCTGCTCTCCTGCCTGGCCCAGCTGGGCCTCATGAGCGCACGCTGGACGGTGCTCTACTACGCGCCTATCTTCGTCCTCGCCGTCCGAGGTCTCCCCCCCACGATTGCAGGATCGGTCCTCATCCCAACCAATGTCGGTTTTGGTCTCGGCGGCCTTCTTGTCGGCTGGCTGCATGTGCGGCGCGCCGGTTCTTTCTATATACCTTGTCTCGTCTCCATCTTCCTGTTTGGCCTGGCCATCTTTGGCCTGTCGCTGCTGAGCAATGCCGTCTCGCCAGCATGGGCGTACGTGCTGGTCGTGTTCTGTAACGGTTTCTGCACGGGCGCTGCCCTGAATTATACTCTAGCACACATCCTGCACGTCTCGGCGCCTGGTACCCATTACATATCCACCGGCCTGCTGGCGACATTCCGTGGCTTTGCCGGCAGCTTTGGAACTTCGATCGGGGGCGGTGTGTTCACGAGGAAACTGAGAGAACAGCTGACCATCGGATACGCAAGGCTCGACGCCACAGACGGTCTCTCGCCGGCCCGCCTGCGATTCGTGACTCGGCTTGTGGGAAGCCCGAACTTCGTCTTCAGTGGTGCCCTTAGCGACGCAGAGCGGGACATTGCCATTCATGGGTATGAGGCGGCGCTGAAGGTGATGTACACATCTGCAGCCGTCTTGATCATCTTTGTCCTTGTGATCCAAGCCGGCACGGGGTGGACGGAGCTGGCGGACCAGGAAGACGAGGAGGAGATTCAGGAGGAGTTTGCCGAACACGACGGACGCATGGAGGCGTAGGTCACGTTTGCAATGTACTCTATGTTGGCGTATGTACGAATTTACTCTACGAAGGTATTGCTTTACAGATATGACTATTCGAGAATAGTTGGGTGGTTCAGAGAAAAGAAAAATAACATCATGTATAGAACATAACAGGTAGAGAAGTCACTTTACCGATCTTTCACAGGACATATAGACACCCACCCGTACTCAGTTGCGAGACACGCTTGATAGCAAAAACATAAGCACACTTACACACTCACACACAAACATATGGACCCATATGCCTTGCAGGTCTCTCTGTCTCTCTCTCTCCCTCTCACAAACACACATATTGTACAGTATAAAAATGTTGCTGAGTGCAGATGACATAATTAGTGTCACGCCCCGTTGCTGTATGTACTGTAACGGAAGAAGGCGCGTCCCTGAACAAGACTTAGTCAGCAGGTGCCTCACAGCTGCAGCTACACTAGCTGCGGGTAGCACATGCCAGAGATCCATGTCAAAAGTACCAATGTACACTTCCAGGTATCAACGAATTACCACATGGTCACTGTTTTTCGTCGTCTCTTCCTCTCTTTCCCTTGATTCAACATCTTACGCCAGCACACCGCAACCAGTCCACCACGACGACAATTCCTCAGGCTCTCCTCTCTCTCTCTCTCTCTCTCTCTCTCTCTCTCTCTCTCTCTCTCTCTCTCTCTCTCTCTCTCTCTCTCTCTCTCTCTCTCCCCCTCCCCGTCCCTGCCTGACTTTTTCTCTGGCCTGAGAGGGTTGGGTGTGTACATTCTTGCCAATGTAGTAGGGTTTCCTCCCGCCTAGACCTCTTGATAAGATGTCGCAGTGGCTCTCGTTGATGGGTTGGACCATCCTTCCTGATGTAAGTCGCGTATCCTTCCTTCTTACTAGGCCAAAGAGAGCCTCTTGCTTTTGCCTTGGTGTTCTGATATAAGCTTCACCACCTCTAGATGGCCACCCGCTTCCTCCAGAATCTCTACTACAATGTCACCATCCGCGCCGGCTCCCCTCGTCCACAACCAGGCCAGCAACGCTGGGCCGAGCACTACAGGCGCACCTACATCGTCGTCATCTGCGCGTATCTGCTCTTCACCATCTACGAGGCCGACTGGGAGCTCCAGCGGCCCGCCAACAGGGACTTCTACTCGGTTTTGGGCGTACCTCCGGATGCCGGCCTGAAGGATATCAAGAGGCGCTACCGCCAGCTCTCGGCGGCCATGCACCCAGACAAGGCGTCGCTGGGTCCTACAGCCTTTGACGCTGACCTGTACGTGCGGGTACAGCTCGCCCACGAGACCCTCTCCGATGAGGTCAAGCGTTTTGCTTACGACCGCTTTGGGCCGGACATGACGGGCTGGACGAGGTGCACCGTGGTGCGCGACTACGTGATGACGGGGGCGACCGGGCTGGTGGGATACTATGGCGTGGGTGCCGTGTTTCTGTACGTCCTCCCCATGCTGGGCTATTTCAGCGACGGGGTCTATTGGCGGTACCTCGCCTTCGCGGCCCTGCTCACCTTTGAGGTGCGTACCATCACCAGCCCGAACCATCCTTGGCTCCTCGAGGGCCTGGTCAATCCTTTCCTGGTCCGGATCGTCAACCCTGTCGTGTCCTTCTGGAGCCCAGGTGCCGCCCACCCGCCATACCTGCCCTTTCAGGCCGTCGCCATGGCTCGCAAGCTCAGCGTCACACTGTCCATCGCGCTGAACCAGATCCTGCCCCGCCTGACGGCCGACACGCGGGGCGGGCGCCTGCAGCTGAGGAAGAGCAGGGGGGACGACGAGCTCTCCAGTGCGAGGCAGAGCCTGGACGAGCTTGACAAGGCGGTCGTAGCGGCGAACGAGGAGGCGGAACGCTTAGTGAAGACGGAGGCGGCGCCGTTCATGGGCGACCCACAGCTTTGGATGACGCTGCGCGATAAAATCAAGAGGTGGCTGGTTGACAACACGGTGCGAAACGACCCATTGACGAAGGCAGCCATCCACGAGAGGATCAAGAGACGGAGACAGGACGCACCCGCCGGCGCGCAGGGAAACGGCATGAGAATGAGGCAGAAACCGGCTGGGATGGCGAACGGCAATGCCTCGGCTCGGTAGAGTCGTGCTCTTCATCTTTTGCACCTTCTTCTCTTACTGTAATAAGGGCAGTAGTAGCTGCTGCTACATTAGTAGTAAGTAGATGCCAGAGCATGGGGAGCAATCTCAGCCCACCCCAACCCAGCCTTGTCTTCTCTTTTTTCTCCCATTGTGTATATACATATATATATGCCTCAAAGATTGTGGCCCATGCTATGCTGCCCTTGTGTACCATGCATGCACAACTGTACACGCTGATAAACTGCCATACCATTTACAATTACAGCCTCTGTCGGCCTCTCGTCTCGATAGGAATCAGGACCATACCCACAAACGCCGCGAAGATCAGTGCCGCGGCCAGGTAGATGGGCGTCGTGGTGCCGTCACCAGGGATGCTGGCCGCGAGCATGGGCGCGATGAGGCCTGTGATTCTGTTGAGAAAGCTCGCCACGCCGGTTCCTGCGCCTCGTACGGGGGCAGGGCTGTTACCATTTCAATAACACACCATATATAGTCAGCCCCCGCCGCCTTGGTCGGTCATTCAGGGAACAATAGAAGGAAGAAGGATAGGAGGAAAGGAGAAAAGGAAGGAAGAGAAACACTCACAAGATCTCTGGAGTAAATGCATATAGCACTCCATACATGATGTTCTGGCTAAACGCCTCGACACATGAAAAGACCAGCTGGGATGTTCCCGTCTTGCCGTAGCTGACGAATAGAAGCAGGAATCCCGCCGAGATCAAGGTCGAGAGGGCGAGCGTGCCCTTGCGGCCTAGGAATGGGGATGGGCTGTCTACTGCAAAGTAGGCCAGTACGCTGCCTGGTACGCCAACGACGCTCAGAATGGCGTAGTCACGGTAGGTCTCGGGTGAGATCTCTACTGCTGCTGGGTTTGTAGTAGCTGTAGCCTCTTTTGTGGAGGAAGAGGAGGATGTGTCTCCTTGGTGGTGAGAGAGGTACTGTGGGAGAAAAGCGTTGAACAGAGGGTATCCCATGCCGATCGTTGCCCAGCAGAACCAGACGAGGATGGTCGCGAGGCCTAACCTGCGGCTACTGAACAAGGGACGGAGGCGCGCGGCAGAAAACCCCTCGAGACGGGCCTTGAGCACGCCCCTGGCTGATCCTGAGGAGGACGATGATGACAGGCCTCGATAACCGTTGGCACCTGGCCCAGCAGACACCGTCTCATCGTCACCATTGTTGTTGTCGTCGTCGTCGTCCAGCACCACAGCATCGAGGATATCCTCCGTCAGCCAAGTCTTGGCCCTGTTCCTGTACGCAAGACCATGGACCACAGCAACAGCCTCAGGCTGGCGGCCGCGCGACAAGAGGTACTTGGGGCTCTCGAGCAGGCGAAAGACGAAAAATCGGAGGGCAAACATGGTCAAGGTAATGAGGCCGATGGACAGGACGAAGCGGCGCCAGCCCTGGTCGGCAGGCCAGCTGCCGATGAAAAACCAGGCCAGGATGGAGCTGGCGAGCTGGCCGACGGGCCACCAGACGCTGAGCAGGGTGAGCAGGCTGCTTGAGGCGTCCGGGAGAAACTCGAGAAAGAGGGCGCCGTCGACGGGGAGGTTGCCGCCGACGCCGAAACCGAGGAGGGACAGGAGGAAACACACGGCGGGCCAGGAGGGGGCGAGGGACACGAGGAGGCCGAAGACGGCGGTGATGAGGAGGGTGGCGTTGAAGGCGATGCGGCGGCCCAGGATGTCAGACCCGAGGCCCCAGGTGAAGGCGCCCAGGCAGAGGCCGAGATAAACCCATGATGTTGTGTAGCGGACCTGCTTCTCGGAGACGGAGAACTCGGCCGAGAGGGAGGGGAGGATGAGAGAGACGCCCTGGAGGGTGAGGGGTGTTTGGTCAGTGGTTGATGAGGATGAGGAAGAGGAAACGAGGGAAAGAGGAGGAAAAGGAGGAAGGAGGGCCCATTTTGGAAGACCTGTTCTCCCATCCCCCCTCTGCATCTTTTACTTACTTGCATCCAGAGGCTGAGGCACGTTCTGGTTAGCCCAAAGTACAAATGAAAAAGATGAAAAACAGCCGTCAAGAAGGAAGACAAAAGGCATACTTGTCTGCAAACCATCCAAATCCACACAATACAAACAGCTGCCAGTTATATCTCCCCATCCCGATATCCTGAACAGCCTTGTTGATGATCATCGACTTCACTACTCAAACACGTCAGTAGTTTAATTCATACGTACAGACTCTGAGTTCCAAGAAACATCTGAACCAAAGGGACAGCTGAAATGGACTGCACAACAGCAGACTTACTCTCATATGCTGACCTTATTCCCCCTCCCGTCCGCTTCATTTCCCTCCTCACTTCCCTCCTCAAACCCTCGATGCTATACTCTGCCGCGCTCATCTCCAGCATAGCTGCACCCTCATCCCGTCTTCCTCCTCCTCTTCCTCTTCCAACACCACTACCAGCACTACCAACACGCCTGTCCTTAGCATCCTCCTCCTCCTCCTCGTCATCACCCCCCTCGACTTCCTCACGGCCCGCCACCTCCTCGTACTCTACCTGCCCGCACCTCGCAGAGTGGCTGTGCAGATGGGCCCGGTCGAGAGGGATCAGCACGCCTGTGTAGTCGGCCGTCGACTCGGGTCTTGACATGCGCCATCTCCATGCTGTGATCCGGCCAGACATGACCTCCTTGCTCTTTTCGCTGAGCAAGAAATTTACAGATAGGGGAAGAAAAGACAGGCAAAAACAAAACGAAATAACAAGATCAACCCCTCCCCTCAGTCGTCTTTCGTTTCTCTGTCTCTCTCTCTCTCTCCCTCTCTGCCCTTCTTTTCTGTGGCGCCTGCTGCTGGTGTCGTTATTTCGAGGGCGAGCGATAATTCGAAAGGTTCTTGTCTGGCCTGGTCTGATCTGAAGACCCAAGAAAAGACAAGAGAGGCGTTCAAACACGAAGGATGACGAGGAGGGTGATGAGACGACAACGATGGCAGCGAACACGACGTAAGACCAGATGGACCAGATGGACCAGAGATGTTGAAGATGTAAGTGAAATTAACAGAACCCCATCCTCTTCTCAAACCACGCGCACACGGTTAGATCAATGTATCAAAAGGAGAAGACGAAGAAGATGAAGAAAGACGAGGACGCAGGGTTGCGTTATGAGTACCTGGATGCAGTGAGACACAGTGGTTTACAGCTCTCGGCTTGTCTTGCTCGGCTGGTCCGGCGTCTTGGGGGGGGGGGGGTGCCGTTCCCGTGCTGCAGAAGGGGAGTGAGTGAGAGTAGCCCCTGTAAGCTACCGCCGTCGGATGTCGGGGTACAAAACTATGGTACTAATCATTTTACCTTCCACCCCTGTTCTGGTGGCACTCTGTGCTCTGCTGCTGCTACTTTTGGCTGACAAAGAAAGAATATATACCAAAGTAATTATAAACTTGTAGCCAGTTTCTGATGGAGAGGGATAAGAAGTCGGACACAATTATTCGACATTCCTTTTCCTTCTTCTTTTCGTACTGCATATGAGAGATCAAGATAACATAGAGAGAAAACAAATGCTGCGCAGTTCTGTCGCACACATGCACAGTGACACATGTGCATGTGCCCAAAGCATGTGGCCTTCACCAGGTTTGGAGTATCAGGTCACTTTCATTCTTTTGGACCGACATACTTTTTGGTGTGTCATTAAGCAACTTCTGTATGCCCACTGCAGGTGGTCTCAGCTTGTGACCAGCCATATCGTCTCATCGCAGGTGACTGACTGACCGATTGACGGACTGCTTTTGGAATACATGAAGGGGAAAGTGTGCGTGCTCGCTTGTGTGGATCCAAACTCCAATCTTGCATGTCAGTCAGTGCAAATCAATCTGAATCAAGATGTCGATTCATCAGCCCCTTGTAAGCCCTTATTAGTTAGGGAAAAGTATGGGGAATGCATGAGCTGTCCTCATCAATCCCCTTTGATCCTGCCTGTCTGGTGACGCCAAAGCATGCCTCCTTCAAAAACATCCCCCCCCCCCGGAAACGCCCAAGACTACATTTGTAATTTAGGTACTGAGTAGTCACCCGTGAAGAAACCACCTTGAATCCGCTTCTGTAGATCCCCTCCCCAAGACCGTTAAAGGGTTTGTGTAAGCAAGAAAAGAAGAAGAAAACCATCCTTGAATGCCTGCGATATTCCTTCCAGCCTGATTTCCATTGATGATCCTGACCATGCTCTGTAGTGCGGTCCAGCCCTCCCTCCAAACGAGATTGCAAAGAGGGCCAAAACCCACGGCACCGTAACCAAACACAAAACGCCGATATCCAGTTCCGCAATGCTCAGGCATTTCCATCATCATTTCATGATCCCATGATTCCCGCCAGATGTATTTTTTGTTTTGTATCTTCCTCTCCCCTTCCTCTTTGGTCTCTATTCTCTGGTCACAATTCGTGAGACTCATTCGCTAGAGAAGGACCGCCTCACCATCGTCCTCCACGTCCTCCTCGTCGCTAAGCTCCACGTCAGCCGCCATGGCTTCGGCGCGACGCTGGACCTCCGCGAGGCCCGACAACTCCGCAACATAATCCTTGTCCTCGAGGGCTTTCCGGAGGAACGCATAGCCGTCCTTCTTGTAGGCGTCGACGATGGTCTTGCTGCATGCGCTGCAGTTGGGATACGACTCGCCGCGGATGATCATGTTCTGGAAGGTGGAGAGGAACCCACGAATCTGGTGGGGGACGAGGCCAAGTGCATGGTTGGGCGGGTCGCGCTCATACGAAACGGTGTCGCCGCCGCTGGGGACAGGAGCCTTGGCGTGGTGGCCGTCGGGATGTTGCAAGATGCTCGCCAGCAGCTCGACAAGGAGTGCTGACGCGATCGCTGCGCCGCCAGGACGGGTGACCGTGCATTGCTGGTCGAGGGTGAGATCTTTCTGGGACTGTAGCAAGAATTTGTGTCAGCAAAAAAGAGGAGGTTGTTTGGTATTCGTTGTAAGACAATGATGATTGAATACATATGCTGCGCGGCGGAACTTACATCAGTAGCCACAACTACATCGTTGCAGAAGTAGCACCCTAGAGTCTTCTCACTGCCATCCTTGGGCGCGGCACCATGTCGCATCACGACGTACGTGTCAAAGCCCAGCGCAGCATTCATGACGATCTTGCCCGCAGCCTTGCCCATTACTGTTGGCAGCCACCGTGACTCACGACTGTCCATCAGCAAAAAGATGACGTCGTGGGACTCGACGAGCTGTCGGAGCTTGGTGAAGTCGGCCTTGGTCCTGGCCTCGTCCGCAATAGGATGTCCCAGCATGGGAACCGAGAGCACATGGCCCTCGCTTTCCACACTGGGGTTGATCTCCCGTAACGCCTCGGCCGCCTTGGTCGCCTTGGGAGCGCCTCCATTGAGGGCGTCGTTGAAGTCGAAGAGGGGCTGCCGCACAGGGTTCGAGAACGAGACGGAGCCGTTGTCGACAAAGGTGATCTTGCGAACGCCCCAGCCCATGAGGTTGCGCGACACGTAGCTGCCCAGGGTGCCCGCGCCCAAAAGCAGACACGAGGTATTCCTGATGGTGTCTAGGTCCAGGCCGGGAGATATCCGCCACTTCATAAGCTTGAGATTCAGGTCCACGGCCTGGTCCGCCAGCTTTTTGGGGTCCATATAGTCGCCGAGGCTCGCCTGGCGCGCCTGCAGCTTTCCGATCGCGTTCCGCTCCCAGCCCGTGACCTTGGGCATCGTGCTCGTCTCCATCTCCGGCACGCTGTCCATAGCAAGTGGCAGGATGATGCTGCGAGCCTCGTGGCGCCGAGCCTGGGTGTCGCGGAAACAGAGGATGTTGACCTTGCTCAGGTGGAAGCGCTGGCGGACAAGGACTAGCAGGTTGCGCAGGGGCCAGGAGGGGTGCTCGGCATAATTGGAAGGGTCAACGAAAGAGACGAAGCGGTCCTCCTCGGGGACGCCATCGAAGAAGCCGTTCTCGAACTCTCGTAGGGAGGCGATGACCCACCTGAATCCGAGCTCCTCGGCGGCAGAGTCGAACGAGTTCTTAGACCGTGTGTCCTCGCCGCCGCGGACTTTTTTGGCCAGGAAGAAGCCATATTCCCTGTTGTCGACGCTGTAGCGCCAGGTCCCCACCTGATCGACCAGCGCGGTGCTCTCGGCGGACGTGAGCCTGCCTATGTCCGCGGTGCGCTTCCACTGGGGGTCCGAATGCAGGGCGGGGAAGGCGAACCAGTACGTGAAGCGGTATTTCTTTAGGTCGGCAAACGACAGGATAGTGTGGGAAGCGAGGAGGGAGGGGACGGAGTAGATGGTGCCGTCCTTGATCGCGTCCCAGATCTGCCGGCCGGCGGTCTGGAGCATGGCAGCCTTGTCGGTCTGCTTGAAGTCTTCGATCGTGTTCACGTTCTTGATGGTACCGTCCGCGCGACATTGGTTGAGACCGACCCTGTCGCAACATCTTGGTGTTAGGAAATCCTGTAGAAGCAGACGAAAGCTCTCCTTTCTTTCTACCTGCATGCCGAGAGAAAGACAGCAGACAACTGCATCCGTGAGCGACTTACGAGTTATTGGTAAGCGAGTTACCGAGGATCTGCATACGAGTGCTCTCGTCGGGGGTTGCAGCCGGGTTGGACTCATAAGTGCCGAGGACGAAGCGCGCAGAGTCGTCGAGCTTGGCGTGGTCAAGCTTGGACGAGAAGAGTGCCGAGTAAAACGGCAGCTCTATCTGCGACGAAAACGCCGCGAATTTAAGCTCTGCCATGGTGGTGCTGGTGTCGCGATCGGTGCCTGTCACAGGCTCTTTGAGGTTGCACAGCTGGGGTTTCTCTCCAGTTTGGATGGTACTTGTTCGTTTTCTTCTCCTCTCGTTTGGAGCCGCACTTTCCACTCTTGTATGAAGGGGGAAATAAGGAAAATATCAGAAGATCACAAAATCAAGGAGAGGATGAAGGAGGAGGAGTCAAGAGAAGGCGTCGTGAGGTTGTCAGGTGGCTGATGTCGGTCGCAAGGTGAGGGGGACCCTGAGCAAACAAGCCCCACTACACCTTGGGCAGGAGGGGTGTGGGACGAGGGGCAGTGGATGATGCAATGAGCAATGAGTGTGCAACGTACTGTACGCCCAGAAAGAGAGGCAATGGTGGACAACGTCACCAACCTTGAGGAGAAGAGGGGTGAAGAAGAAGAGGATGAGGGGAAAAATGGTCTCAGGGTCGAGTCATCAGTTCATCAGTGCACAATGATACTGGTCACGAGGAGGAAATAATTAGAGTGCAGGCAGCGAAGCAGGTAAGTTGGTGAGCTGCTTGGTGATGGGTGTCGAAGAAGAAAGAAGCTCCGAGGTGGTCCAGCAAACAGGTCACAGGGATGTTCTGGGGAGTGGGGGTCCATGAGGGGTTGGAGCGGCAAGGTACATAGCACTGTGGTTGCAGGCACATACCCCTGTGACTTGGTGGAAGAGGTGCTGTAATACTATGGTACGTACGGTGTCACGTTGAATGCTTAGAGGCTAGAAGGATTGACAGCAAGGAAGCTCCCGCACCGTCTCCTTTCTTAGGGCTGCAGCACCTGTACCAACAGGACCCCTGCTCCAACCCCCAAGAACGCGTGAAGCGCGTATCCTACAGCAGCGCGCCTCTAGACTTTCTAGCTTGTGAACCTCTCTGTATTTCATTGAGTTGCCTCAAGGGTTTCTCCTGTTAATGAGCCATTCCCCCACACGAAACCTAACCCACTGCACACACAAGTCAGACACAAATTGTCTCACCCCAACCAACAAGATGCTTATTGGAATTTGTGGCAGTGAGTGTTGAGCAGTCTTTTCTCTTTCCTCCACATACACAAGTTCCTAATCAGCTCCTCTTAGGCATATGTTCTGGCAAGAACACTGTGGCCCAGTACTTGGTGGAACATCATGGCTTCACTCATGTCTTTGTCAAACCCCAACAAGGCGCGTTGGTCACAAATAGCAGCACCCCTTCCCAGGAGCCAGCAACAGCACCAGTAACTGCAGACACAGAGGAGTCAAATACACATCACAAACGGAGCTCATCATCCTCTACATCCCTCATCTTCTCCTCTCCAGATGACCTCCTGGAACACGTAACTCAGCACTGGCGGGCCCGCTGGGTCGTCACGGATGTGCTGTCCAAGGACATCCTCGACGCCTACTCGAAGCGGCCCTTCTTCCTGCTCATCTCTGTCGACGCGCCTCTCCTCGTGCGGTGGAAACGCTACCAGCAGCGTCACCTCGAGACGCAGCAGTCGCTGGCATCCTCCGGCGATAAGGCACAGCCCACCACCAGCACCAGCATCTTCACCAGCACATCATCATCAGACAGGTCGCCACCGCCTGCCCAGACACTCGAGGCCTTCGCCGCCCTCTCAGACGCACAGCTCTACCACCCGCTGACAGGCCAAGCAACACACATCTCCAGCGCGCCCGTCCGCCTCCTCAACACGTCGCGCGCCCTGGCCTCTCTCTACGTCAACCTAGGCAAGCTGGACCTCCTCAGCCCCGAGCGCCTCCGCCCGTCCTGGGACAGCTACTTCATGTCCCTCGCCACGCTCGCCTCGCACCGCTCCAACTGCATGAAGCGCCGCGTCGGCTGCGTCGTCGTCAGCCACAACCGCCGCGTTATCTCCACCGGCTACAACGGCACCCCGCGCGGCATCCGCAACTGCAGCGAGGGCGGCTGTCCGCGCTGCAATTCGGGCCAGGGCTCGGGCCACGGCCTGGCCACTTGTCTGTGTATTCATGCCGAGGAGAACGCCCTGCTCGAGGCCGGCCGGGACCGCCTGCGCGAGGGCGCCGTGCTGTACTGCGATACGTGCCCGTGTCTTACCTGCAGTATCAAGATTGCGCAGGTCGGCGTCAGCGAGGTCGTGTATGCCCAGGGGTACAGTATGGATGGAGAGACGGCCGCCGTGTTTAGAGAGGCCGGCGTGAGGTTGAGACAGTTTGTACCGGTGAGTTGTGTTGCCTTCATATTTCATTTATCTGTTCTTTCTCTTTTTACTCCCACTCTAGCTCCTCTACTCTGCAGACCAAATGCTGACAGCAGGCAAACAGCCTGCAAATGGTCTCATCCATCTTGAAAAGATGGAATTGAACATCTAAGCCGCAAGGGCAGTGGTGGGTTAGGCAGCCGAGATAGTCCACGGTGTGTTGTGTTCAATGCGCCATGACCGCATCAGCACATAATGAGGGGCTTCATCGAAAATGCACAAGCTGCTTGGTAGGTGTAACGTGGGAGGCTTGTCTGTGTGTATGTCGTATGGAGAAGGCAAGGTTGGGAAGGCGGTCAAACACAGGATTGTGTGGATTACGCAACACACACACACACACACACACACACGAGATACTGCGACACCAAGCAAGAAACCATCCAATATCATCCGTCTCTGGTCTTTAAAACGACTGTGATTAGACTGTTGTATCTTTGTTGATTGAAAGTCAGACGAATAGCTGGCTGCTGAAACGCAGGGCAGCTTGAAGTATGTGCGAAATTGCCAACACAGGCTCAGTGGCATGGGAGGAGCATCATGACTTCGTCGCCGTCCTCCCCGTCCCCCTTTACCCGCCCCCTTCCTCTCAAGAAATAATCATTACTGCCATAATAAGGTCTTCCGTTTTCGTTCAGCCGTACGTCCGCCCTCCCCCGTGCCTCACCAGATTAGGTGGCGCATATGTTCCATATCTTGCCCCGGGCTCCTGTCCAGGCGGACCAGTAGCTGCAGGCCACAGCTGCCGCTCGCGCGTACTCTTCTCGTCAATTCCTCCCCCACGTCGGGCTCCCCATCTATTGAGCCTGCTTCCGTTGACGCATGGCAGTGATCTTTTTGCTGATGAAGAGGCCGATAATGCCGACGGCGACAACGAAGACGATGCAGAAGACGACGACAACACCAGCCTCCTTCTGGGCCCAGTTCTGGCGCTTGGCAATGGTGGAGACGGCCTCGCGGGCGACCAGAGCGTTGATGGCAGGCATTGTTGCGGGATTTTCTGAATGGACAAGAATGGATCCTAGAAAACGTCACTCATTGTTAGCCACACGTCATCTTTGTATCCTCTTCGAGGGTGAGGTGCTGCAGGTGAAATAGAAGACTTGAAGATCCGTAACGAATCAATCACACGACGAAGCAATTGGCCTCGCCGGTCACGCCAATTGGCTCGCGCAGAGTTTGGTTTTCCACCAGGACCGCTCACGGTCGCAGCAAAACGATGGTTCAATAACAGTGACGATGGCTCTTTTTTTGTTTTCTCATTGCCGTCTTTTTTCTTCTTCATGGCTTTTCTCTTTTTGTCTTGGGTCACTGCGCCGCTCCCGTCCAAAGCCGCAGCTTGGCACCCGTCATGTGTGGGTTGCTGGGGCTGCCGCGGCTGGGGCCAAGAGCTCTACCCTACAGCTGCAGCTTGTTGACACAGCCGCTGCGGCAAGGTTCCAGTGGTGGTGCGCGCGCGACGGCGCTCATAAAGGCCAATTGCTGCTCTCTGGGATAGATGGATGTGTTGAGAGGGGAAAGGGAAGGAGATGCAGCGAAGGTGCAACAGACGAAGGAGAGAGGGTTCGTCTCTGATGGTGTGAAGATTTGTGTCGTACCTTGTAGAGGGAATTTGTTTACGGATTCGGCGGCGTGAAATGAATCTGATCGCGGCGTTGGGTGGGTTGGGGGGCTGCGAATGGGTGAACAGCACACGACAATTTGACAAGAAGGTCTGAGAGGCGGAAGATGTCCAAAGTTTCAAAGGTTGAAATCTATTCTTCGTCGAGAGAAAATTGTCTGTCACAAGGTCGAAGTGCGTTGAGGGGAAATCAGGAAGGAGAGAGAGGGAAGGAAAGAAAAGAAAAAAGAGGAAAAAAGAGCAGACTCGAAAGGCACGCTGGGCGCTGGCAGCAACAAATAGCGGCAGCTTCTCTCTGCGCGCAGTGGTGTGGGAGACCAACCGCCTCGGATGGCTTAAAAAGACCAAGATCGGCAGTGACAGGCGGTGTGGTGGTGGATATGCGGGGGATGCAGGTACCGCCTTAGCAGAGAAGAAGGTAACACCAGGCCAAGGCCTGCTATAGCACCAGAGCAGTGTGTATGTTACGGTACTGGAGGGAATAACGGAACGGGGTGGAGTCGGCCAAAAATCAATCAACCATCCAGGCCGAGCTAGCGACGCAGAGAAAAGCTTGTCAATGGACCGGCACGGCACAGGCACAGCCTTGACCTTGAGCTCGAACCTCGACTAGGGTGGGAAGGAAGGGTAGGTGAAATGTGCATTTGCATTCACACTGTCGTTCCTGGGATCTTCAGCAGCGGTTAGTGGAGGAGGCGGAGGCTTGCCGCGGAGGAAACAGGACAAGGAATGGGTGGTCGGACGTGTCAGTGACCGCTGTTTTTCTTTGGTCATGCTTGTGTGTGGGGTGACAGAGAGGGTGCTATGGATGGATTATTGAGTATCGTACATAGTACTATGGTATTTTGCGCGAATTTCTCCCCCCTTTCGTCGTCGTTATTATTAAGGCGAGAAGGCGGCGAGGCGAGCCCGCGGCGCGAGGGATTGCCCCAAAGCCCCTGCACCCTCCCCCCCCCCCGGCCCCGAGCCCAGCTCCATCACTTTGGGCTGCTTCCTGGACCTGGACTACCATACCGTACCGTACCTTGTTTGGCCTTGTATTTCTGCGCTCACTGGCACTGCGTATCATTCATGGTGGATTTGTGGGTTCCCCGGGGATAGGACGGCGGACAAAGTTTCCACAAACATCACCCCAGAGGCGAAAAAGATCTGACTCGGAAAACGGGTTAGTACAAAAGGGCACTGATAGAAGAAAGGAGACAGGAGGTGTGTGAGAATACGACGCTCAAATTGGATGCAAACCGAACCTGAAACTTGTCACTCTACGTAGTACTTAACTGCTTCTTACTATTGACTGAGAAGAGGAGACGCGATGAGAATAATTGAATGAATGGTTCGCGTCATGTACTGTACGGCACATGCTGCATACTTTCGAGTACAGTACCATGTAACAGTAGATACACTGATCAGTGTGGACCTGCGTACCCTGTTCAGCATGGAGACGCAGGGGCCTACAGTAGGCAGCTCCTACCAGGGGGCCTGAACGAACCTTCCCTCATACAAGGGCCCAGGGCTCCAGGTGAGGTGGGGTTTAGAGGATGAACTGAGGAATGGTCCAATCAGGCCATGCAGCCTGCAGTGTTTCCATCTACCTCTGTCCTCCCCACCCATCGGTCCAAAGGCAGACACTCCATTTACAATCTCGTCATTTAATTGCTCTGGCCTGGATCAATGTCACACTCCCTAGCATGCTTGCAATGAATGCTATGGTATGGTGGAATTTACTGTCTATCCATTGTTCCTTCGTCACTGGAGGCTGGTCATTCCTTCATTCAACGTATCCTCCCCACCGAACGCCATTCCTTGGGCATTTCACAAACAGTTGGAAGTGCTTCCTCTCTCTCAACGGCAATGTTGTTCTCCCGATCAAGACGGTACAGTGCAGCTGAGGCGGCAATTCGAGATGGAGAGAGTGTGAGAGAGGGGCAACACTACGGCTTGCCCGATCTGCAGGCTGCATGCACATGGACAGGGCAGAGAGACAACAAAAAGTCCCTCACCCCAGATTGCGATCCTTGACTCTGCAGACGCGCGATGACGTTACGCTATCAGCAGCCGAATCGTTTCCCTTCCTTTCCGCGCATGATTACAAGAGAGGGAGAGACGGGAAGACAGAAGAGAAAGGAAGGAAAAAAACAAGAAGAAAAAAAACACAAACGCAGAGACTGTAGGATTGGCTAGGATCAGCGCGGCATCTTATCCACTCCTCGCTCTTATTCCGGGCATTGTCGCCTCCACCGCTGTTCGGCGCAAAGGCACGAGCACCAAAGCGAAACACAAAACAGCCTCGGGGCTCGGATATGCAGGCCCCCTTCTAGCCAAGTGAACTGGATCTGCGGAAGAACCCTTGCCTACAAAAGATGCGGAAGGGAAAAGGGCTGCTGATGACGACAAGCCCGTCCAGCTGCACTAGGCTGCAGGTGCCGGAATACCGGCTGTTCGATTTCGAGTCGCCTTGAAATGCCTCCTCCCAAGGGCTCTTCTCACTTGTTAATTTGCACTAGATACAGCACCGCGTACATACACACCCTGGCCTTGATTACTAAACATGTGCACTTAGGGTCGAGGTTAAGATGCAAAGTTGTCGGCAGCATGCGATAAGGAAGTGAGAAACTGTGGTACATATCGCAAAGCCTCGATCCCCTCAATCCCACCCAGCACTACCTACTTACTCACCCCTGACAACGCTCCCACCCTCTCAAGAGGGAGAGGAAAAGGAAGTTCAGGAAAGAAAGGAAGAACAAAAAGTAAATGACCGAGATTTCGTCTCTCAAGCTTGTTGAAACTCACAGTCGCCAGACTTCAACACGTCACTACAGCCGGACCTGGCGGCGTATACGGCTTGCCCCCATTGTCAGGCTGCCCCGTCGGCCCATAGATGTTGATCAGGATCGAGGGGTCTGTGGCCGTGTACGCTCCAGGAAAGCTCACCGTCGACGAGAAGTTTGTCGAGCCGCTGCCGCCCACCTCCAGCTGAGCACAGCTGCTATAGAACTGCGCCTGGCCCTGGGCGTATGCCGAATGCAGCGCGATGATCTCGGCTCGCAGAAGGTACTGGCCTGGCGCCAGGCAGCTGGGGAGCGTGTGGTACGACCAGCCATCATTGGCGATCATGTCATCTGGACGGCCGGCCTAGTCAGCCTTGTACCGGTATACAAATGCCACCGAGCCAGCAAAACATCAACAATCGCCGCCAATTGGGAAGACACGGGGAGGACCGCATCGGAAGAAACCTACCTACGCCCCATGTCTTGGTCGACGTGTCGAACCCATCCGAGCTGATCTTGAACCACTGCAGTCCCGTCTGCGGCGACGTGGCCGCATTGACCACCCTCGCCATATATGCCATTACTGGTCCCTTGTGACTCGACGCGATGGGGTTGTCGGCGTCGTTGGCCCCCTGCGGCCCCCCGATGATATGTTGCCACCACGCCCCGATCTTGTCACCTGGCTCGGCCGATATGACCGTGGTTGAGGTGGTCCCAGCCGTGCCGCAGATCAACGAGTCACTTGTCACATCCAGGACAGGATTATTGTTGTCGGGAGCCCTGAGGCCCACAAGCTCGGCCTGGTCTTGGTCATTCACAGACACTTTCTTGACAACCCCCAGTCAGCCTGGAACTATCACTAGCCACGACGACCAACAGTCTGTATGTATGTAGGATAGGGGGCTCATATACCTGGAAGATCGTATGCCCTTCGACAGCAGCGCCTGCGCCAAGCGCTACGGTAGCCAGGAGGGAGAACCTCATCGTAATGACGCACAACTCAAGAGAGTAGCTAAGGACCACTGTGGCCTATGACTGCAGCTGAGATGAAGTCCAGAAATCAGGGCAAGCCAGCTGGCCCCCTTCACAGTAAGGCTTCTCGTCCCCTTTTATTATGTATGAACATGTAGACTTGTCATCAACATGACAGTGCCAAAAGCTGATAGATAGATAATGTAGCACCACTCACTCTATTCTTTAATTTCCAAATCCAGATTTCCATGTAGACTTCCCTATGACGAAAACCAGTCTCGTGATGATTGCATAACACAAGAAACTCTTCCCGCCCGAGCCGGTTTGTGCTAATCAACAAGCCCAAAGAACACAATCAGAGTCACATCAGCCAAAGAGAAAGACGTTGAGCATTAATTAGAAGGTTGCTTGTAAGTAGCTCACCCAAAACTCCTCCCCGGGTCCTCCGTTCCGCAGCCTACCGTGAATGGCAAATGCCAAGTGTTAATATAATGTCAATTTATTCTGGAAGGGGAGGTTCCAGAGGACTTGCTGACAGTTTAACCGTGGGACGGGCATTATTTTCTCTGCTCCGCCCAGCGTCGAGGCACTTTGGAGGCACATCATGACGAGCCGTTCACCCAGAACTCCTAGGAAGGAACAGTTGCTGAAAGTAAAGATACGTAACGTCAGGTATGTCAGCTAGGCAGAAGAATCTTGAAGAAGGGGAAAAGTAAACCACCAAAGAAACAACCCCAGTCGGGAACGGGTTGCTGGTCTGACGGATCTTCTGGAACGGACAGGCATTCATATGTTGTAGACATCTCTCGGAAGTCAAATGCTGTCGTCCACTTAAACTCTCCCTCTTCACTGGCTTCAAATCGTATAACGAATCAACTGCAGGTAGCAGCTGTCTTTTGTCACACTGCTTAAGTCCCCGAACAGCAGCTGCAGATGCGCATATTTCGGTGATATGTGTGAAAATTCGATAACGAGAACTTGGTGATGGACTACTTTTTTCTTCACGCTGGATAAGGCGAAAGAGCTGAACAACAGGCAGTTCAACTTTGCATTGAAATATAAAATACTCTATATAAGTAAGTACGTATCGGAAGTAAGTGGTGATTGATTAGGTAAGCACCTCGGCGGTATCCGCTCTTGCCCACCTGGCCAATTGGCTTCGGGTTGATGACCAGGATTATGTGGGCCTCGCAAGCAACGGGCGGACTGGAGAAGCAGCTCTCCAAACTTCTTGACGACATGCACTGACTTGTCTGGCCCTCCGTGAAGTCCCCCCAACTCCCATCCTCTACTTCAACCCAGTCGCAAGTTCCCTTCCAATCGTTCCAATTGCCTCCTCACAAATCGCGCCCAGCATGGCAAGCAGGATCGCGCCCATAGTATTCCGCACAGCAGCTCGCTGCTCGAGGCCTACGAGGAGCGCAGCAAGGCAACAGATTCGTGCTCTCTCAGCCACACCATCAAGACCGAGCGATTCGCTCAGCGTTGTACGTCCCATTGCTCGTCCTCCACCCCCTTTCGAGCATGTCTCTTCCGTTCCTGGCGGAAACAAGGGCTGTGCCGACCCTCAATGGCCTTCATGGCCCCCCCATCCACCACGATCCCAAGAGGAAGATGAGGAAGGGAGAGATAGAGGAAAAGAAAGCAGGAGAGATAGAGAGAGACAAAAGCTGATCTTGGCCTCGCAATAATGCAAACAGCACCGCAACACACCCGACAACAACCCCGACATCCCCTTCAAGTTCACACCGCAGAATGAGGCCGTCATCGCCGAGATCCTCAAGCGGTACCCACCCCAATACAAGAAGGCGGCCGTGATGCCCATCCTGGACCTGGGCCAGCGCCAGCACGGCTTCACCAGCATCAGCGTCATGAACGAGGTGGCCCGCATCCTCGAGATGCCCCCCATGCGCGTCTACGAGGTTGCCTCCTTCTACACCATGTACAACCGGACCCCCGTGGGCAAGTTTTTTGTTCAAGCCTGCACGACGGTAAGCCCAGACCCCTTCGCCCTACTTTGCCACGACATTTTATCGCCCTTAGTGGGGGTTAAACGATACTTGAGAGAGAGGGATGTGTGGATGGTGGTATATAATCGATACAAAATGGAACCTTGTAAAACCTTGTATCGAGCAGAGAGCGGCACACAGCAACGCACTTTTGTAGGATGAGACAAGGGAAAGAAACTGACAAGACTTTGTTATCCCTTACAGACACCCTGCCAGCTGGGCGGCTGTGGCTCCGACGTGATTGTCAAGGCCATCGAGGAGTCCCTCGGCATCAAGGCCGGCCAGACGACCCCGGACGGGCTCTTCACCTTCATCGAGGTCGAGTGTCTGGGCGCATGCGTCAACGCGCCCATGGTGCAGATCAACGACGACTACTACGAAGACCTGACACCCGAGACCACCAAGTCGCTGCTCACAGCCCTCAAGGAGTCTGCGGGCGACGTGGCCAAGGTGCCCAAGCCCGGTCCCCTGAGCGGTCGGGACACGTGTGAGAACAGCAACGGCCAGACAAACCTGCTGAGCGAACCTTGGGGCACGGAGACGACGAGGTCAGATTTGTAGACAGGGGGTGGTTAGAAGACAAGGGGAGAAAAGACGTTTTATTTCACTTGCGCAAGTGTGCAAAGTGTTGGTGGGTGTGGCCAGGAAGAGAGGGTTTGATCTGATCTACATGGAGCGACACGAAGGTAAAAAGGGAGAGGAGGGCGCAGGTGGATGTATGCCCCAACAACCTCTTTGTAAATATGATATGTACCTGTGGGTTCAACAAGACAAGAAGTTTTGAGACAATGATTGAGACGATGGTCCATGTGGTGTTGTTGTCAGTCTGCTAAGCTGGTGTTGACTAGATTTCCAGATCGTAATCCTCGAAAATAATGAGAGAAGAAAGGAGAGACAGGGAGAAAGGATGGAAAAGGAAGACATCCTGCCATTGGATCTTGCCTCAGCTCCAGGCTTTTGTGACAATGTCATCAAGGCTCCCTCTTCTCCGCTCCAATCCTGAGGATCCATCCATCCCCAAGTCTCTTGTTGGTCTCATCAACACCACCCCAGATGACCACCCCTCTTTCCTCCAGCTCGCCCATGTGTGCACTGGCGAACCAGCCCCTTGGGCCTGGTCCCTGCGCCGCAACCTCATCCTCGTCATCGTATGCTTCAGCTTCCACACGGAACCACTTACCCTCGACTGAGCTAGAATGGCTTCCGCTCCGCCCACGCCCAAGCCACGCATCGAGGCCACCCTGCGCCATGCCGATAACCTGACCCGCGGCTGTGGGATGAGGCAGCTCGTACGCCCAGGTATCAGACCAGAACTTACCCGCCGCCTCGTGCCCTTGGCTGCTCGGGTCGCGCTCGCCCAGCGTGAGCAGCAGGTACTCGCGCCCAGAAGGGCCGCCGATGGTAACGGTCTGGAGGCCCGCCACGCTGCGGTGGCCTGGCCAGCTTGGGACTTGAGATGGGTGCTGCTGCTGTGCCAAGGGTTGAGATGAGGCTGCCTCGTCGTCCTCGCTCGCAGCTGGGTTGGTGGCAGCGGCAGAAGGGACCTGGTTGGGGAAGATGCTCTTCCAGCCTCCTCCTCTGGCACTTAGAATGACCTCGGGCCCGCCGCTGTGGTCGTGAACGTCGTTATCCACGCCCAGCTCGAGGTAGTCCAGCTGGCCACCCTCCTCGCCCTCGCCATTAAAACCACCAAACCGCCACAGCTTTCCACCCGCGACAGTGAGACCCGTCCCGCCACGAGACCGGCCTGGCGCTGAAGGAAGCTCATGCCAGACCCGCGAGCGCACATCAAAGGCCCACGTGTCGTTGACGCGACCCCCCTTGTCGGCAGCGAGGCAGCCCCCGTGCACGATAAACGTTCCGTAGCCGTCCTCATCCTCGTCACGGCTGTTGTTCGCCACGTTGCCTACGATGGGCCTCTGCGGCGTGCCGACCATCTCCGAGTCGCCCTGTGCCCACTCTGTCCACGTGCTCGTCCGCTTCAGCCTCCCTCTTCCGCCCGGCCCAGCAGGGCCAACGCCACTGCCGCTATAATGATGCTGCTGCTGCTGCTGCTGCTGCTGCTGCTGACCATCCCCAAAGTCCCTTGGTAGGTCAAGTGCCGCTGCGGAGTGGTAGCTGCGGGCAGCAGGGAAGAATTGTCTCTTGTCGGCGAAGGAGGTGGGCTCTTCAGCGTCGGCGGCGGCGGCGGCAGACGATGGTATGTAGGGGTCCAGGTGGCTCCACAGGTGGGTCTTAGTGTCGAACACCCACACGCGGCCTTGCTCCTCGAGGGGAGTGTCCATGTCGGCACCTCCTCTGCCGCCAAAGAGGAAGATGCGGTTGCCAATGACGGCTGTGGCGTGGCCTACACGAGGGCTGGGGACGTCACCAAGGGAGTTGTCACCAGCACGAATGGCTGGCTTGGAGGAGGACGACGAGGAGGCTGCAGTTGGGTCCTCTTGAACCTGATCTTCGGAGAGGGGCACATCGGAGAGCTCCTTTTCTTTGTCGCCTCCTTGGACAGAGGAGGAAGTGGCAGCAGGAGGCTCGACAACGGTGGGAATCTGGGGGCGTGGTGCGGTCTTGGCCTTGATGGTGTAGCAATCAGCACCGGCGGAGCTGTAGGGGAGCACGATGACGTGCATGTCGTTGTCGACGGGCTGGCGGGGCTCGACCTCGCCGCCAAAGATGTAGGCGCTTCCCGAGACGACATTGATGGAGTGTGAAGAGCGTGGGATCGAAGGTACGTCGATGCGCTCCCATGTCGCCCTGGTGGTTGGCTGCTGCTGCTGCTGCTGCTGCGATGGGGACGAAGACTGGGCCCAGGCGGGCATCTTGGGTAGATGGGATGACAGGCCCGAGAGCGAGGGGAAGCTGACCTGGGGCACTTTTGGGAGCTCGGTGGGCATGGCTGGCATGGCTGGTTTGGGAACGCTGATGTTGTTGACCAGGTCGGTGGTCCGACGCTTCAGGGTGCCAAAGGTCTCCATGGCTGCCACTGCTGCTGCTGCTCTTGTCTTCCTCTTTGCCTTGTATTTATCTTCTCTTCTCTTCTGTGCTGTACTTTGGCCTAGATGAGATAGGGAGTTGATGGTTCAATTTGGTTGTGGAGGTTAGGAGGAGGAGGAGCAAAATGGATGGCTGCAGCTTGGCAGTAGGCACTCAGTGTCGCCTTTATGAGTGGGCAGACAGACCTGATGCGAACGTGGTTGTGTTATGCTCTGTTGGCATTTGGTAGTAGCAGCAGCAGCAGCAGCAACAACAGGCTGAGCTGAGCTGAGCTGAGCTGGAGCCTAGGTGTGGGTGGGTTTGCTTCTCGCCTCTACTGTTGGTCCACGCCGCTTGGCTTGTCCACGTCTTGCTATGATTTACTACCCGAGAATACGTACATGTGCAGTGACGTAAGATGGTACATTGCTTCACTAAAAGGCGAGGCGGAGAGGGGGAGGCGTCGTAAGGGAAGGGGCGGAGGGAAGAGTGGGCGCCCCTCGCTAAGAAAGTTTGGTGAAGATCCGTACCATGTACAACCGAATCATCCGGGTTGGAACTTGAAGTACTTACCTGTTTGCTGCTCTGGTCCTTTGCTGCTCTTTTTCTTTTCTTGTTTTTGGCCGTAATAAGAGGACTCGCTAATACTTACTATGTTACTCAACATAACAGACTGCGTGCTGAGTGGATGTCAGGTTTCCAATAGGACAAGAGAAGGAAAAGCTGGGGAGGTGGGTGGCTTAGTTCCGCTCCGATCCTCCAGAGCATGCCACTGTGGTGGAAGGATCCATCTATTATGGTACGTGCAGTACCCCACAGCACTATAACACAGCAACAAAACGGTGAGCACAGCCCCTCCCCCCCTTCACGTGTGCCCCTGTCTGCCCGTTGCAGCTTGACACGAATCAAGCAAGACCTCCTGGAGCAAGGCGGTGGAACCCTGACAAGCCTGCCTCACCCGCTGTACCACTCAGTAGACCATGTATGTCCACGCCGTACATAAGTGCTGTGTACGCGAAACCTTCTTCCATCAGCAAATACGAGCTGTGGCAAACCTTTTTTTTTTTTTTTTTTTTGGCATCGTGACTCGACAAACCAGCAGCTCATCCACCTTAGTAAATGCCCTGCATACACACACACACACACACAGAGAGAGAGAGAGAGAGAGAGTGAGTGAGTGAGTGAGTGAGTGTGTGTGTGTGTGTGTGTGTGTGTGTGTGTATGTATGCGTGTGAGTGAGAGAGAGAGCTTGGAGGGCACAGCAACAAGTCATACCATCATCATCATCATCAGTTCCTCTTCCAAATTTGCTGATTACATGACAACCTGTCCCAGGATTCATCCAGTCACCTTTCCAACCCAAGACTCTGCTTTTTCAACTGCCTGTTGAGGTCATACCCGAGGAAGAGGCTGGAAACCATTGCCACAGCCCTCCCGACACCCTTACATCGCACCGTCGGCAGTGACACGGAATCGGCTACGAATCCAATGGCTCAGTGCCATCGCTAAATCAAGCATAGATCATCTCATCTCATCCAGTACATACACTTAACCTCTGCCTTATAGAAAAAAAGAGAATTCTTTGGGAGAGTGGCACCATGTCACAATGGTCTGTGCACAAAAAGAGTTAAATCCTTCGGTACAAGCGAAGACTCAACTTTAAGCGGAAGATAAGATAGAGGTGGCTGACGCCGGCATGTCATTCCAGTCTCGAGAGAAAGGACTGCTGGCATTAGGTAGCATACACCGTAGAGCACAACACAGCATGGTAACGGGCTTGGTCATTTAGGTTCGAGCGGACACCGGAACAAAGAAGAAAAAAGCAACACAAGCACGAGACTGCGCAGGCAGAGAAAGCACCCAGGAGAGTTGCATAGGGGCTTACGTATAACTGTATGTTTCATTTGCTTGTGTGAATGGTCTGCATCATAGACTATAGTATGCAATCCAGCCTTGCTTCAAGGTATCACAGCGCCCCGAAACTCAATCTTCTTCGGAGTGAAGAAAGCCGTCGCGACCGCAGCTTCGTTCAAAGTCCAGATGATGATGAGGTGGGATCCGGAGGAACGCTGCCCACTTGGCACGCGGCTGAACCCCCCTTGCTCGTTTTGAACATGATGACCGATGCGTGGACGTCGTCGGAGCAAAGAACAAGAGACAGCGTCCCGTCTGTGCTATCCGCAGCCCTGACCACAAGAGGACAAGTTCGAGAAAGGCGAGGCGGCGGCAAAACACAGAGAAACTCCACCGAGGATCATGAAGATCCCTGCGCGGCTCAACAAGCTTAAACAGACCTCGTTTCATTGTGCTGGCAAATCGCAACCTCTGCACTGGCCTCCTGCGCGAGCGCCTCCCTGACTCCGAGTCCCAAGACAGAGATCCAAAACAACGCAAGCAACATCAGACGAGTCGGCTTCACTCCTATTGACTATGCTTTTTTTCAACCTCCTTTCTTTCTGATTTTCCCTTTGCTGAAAAACTACAATGTCAAACTCTAAGCCTCACGTTTCGTTCCCTCCGCACCCCCCCCCCCTCTTTCTCCCCCAACCTTGTCGCCCCAGCCTCTAATTCGTTCTATCTCTCTTGTCTAGATCAATTCTGTTCAGGTTTTGGCCAATCGCAACCTTGAAACGGCACCTATGCTTAATTTTATTTTCATTTTCATCTTCACTCTTGCCTCCTCGTTGGTTTTCAGGTCCATCCCATCCTCTCTCACAGTCTAAAGTCTAGGCGCCCGGGTCGTCCCCTCTCCTGCTGTGAGAGGTTCCCACTCTCACTGCTGCGGTTGCGTCGTCGGATCATTGCTTCACCTGAACTCTGAAGAAAGAGAGGAGGAGGAGGAAGAGATCGGGAGGGCAACAAAGAGACACACAGACAACTCACGAGCATGTCGTCGCCGAGAAGAACTCCCAAGCCCTGCCAGGTGGAGGCCAAGGTCTGGGCGAGAAGCATGGCATCCGAAATTTCTATAAGACACTCGGCATCCTCTCCCGTTCACTTGTCATTACTTCATTCTCATCACCCTCATCATCAACAAGTTCCATCAACTTCAGCAGTGCTGTAATCTCATCTCAACCTTTCTCCTCTATTATCCCTTCTTTCATACTAAAGAGCCTGGAGCTTCTTCAAGTCTAATAATTCCTCTCTTTCTCCTTCTCTCTCTATTAATACCCAACCACCAACTTCTCCTTCAAGATGCAGTACTCTTCAGCTATCCTCATCGCGGCCTTTGCTGTTACCAACGTCCTCGCACACGGTGTCATCACTGAGGTGCAGGGTTCCAACGGTGTCAACCTGCCTGGTCTCTCCGTGGCTGATGGCACTCCTCGTGACTGCCCCTCGCCTGGCTGCGGTGCTGAGGCCGACACCTCCATCATCCGCAGCGCCGAGCTCGGCACCACCAAGGCCACCGCCCTGGGCCGCACCAACGGAGGCGGTCCCGTTGATGCCGAGACCATGATCTCCACCTTCATGGACGGCGCCTCGGCCAACAGCTCCGCCGTCACCGCCGCCCGCGCCCTCCACGCCGAGAACATGGCCCGTCGCGCCAACCTGCCTCGTGCTGCCAACGGTGGCACCAAGACCCCTTCGGGCACCAGCGAGACGGGCGTCAAGGCTGCCACCGGTGTGGCTGCCGAGTCTGGCCTGCCCACTACCCAGGATGACGGCACTATCGCCATGACCTTCCACCAGGTCAACCAGGACGGCGCTGGTCCTCTGACCGCCCAGATCGATGCCACCTCTGGAGGCCAGGACGCCTCCGCCTTCCAGGACGCCCAGGTCAGCACCAACGTTCCGGGTCTCGGCATTGGTGGCCTCTCTGCTGCTCAGACCACCGACTTCCCCGTCAACGTCCAGATGCCCGCAGGCATGACCTGCTCCGGCTCCGTCGGCGGCGCCAGCAACGTCTGTATCGTCCGCATGCAGAACAGCGCCCTGGCCGGTCCCTTTGGAGGCTCAGCTGCCTTCACCCAGAGCCCTGCTGCCAAGAAGCGCGCCATCGAGTACAACCTGGCTAAGCGCCGCTTTGCCCGTGCCCTCAAGACGGAGTAAGAGCAGTCGACTCCACCACGGATAAAGATTGAATTAGTAAATAAGGGTGTCTGGGTCTTCCACACAACTTCGCTGCTGGTCTGGACTAGCAGAAGAAGAGGTTATTACTGTTCTTGGTTGGTGTTTTGATCATGATAATGGTTGGCTATTCATTGGGTTCTCAGCGCATTATTATACCACGCTCTTTTCTTTTTGTTTCATATACACGAAAAAAGACCCATTACGACATGGGCATAGCTATATACGAGGAGGAACGGTTGTAAATAATATGAGATAGATGGTTGTAAATGATGAGAACACATTCCTTAAATCCTAATCTTGGGTGAAGCTTGAAGCTTTGTGAAATTCCTAAATTTGTAAACTGTAAACTAACTATTCCGCAGTTTTGATTGCACAACAGAGCTCTGCTTGGGTCGTTTCAGGAGGAGCCCATCTACAACACGCCGTCTGGAGGCGCATGGAGCTCCGTGAGGGGCCTTCTGCTGCGCTAATCGGTGGCAGGCTCGTTGAACTATATGCTGCTGCATGTTGTCATTGCTTACAGTAGTATAACTAGCATTATGCTGATAGGGCCACAGTGTATGTGCCATACTTCTCTCTTGGCGTACTTTTGGTTTGGGCCATTGGTGTGTATATAAAAATAAATTAAAAAAAAAAAGAAGAAACAAGAAACTAATTGAAATACATAAGAGCTGTAAGGTCAGTCCCCTGGCATCGAGGGCAGAGACAACATGAAGAAAAGAATAGAAATGAGAAACACACCTTCTATGTCATCATTGGTTCCAAGAGCTTACAAGGTTGTAGATTGGTCGCGTTGATCTGGCACATGTAGATGGAGACGGGCTTGGTCAGGTTTATCGCCTGCCAGACCATGCTCAACGTCTTGCCCTCTACATAGACAGCATTCGATGCTGCATGTTTCTTCTTGTTACTTCTACATCTTTATGAATTGCTAATGTCATCCAGTGCAGGCAAAGTGATTATCAAAGAGCGTATGTGTAGTATAAGTTTTCTATCTTGTTCACTTTCTTCGGTAGTTGGGCACTAAGCATTCATAATTTATATCGTATCAGTGCGTGCATGGTTGCTAGTGACTGGATTTGCTTCTAAGATTCATAGTAGATTCTAATCCAGACTGCAATGTTTTTTTTATGGATCAACAAATACACATTTACCCTAATAAATAATTCAGAAGGATTCAAGAACAGAGAGAGCGACCCCTCTACCTTTCCCTCTCTCTCTCTCTCTCTCTCTCTCTCTTTCTGTTTTTGTTTTTACTTATTCTTTGCTGGGTTGTTCATATGCACTATCTATGTCCAGTAGGACCTGTTACTCAGGTGACAGGCAGTTTTAAAGTCTCCCGATAGCAGGCAGAATAAGTGTATTAGTTCGACAACAGTGTCTTGGATTCTGTTGTTCCTGCCGCCTCTTTTCTGCTTCTGGCAGAGCATTCTTCTCTTGTCTAGCCTCTATTAGCAGACTCTATCCAGATGGTCCGTGAAGCCCATTTTCCTCCAGCCTGTCATCCAGATATCTAACACTATATACAGCGTGAAAGGCTGATCTTTTTTTGCACTACACCGCTCCTGTTTGACCTGATCAGCGTGTCTCTTATTCAACATGCACGAGATCTGCACCAGGTTGATGATCCATTACAATGCAAGGCCTACGCGCCAGCTAGATGCTAGACAAGGGCTAATGCCCTGAATCCCGTCCCTTAAATGTTCTTTGTCAACCGAGTCTCCAGATCGCCACCTCCATCTGGCCTACTCAGGACGTTTTCCGTGCTCATGACTTCCCAATCTCTCCCTTGACCCATGACTCCAGCCCGCCTGCTGCGATGATAGCCTGCACGTTCTCCGGCAGCTCGCCGACCTGCTCCGTCCAGGTCTCACCACCCTTACCCTCCGTGACCTTGACGAGGCTGCGCTTCACGTCCCACGTCAGTGTCCAGCCCGTCCGGCGCGTCAGCTGGCGCCCAGCGGCCTGGCCCGAAGTGGAAGAGAAGTGGGCACGCAGGCGCTCGAGGAGACGGGGGACTTCGAGGCCCATAAGCGCATTGTTGATACTATTCCGAGCAAAGATGTTGCCAAAGCTCCCAGCCACGACTAGGGGGATCTGCTTTGCGAGCAGCGCGGTCGCAGCCTGTTCTCTTGAAGACCCACAGCCAAAGTTTCTGCCGGCGACAAGAATATCGTTGGGCTTGGCGATGCCGTGAAACTCGGGGTCGTAGTTGGACATGCAGGCGCGTGCCATGTCCTCCTTGGAGACGTTATCCTGATATGTTAATTTTCCAGGGTAGATACTGTCTGTATCGAGATTGTCGGCGTCGCAAAAGAGGATCTCGCCGCTGATCATCTCGGGGAAGCCCGGCAGGATCTTGACGGCGGGTTTGTCGTCGTCACTACCTTCGACAGACTGCATCAGAGATTCCATCTGCCGCAAGGCATCGGCAAGTTCGTGCTCCATAGTGGGCTCACTACCGGTGCCAAATCCACACTCCACGCCAGACCAGTCTGCTGGTACCTGGTGGGCCCCTGGGCCAGAGATAATACCGCTGAGAGCGCTGGCGGCAACGACTTCGGGGCTCGCCAGGTAGGCGAGGGCATCTCGAGAGCCCATCCGTCCCTTGAAGTTTCGATTACTAGCGCTGATCCCGACCTCGCCGGGTTCCAGAAGCCCTTTGCCCAGGCCAATGCACGGCCCGCACCCGGCGGGCAGTGGCTGCGCACCAGCATCGAGCAGAGCCTGCCAGTCGCCTGCAGCCTCGGCAGCCTCCTGCTCAGGTGCTGAGGCCGCGGCAATGTAGAACTGGACACCGTCGGCAATTTTGGGAGTAGTGCCTGGGTTCGCCTTGGCGGCGTCTTTGAAGACTTTGGCGGCCGCGGCAAGATCGGAAGCACGAGAGTTGGTGCAGGAGACGACGTATGCACGATTGATCTTGATGTTCTGCTGGACGAGCTCGTTGAGGGGCGTTGCCACCTTGACCGAGTTGGGCCCCGAGACGTAGGGCGAGAGGGTAGAGAGGTTGAGATAGAGCTGCTTGGCATAGGAAGCGCCCTTGTCCGCTGTGAGGGGATTGGCAAACAACTCTTCGATCTTCTGGTGGGTGATACGTTCTCGGGTGGTCCGCGTCTCGTACGATGTTGCCTCCTCCGCCTTGCGCTGCAGCCAGCTCTTCAGTGTCTGGTCGATAGGGAACAACCCGGTGAGCGCCCCCCATTCACATGCCATGTTGGCTATCGTCATCCGGCTGTCCACCGGCAAGCTTGCCATCGTCTCCTCCGAGCCGGTGAACTCGACTGCGTGGTTCAGGACGTCGCTGTTGAACAGTCCGCATAATGCGACGATCACGTCCTTGCCCGTCACTCCTTCTGGCAGTGCTCCTGTCAGTGTCACCCGTGCGACAGGCGGGATCTGCCACCAGGTTCGCGAGGTTGCCCAGATACTAGCAGCATCTGTTCGTACGACAGGCGTTCCAAGGCAGCCCACCGCGCCGTAGTGTGTACTGTGCGAGTCCGAGGCAACGACCATCGTCCCAGGCCATGCATATCCTTCCTCCACCATGATCTGGTGCCCAATGCCTCGTCCTGCTGGATAGAAGTCGATTCCATGCTGCTTCGCAAACTCCTCAATCTGCCGGTACTTCTTCAGATTGGACTCGCTGTCGTTCTGGACATCGTGGTCGAGAGTCATGACGATCTGCTGCGGATCGTTGACGCGTGTTGCTCCTAGAGACATGAATTTGAGGGCCACAGGCCATGAATTGTCGTGGGTCATGCAGAACTCGGGTTTCATGCTGATATAGTCGCCGCTCTTGACGAGCTTTCCCTCAGGAAGACCGATGGCATATCGTTGTACGATCTTCTCCGTCAGGGTCTGCGGTGGCTGCTTCTGGGAAGAGATGATTGAAGAGAAGTTCCTGGACTGCGCGCCGAATGCTCTAGGTCGTACGGAAGCGGTGGTCGTGCTCAGGGAGCTTACTCGGCAAGACGAGGAGGGTGGGCATGTCGAGGAGAGCGGACGCAATCCATGTTGGTGGTGGTGAACTATCCTCCTCGGCAAGAGGCCGACAGATGGAGTCAACCGAGGAGGAAGCCTGAACTTTGGTGAGGAGTTAGAGGGAGCTGGCTGTTTGAAAAGATGATTGAGAAGAGGATGCGTTCTATTACTTACTGATCTACGAGGAATCATGTGCGTCATTGGGAAACGCGATCATGTATGTACCTCAGGATGGTCATTTCCAGAATTGATCATTCTCAAGTCTCATGAATAACTTCTACTTTTCCATCTTTTTCTTTTTCTTCCATGCAGTTGTTGCGAAGCCGGACTATTACGTCAGCCAGGACTTTCTCAGGGTGGGTTTCACCCAGCACTTGGGCAACTAGCGCTAGCTGCAAAGCTGGGGCCCCATGTAGAGATGGGGCATAGATGACCAATCATCGTTACTGGGTTGCACATCCATACCAGGATGCTGGATTGGTGTATGGATAAGTTGCAACGAAATCGGCAGCCTTCCAAGGTTTCCAGCTACCCAGCCTGAAAAGCTGGATAGACAACCTCGCGTTCATTACGATTTGATAGAGAATTGTAATTTGCTCCTCAGTTGATTAATCTAATCGTTTATTTGACACACATTTGAATAACTCCAAAGGCAGTAAATACTCGAAGTAATGACCTATACATTGTTTCCTTATCAGAGGTCTGTACTTTACACCCCGCTTGTCAACATAAACCTCTTGTGTGCATAGATATTTTTGGGTTACTGGAATGCTCTATATAGCAGCCTAGCCTCTCAGTCCTTGGAGAAGTTCATAATCAGTGACATCCACGTGGTAAGTGTGGTGATGGAAGTCAAAGTCGGACAGGTACGTTCACCGTCGGGTCAGACCATCGATCGTGCATCATAGCTCTGGTCAACTTCGAGCATCCGAGTAATTCCATTTGGGCCTTGTCCTTCCTGCCAGTTGTTCGGGTTGGCTGGGCTCTGGATAGTGGCTTGAGTCTGAGTGAGAAGGCTTGTGTCTCTGAGCTCGTAGTAGCTTGTGCCTAGTGGGAAGCCGCCTTCTGCAATAGTTTGGTCAATTCCTTGAGCTCTCCCTTTCTTGCCCCCGCCGCCAACGGTTTCGATTTTCTTCTTGTAACTCGGTTCGCCGGACTTGGTGTTCGTGTCTCTGTCCTCGTAGTTGGTAAAGTGAGTCCTTAGTTTTTTATAAAATGTCGAATTTGCCACGTGAAGCCTGAGAAAAGTGGCGAAAGCAGGCATGCAGCCAACAATCAATGTGACAAAATCCTCAACTATGCTATTTCATGAACACTGTTAATAAACTTCTTTCATTGTTTTAATGTGACCTTAGAGCAGAAGGATCGGAGATTGTACCGACAACTCACATCGGCAAAAAGACTTGTGCATCGGCCCAAGTATCATCACCCGAAGCCACAATCAGGCGAAAACGATACACACAGGCGATAACGCTGGCGACAATACCCCTGGGAGATTCAACATAGTTAACCAGCCGACTTCGAGCTATTTAAACACCAATTGAGGGCAATGGTAATATAAGAGCTTACATAAGAGCAGTCCCAAACAGGATAAAGAGTTTGAGACGCAGTTTTCGCGGCATGTTGAGAGTTTTCAGAATAGGAAATGGCAGGATAAATATATATATATCCAGCAGCACTGCACATGGTCCTTGATATGTTCCAAGCCATTTCGCATCTGCTGGACGTTGGTTGACGACAAGATCCGACCAGGTTTCTCCAGCATGAGGAGCTCCTAAGAAACCGGTAACGAACAAGTTCGGAACATAGACTATCGCGTTGACAGCAATCCCAGCATAGATCGCCCAACGCATCGACTGTTTCACGGAGAAGATCTGGAGAAGGATCAAGAATACTGATGTCTTGGATAGTCCAACAGCGAATGGAGCGATTATAGAGTTGGCGAAGTCGATCTAGACTCATTTCGATCAAACTTGTAAGCGGTTTTTCTGTTGCAATCTTTACCGGATGGTTATAGAGTTGATGGGGCTTGCCTTCATGTACTCTCCTGTGAACCAGCACTTGAAGATAGCAAGTATTTGTTAGAATTGAGTATGGTATTCTTAGACCGTGATGAACTTACAATTGGTATATCCCATTCGTGCCGAAACCAACGGCGGGTCAAAATGACAACCACAGCATGTGCTACATCAAAAATGAAAGCCGCAATAGCCACGTCTGTTTCAACTTCCGTCAGATTTGGCTTATGCTTCTCACATAAATTCTAAGTGACGTACAGTCGGCAACCGCTAGTTTGCGGAAGTTGACATACAACCGTCCAGCCATGAGGACAGAGGCCCAAAATATCATAATACTGCAAACCGCGATGGCTGTGTTTGCTAAGGAAGGTGGGTTGACAAGATTTGAAGTGTATCCATCTGGAGGTTGCACTGGTGCGATGAGACAAAGGGGGTTGGTTGCGTCATTGTCCATGATTCTGGTTGATTGGCAGAATCAGTCCTCTGAAAATTGAAGAGTCCTTTAGAAGGGTGCAATGAAATAATAGCACTGAAATTCGAGGATATAGTAATGTCTGCCTGATAAGGGGGCGGGGGACAAAAAGAAATGATGCAAGCAGGGAGAGTAGAGAAAACTACCACAGAAATGGTGGAAGGTTATGAGCAAAGATGTAAAGAAAGAAGAACAGAAAGAAACGTTCAAGTTCGATGCATGTTAGTAAGGAGCAACTGCAAGTAAGCTGCCTGCTTACCAGGAATATCCTGCGAGGATGTAATCAAATGGTGGAAAAATCATGTTGATGGGTTTCACCACATGCATGAGCTGACCACATTCACCTCGGCTGATAGTGGCTTGGGGGGTTGGGGGCTCAAATACAACTCTTGTTGATACTGAAAAGTTGAGTGAAACCTTTATTCGGCCCTTTTGCCTTGGGGATGGAAGCACAAATGCAATGGCTTATGTAGCCATTGGTTTTCCTTGGGGGCTAACATATGATAGGCAATATTCTTCTGGCTGTTTGAATTTGGGTGGAGGCTGAAAGGACAAATGCAACTTCTGAGACATTTTCTTCTTATAAGCAGAAAGGAAAGTATATCTTCTTATACAGGAATAAAAAGAATACCCATTTCCTTTTCTGAAAATCTCGAAGCATATTATTTCTTCACCAAAAAATACTAGAGCACACCCCACGAATATTACCTCCACACTATCGTGAATGCCATGCCTATCACAGCTTTCAGTCTTGCTGACTACGTGTCGCGCGTTCCTCTGGCAATGATTGTTGCCATATGTGGGCTTCTACTTTATTTATGGCGGTCTGCAAGATACCTCGGCAAACGGCTGAATGGAATCATCTACCTGTTCAAAGGTATAGCGATCATTGATGAAGCCTATTCCAAAGTGCGTTGGAGGCTCTCACAAATGGATACTTGTCGTTAAAGATTTACTGAAACAATGTCATTAGGCCAACGGCCAGCCATTCAAAGTCTCGACACCATCCAATGATATCTTAATGATCACATCGAATGATCTCTACACGGATGTCAAGTTCTCTACTCATCGCAATCTGTCCCTAAATGCAGCTGCAAAAGAGGCAAATTCCCCTTTGAACCTAGCGTTCTGGAGTACCTTCATCATAATAATGGTTTTTTTTCTTGACAGCTCTTGCAACCCCAGTACACAATGCCTCTTTTCAAATGGCAGGATGCGCGCAAGACGAGTGATGGCGGTGCATTTACCCGCGCGATCCGCACTAGCCTCACCGCGCACCTTCAGTACTTACAGCCGAATCTGGAAAGTATTGTCAAGAGCGAAATGATGAAAGCTCTTCATCAGACAGACAGGCATGGTACGATGCTTGCAGCTATGGATTTTTCCTTGATGCAGTGTTACTAAATTCAGCTGATGGTGTTAGGCTGGGCGCATCCCAAAATCTTTCCCCTAATGAAACATATCGTTTCTAAATTGAACTGCTATGCCTTTTTTGGCCCAGAGCTTTGTACGTTACTGTCTATGAAGTATCCTTTGGCCGTCGTTCTAGCTAACTGGAAATATTTGCCATCAGGGCAGGATGACGAGTTCGTCGCTACGGCATTGGAATACCCACAGACCACCGTTTTCGCAGCAGAGCTTGTGAGGAATCTTCCGACCTTCTTGTGTCCGTATGTATCTGTCCAACAGCCTGAAGATCTATGATTCTCCCATTACCAGAGTTTTATACAAAGACCAATCTGACTTTGTCTCGGGCAGTCTCGCCGCTGGTTTGGCAACAAATTGGGGCCAGGCTGAGAAAACACTTGTCCACTACCTGTCCCCTATCGTTGAGGAGCGACTACGCATAAAGGAGAAGATTCGCGAATCAGGCGCTTCAGACCAGCTTGACAAGCCGGTAAGATAGACTGGCACCCTTAATAAGGCGATTATACTTACGAGCTAAATCGAACGAAACAGAAAGACGTGATGCAATGGATGATTGATGTGAGTCCTCAGAGGAATTGGACGACGACTTTGATGGTGGGACAGATTCTGGCGGTGTGGGTCCCTTCGGTTCATCAAATATCTATGGTAAGGATTTCAATGATCACGAGTCTACGCCCATTTTCATCGACATCGGCCTAACTTATGTCTTATAATTCAGGTGACTACTTTTGCGATAGAGGATCTCTGCATGTACGAGGAGTACGTTCAGCCACTCCGAGAGGAAATACGCCAGGTCCTGGGGGACGCGAATTCCGCGTCTATTCGAGACGTAGAGCAGCTGCCCCTTCTTGACAGCTTCCTTCGCGAGTCAATTCGCATGACCAACACAGACCCGATAGTCATGCGTCGAAAGGCAGTCGAGCCACACATTCTGTGTGATGGCTCTCGCGTGGCAAAGGGCGACTGGATATGCGTGCCCCAACAAGCTATCATGAAGGATGGCAGCATGTATCGCAACCCTCATGAGTTTGATGGCTTCCGTTTTGCGAAGGCCAATGAAGTCCTACGTCATGGTCATTTATCCCCTGATACTCCTGACAAGGTAGAGACGAAACTGAACGATGCCAACTTTGAATGGTCTGTATGGGGATTTGACCCGGCTGCTTGGTAGGTATTACCCCTGACCGCTCCCCCACCCACAATGTTCACTCAAGAGAGTGACCGGCTAATATACTGATTGAAAATTTCTCCTCTTTTACAGCCCTGGACGTTGGTATGCTACCTTGGTTATAAAGCTCATCATTATACACGTTCTGGAAAATTGGGATTGCAAATTAGCCGACAAAAATGCGTCTCGATCCAAAACATGGCGCACAAATTGCTTTCCCCGTTCTGATACCATTGTGTCAATGAGGAAGCTTGAGTAGTTGCAGTTCAATGAAGCGGAGAAGGGGCCAGAACATGAACCGGTTGGAAGCTGGGAGTTTCCGTTGGAGCAAAGTGTTGAAGCTTCTTCCTTCACAGAATAAATCTGCAATACACCAGAGATATCTGCAATACAATGCGCTCAAAGAACAAAGCATTCAATGCAATTGCAAGCCCTGATAGAAGAATGGTGAGTAAAACACTCTACTTGGAAAGGGAGCGAAGAATGCAAGCAAGCCCACCAGTTTGGCTGAGGCGATCTACAGAAAGCTGTGGGGCAGTTGGCTGCCAGGCTCTTGAGTCACCAGGCTTTGTACAAATGCTATCTTTCGACCCCAAATGCAAGTTTTTACCTCCGCGCGTAACACAATGCTACACGACTCACTAACCCTCGCATACTAATGCATCATTTTGCCTTCATGTCACATCGTTCATGTTGTGTAAGGAATGAGTGTTGGTTCTTGGTCGACTCTGAAAAGCACCACCTCACATACGTGGTATCATCGAGTATGAGGGGGCCAAAATGAGCAATCGAGCCACTCATCACCCCTCGCAGCCTCGTCCATAATCTTCTAGCCATTCCGGAAAGTTGCATGCTGGATAAAAGAACTGTTCACAGGTAAACGTGCTCAGATGCCTGTTGCAATCACCTGCCCTGCACAGTTCTTATGCAACCGACATCCCCCAGCCGGCCTCGCCCCCATTGCAACACTCTTGGATAATATTAAGCGAGTGAGGCGAAGCGAGCCCCAAATCAATAGTGTCTTCTTTCGGAGCTATCTGGAAGTCTGCGTTTCCCGCGATCCCCCCTCGCCACTGATCCTTTTCGGTTTCCGGGCAAAGACTAGTAGATCATTGCATAATACGGACTACTACCTCCGTTCGCCCTTGCAAGGCTCTGTCTGTCGTATAGACAACGGCTGACTAGCTCAAGATTCAAGTTCATTGCAATGAAGACCCAAACTCACCCCATATCTTACACACCCTCATCCTACCGACCGCCTCACTTGCCTAGACGAAGTTAATGCTACGTGAATTTATGTACAACCACTTTTCGTGCAGATGGGTGGGAGTTCCAATGCAATTGCGAGCTTTGTACATTCTCCTTAAGCTACTTTGACGGACCGATGCCAGGGTCAGGGGTCGACCACCTATGATAGTACTCCACAGATCTTGCCGCGTATCGTCAATAAAACTGTTCCTTGCCATTACTCCAAGTTCCAATCCCGTGTGATGAAGTCCGCACACCTCTCGCCAACCATGATCGCGGGCCACATGGTGTGGGAGCTTAACATACGCGGGAAGACGCTGGTGTCCGCAATACGCAAGTTGTCAAGCCCATGGACTCGAAGCCGCTGGTCAACGACGCCCAATCTTGGATCATTGGACATGCGACAGGAGCAACTAGGATGAAGGCTGACAGTAGCGACGCTCCGAATGTACCTATCGATCTCGTTGTCTGTAACACTCTCCCAGGTCTTGGCGGCTCCCGAGGACGGCGGCGTCTGTGGAGTTGCGGGAATCTGTAATCCCTGTGGACTGGAGGAGGCCGAGGCTATGGTAGTTGCGGAGTGCTGGCCACCCTCAGCGGTCTGCTCCCACTCGGCAAGTTTGTCCAGATTGTTGCCAGGCGCGAAGGCAAACGGGGCCGGATAGGGATACCCGGAGTTCTGAAACTCCTGGGCTAGGCGCATGGTAAAACGAACTGCCTTTCGCGCTACAGGCCAGTCTCGTTCATCACGGAGTACTGGATGGGTAACCCGAGGATGTGACAGTGAGTCAGAGTCTGCTAATTCAACTCGGCCTGTCGAATGTGGCTGGACGACGCAAGCATAGAGGCTGAAGAGTGTGCGGCCTGGGAGAGGTCGCTTAAAGCCATTGACGGCAAAAAGCATCACCTCTATGTCTGGTACGTTTCGTGGCTGTGAGATGTCCATATTGTCTGCTCCTTGACTGCTGTCATCATGTCCAGGGATGCGCTCCTGGATGGCCATGGTCTTATCGTCGATGGCGCCGCTGCGGACGAAAATAGTGCTGTAGTTCGACCCGCTGCTGACAAGCCCTGTACTGAAGATTAGCCAGAGCAGCAAATTCCATAAAACGAATATCGTAGACTCGAGAATGTGCAGTGTTTCCCGCTTTGGCAGCTCAAGCATGATGGGAAATGCGTAGTGGTCAGACAAAGTTCTGCCAACAGGCAGGTCCTGCGCTGGAGTAATTCCTTTCGCTTGCAGTTCATCCCGAGGTCCAATTCCACTGAGCATGAGGATCTGAGGAGTTCGGAGCCCTCCGCAGCAAACGATTACCTCCCTCCGTGCCTTCACATAGAAGTCTTTGCTGGGTTTACCGGGGGTTGCAGCATGAATGAATACACCGCGAACAGAGCCAGCGTCACTATCCACATCCAAACGTGATGCCATCGCCCCAGTGCAGATAGTGAGATGGGTCTGCCTCTCACAAGCAATCCTTTTGTTCAGAAAAGCTTGATAGGAGGTGTTTCTATGCCCGCGCTCGTCCACTGCTTGATCCAATCTGTACAAGCCCATCGCTGGAGCTTTGGGGTCATTCACGTCCTCGACGATGGGAAGACCGACCTTTCTGGCCGCCTTGTCGATGCTTTCCCCCAAAGCAACTCTGTCAGCATGCAATGAGAATCCTAGGAGCCAATATAGCTAAGTTCAAAAGCCAAGAGTATGATGAGAGAAACTCACTAAGGTCCCCATGCGAAAGGAGTTGGAAACTGCTGAATCATGATGGGGCCTTCGAGGATGTGTCATGTAATTGATCAGTTCAGTAGTTCTGGAAAGAGAAAGAAGTGTTGATGCACATCTTACCGTTATGACCTCTCGCAGAAGATGCTGGATGGGCAACGGCATTTTCGCTCTTCTGGAAGAACGGCTCAACGTGCTCCCATGACCAGTCATCAAGGCCCATTTCCTGCGCCCATGCGTTGTAGTCGCCTGGTGCCCCGCGAGTCATAACCATCCCGTTGATTCGTGACGCGCCCCCAAGGCCTTCGGCTGTCCAAAGCTTCATCTTGAGCCCGTTGGCCTGTGGAGCGGGCTCAGAGAAGTGGTCACTGACGACTTGGAACTTGTCGCCGAACAAGAAATTCTGGCTGACAAGTGGAATGCGTGAGAGGAAAATATCCTTGACACGGCCTTTCTCGAGAACCAGCACCGAGACTTCAGGGTTTTCCGACAATCGCGAAGCAACAGCGCAACCAGCAGTACCGCCTAGATATCAAAAGCCACCAATAGTCAGCCTGATCCATGCATATTGTCTAGTGGCCTTTCAACGGTCTTTTGTCTTTCGCATAGCATACCTCCCACAATAATGTAGTCATAAGTTTTGCCGTCCACATCCGACGGCGGAACCTCAGGATATGAGCGCGAGAAAGGCCACATGATTGGATGCTTAGAAAAGGCCTTGGCTTTTTATTGCTGTCCGTTGTCTCTGAGGTGGGATTTTGCGAAAGGCTGTGGAGTGAGGGAGGTGGGGGGCGCGGGGGGAGGACGAGGGAGAAAGGTTTGGGAGCTTTCTGAAAGAATGATAATTGGGGGGAGACTGAGTTTATAATCTGACAGAGAGACATGGAACAAAAGTTTGGGGCATTTGAAAGCCTCCATACGGCTAGCATATGTGACAGCGCAGCTAATGTGTGTAGCAATGCAGCTGGTGAGTGAGACAAGTGGCGCTGGCGGGGGGCCAAATGCACCTTTGTCTGAGTTGCGTAACCGCACTTTGAGGGAGGGAAAACAATCCCCTGGTTCGGTTGGATACTGGAATTACGAGCCGAGCCGTCTTTCAGGTTTCGAGCAAGTCGTCCTAAGTGTATCAACCCATTTCAGCTTCATTCTTAGAGTAGCAGAGCAGCTCACGAAACAGCTCTCTTATCGCCAGTTTCCATACTTTTAAAGCTGGTCGCCGTCTCAGTGTTCAAACTGTTCGTAGTTTCAGGTGAAATTGCTATATGCCGATCGTTCTGTGAGGTAATCTGTGAACGAATTTTGGCGGGCTCTCTGTGTGCTCTTAATTTTGTTAACTATCCAGTTGGCTTGTCGAGGTTTAGTGATGCAAACGGCAAGCGAAAAGGAATGCCTTAGGCAACCAGACGGGACCATTATGCAACTTTCAATCATGATATACTCAGGCGCAACCACGTCCACGAAAGAGCACATCACAGCTAAGTCTCAGTATCGGGAAGCTTGTCCCAGAAGATGATCTCCAATGTACCTTTCGACCTAGTTGGCTTTTGTTAGGGTCTGTATGCGCATAATGTGAGCAATTTCTAATTTTCCAGCACATTTAATTAGTATTTCGTATATCTTAGAAAGCATGTAAATATTAGCAATTCCTACTCTCCGGAGAAACATGGCGCAGGAATTATAGAACCAAAGCATCTTCAGTGAATTCTGTACTTCTCAACGCTTCTTATAGATGTGGTCACGCTTAGCTATATATCTATTTTAGATTTATATGTCAATCAATATGTGTATAATTTATTCCGACTACGGTATTTAAAAACGAGGGGAAAAGATGGCCACAAGAATGCAAGAATAAGCTGATGAGCATACCCTAAACCTGTCCAGGGGGTTTAACTTGAGAAAAGAGGGGAAGATGTCTCACTGTTGCTATTTATGTGAAGAAGTCGAAAGGGGTGGTAACCTTATAAATATACGAAATATACGAAGACCTAGAACCCATTTCACTCCTTATGCCGAGAACTGACATGCTGGCCACTACAATGGTATAAGCGTTGCTTTTGCTTCTTATGCAATATGTATTGCAAAACTGTGCATTAGCCCGTTCATGCCATAGTTATCTTTTCATTGACAAGACACCGCCTGGAGTTTAGTCTTCAATTTTTCACTCTGCCTTGTGTATAATATACTCACAATACTAGGCGTTAGTGTTTGTAGAACCCTCAGTAATCTCCTAGAAACTTATTGCTGCAATACCTATCTCTCCAGATGTGCTCGAGTTTGATACGAGCTGGGTGGAGGGAGACGTTCCTCACTTCTCCAGGGCTGTAGTATTGCTGGAGGCAAGGTCGGAGTAGAGGTCTGCTGGGGAGAAAATCCACTCCTCGGAACGTCGCAATAATGTGCTTAGCTGCATCCTAGACGCGTTTTGAGAAGCGCCAGAAAAGAGGCGAAATTCACAAAACTAGCTTCAGTACTTATGCTGACTTATACATCAATTTCCCAGGTCAATTTTCCTGTTCACGCTCCTGTCTTCTGGATTTGAAAGCATTGACTCTGGGCCGGTGTTACAATGAAGTTCTTTATTCTGCCACTGTATCTTCAGGATAGTCACAACTGTTATGATATTTAGAAGCATAACAAATGGACAATTACAGCTTCTGAAGAAAGTGCATATACTATATTTGTAGCTATCATGATAGTTTCAAAGTCTCTGTAAACCCATGAGGTCCGCCCACGAACATAAAACTCGGTTCCTAGCACACAAAGTCTGTGAGTGGTGGTACCTTTCGTCTGACTGAATCCGGCCTCTTTCCGTGCATCGCACATTGCCATAATTTTCCCGAAGCTGAGACTGCCAGCCTGGCTGATTAACTGTAGATCCCTTACCTTTCCCCTCTTGGGAGAGGTTTACGAAACCTTGCTGTAGAGACGAGGGATCTCCTATAAGATCTAGATGCCCGTCCACATATGGTTGTCATCTGCAAAGAACATGATCGTGTTTCATAACCACAGCCTTTGCTTGAGCTAGAAATTTGCTCACTTTGGGATTGTACTCTTTTCTCCTCGAGCAGCCCCTAATCAATGATTCCAGCGACGTAGAGCGGAAATTGGTTAGCTGAGACCATCTCCATAGGAATCCAAGAAGGACGCCTATGAAGTCCACGTAAATGTGTTGCATAAGTAATATTAGGGATAGAATAATGTTCCATCACAACTTTGGCCAAAAGAATGCTCTCAGCCATGTTAAGCTCAAGGTTCCTTTACAAAACTGGTTGCTACGAGATGATAGGAATTTGGTTCAAGGTGATTGGAAGGGCTTGCTTTCTCCATTCCGGTCAAAAGACTGATTTTAAAGAGAGAAAAAACCTCCTGGCTTGCATCTGGGCATCCTTTTTCATCCATAACGTACCAGGGGCTTCAACCAAGGTCCTGCAAACCCGAGGAGATATCCTTTTCAGTGCGTCAGAAGTAAGTTCGCGTGAAAATATTTCATTATCGACTGGACTGTTGTTGTGGCTGAAAACTAAGCGCTTCTCGAAAAGTTCGTTGACAGGGTTGTGCAAGGAGTCTGGAGGCAGAGTCCTGTGCTGCCGGTGGTGAATATCGGACCGTACTGTACGATCATGCAGATCATTACCCTTACGCCGAATAGGCGAAGTTCCTGGCGCAGGGTGCGACTGTAGCTGACTACAGCACCTTTGCTTGCGCAATAGGCACTGCCGATGACGTAAGGAGTCAGAGCCGACAGAGAGGTAATGTTGATGATCAGGCCTTTGGACTCAATGAGGAGGTTGGAGAAGGCAGCCACTGCATCCATCACCCCGAATACGTTGACCTCGAAAGTTGCGGGTAAGTCTGGTATGGAAAAGTCTAATGCGGGATGCGTGTGTGTGCATCTTTAGAGAAGGGAACCATCAGCATGTCATGCCATAAAAAGCCGACCAACTCGATTTTCTTTTGAAAACGAAAGGAAAAAGAATATGTCCCTACAAATTGTTGACTAAAATGTCCAGACGACCTCCAGTGAGCTCAGAAAAAAATGTTGTGACAGTTTTCGATGCTGACAGGATCTATCACGTCCAGTTAGATAGCGCTCATACCCTGGGCGGCGAGATTCGTCAATACTGATGGATCACGAGCCGTGGCAATTACATGGAGGCCTGGGTCATGTTGGCCACAGAAGACGGCTCGTGAAAGTTCTGTTGTCAAGCAGTATTACCTCGTTTCTGAAATTCGTGACAGAGGCCATAGCCGATGCCACCAGGTGTGCAGCTATTATACCGAATGTCACTAAATGTCATCCAAAGGAGTATCGCTGTCTCCTGGCTAGAGAAAGGCGCCATCACTTTCTCAGACGTGTACATGCGCTATCACCCTGTCTCCCTGAGACCCTCTCTGGGTCCAGTCAGTCAGTGCAGCCTGGTGAGCACGTCGCCATCTTCGGTCGCACAGGTGCAGAGAAGTCACCCCTCATTGCCGCTTTGCTTTCGGGCTTTCGAAGTGTCCAGAGGCTGTATTCCCATCGACGGAGTTGACATCTGCGGACTACCACTGTCAGACCTGCGCTCCCATTTGTTCATACAGCCTCAGGACTCGATCCTTTTTAGCGGTAGCGTCCGCTACAACCTGGATCCTTTCCACGAGCACGACGATGAGAAAATGTGGCATGCTATGCGAGGGGCCTGGCTGGCTGATAGCGTACATCTCGGATGATGGCGTCGAAGAGGAAGGGGCCAACTTTTCCCATGGTCAGAGACAGCAGGGTTGTCGCGTGCGATGAGGCGACTTCGAGCTTGGACCTGGAGACGGATGACAAGATCCAGCAGACCATGGCCAAGTCGTCCCAGGGGAAGACGGTACTGACCGTTGCACATCGTATACGCACCATCATCAACTATGATAGGGTGTGCATGATGGATTAGGGCGGGTTATAGAGCTGGGGACGCCCAGGGAGCTGTGGACCTGAGAGGTGTGTTTAGGGGCATGTGCGAGACGAGTGGAATCTCCGAGATTGAGGGGTTTATGATGTTCTGAGCCACCATTTTGTATACGAGTGCAAAAAACGGAATCATCTTTGGGTCTTATTTCAGGTTTGGCTTTTGCTAGCGAATTTGTAACAATGAGTAAAGCCAAATTATCAGCACCATTGCAAAAGAAAAGTTGTTATATTTACAAAGAATCAAAACGTATTTACATATCCAATCTGAAAACCGAACATGTACGGTCAAATAATATGCTTGCATCGTTTCATATGTATAAAGAACATCAGATGCTCTCAAATACCGCAAGGCTAGAGTAGGCCACGCCCGACGAGCTGAACATGAGATTGGAGGCGCACGACGAGCCCAGACCTGCGTTGTTGATCCACGCAGGCTCCCAGTAGAAAAGTCCTGAGCCACCACTCGTGGCAGCCACAACAGCAGCAACGTCCTCGATAAATTCCGTCTGACCAGCTGCGGAGAATGGGATACTCGTGAGGTCACTGGGGAAGGCATACTCGGGATCGGGGCACGACACGGGCCAGTTGGTCTCGGCCACGACAATCTCCTTACCCCAGGCGCTGGCCATGTCAGCCAGGGAGCTCTTGAGCGACGATAGAGTTGCGGAGGACGAATAGAAAGGATAGTATGACACGCCCATCATGTCGAAGTCGGTCGTCAGGAGAGGGCCTTCGGCCAGGACGGTCTCGTAAAAATATTGCTGCTCTGACCAATCCCAGCCATTGTCCAGGTGGATCATGATCTTGGGCTGTGTGGCAAGATCGCTGTCCTTGATGCCCCATGCTGCCGAGTGCAGCAGGTCGGCGATGTTGTAGTAATCTGGCGTCTCGCCAGTGGGCCACAGCAGGCCCGCCGAGATCTCGTTGCCAATCGAGATGATGACGGGCTCAAGGTCTTCGGCGGCGAAGGCATTGGACACAGCCAGAGTGTAGTTGTACAGCTCCCAGGTCAGGTCATCAATATCGGTTGGCCATCCAGATGGGATGGTCTGATCGCCCGGATCAGCCCAGGTGTCAGAGAGGTGCAGGTCGAGGTAGACCGCAAGACCAGCATCACCGGCGCGCTTGGCCAGCTCGATGTTGTAGTCAAGATCATAAATACCGTCTGAAGGGTTGACCCAGACTCGTTGGCTAGAAAGAGAGGGATCAAGCGTTAGGAATGTGTATGTGTTTCAGCAACACAGACAACTCAACAGTTGTACATGTAACGAAATCATAAATGATAATAATACGAACCGGACTGTATTGACTCCGCTCGCCTTCAGAATCGTCTCCAGAGGCTCTGTCGTGCCACTGGTCGTCTTGTACGTGTACCCAGCGTCTTCCTCGACCACGACTGATGACCAGTCGACTCCCTTGTAAGTAAGCGAGGCATTCAGCCCTTGTGCCAGAGCGAAGCCGAGGCAGAGTCGAGAGAAGTGCATTTTAGTTATTTTTTCTGTGTTATTATCAATTATCAGAATTCCATCAAAGGTAGGGCAAAAGGGAAAGTATGTGCATTGACTCGCAAACAATGTCAAGATGCTGAAAGTTGGAACAACATCGACTGTCCTTTTATATAAGGTAATACAAAACCCCACTGCCACAATAGGCTGGGTACTGCACTGTAGTACGGCATCTCATTGATGGAATCTTGTATTTGGGACGGCCACCACCATAGCGGATACGGAAGTCTGAGGCCGCGTGGAGCCGGAGACCCCAAAAACACAGTGCTCGGAGATCTAGTCAGTTCTGAACTGGCTCCAGGCCAAGTGGTCCAGTAACTTTGGACGTCAGCTATAGAAGTATGTGGTGGGCACGGCGGCTAGCTTCCACGCACCAGAGTCGTAATAAGAGGTCACCTGCAGCACACAACCATCCCAGAATACGGTTCCGGGGCTACACTCCCCCTGCTTTGCTTATAACTAGTGGGTTATCAATACCCTCGGCATTCGTGCCGGAACTACCTTGACAAGACATTAACGCAACAATTATAGCCGACTTACGGGCCGCAACACGAGGTCGCATGATTTTTACTTTCTCTCCTTTCCGACGTACCAAACTGAACAGCATTTTTATCCGACTTGAGGCGGCCAAATCCGCATCTCTATTTGTTAATATTCATTTGACAGACATGGAAAACTGCGATCTACATTTCAAAAGAAACAAACACGGCAGTTGTTTGTACTGCCTGTGAACATTGCATGAAATCTGTTATTCGTCACTATGCACCCTTGACTTACTTCCAAGACCCTCATACTCATTAACTAATCAGTACAGGTTTATAAGCTGTAACACACCCAGTTCTATCCTTGTAATCAGGTAATTCAACCAAGCCATAACATGCTGTACTGGCCAGCACTGCAAGTTTTCATTGCCCGAGGTCTTCATGTCTGATGATTCTTTTAGTTTAACTGACAGTAATTGAATAACTCTGTTCTTGTCTCCAGGCGAAGTTCACCTCTGTTTGTCTCTACAAACGCTCCCCAGTCACCAGGTTCTTGAGACGGAGACGCGGCGGACGCTGAATACGCAACTTGAAATCTCATCTAATGTTTTGAAATCTACTTAATATTCATATCAGATCCCGTGCATGCACCTGAGAAATTCTACCAGTCATCATGATCGCGCTGCTAGAGAAAGACTTCAGTGACGACAAATGATCTTTGGGTCCTGAATTATCACGCCGACTTGAGCTAATTCCCCAGGGAGCCTAGCAGTAATTTCGTCCCCGGAAATCTGGTATATCTTAGCGTTGCTCTGCAGAAAGGTGTAAGGGTAATTCCTCCTGAATCAAGCACGTTGGGACCCCATGCGGTCTCAACGTGGTGTTGAACATGGGTAAGGGCCAATCCTTTTGATGACTCCTCGACAACAAGCTGCTCAACTGGATGATGGATGGGCGACCACAACGTTCATAATGTACTGATGGAAATAAGTTTTGAATTCATTCATTGCACCCAGCTGTCCTGTGTCTTGTAGGACACAGTTCTCATCATTTTCACCTCTCCTGGTGCCTCTACGCTTTCAATTTGGACGCAAAATCTCCACAAGTCACTGAAAACGTGTTGATAAAAAAAAAGGGGGGGGGGGAGGGGGAATCATCGTCCATCCTTCAGTGACATCGTCTGAGTGACTTCGATCCCGCCATAGCTATCATGACGAGCAAGTCGGCACAAAACTCAAAATGCCTGGCCCTTTCCCCCAATGGAAACATCGTCGCCTTCCTGCTATGTCGTTTTCTTTAAAGAAATGCTCGCCCAATCCATATTTGCGGCGTCCCACTCCATGATTGGTGGAGAAGTTTATGGAGAAAGGGGGTCCGGAGCAGTGGGGAGTCCGGGGTATTGGCCGGGGGGGGGGGTGGAGAAGGGCCGGCTGGGCTATGAGCTGCATACTACTGTGGTACAGAAGTAGAAATTGCTGCACGCAGTTCATTGTTCTCTCAAACCAGCATCACGGAAGACGTTATGTCTAATGCAGCTGTTCCGTTCTTGAACACGCGGCCTTGCACGAAAGAGTATGCTACCTCATGATGTCTCCTCTTTCTCCGAGGTTAGCGGGCGAAGAGTCCTGCTGAGCGTCGAGATTGAGATTGGCTAGACCAGGTTCCAGACTGTCAGGCTCTATTAAAGCTCCTAACAAAATATATGTATTGTAAATAAACACGTAATGTAGGATCCACGGGCCAGTGAGTTGCTGCTACCCTCACTTCAGAATTATGCCATCACAAATTTGAGAGCACCATCCCTGTAATCCTACCCAAGTGACCGGGCCCTACCCCCGCATTCGTGGACATCACGATACATTACAATGTCTAAGCCATCTTCATGCAACTTTCTATATCAAGACCGAGCGGTCTTATCGGTGAGTACTTTACAACCCGACTCTCGCTGGGCCACTGGTCCTGAGTCTGACCCGGGTTGAGAGAAAACTTTGGAAGCTCTTCAATGTCAGAATGGAGGTTGACGTTACTATGGAGACAAGGAGGGAAACTGGGTTTATGATAGTGCTCTTTAGCTACCCTAATACCATTGAAATACTTGAGAGTACAACGTTAATGTGTTGGGTTTTTAACGAATGGCTCTTCGACTGAAGCAGGTTTCCCTGCGGGTTTGGCTTTGTGGTACTTGCACGTGGGACCAGAGTCTGGTGAGTAGATGGCTTGACACAAGACATGTGACGTTGAAGAAAGGGGTATGTCAGAGATAAGGGACTGTTCCTATTTAGTTTCAGTAGGAAAGAAAAAAAAAATTAAAAGGAAGGAGGATAAAAGAAAGAATCAAGAGGGGAGGATAAGCCCGTCCGGATAGAAAACGATGCATCAAATGAGCTCAACGCTCTCAACTTCCGTTCCATTTCCTCCCTCATCCCTCCTTGTCTTAAGCTCTATTACTGTGCGAATGAGGCTACTACAGGTGCTTTACATGATCAATCAAAGAACCAGATCTTCCTAGAAAGCCTAACCAGACGCTCTCTGTTGTACTGCGAGGGATTTCTGTTTCAGGGCTGGCTTTACCATCCGGCATGTCGAAGAGGATGAATGATACACGGTTCAGTGCTTCATCAAATGGAAAGACAGCCTCAAGATGTTGGATAAATCAATGTAATCGACAGCTGTAGGAGCCCTTAGACGTAACTGTAAGCTGAAACAGCAATCGGGTCCTGCGCGGGTAAATGACGGGATCAGAATCGTCCTTTTATGTACATCAGTGTACACTATTCGACCTCTTGCAGGCCGTCTTTGGCATACTGTGTACTGGAAATAGTCTTAAGAGATGTACATATATTTCCTCATTGGCTCGTCTAACAAAACTCCTCCTCCCTCGCTCTTCCACTTCCTCTTCAGTTACCCAAAGCCCAAGGACATCTGCCTTTACAAGATACAGTTCGATGTCTCTTCACCAGGCATGATTGGTACTCTTACTCTTCATAATACCCCAAGACTCCATATCTCGCCGTGGTGGTGGTGGAAAATTGGGGCAGGCCTCCTAAGCACCATTAGCATGGTTCTCCTTCCAGTAACACTGTCGAAAGCCATCAATCTCGCACTCGCATCCTGGCCGCTCTCGATCCAGCCCATATCCCTGATTGCCGTCTTCACAACTGTCGAACAGTCGTCCATGATGGTTCCGATTGCTGGCTGCATTAGCCAGCCTAAGTGGCGCCACTTTATGCATCGGCCGAACCGCTCAGTCATCTCTAGCTGTTTGACGAGGCCAGCCGTGGGCCGTGAGGTTCGCTCATGGTCTTGCTGTCGACTCTACTCATCGTTATAATGACAGGTCGCTGACTGGCTTAAATATCAGGCATAAGCAATGCACTGACATTAAACCCCGATCTGCACAGTCAAACTCCAGTCTTCATTGATCGATGGGATTTCCGGCTCAACCCTCTCACCCATGTACTCATGCCCAGGCGATCACTGCTCATGAGAAACATTCACTACGCTGGGTATGTGTAGAACATATTAGAATGTAATAGACATGGTAAATGTAAACTGCACCATACTAGCTCCCGACTCCCTCAACTGCACCTATACATCCCCCCCCCCCCCCCAAGATCCTCCCCTTCAATCTTTAAACGCAGATCTACCTCTCATGCAATTTGTTCAATATGACCCTCATAGCCCCAACATAAACTCCATTTCGTAGCAAGGGTTACATTGGAAGTAAACAGGCGTGGTCGGACAAATTCAACAGCTGACGATTTGCCATATCAGAACTTTGGATACAGCTGGTAGCATTGCACGGGTTCTTCGACTTCCTCATGTCTTTCAATGCTTCTTCAGAAGAACCTGGATTAGTAGGTTCGAAATCATCCCAAAATTGAACTTGTAGAATCATGTCTGGATTTACCAAGGAAAGACAGTCGCTGCCAGAAGGGGCATGGGACGCCGCCAGCAGCACTACTAGCAGCACAGCCAAACCAATGCTGCTGCCGGAATCAAGCCGGACTATCAGAAATGGACCAGGCCTATATGTGCTGATACAGGTGATAAATACCGAGTCCGTCTAACGCCACTAGGTCGAACAGATGATGCCAACACTGAAGGCGGAGAAAACGTGCCAAACAACCTCATTGGAGGTATCATCCCTGCCTTTGTCAACCTTGTGACTTGACGACGGCCAATCGAGCCTCGACAGCTGTACCCCCGATGTCTTGATCCAGAGGCCGCAGACAGTACTCCCAAACGCGGGTACTGTGTCAACATAGCGGATGTTCAACGAATGCACATGCACATGCTTCAAGGGCGCGTCAATCGGCTTGCACTATCAGCAGGATTTAAAAGGGACTACGGTGCCAGCGACGACGCACTTGAGAGACTGGAGCCGGCGCTTCGGGAATACCGTACGTTGTCTCGCGTCACCCGTGGAAGATAAATAGAAGTAGTCTGTGGCTCACATAAATGCTTTCATGAAAAGCATAGGCCGTCCGCGATCACGAGGATATGTGCCGCTACAGTGGGCAAACGCGACGACTCCTTCAAAATATCTAGCGAGCGTTACCTAGACCGACTGTTGCTGAATCAAGCCATGAGCAATAAAATGAAATCTATGTGACATTTTGAACATCTGAAGTCCACGGCAACTGTTACGGGGCCCTGGGAGGCCGGTAAGGGCGAGGTGAGACCCATGGTCGGGACACGAGGGAAGGCGTTTAGACGGGCGCTATGGTCGCGGATTGCGGGCGCGCTCGTCGGAGCTGCTTTTCTCATTGGGGCCATGTAGCTTCTTGTTCCAGAATAGAGGATCTTCCTGCAGCTGGAGTTGTAATAGGATGCATACTTGCGTTTGGCTTGTTTATGGTCGTTTCGCTTGATTCGGCTACGCTAGCTTATGCCGCAGTGCTGATGGTTTTTGTTGGCGTCGTACTGCAAAACACTGGGTGGGGACTTGTGAGTGTTCAGAAAATTCCGCTGAAAACAAGTAAATTTACTCAGCTGTAATGATTCCGATTCACCAGTTGCGACGCAACCGGTATTCCAGAACGGTCATACTAAATAGAATCTTTATCATAATGGATGGATATAGCATACAAGTGCGCGGACAGTGTAAACATTGGTGCTCAGGGGTTGAGTGCATTTCTTGGATGTCAGCACTCTAAAGCGGCCTTTGCAAGCTGGTTCTGAATCCCCCAATGCGACCTACAGACCACTAGCGCAGTAATGAGAGGTGAGCTGGCTGGACTGCCTAGTCCAATTGGACTGGTAGATCTGTAACGTGGTGAGTATATAATGAGCTACTATAGTACGGGGGAATTCTTCGTATATCCATCGTCTCTCTAAGCCTTCTCCCTGCCGCAGGATAACCTCTTATCATCCAAGTCCTCGCCGGCCCAGTCCCACTAGTCTCAGACACGAGTATCAACGAGATAGATTCAGTGTCTGAAGATGCAAGTGTCTCCTGCTTGACAATTACTGTACAGCTAGTGTTGCTGGTAGTCTTCGCTAACAACGATCCATAGTGGGAGACGACGCCAAATCTGTGGAGGCAGGCTCTGAATCAGTTAGCAGAGGACGATCGGAAGGAATTCAGGTTCGATGGCTCCAACAGAGGATTTGACCCTGCTGAGATTGTGCAGGTGGTCGAGAGTGAGAAAGCGAAATGCGTCAAAAAGCAATGGGTTCTCTATACGAACAAAGCGGGCAAGGAAGTGCATGTTCGCGACATACTGGAGAAGACTGTTGGGTGGATCGAGAAGTTCAAGGAAGTGGGCGACATGGCGGTCGAGTTTGACCCCTGCCATACTTCTGTTCCTTGGATGGCAGTAAAGACGCTTCTGCAGGTAGGGGCTAAGTGTCTTCCTCTACTGTATCCTCGAAGCACGTCTGTTGCTGATGCGTTTTGTTTTGTGCAGGTTGCTGTGAATGACTGCCAGACGTTCGGCGCCATGATCGAAAGCCTCGAAGGTGTCTCCAGTATCATTGCCAGATATACGGAGCTAGAGGCCAAGGTCCTCATCCGTATATCCACCCTCACCAAGCAACTTTCCACAGCTCTTGTTGAGCTCTACAGTTCCGCTTTGAGGTTTCTCGCGCAAGCCTGTCGGTACTACGGACAGAGTACTACGAGTAAGCCACTGATCATGCCTACTGGGGGCATCGGTATCGCATGATATCTGACGAGACTGGCAGAACGAGCCTTCAAAAGCACCTTCATCACAGCAAAGAAGGCCGTCGAGGAGCCCGTACTTCGCATCGAGAAGCAGGAGAATGAGGTATACAAGCTGGTCTGCCTCGTGCAGAGTGAGACTACCGGTGTGGACCTTAAGAGCATCATCGAGAGCATTAGACAGAGCGTGGAAGACTTCCATGCCTCGAAAGAGGAGCAGTACAAGCGTTTCGCCGCCTGGATCAAGGGCATCGACACAAAAACAACATACGAAACGGCTCTCCAATATCATCACAGCGGGACCTGCGAGTGGCTCCTGTAGCTGGACGAGTTCCGTGCCTGGGAGTCGGCCAAGACGACCAAGCCAAAACTGCTCTGGGTCCACGGCCCAGCAGGGTTTGGTAAGACTTTTATGTCGGCCTGGGCAATTCGGCATCTGGAACAGAGGGAGGGAGCAAGGCCGCTGTCGTATTTCTTCTGCGTGGCCGACAACCAGCTCACCCGCGACCCATACGCAATTCTCCGGTCGTGGCTTATGCAGATGCTGGAGCAGGACGAAGCCGTCGTGTCAGTCATGGACGCCGTCTACAAGGAACGAAAGAAAGAGCAGATGCTGACGCATATCGGTCTGTGGCAATTGTTCGCGGCAGTTGGCGAGGCCATCGAGGGCTGCACCTTTGTCGTGGATGGGTTTGACGAATGCACCGAAATCGACATGGGAGCTCACTACCATCACAACGAGCCTCGAAACCTCTTTCTGTGCGACCTTCTTGAGAATCTGTCACAGACGAAGTCGCGCGTCTTGGTTCTCAGCAGAGACACTCCAGACATTAGGGAGTATTTAGGGAACGACAGCACCGTAACGACGCCTCAGGTTGCGAACTTTGAGCACCGAATCACGGTCGAGGACACCACCGCCGATGTGAGATCGTTCTCGGAGCACGTGGTCAACAATAAGCTCTCCAAGAAAACGCCTGAGCTGCGGCAGAAGCTTGCCACTCAGGCTGCAGAGAGAAGCGAGGGCATGTTCTTGTGGATCAAGCTCCTCGGGCAAAAGATCTCTCCGGCCCAGAACGCGAAACAGCTCTCCAAGACTGTGACGGAGATGCCCTCAGGTATCAGTGAAGCATACTCCCGCGAGCTGAACAAAATCATTCGGCTGCCAGCAGACGAGAAGGAGAAAGCTGTGATGGTTCTGCGATGGACTCTTTTCGCCGTCCGTCCTCTCCAGGTCAAGCAGTTAGTGGAAGCCCTTGTCGTGTCCGATGATGACTTGGACAAGTACCCTGAGAACGACCTTCCTGATTCCTGGAATGAAGGGTTCGTCGATGAGGACTATGTAAAGGATATGATCCTCAGCCGGTGCGGATCACTCCTGCAGCTGCAATCGAGCTCGGCCGAAACGCCCATCGCTGATCATACCGTCCACTTCGTCCACTTCTCAGTTAAGGAGTATCTGTCAAATCTCTCCAACGGTACAATCCATAATCAGAGGGACGTCGACCTTGGACTGATGGATCCTGCAGCCGAGGAGAGGCGCCTCGCTGGCATTTGTCTGCGCTACCTGGCATTGGACTCATTCGATAACATTCCGTCCGACACAGACGTATATCCTTTCCTGTCGTACGCGGCATGGGCGTGGTACTTCCACAGCTTCCACGACAAGCCGAAGCCACCTGTAGATATTATGTATCGAACGCAGAGAGCCTTCGATCCGGCAACCTCAAGCTGGAGAGTCTGGACGCCGCTGATAGAGGCTGAGCTTGCCGACTCAGACAAGGGCACCGACTTTATCGCTACAGACACGGACGCCAGGTCGGATAAAAAGTCAGACACGCATGCCGAAAGTGTGGAAGAGCCTGTCCTTCTCCAGGAGGTGCCGAACCCCATCTATTATGCTGCGCTCCTAGGCTTAACGGACATTGTGAAATGGCTCGAAAGTCAGGGCCTCGATTGTTCCTGCACAGGTGGACGCTTTGGCTTCCCTTTGCAGGCGGCAGTCGTACACAGACACGAGGAGGCTGTCAGGCATCTGCTTGACCGGGGCGTCGACGTCTCGCAGAAGGGTGGGACGTACGGCGCGTCCATCGTAGCGGCTGCCGCCGTATCCACTCCGAATATAGTTAAGATCCTCCTGGATCAGAGCGCTGACGCCACAGCAACTGGCGAAGCTGGGTGGACGGCATTGCACTATGCCGCTGATCGAGGGAGTGCCGAAATTGTAAAACTTCTCCTTGACTACGGCGCGGATATCGACGCTGTAACAGACATGCTCGTCACAGCAACCCACCTGGCCTGCTCTTCCAGGCATACGGATGTCCTTTGCTTCTTGGCCGACAGAGGTGCAAATCTGACACTGTCAGACACAGAGGGTAGATCCGCATTGCAGGAAGCCATTTGGAATGGAGACGCAAAGACTGTTGACCTTTTGCTCGACAAAGGGGTCATGCCCGAGAATGTGTTCCCTGACGGGTGTGGTGCGCTCCAGTCTGCCGTCTGGGAGCCCAAAATAGTCAAGAGGCTACTCATGAAGGGCCTCGATCCGAATCTGCTTGACAATCAAGGACAGACTCCACTGCAAGTGGCTGCCGCCAGCGGTGTCGAAGATTCTATCACGATGCTGATCGATGCCGGAGCAAATGTGAATGACGCACCTGCTACCACCAATGGTGCTGTATTCTCTGCTCTGCAGGCCGCGCTCAGCAATGGAAAAGTGCGCGTTGCTCAGATGCTCCACTCGAGAGGCGCTGATCTGGACTTAAAGACCATTGGCGGCCTCACTGCGCTGATGGTTGCTATTGATTGCGGTGACCGCCAGGCGGTGGACTGACTGCTAGAGGAGGGAGCATCAATGCGATGCATATGGGAGCACACCCAAGTGTCACTGTTTGATAATGCTGTCGACTTGGGTAATGACGAGATGGCGAGGTGGTTAGTACGTCGTGGTTGCTTTCGTATTCAGGACGGACAGGTGGACGCTGCTTGTCGGGTGTGGGACGAGGACAGCTTGGTCATGCTGGCGTACGATGGCGATGCGGTGAAAGCAGAAAACCTCCTTCGCGACTCAACGCCAGAGATGGTCCTCAGCGAGGCACTTCATGTCGCATCAGCCCGCGGACACGTCGAGATTATTGAGTTGCCCCTCAGCAATCATGCCAAGATCAACCTCAGCCTCAGAGACATCAACGGGCGAACCGCCCTGCACCACGCGACTCGACACATGCACCTCGATGTGGCGAATCTGCTCGCCCATCAGGGTGCAGGCGTCTCGCTGGAAGACGATGTCGGTTCCACGCCTATCGACCTCGCTGTGCGGCATGGCAAGAACGCCGGCGACTTCATCCAGGAGCACATGGACGACTTTACCCTCAACATTAGCCGGCGACCGTCCCTCCTGGGCGTCACGCCAAATCAAGGGGCAAGTCTCACCGTTATAGGTATCAGGAAGCGGCTCTCTGGCATGTGGGCTGGCCACTATTGCTATCTGGCATGGAATGATGGGCGAAAGGATCCCTTTTCCATCAATATCCCTGCAGAACAGCCACGCAACTCGCAACCGTGCACTTTCTCGAGCGATGGCGAGGACGTCATTGGCCCCTTCCAGATCCATGGCTTCGTCGACCCAGCTGGCATCGTTTGGTTTGCAAAACTGTACCGGGCCACGGGGTGGCTGTATCGTGGGCGGCTGGATGCCACGAAGGGGGTGTTGAAGGGGACATGGGGCAGCAATAGGAAGTTATGGTTCGGAACGTTGGTGCTTCGACTGGAGGAATGAGACCTGACTAAGCATGTGAGCAGCCTAGAAACTTTCATGATCTAGATATATATATATTGTTGTTTGGGGGGGGGGGGGTGGTTTTGTATGTTTGCGCGAGCTCGCTTGCGTCTAAGTGGATTGCTACTTGACATAAGTCTTCCCTTCCGTCTTGTGCAATTCTCTTATTAGCTTTGGCTAAGTGACTTTAGATTATAGAAAAAAGGGTATACGGAAAGTTCGTTACATGGAGCTGTTTTCTGCCGTAAACGTCTTACATTTGCTAGTTATGACCATGAAGCAAGCCAATCTGACTTTTCGCTCTCGTTTCCATTCCAAATGTTATTTATATGAGTTTAGGCCGAAGAATCATGTCACAACATATATGCTTCCAGTACAGAATCTTCTTCAATATAATCGGCCATGAAAAAGATAAGAAGAAAGAAATTAAACCGCAACAGCTCAGGGTTCCCAGCGGTTTTCCACCCTTGCTCTGTATGACAGCGTCTCCCCGCATCAATGCCATCGTCTTTTTGACCTCACACTCCCAGGCAGTCAAGTGACCGTCCTCGCCATCCTCTACATTGCCGACTATATTCTCACTCAAGCAGCAAGCCATTGTCGCCCAGGTGAAAGGCTCCGTAACCTACATGGATGCCAGAACTGGCCGTCCCGTCGACATTCGCACTCTTGGTGATGGATGGCCGGCCTTGTTTGACAGTTTGGCCCAGAACTCTGAACGAGCAAATGCCCTCAAGAAGGATTGGGAGAGCAAGAATCCCACCCGTTCGAAAATCTGAGAGCATGGCTTTTTCGAGACCCTTCAGGGATTTCCCACCTCCCCCCTTTTTCTTGTGTGTGTGTTCTCGATCATAATACTACTATAAGAAGCGCAATCAAACAAGTTTCTATCAGAGATGCACCTCCACATCCATGGTATTCCATGCTTATCTTTCTGTTTGTCTCGCCGACAATTGTGGAGCAACGAAGACGCCATCCGCAGTAGACACTCCCATAGACATGTCGGCCGAAATCATCTTGATGCCAAGCTCTCCTGGAAATCATTAACTTGTGTTGGACACCCAACGTCAATAAGCACCTTTCGGCCTTCATCTCAGCCATCACTTACGATAGGCCGCCTCGTCCATCGAGATGGATCAGTGTATACATCGACACCTTGGTGATTTCCCTCCAACTTCACTGAAGTTACGTGTCCTCCAAATCCATTGCCCGCCTCGTATACGTCGACCGTGCAATTGCGCTCACGCAGCTTCCACGATCACGCTGTCTCTGAGATGCTGACACCAATGACAACACGGGTGCGGAGGAGATGGCATAGGCTTCTTTGGCTCGTACGTCATCTCATAGAATAAAATCAAGCGCATAAAAACTCAAAAATCAGAAAGGATGAGTAAGAGTAGCAAATGTCTTGTGTGAGAGCAAAGTAATAGTCATATTTTATAATGTGATCGACTGGAGACCATGCAAGTCCTTAGCCAAGTAATCGTCCTTGTAATACTTGAATATCATACCACTTTCTCTCATGCTCCTGAGTCTTCTACCCAACAAATCATGCATGTATTTTGCGAGGGATTCATAATGTACGTACAATAGGGTTTTAACTAATAGCATTAAATTCCGAGCTTCCACCGAATATTTAGCAGGAATTTAGCCCCCATGCAACAAGGTACGTTGGTTGTGCAAGTGCAAGTTCAGAATCATCAAATGATTTGCCAGCATTGCAATCCTCGGTGAGCCTTTTGGCCTATGGTGTGATTGCATTCATATCTATTCAAGTATGCATATAAGATGCACTGCGAGGCCTCTAGCCCCGACTAAGAGTGGAGAAAAGAGCTATGGCAGCGTCTTCACCTCGTCGATGAAGGATTGCAATCCCGCTCACTGTCGCATTGTATACTCACACTTGTAAACTTTGATTGCTGAGACTGCTTCTTTTGGAGAAATGGGTTCGGTCAGCCTGGAGAGCTTCCGCCCTCTGTCTTCTATCTGTGAGTTACTTACATGTGGGGCCACCCTGACGAGCCTATAAGTCTAACTGATCGTCAAGCAAGAACACCGTCAGAAGTGGAAAAGAAAAGACAAAAGGAAAAAAAAGAAAACATAGCAATATGATACCGGGCTTTTTGGAGCGCCTTCAAATGTTCCACCATGGTGAGTGTGTCTCATTATCCCGCTCTTTCGCCAGCCTCTTGGCCGTTGTTATCGGCACCCGGAATGTCTATTCTCATCCTCTTCGCAATTAACCAGAGCTGTTCCTTGCCAAGCGTGTACCTACGCGTTGTCATTGATGAAGTCATGCGTCTACTTCCTCCACCCTGCGGCGTGCACTGCCGTAAGTGCGAGTGAGGAGGCGTGACTGTTGTCCTGGACAATTTTCTTGTCCCGATTGGCAGCGATGTTAGGACGGGCCTGTTTTGCATCTTTCGCAATGGCAGAATCTTTCGCGATCCTGTCAGCTTTTGGACATAGCGATACCGGAGACGTTGCCAGAAGCTGAGTACAATCTTGCTAAGGAGATGTTCCCCCATTTCTTATCGGCCCAAGAAATTGTGTGCGAGGGCCAGTGAGTCACTGGCCCTAGGCCGTGCACGGCCCAGCCAGCCAGCCAACAGCCAGACCTGTTGATAGCCTCAGTTAGTTGCCCTCGTGGCTTTTCTCTTCTTTTCTCTTCTCTTCAGCGCACTGCAATACGAGCTTTTTGCCCTCGCATAAATTGTGCTGGCAGTCACGTCGCTATCAGAATCAGCATCGCATTCACTGACGTTTTATTGAATTATGACTTCCGACTAGGTCTTCAACAGTCCAAGGCGTCTTCCTTCCTTTGGAAAAACGCGCTTGAAGAGCCCGGTGCAGAGTCGGACCTGATGTTCGAAAGCCACTATTTAATCGCCGGTTGGGAACATGGTCCTTTTATTCAATCTGAGGCGCGAGGTTAAGAGTTGAATCCAGTGTATCGTTTGATCAAATGTAACCTATTGAATATGCAAGTTGCGGATTTAGTCACGCGTATCAAATGCTGTAGTAACAAGAAAACAAATCAATCATCCCCCTCCCCGGAGCAATTGTGATTGAAAGCCAGCCAACCATTTGAAATTAAAAGCCAGATTGCTGTTCTCCGAGAAACTTCCGAGCCACGTCACAACTCGTGAGGCTTATGATACTGGCTATCTTGGCGATTTGTTCTCCCCGCTCTTGCGTGTTTGCTTGGTTGATGCGAATGGCGTCCATTTCGCACTGTGTCAGGTTGACGAAGATGTCTCAACGCACGGGCTAGATCTGCTCCAACTCAGAAAGTAGAAGAAGGCGGTATGAGTTCATCTGCATCTCGTACTATGACACGCTCCTCAGGGTCAAGTGATTTCCAAGTGTTGGTACGCTTCGTACCGTGGACGGTGGACTGCAAGATTTGGGGAGGGTCGTCTTTGGTGGAGAGAAGCTTCGATTGTCGGATCTGTGTGAGTCTACGAGGCCTCCCAAGGCTCTCCATTAGTTGTTCGAGTACAGAAAAAAAAAAAAAAGAATTGTCATCGATCGTGTTGTAACCCACCAGCCAGGGGGCAAGCTTTGTAGGCAAAGATGGCCTAAAAGGGCCTCCAGCTGGTTAGAAGAGCCGGCTGCAAGGGTGTAATGCAAAAAGGGGCTTTCTATGTTCGAGGACCTGATCAATTTCTTTTCCTTTTTACTATTCAATAGATACAGCAACAATATAGACAAATGTTTTCCCCAGATTTGGTTCCAGTTCTTTAGCTGTCACAAGTTGTGCAAGAGCCTCCCCCGATGTAGGCTCAGGACCAAGTTCGACTGTGTCGATGACAATCTGGAATCGGTTGATGAATGCTACAGGGCAACATCTTGACTGTGCGTATAAAATTCTCCTTGGGCCGTGAATACTTACATTGATCGATGAACCCTCATCAAATTGATGACGAGACTCCGCAACGATCAACCCGTGTCGTAAAAGTGGTCAAGTGCGGTCGCAAGGGCTCTACTCCATACGTTTTCAAATTGTGCCTGAGCAGAATGTTGAAGCATCTTGGAATCTCGAGTCAGCAGACAGGATTGAGACGGATGTCACTGAGAACTGTTATCTAGAAGCTACTGAGCTGTCATTTTGCAGTATGCCTTCGACTTTGAAACCTTCAAGGATCCTTGTGGGCCCATACGTCGTCAAGATAATTGTGATATTCAGGTGCCGTCTCATTTGATTACTCATGCATTACCCAGCACATATTGTACCAATCCGAGGCTGCCCTCGTAAGCAGCCACTCAGCCTACGTCATGTCATCAAATAGCATTACTTCGTGGTGAAGATCATGTTTGCGCTTCTATATCGCAGGTGTATATATCATTCCTTCTTGGGTGATGATGCAAGACTAGTTGGGTTCTTTGCGAGTCGCTGCAATTTGGGGCGTTTGGGCTTATGAAGAAGCATGCGATGTTCGAACCCTTACAGTAAACCTAAGCTGCATATCATCAATTTCGTCCCGGACGTGTTACCTTTTTCTCTTGCCTAACTCACTTCATTTTTGTCTTTCTGCATTGTCATTGTAAAATCTCATGTATAGTAAACCTGCCTTATACCTGATTGCATTTGAAGTGCACTCTACGCGTCGGTTGTAATAGCAAGTAAGCAGTTACAATACATCACGTCTATTGACCTATTGGCCCCGCAGCCGTAATCATAAACATTCCCACACCTGAGCTGAAGCCTCTACATGCAGGAATGCGCCATCGGGGCTGAATAGCGCCAATGCATGCTAGATACATTGCATTATAGAATGGGCTTGGTCATACTACATGAAATCGGATGTATATTATTCCGTACAAAAACATTAGGCTCCGATTTCCAACCTCCACAATTTTCCCTCTTTCAGCTTACGTTTCGTCCTCAGGTGGTCTGTCTTGTCCAGTTCATCACATTAAATGTTTATCGCAGGCAAAATGCAACGCTATGAAAGGGACGACGATCCCCTGAATCGGCCGATCCAGCGGCGGGAGACGACACCGGCGCGAATCATGGAGCAGCCAGTGCCGCTGACGCCGTCGTCGAGACAGCCCACCAGCTCATTCCGGCGGCGGGTGCCGGCCCAGCCCGGCATAGTGAATGGAGCCGGAGTCCAGGCCTTTTATACGCCGTATGCGCCATATTATCCCGGCAGCACGCCACAGGCAGTGCCCATGTACTACCAGCCGCAGCCGATGCACTTCATCAGCATGCAGCCACAGCTAGGCATGCCCGACCCGAGCCTTATGGGCTCGTCGACAGCACTGCTGCCGGGCGTGCCGCTGTCTTCTCTCTCTAACAGCGGCGCCAGGGCCTCGCGGTCGCGGTCGCGGTCTCGGCAGAGATCTCGGCGTCGCTCCCCTGTTGACTTGAGAGCATACTCCAGATCGAATAGGTCCCGTTCCCGGAGCAGGTCTGCGGGCGATAGACGGCAGAGGAGCAGGACACCGCCGCCACCGCCGTCGCCACCACGGTCGATCCCAGTGATAATAAACCGCCGCGGACGCTTCGACGACGACGACGATGAATTTGAAGATAATTCCTCCTCTACCGTCTACTCCTTTACACCATCGCGTATGTCACGCGCCGCGTCGACGCAGCCAAGCAGCACACATGCAGAGGACAAACCATTCGAGAAGGATGAAGACGATGCCAATGGTGGTGGTGACGGTATTAGAAGCAGTGGTGGCGGTCAAGGCTTGCGAAAGGAGCCAGATCGCGGGCTTCGCCTCTCGCACATCCTTGAATCGTGGTACGACGGTGATCACACGCTGGGCGGCTCACACGGCGCCAAGATCACAGCCGTACAAAGCAGCAGACTGAAATATCAGCCTCTGTTTCGGTGGTTGTAAGTGGCTGGTGCCCTAGAGAAAGCTCATTTCCTGCCCCTGTTGTTCATGAGACTGAGATACTGTCAGACATTGCACACGGAATCACATGGATTTTGAAGACTTTTCGGTAAGATTGTACACATTCACACATCTAATTATGTGTGATCATCAATCTCTGGTTCGAGTTGTTGCTGATAGCACTTTGAAGAAGGAGGTCACGCGCATCCCAGACCTGACCGCTGCCGAGGAGAAGGGCATACGTGATCTGCTCGCCCGCGTGCAGCGAAAGTTTGTCAAAACCGTCCAGACGGCCAACGGCAACAGCGTCCGCCACATGGAGCCCACGTGTATACAGCATGTGCTGCCGCCTGATGGTACTTCTAAGGCACCCAGCGTCGCTCGCCGCACTGTAACCTGGGTTTGTCTCCCCTACTTTACCCTGGAGAAGTACTCAGGGCTGGAGGGAGCTCCTCAGAATCCAGCCGCCTTTCCGATAGAGACATTGCTACAGGCCAAGTTTTCAAGAGCAGGTAGAAATCGAGATATGCGCCAAGCGGTCTGCCAGAGCAAGGACACACCGACTGGCCTCTGCTTCCACGTCGCACAGATGTGGTGTCTTGTGCTCGATAATTGTGAGTGGTCAACTTTTGGGTGACATTGCTGTCAGACGGAGAGCTCTCAGCGCTTATCAACTCACCCTCTTCCGTTAGCATTCCTATTCACGTATAGCCGCATGGCAGAGGAGACCCTTCGCGGTGACTCGGTTAGCCTAACCGTCAAATCCTCCCAAGATATCTCCAACGCGAGGCCTCAAGCGATCATTGCAGTGTCCTACCGGCAAACTGTGTTGTGGTCTATCCCTGTTGAGGAATGTCAGACATGGCTGGTGAGTTCAGTGGCGACCGGTGTCGGAAACCGCCGTATGTTGCGTTGACAATCAACCTCAGGATTTCCTTTCTCACTTCCGGGATTTCTGGCCTCGGAGACTACAATTCTTCCGGAGGAGACGGCCAGTGACGGCTGATGACTGGCCACGAATTTGGAATATGGCCAAACACGTCAGTGACAAGGTCACGCTTGAGATGAGAATCGGGTTCGAACTGCCTTTTGTCTTCAGCAGAGTTTCTGCGCTATTGGCTGACTGTGGACGCAGAAATCCCCCTGGACCGCCACCAGCTGGCGTTCTGATGCCCAGGGACATTGACGAAAGTGTTGAGAGAGAAGTGATCGCTGGGGCACATGTGCAGCCGCAGCCACCGCCGGGACGGAGCCATGCAACGTCGGAAAAGCTCGTCTCAGGCCAACATACTAAGCCTATGCCGGGAATCTCCAAATCAACGCCCTCATCTAGGTTGTCTATCTTCTCCTGTCTTATTGGCGTTACTCATCCCGACTTCGACACGATCGACGAGGAAGCTCTTGACGACCACCTGCGCGAGGTGGAAGACTATCTACTCTCTCGAACCAGCTTCAGTGACCGCCGCGCTTACACTGCCTGTCCTGATGCCACCCGGTCTGAGGTCTATGCCTTTCTTGAGAGCCAGGGTGTGGAACTCTCGAAGAGCGACGACAGCCAGCGCGTGTGGCAGCGGGACTACGAAGCAAAGCTAGATATCTTCAACGCAGCTGATGTGGTTTTCAAATTCTTCTTTCCGCTCGGAGTCGAGGCCCCAACAATTTCAAAGTTTTGGGGTGCGCTCCAAATAATCATCACTGTGAGTCTCGAGTAAAAACATCACCGTTTATCAATTTGGCATGTGTAACTTAACTTCACCCAGGACGGCGGACTCACTGCTTCGACCGACATGGAGGACGGCCCTCGACGAATCGGGCGACCTGTGATACCCAAGTACGCCATACAGAGCATGCGGTCAGAGCTGCGTGGCCTCTGTGTCGATTTGCAAGCCTTTGACGAGATCTTCGCTCACTCTGGAAAACGGGAGCAGGCTAGAATTGCAGTGCCCAAGGAGATCATCGAGGGCTGGATCCACCTCCTCATGAGCCTCATATACTTGCCCAAAGCCAACGAGAAGAGCGAGCGGCTTCTTGACGATGCCAAGGCCCTCATCCGCAGTGGCATGGCCGCAGTGGTTCGCTCGTTGTCAGCAAAGTCACTGCTGGACAACTCCGTTCTCTTGCCGCTGGAGCTTCTGTCTTTACTGAATCTGAAGCTGCTGCAGGATATGACCGTAGGGCGGCCGGATATCAGCGAGTGCTATTCAGCGTCTCTCGAAGAAATGGTTGGTAATTATCATTTGGCAGTTGGTTTTTAGTCGTCAAGTTGTAACAGCCCTTTGGAAGCTAATAGGTGAGCAACATAGGAGGCGGAGATCGCGTTCAAACCGTCAGACCGATCTCGAGAGTATCGCACCAGCCTCCTTGCAGAAGAGATATCGGTCGTGCAGCGAATTGTTGACACTCAAACGTCCATCTTCCAGTCGCTGCTGAGCTTCACGCGGGAGACAGGCCAGGACGAGCCAGCGCGGGGAGGCTACTCTGCACCGGTGCATCACGCCGATTCACGCTACCGGACTCGAGACAGGAACACTTCCGACACAGTGTACCATTACCGTGATAGCGGCCGGACGAGGATCCCCGCCTCAGAATATCGAGAGGCGCTACCTGACCGCTCACAATACGGGCCGTCATCGCGCGAGAGAACACGATCGCACTCATACGAAGGAGACGAGCCCACCATGTACTACTCCGTCCCGCCATACGTCGCGGCAAATGATCCGTCGACCGGTTTCAATCTTGCATCGACTGATCCGGGAGGCTACCGCGTCCTGCTGCTGAACGAATGCCTTCAGTTTCTGGCGGGACGCGATAGGGATTTCGCTGGTTTCCGAGGCTGGGCGTCGTTCCTCGAGAAAGTGGTGAGTTCCCTGTTTCCTACGCAATCCCTCCCCATGAAACCGCACCATTCCTTGCTAATGAACACTGCCCTTCTCGTCATCGTCACAGAATCGCAATAAGATCGACACCACCAAAGATCGGCACGACAATGCCATCTACGCCTTTACCATTGTCACCATCATCTTCCTGCCCCTCAGCGCCGTCGCGAGCATCTTCGGCATGAACACGAGCGACGTGCGCAACATGGACGGCGGACAATGGGTCTACTGGGCTGTTGCCGTACCTGTGACCGCCGTGGTTATCTTCCTGGGCCTGCTCTGGACCGGCGAGCTGGGCAACATTGTGCAATGGGTGCTGTCGTTTGGCCCACGCCAGCAGGGTTACCAGTCTCTGCCAGATGATATATACTATGACTATCCACCTCGACCGCCAACCCTTGCGCCCATGCCAGGCCGGCCGCGAAGGTACTCGGAAGAAATTGTTGTTGTGCGCGAAGAAGACTATCTGAGATAGCGCCATCCCTTCTGGATCCAAGGTCTACAGAGGGTAAGCCCCCAGGAGGAAGGATCAAGAATGGTAACATACTCTAGATTAACGCTGGAATAAGTAAGTGATAATTAACGCATGTCAGTAAAAATGTTGACAAGCTGTCTAATACGTTTTCGTAGTCATCTTTCTATGCATTACTTCCATGTCGACCAGGTTGATAAATCCACCATTTGCTGCCCACGTCCTTAGTCTCCATCATTGAATCCTTCGGCACTCCAAGGTGACAATAGTTGTCGTAACAACGCGCCAATACTGTAACAGCTTCATCTACACAAAGACGATTTCCAGCTTCCAGCATTCGGCCATTGAGATGCGGAAAAGTGTAAACACCCAGCAGTATAGCAACGAGCTGTGAGGTTCTGCAACCGCCTAGCAGTCTACTGGAATTATTGTCATGATTGGTGGGAATAATCACGGAGTCTTAAGGAGCATGGAACGATGACGCCTTAAGCAAGGTAATCTCACTCCTTGATACTTGCCTGAAGATCCACAGCAGTAGCAATTTCCTCGGCGAGCCAGTCTCGCGATTCATAATGTAATCCTAGGAGGTATAGAGCGAGCCCACGAGCGCTGGCAAGCGATATCCTTCTCAGCGTTATTTCATTATGTGAGTATTTGTCACTATTTCATAGACTGACCATCCGTCTCTTATTGTCTTTGATGAACCCCATTTTCCAAATGATGTCACGGTGTGAATAATCTAAGGGCATGTACAAGGGAACGCATTACACCGCTGGATTAGCCTTTTGGAATGTCGCTGAGAAATAGGCACAGTGAGAATGGTATTGCTTGAGAACGTGTTGGGGAATTTAGATTCAAAATGATCTCACAGACTCTGGTTCCCTTACCTGTGCTTGCCCGCAGAAATGACGCTCAGGACCTGCATTTGGACCCAGAAGCCCTCGGGCGACTGCAGCAACCCCGGTCGATGCAACCATGCAAAGCGACACTATTGCTTTTTTGACCCTGGGAGTCCTTAACTCGGTCCGCCCAATTCTTCGAAAGCTTGCCGTGCCTGCGTAAGCTTGCGGTAGGATAAAACTGATAAAACGGCGGCGGGCGGATAATTCCGCGAGGCAAGCAGGCAGCAATCGCATAAGCGGCATCGAAGTTTATGTTTTCCCTGAACCATCGAACGCGACCTGCCGCAATTTGGATGCGTTGCCATGCTGTATAAGGAAGGTGGCTATGCATGGAACGTCGATCCCTGCTATTGTACCGCAAACCAGGTGCTCATACGACAAAGAATGTAACCGTAAGCCGGAAAGAGGGTATTGATAAGCACAACATGGGAATTACGTCTTCGACAGGCGTGAAGATGCATGACGATGGCACAGACCGACGGCTCGATTGCCCCTCTGGATCTGAAAATGAGGGAATTATTTGAGGGGCACGTCCGCCTCGGACGCAGCTCTAGATTGCGAAGCGGCTCACCAGCCTACTCATTCGTCTTCGTACAAACGAGCCTCGTTCAGTGGCAAGATGGTTGGGAAGTTTTCCAGCATGATCACCTCTTTCGCCTTTGCGGCTTTGCTCCTGGCAGGCGCATCGTCGTCCTCGCGCCTCGGCCAGCGACTCGGCCAACGACAACTAGATCGGCGGTCGCAGATGATCGCTGAGAAGTATAAGGCCGTTTCTAAGAGATCCAGCAACAGCAGCAGTTCTGGCTTCCGCTTCCTCAACAACAATACCTCGCAATATCAGGTGACATCACTGCCAGAGGTGCCTTATGATGTCGGCGAGCTGTATGCGGGTAATATTCCCATCGGTACTGGGGACGCCGACCGAACCTTGTTCTTTGTGTTCCAGCCCACCATCAGCGAACCTGTCGACGAGATCACCATCTGGCTGAACGGCGGGCCGGGCTGTTCCTCAATGGAGGGCTTCCTTCAGGAGAATGGCCTTTTCATCTGGCAGCCTGGAACCTATGCACCGGTTGAGAATCCCTATAGCTGGGTCAATCTTACCAAGTAAGTCATTGTTGTTGTTGTTCACACCAGAACATATCATCTATTTCCTGGACATCTCATGGATGAGTGAGTCTGAAAGGGTGGTGTACTGGAAGCGCAGAAACTACGATATAAGGGTCTCATGGCCGCTCCTGGATTTGGGTTCAAGATTGCTAACAACTGTTGGTTTCCAAATTATAGCATGCTCTGGGTGGATCAACCTGTCGGCACAGGCTACAGCACCGGAACACCCACAGCGACATCACAAGAGGATATCGCTGCCGACTTCGTAGCCTGGTTCCTCAATTGGCAAAAGGCGTTCGGGATTACGAACTTCAAGATCTACGTCACTGGCGAGAGTTACGCTGGTCGTTATGTGCCATATGCAAGTAGACTTCCAGTTCCTTTTTTTTCTCTTCTTGTTTTTTTGCTTCTTCTTCTTCTTCTTTCTTTTTTTCTTTTGGTTTTATTTTGAATGTATGGTGTAGAATCTTGCTCTGTTGGGAAGCCGTCGAAAGTAAGGATTCTGCGTCGCATCAAGAAGCTAACATATACGTACCAGATTTCAGCTGCTATGCTGGACCAGAACGACACGACGCACTTTGACCTCTCAGGTGCGCTCATCTACGACCCTTGTATTGGCGACTGTGGATGGGTTCAAGAAGAAGTTCCAACAGTTCCTTATGTGTTGCAGAACAGGTTAGTATTGATATATATTCTAAGCATTGTATTTCTGCCCTTGGATTTCGGTTGCCAGCACCGATTCAAGTCATCGTTCTTGTTTTGGCAGCCCTGAGCCCTGCTTCACATTAGAAACGGGGTCAACAAGCACAACTAACCTTTGTTATAACGTAGTAACTTGTTTGGTCTTAATGAGAGCTTTACCGAGACCTTGGTAGCCTCGCATGAGTCTTGTGGGTATGCGGCCTACATTGACGAATATCTCACATTCCCGACAGGAGGCATCCAGCCGCCTTCGCCATATTGGGGTGAGGGCAATTGTGATGTCTTCGACTTGGTGAATAATGCAGCGCTCGAAGTCAACCCGTGCTTCGACATCTACGAAATCAATCAAGCCTGCCCCATTTTGTGGGATGTGTTGGGCTTCCCGACCGAGCTGGAGTATGCGCCCGCCGGGTACGATTTGTATTTCAACCGGACCGATGTCAAGGAGGCTCTCCACGCGCCACTCGATATCAATTGGGCCGAGTGCGCCAACGAGGATGTCTTCGTGGACGGAGAAGACAGCTCGGCCCAGCCCAACATCTATGTCTTGCCCAAAGTCATCGAGGCGACGAATCGCGTGCTTGTCGCCAACGGCGATTACGACTTTATCCTCATGACAAATGGAACCCTTCTGAGCATCCAGAATATGACTTGGAACGGAGCCCTGGGTTTCCAGACCGAGCCAAGTACCCCAATTAATATTGAGATCCCGGACTTGGCATGGGCTGAGGTGTTTGATGAAAACTACGCTGAGGGTGTTGATGGGCCGCAGGGTACTAGTAAGTAATTGTGCAGTTGAAACGAATGATCTCTAAACTGGATGTCTGACTGACTTGGGTTATTGCAGTGGGCATTCAGCACTATGAGCGTGGACTCTTGTGGGCCGAAACATACCAGAGCGGACACATGGAGCCTGAGTTCCAGCCGCGTGTAGCTTATAGGCACCTGGAGTGGGTCTTGAATCGCACTCAGACTCTTTGAAGGATGTCCGGCAATATACAACGAGAAGTTAATGGTATATATATATAACCTTCGATGTAGCTTAAATTTTAAACCTAAATTTGGATTTTGATAACATTGTCCCCCGGAGATGATCAGCTGTTTGTGGGATTGAAGGAGCAAGCATGGCTCTCATTCCGTCTGGATCAAACCACTTTCACTCGAGGCTGTGCAGGTATTACTTTAATCCCAAGATGTCACCTGCGAAGTACAAACATGGAATATGTGCTGCGAAACCAAGCCCCAGAAAGTATGAGATGTTATAATGAAGAAGTAGTTATCGCTTATGGAGGGGAAGCTGGAATTGTTCCGATTTTCGTCTGTCTTCATAGCTTATATGCATTACGGGAGCTCAACGGAAATATCTCATTACATTAATCATGATTTGGCCCCTCTAATTCGTCAAAGGAATACGAAACCTTGGCAGTAACTTCAAGTTCTTACGCACATCTTGCTTCTCAGCAATTCTGTATGCTTTCTCTGGGGAAATTCTATGCTGGAGACAAAAGGTCTTAGGGGCCGACAAGTCCAGATTCTCACGACATAACCGCGCAGACCCAAGTTTGGAAAAGGATCACTGCCATTATCGATGAGTGTTATGTCATGTGAGCTCATAACTGACCAGAACATGTTAACAGCCCCATTGACTGAGTGGGTTTTCAGGTCTCTTCTAGCAGGGCTTCACTTCGAGTTCCTTCCAATGTTGCGGATGCTGAATGGAAAGGAAGTCCGACCTTCTCTGAAGACCATAGTAGATACCAAAGATTCTGGATGTGACATACGCGCAGACTCTATTTCGGATCTCCAGAGAAGGAAGCCAACACAGCAGAACACCCCTGAGAATACCGAAAAGCAGTGGAATGAGCATGAAAAAGCTTACTAGGCAACGCAGAAGTTTGCGAAGAGAAACGCCGTCCGGCGACTCGGAGGCATGAAAGGAGATCGAGCGCAACCAGCACAGAGAGTTATAATTGAACAAGCAGCCATATCGGCCAAGACAACACGAGCTACACTGGCACTGGAGACGGCTAAAGATGATGTTTGATTGTAAATGTTTCTTATCGCGTCCTGCTCAAGATCGAGATGCTAATCAAAGAACTTCGGCTGCTCATAGGCCAAGAGTTGTGCGTGATTGAATACAGAGTCCATCAATTTGAGTCTGCTTATCGTGGTAGTATTCTCGCCCCCATTGTATGCAAGGTCTCAGCCCTCGGCTGCCCCAGCATATCGATAGCACCTGCACGGGTGCTTAATTCATATACTATTGCTACTTGTGACAACTTGCAGCAGCTGCACACGAGTGTAACATGCAACCCCGGAATACAAAAATAGTAACCACTCACCCGCTATTCTTTTTTTAGAAAAAAAGGCTGAATTGATCTTCGCAGAAAGGCTCACATTTCAGCCTATTTGCAAGGTCACTTAGTAAGTGTGCTAATATAGTGACACCTACCAGGCCAGTACATAGTGTGCATTCCTGTGGTTTCAATGTAAAGTATCCTGAGATAGATCAATACCTCATCAACGCGCTGCAACCACACGGAACTTTAGGCCAGAACAGCTACCTTATAGTATTCTGGCCCCCATTGACAAACCTGTTTCTTGCAGATTCAAGTCACGGCTTCCTCGGGACAGAATTGCTGCGTACTTTGATAGCAGCAGCCCAGTATGGCTCTCCTCTGTTTTAAAATGATAAATGAGAAAGCTTTCCCGAGAGAAGCGACTCCAGACTTTGAAGGTTATTATATCACAGTATAATCGAGCCAATCTTCAAAATCCTCCCTCTACACCTTATCAAAAGCCCCTTTAAGTCATTTTCATTGTTCTTGGTGCTCATCTTATACAAGCTGTCATAAGAGTCTTGACAACTCAATGGTTGAGACCAATATGGGACCAGCAAGCAACAATTCACATCCCTTTCCATCCCCTGACGGAACTCCGTATGAGCAAGCTCTCTCAGTGCCATGGCAATCTCATGTTTCATTGGATGAAGTACACGGGAATCATGACCCTGAAGAAAGTGGGACAAATCAAAACGAATTGTGTCCAGGGAAGATTGCAGGTGAACTTAACGGACACGATGCACCTGGATCTGTCTGCCTATCTCACTCTCCTCGCTTTTCCACCCACGATACTACAACGGCGATGCAAGTCCGTCCAGGCACTGATTCCGCAACGTCTCCAGTTCTGGTTTCGGAGAAATTTGTCTCGAGTACCGGAGAATCTTTGGAGAAAAAGCGCTCCCTGATCGCCCCCACACTGGAGACCATCTCAACAAGCCAGACTAAGCCTGGGGCAGACGAACAAACGTACACTACTGGTCGTTGTGAATCGAAGTCTTTCAAGGAGTCCGTTGGTCTAGGCTCGCTCATCAGCCTCGTCGGAGGCTCGCTCGGCATCCTAGGTGTACTCGGTTTCATCATCTTCCTCTGGTTTGGGTACGGGCAGGCTCCTGAAGCAACAAAGGCCACATGGATCTGGCGCCAGCTCGCTATCCGCGGCTGGATGTCTCGCGCAATCACCCTCGCTGCACTTGTTCTCCAGCTCATCATCGATACCCAGGTCGCTGTCTGCACGTCCATGATCGCAGCACTGCTGCTGGAGCGGTGCTCTGTCCGCGCTTAGATGTGGCGCGTATATCCGTCATGCGCGGCACGGATCCCAGTGCACTGAAGCTGGCACAACTTGTCTTATCTTCCAAGAGGTGGACCGTCCTTTCTCATGTCGAGACCTGGCTGGTGATTCTTCTAGGCTTGGCAGGCCTAGCTGTCCAATTTACCTCCACCATTCTACTATCTGATCTGAGGCCGTACGTTATGACTGGAGACCTCAATTCATCAACAATTGGTAGTCTGTTCTCTTATCCGGGAACAAATTTCTCCCTCTTTCAGGGAAGCCTCATCGCCAACGCGCCCACTTATCCAGTGTTTGGCGAGGTCGCCACTGGGTACGAGGCCAGTCCAGACGCTTATGGATTTAGCGATACTGGCTTAAAACAGAGAGGACTTCTTCCACTGGTCGGGTCTCAGAACCGAACATCCGTACGCCAGTATTCGGGAAATGCCATGGTCTTGAACTCGAGGGCAGCCTGTATGCGGCCCGCATTGGTCAGTAGCCAGTACAGCACGACCGCGTACGAAGGGTCGTTTGGGGGACTGGACGGCATGTTGAATTACAGCCAAGCAATTGCACGAGGCGCATCCCGGAGCCAACATATCTTGTCTCTCCTCCGAGGACTGCGAGCAAATACCGTTCCACTGCATTCTGTCGGCGACAACGAAGTAAGTGAAACATGTGTCCATTTGATTTATTTTACCCCCTCCAAGCGGCCAAGTGGCATTACTTGAATGCTCCATTCGATCCCGATTTGTCACGCGGAAAGCTGACATGTGAGATTCCACAACCAAGAAATGACACGTGGGCTACCACGGCGTGTGTAGCTGGTGGTATCGGACCTGCAGGTTTCAGAGGCCCATACGCGCCGAGCTGGAATTCTACTGACGAACCTTGGACATTAAACTCATCAGTCTGGCTAGTTAGTTCAACTAACCTGCAGACTGATCAATGGAGCTCTCTGGAATCGGAAGGTGCCTTACCTCCAGGCCAGCCTCTGGAAAACACCGAATGGCTCTCCTACGAGATACTTCCCCGGTATTTTATCAATATCTCCATGTGTTTTACGTCCTTCAACATTGAGCACCGTCAAGTCCAGATGGTTGCCCAAGGAAGCACGCGAGAGCCGTCAGCTCACTGGTCTCTGATGTATGATGCCGGCAACACGGACGACATTCAACTTTACATCGGTGCGGACGGCGAACGCCAAGAAATATCTGACCGTCAAATCCTTGAGCTTCAGTTGCCAGACTACAGCAATAGCAACAGCACAGCGATAGGTCTGCCGCCCCCTCTGAATGACCTCCTTGAGCTGCCCACCGACGAAATACCGCCCGGCGACCTAACTGCTGGCTCCATACAGCTGGAGATGGAATACGAGTTCAGCGGTGGCAACACGCCCAACACGACTTTCGTGGTTTGCAACTGGTGTACGAAAGACGGCCAACCGGCACACCCTGAGTACGCACTGCTGTTCACTGGCATCCTCGCCTCGTCGCCGGGAGGCGGGCGGCCTGCAGACGCGCTGGACGCATTTTTGAGCATCGGAGGCTTCAGTGCGTACAACCAATTCCTGCTTGACTCGATGGACATATCCGAGAATGTGACAATGGTTACGACCTTCGCAGCCATGACGCCCGGGCCCTGTTCATCGGTCGGCATGTGCGGTGGTTTCGTCTCAGTTATAACTCTCCTGGTAGTATACTTGGCGCTCGTTGGAATTATTGTGGCTATTTTCATTGGGAATACGCGATTATCGAGGTGTGGAAATGTTTGGAACACCATCTCGCAGCTTGTGGCCTTCGAGGAGCTGGGTCAGATACTGGACCTGGGAAATGATGCTGGGGACAAGTCTATCGCCAGGGCCGTGCAGAATGCTAAACCAAGCCGAGATATACTCGTTAAGCTGGGTAGGAATAGCCAGAGCGGTAAGATAGGTATTGTGAGGTGTGAAGGTTAAGGAGAAAAGGAGACGTTTCGATAAAAACGAAAGGACATACATAATTAGTTCAGCACATAGAATACTGTTGAAATTTCAAAGGATGTAACAAGGCGGAGCCTGTTAGTCAGCGGATTCGCCGTTTCTATACGGATTCATCAGGAAAGTTTAAGCGCATACTAATGAGTTGACTAAAAAGGCTGTGCAACATATGCAGGATGTAGCAGTACTATAAGTATAAGTGGAGTTACAGAGCTCGTACTTATTGTATTCTGTGCCTTGGATTTCGGTAACCCTCGTCATCTAGTCTCATTCAGCCTGGCCGATATAATTTACATCCTATATGTATCTTTACTTCAGCCCCGTTTTGCAGCTTTCTTCGTCAGTGATACTCAATAGAGTGTTCAAGACGTCTCGGAGGCTACTAGATGCATCCACTATATTTCCCATTGATAGTTTATAACGACCTCGCCGCATATGATAATAGCGGTGGCTGGTGCACCTTTCGTAGGAGATACTGTTCTAGGCCACGGAACAGCAGCATGCGAAAGAATACGGCAGACAGATATAGTAAGATATGAGGAAGATATGATTTAAAGCTGTCTGTCTTTTGGCTTCTTTTCTAGGCCTCATTGAAGAACAGAATACTGACCCAAATAAAGCTTTCCGCTAATGGACCAGGCTTGAATGATTAAACGGAGAATTGAATATTGAGAACTTTTCTTCTGCATTATATTCCTCCCTAGTCACTGCAATCGACCTGCCATAATGATAGCAAAAGCTCCTGTCAGATAGTACAAGCTGAGACTCATTTCTTAGACATTCATCACAACCCCTCCTCACCTCCCACATAGCCTCGATTACCACCGACGCCCTTTTTCCAATTCGGTATTAGTATAGTGGTACAGCATATTCTCAGCTCCTCAGCACTAGTCTTTGACGTATAAATACCAGCGCGCGCTTTTTTACGAATACGAAGAAACTGCTAGATTTTCTCCTTCATTTTGTTTCCTTTCTTGCTTCACTCGTAGTTGCATGAATTGAAATGGTTCGACTTGGTGATCCATGAGTACCCGATCGTCAGTGAATCTCAACATCAGACCCAATCATCATATGCTAATAAATTCCTCAATTTAGCTTTCACCGTTGCTCAGTTACCTTGATTATGGTAATGGTCTCCAGCCGGAGAAGTCAAGGTGTCAGATTATGGAAATCCAGTTCAAGTGCCCTACTTTACCACTCGGTCTCTCTAAAACCAGCGGAGAATTAGGTACAAAGCTTGCAGGTCCTCAGCGATTACAGCAACTCGTCAAAACTACAAGGGTGAGACTGGACGATGATGGGAGGCAATGGGGCGAAACTGAGTCCGAAATAAGCCTTTTGCCATGAAGCGCTCCTGAAGCCAGGTGACTGGAGAGTGTAACATGGAAGAATCTCAAAACTTCTATCAACCTTAGTAAACTAAGCTCGGATCTATCAAAATTGTGCTCAAGATGCTATTAAGTAAATATAAGTATACCATGCTAGCTACCACGATACCGTGTAAGTTTCTATTTTTCTTTCGATCCGCAATCAAATTTATTTTGATTTTTTGTTACTGGACCACATGGTATTATTTTATGATAGGTTGATGCATTCCTCCTCCTGCTCTTCCCCGCTAATGCGTATGTGTCATCTTCGGGTTAAGGGTTTATCTGATTCTGAGTTCTGAGTAATCACGCCCACTTTAAGCTAGCAGAACATTGAACATCACCTGATTGACGGGCATTTGCTCCGACGATTGCTCCGAAGATAATCTGCGTCGAGTCCGTAGCCAAATTTGCAACACAAGGCACAGATATCCCGGCAGGACATCATTCTTCCTGCCGATCAGATGCATTCGAGAGCAAAAGGGGGACATCTCGACGAAGATGGACCAGCCGCCAGCACCCGACCTTGGGCAATCACCACCATCACGTAATATCACAAAAACACCACGGCCCGTCCATACCACTGCAGTAGATGGCTCCTGGCAGCAGCTGCGGGACCGACGGCGAGAGAAGCTTCAATTGTCATGTTCTTTCTGTCGAAGCCGCAAGTATGTCAGTCCCTATCATCGCCTGCTCCATCTATCCACGCTCTTCTTCTTATTGTTCACGACTATACACAGGGTAAAATGTGACCGTCAATTGCCATGCAACACCTGCAAGACCAGGGGAATTAGCCTTTCATGCACCTACCCGTCAATGTTGGGCAGTGACTCGAGTACGCCACGCAAGATCAACAAAATTAATAACAACGATAATATCAGCGTGTGCGAGCGCATCCATCGGCTCGAGACACTTGTGCGCTCTCTGATGCAGCAGCAGGGACTGCTACGGAATTGTCCCGATGTTGTCACAGCAACGCCCAAGATAGGCCCGACGACAACCTTGGAAAATCCTCGGCCTCAACAAGTCCTTGAAGATACATGCAGTGCTAGAGTATCCCCGGCATCAACAGCACCAGCAGCTGTGGCCGAGGACGACAGTTTCAGTGTCTCGATGAGAAACGTGTCGCTCTCGCCCAGCCGCACACCCTCCGAGTCTGGGAGTATGCTTCGGTACACGCATGGTGCAACTTACGTGGGAAATGTGCACTGGGCAGCGGTGCTTGAGAGCATCTCGGAGCTGAGAGAACACTACGAGGAGAGAGAAGGGGCCAGTATGACGATGCCTACCGGTACGAGCAGCAACTACATGTCGCATACCTCAAGTGCCGGCCCTCGGCTATTATATGCGCCTGTGCAAGCTACCAAAGCTGAGATTTTGACCTCAATACCATCTCGGCAAGTGGTGGACCGTATGGTAACGCGCTACTTCAATACGCAATATAATGTATCGCTACCTGTGCTTCATAGGGGTCGTTTTCTCCGAGAGGTTAGATACATGTTTTCCTCTCTCCTCTCCCTAGAAAATGCACCTTACTGTCAGCCCCAGAATTCCACCCATTCTCATCCCCTTTACCTTCCTCTTCCTACTTTTCTGCCTCAGATGTCTGACGCATATACACATTTGGCCATAACCAACAGTACGAAAAGTTCTGGCAAGCCCCAGCTTCGGCATCCATGCTATGGATCGGCCTTCTATTTAGCATCATGGCACTTGGCACCCATTTACAGGTATGTGTAAAGGACTGAAAACCCCCTTCTAATCTTTTCAAGATGGAATAAGTAAAATAAGGGTAAGAATTTTTAAGCTCATACATATTTATAGTTGTGTACAGATGACCAGCCAAGCTCTGACATAACAGCTCGTGCCTATGTCTTTCGTGAGAGGACTATCCACTGTCTTCGTCTTGGCCAGTTTACCCGAGGAAAAGAGGATGTTCTTGAAACGATGCTCAATTATCTCTTTCTCGAGATCTTACTGTGTAAGGACGCCGACAATGGGCTCTGGCTCGTGTTAGGCATGATCGTACAACTCGCCCTGAGTCTAGGATACCACAGGGACGCCAAAAACTTCTCCAGGTCCAAAATTTCGCCATTCGCCGGTGAAATGCGACGCCGTGTCTGGGCTGTTATCGTGCAGACAGATCTGCGGCTGTCAAGCCAGATAGGCTTGCCACGCCTTCTCAAGCTACACCAATGCGATACAGCCGACCCTCACAACTTGCTCGATACGGACTTTGACGAGACTACTGTCGAGCTTCCACCCTCTAGGCCCGAAAGTGAAGTAACGCCGGTGCTCTATGTGTTAGCAAAGAACAGAATCGACCGCCTAAGCGACCTGATTAGCAGTTACGTGAATATGGCTGACAACGGGGAGCATGCGTATGCCGAGACGATCGAGCTGGACCGAAAGCTGCAACAAGGAATAACCTCACTGCCTGCCATTTTCCAGTGGCAACCTGTGACTGTCAGTCAGTCCATGATGCTGTCGCCACAGATTATTGCGCACCGCGTGTTGTTTCATCTCTCCAAGCAGCGTCTCACGATCTGGCTCCACCGGAGATACCTCGAACCTCCCTATGTCGACGCTCAGTATAGATACTCACGGAATGCCTGTGTTCAGGCTGCTATGGAGATTCTCCAGCTCCAGAAACTGATAGACGAAGAAACGTATCCAGACGGGCTGTTGTACTCGGTGCGATTCCTGGTCGTCACATCACTCGCGCAGTTTGTCTTCCTCTTGGGCATGAGTATTCTCAGCTATTATCTACAGCTGCTCAAAATCCAGCCTGATGCTGCGTCCTTACAGAATGAGCCGGATGAGAACAGGAAAAAAGATGAGAACGAGAAAGAAATGGTCATCGACCAGGACCAGGACGCACGAGTCGCCAGAATCTACAGCCTGCTGCGCGACTCACACTCAATATGGCTGCGGTCGGGTAGCGTATCACGGGAAGCCCGGAAAGCGGCTAAGCATTTGAGCCTTGTACTGGGTCTGCGGGAACAAGAAGAAGATTTGAGCAGCGTGACAACGACGACGACCGGCGAGAACATTGTTGCGGCTGCTGCGGAAGCTACCGCCGCCGCCGCCGCTACTACCTCCACCACGATGTCTCCTACCTCATTTCCCCTCAACTTCATGGCATCTCAAGATACCCCCTTCTCGTCGCCGTGCGACCAGGTCTCGTGGGATGCTTATCAAGGTACGGAAAAGACCTGATCGTATATTCCTTGATGATTGAATCACACAACTCTGTCCACACTGGATACTGGCTCTTTTCCTTACATACTTGAACATTATAGAATGCCTCGCCAACTAATTGTTTTCTGCACAGCACCAATCAGTGGAGAATTCGAAAACCCACCTTCTTTTGCTCCGTCTTTCTCGGTGGACGTCTCAATGGCGGACCTGCTCATGCAGAACAGCACTGACTGGATGAGTGGATAATGTTAGTGTTAGTAGCTGTGCCATTTATTCCATTATTCTCCACCCACGTATTAATGATTAGCTTATTTCTACCCTGATTCCTTTCTTTGTCTAGACCTCATATGAAACCTCGGACACGTCAAGAGAACTAGGCTCAACAGCAATTGTTGCTTTCACATTCGTTTAATTAATTTTATACTGCCTCTGTGTCTCATAGACACGTGCACAGTCATAATTACTTCTTGGTTCCCTGTCGTCTGCAACGGGCTTTGAGTTGTGCTGCTGCGAGAGTATGAGAATATCGCTGATTGGATAGTCGTGAATACTTGCGTTCGCACTGCCTGTACCATTCTTTCGATTGCTTTTTACATGTCTGGTACCAGAGCGGTGGGTTTCGGGACGGCTGCCGTGTCATTTTGCATGACGACAGAAGCATTGTACGTCGGGATGCTGTCGTCATCGAAAGGCTCCCTTGATGTCGACTATCGAGGTGCTGCAGCGGCAGTCGTTCTCGTAACCTGCTGTGTCCATGACTGCTGCATCTCAAATTGACCCCCAGCATTCTTGTTCGGGGATTGCGTCGCTCGACGGTCCGGGCGGTCAGCACAGGCGGTGATGCGACACGGCTTTAGCCCGGCGTGTCACTGCCACATTCTGTTGTGTGGTGACGTCGTGCAGCCACGAGGCCAGGGCGTCCCGTGTAGCCTGATGAGAGTCCCGTGAGAAGTGGACATGAATTTGTGCAGCCTCCGTGGTCGAGTGACATATTCAATAGACAACCAAATCTTTTCCACACAGTAATAATTGAAGCGGCAGTCTTCAATAGGAATCTAATATCTAGTAATTGCAAGAGGAGAAGGAGGGGGGGCCGGGGCGGGGATGAAATTTGCAACGGACCCAATTCGGAGCGTTCGACGGAGCAACAACGGAGACAAGTCCGGGTTGGTAAGAAAAGAAGAGTTGCCGGATGCAAGGACGGAGCAAGAGACGGGGCAAAAGATTGAGCCCACATTTCATCAGATATGGACTCAAGATTATAGACACTGATCAATGATGCTCTCTGCGTGTTTTCGTTCATTCGGACCTATCTCGGACTCGCCACCTTATTCAAACTCCCGCTAATCTTCTGATGTTGACCTTACACCTGGTAACAGCATGCTCTAGTCTTTAAATGACTGGTTTGGGATGCACGCATTGCTCTTTTTTGTTTTGTTTTCTTATATATGTTCTCCCTTTCTTTTGCTGTGCAACAACTCACTATTCCACTTGTTCTGAGAAGCATACAGCAACGCATTCAAGCAAACTGAACCTGTACAACAACTGTACGACAACAAAGTTATGCGATGCACCATCTCTATATTTCTCTCTAACAACCAGACAAGGCCATAAGGACAGCCTAATATGCCAATAACAACAAAAACCACAACTCCTTCAACAAGCATGAACGAAGCCAGCAGGAAGCCCGTCGATGCTCCTGACAAAGACGCAGAGAAGGACGCTGCTGCTGCAATTGCTGCTGCTCCTTCAGCCGACTCCGATCTAGTCGACTGGGATGGGCCCAACGACCCTGAAAACCCACGAAACTGGTCCCAAAGCCTCAAGACAGCCCATGTGGCACTTCTCAGTCTGTCGGTGTTATATGCCAACTTGGCCACCACCATGTTTGCCCCAGGGGCCGCGTTTATGCAGCGGGACTTTGGTTTCACAAGCAGCACCGTCGAGGTCTTGACAATCACGATTGCTTCGCTGGGATTTGCCATCGGTCAGCTCTTCGCCGGCCCGCTATCCGAGGTCTTTGGCCGCTCACCCATCTATCGTGTGAGCTCTATCCTCTACATGGGATTCACTGCTGGCTGCGCCCGCAGTACCCACATCGCCGAATTCCTCGTTTTTCGCTGGTGCACAGGCTTCTCGGCTGCCTCTTATATGTCCACTGGAGGCGGCACAATCGCTGACCTTCTCCCCAAGGAGAAGCGTGGCGGGGCCATGGCCTTGTACACCGCTGGCCCGGTTCTCGGCCCCGTATGTCTCGCTCTATCAAATACATGGAATTACAACCCTTTCATTCTCTTTGCCCCTCCCCCTTCTTCCCTCTAGCACTAAGTCTTGGGCATAATTAAAGGAAAACAAAGAAAATTCCACTGGGCTAACTGGTAATCATCTAGGTTATTGGTCCGATCATCGGGGGTTTCGTCACCCAGGATCTGAGCTGGAGGTGGTGTTTTTACCTTATTCTGATGCTAGTAAGAATAATTCTTGAGTGGTAAAACTTGAAAAAGCTTGACTGACACTATAACCAAACCCAGTCCGGAGTTATCAACCTAGCAGCTTTCTTTGTCATGCGAGAGACAAGTTCTCTTGTCCTCCTCAAACGCAAGGCGGCCCGCCTTCGCAAAGAGACAGGCAACGAAAATCTGCGGGCCGTGGGTGACATGCAGCTCCCGGCCCGCGTGCTGATCCTCAACGCCCTATACCGCCCAGTCAGGCTTCTCGTGCTGTCGCCCATAGTGGGCTTGACGGCCATTTACCTGGGCTTCGTCTTTGGCGTCGTCATGCTCCTCTACGCCACCTTTCCGGAAGTCTTTGAGAACACCTACGGCTGGAGTGTCGGGGTCTCGGGGCTGGCTTACATTGGCCTCGGGATTGGATCCGTGTTCGGCATGTTTCTGTTTGCCAAGTTCAGCGACCGCCTGCTGCATACCAAAAATGGTACTATATACCGCCCGGAGCAACGGCTGATCCTCATGATGTGGGTCGCCCCCGTGGTCCCCGTCGGCATGTTCCTGTACGGCTGGGCGGCCAAGTACAAGCTGCACTGGATTGTGCCCATCATTGGTACGACAATCGCAGCACCGGGCGGTATTATTATCACCTCAGGGTCACAGATCTACATGATCGACGTCTTTGGACCACAGGCCGCCGCGTCTGCCCTGGCTGCTGTCACTCTTCTGCGCAACCTGATGGGCTGCTTCCTACCCCTTGCCGCCCCGGCCCTCTATGACAATCTCGGTCTGGGCTGGGGAAACAGCGTGTTGGCCTTCATCACCTTGGCTTTTGTGCCGGTGCCTTTCTTGTTTTACAAATGGGGTGAGTGGTTGCGCGAAAGTTTTCCCGTTAAGATTTAGTCATATATATATATATATATATATATATATCAACAGACAGTTGAATGGCTGCATAAACATATAGAAGCATAGACATGAAAACTGCACAATGTCTGGATGAGATGTTGATTTGCTACTAAGTTCAAAGTTTTTTAAGGAAAAGCGTGAAAGAAACAGTGAATCAAAGCACGCTGCCAATTGCCTGTCTACTATAGTATATATCGAAGTTAATCCGAACTAGTCCTAACTAAGTTACCATGCCTGCTGACCCACTGTCTCTCCATTAAATGCTCAAAGCCAGTGAGTCAGCTAGGCCTCACATTCACTGAAGCTCTATAGCTACTATCACACGTATGCTTGATAAGCTATGATAAACACGTAATTTAATGATATGAAGCTGTAGGGTGTTGAGGTTGAAACGGACGGCCTTCATATTTTCTGTATCTTTTTGCTCTGATAATACGTTATCACACAGCTTCCCAACAGGAACTCATTATTATAAAGACATAATCGAGAAGCCTTTTTTGCGAGTGCCTTCATTAGCGTTTATGTTAGCTTAACTTGTATTCTAACACGGAATGTTTCCCAAAAACGAGCAGCTACGCTAGATCATTAGCAAGCAGCTTATATAAGAAGTTTGCAACACTGGTACAATGGGATTCGAAGTTTATAGCAACGGGGTTGATTCAGTAGCCACTGATAATGAAAACGTATTAACTAAGATGAATGAATTGGATTTAGAATGGAAAGTAGTGTAGCTATATACAGGTATAAAGCCAAAGAAGATAAAAAGAGCTAAAAGCTGAGAGCTTCCTCGCTTGAATATCAGATTGGATCAAATCTTTCCAATCCGATTGTACCTCCTGAGTTTCATTTAAATAGCAAGAGGATCTCCAATGGCTGTCCTCCCAGATCTTGATGAATTGCCATTACTTGGAGGAAGTAACATCACTGCTGTAAATGCAGTAAGTTCCATCACTGCCTGATGCAATTTCCGTGGGCTCATCACCAGAATCATTTCCCTCATAGGTAACACAGATATCATCCACCTCAGTCGCAACTGTGTTTGTGATAGTAGCCGAATCACCGTAATTCTCGTTGATACCCGCCAGCTCGCTGCCCGTAGTCGCGGTCACACCGTCAATGATAACGTGGCGTTCGTACATAGAGTCGCAGTTGCCGCAGGAGCGGTAGAGTTTGCCGAAGGTGTCAACAGTGAAATCGGAGATGGAAATTGTGCCAGCGCCGTTATGTTGGATAACTTTGTCGTCGGCGTTGAAAGCACCGCCACCGTTGATGTAGGTCGTTTCACCAGCGTCTTGCTCTTTGACAGTGAAGGCATCTTCGCAGACGGCGGACCACCAGACATTGGTGAGGGTGCAGGCGCTATCACAAGATTATTAGTAGATAATAAGCAGAATCAATATTGGAATGCCTTACCCCTCGCAGTGAACACCTTCAATCTGATTGGGGCCGATGATGACATTGGAGAGAGAACCGCCGTTCTCGATGATAAACACAGCATCGCTATCACCGCCTTCATCCTGACCAGTGCAGCTGACGCCACGATCATACATAAACATGCCACCGTCGAAAGAATCACCGGCAGCAATGGTCTGGGTAGCATCCAAGACAGAGCTTCCAGAAGAAGCAGGAAGGCTGCCCCCGGAAGTCAAAGTAGAGTCGGAAGTGGAAGCGCTTGCGGTAACGGTAGGACTGGCGGAGCTGGTATTGCTGGAGGCGCTGCGTCCAGTAGCGGTAGGAGTAGCAGTGGCATAGTTGCTAGTGGTAGAGGCGGAAGAGTCATCGCTAGAGTCAGAGTCATCCTCTTCATCGTCGTCGTCGTCGGCATCGTCGTCGTCGGTGCTAGCGACGTTAGAACCGCCCCAGGTACCGAAGGAGTGTCCGCCATATCCGCCCCAGCGCTTTTCAAGGCTCATGGCATTATGAGCAGCACTAGACAGGCCGGTGGAGTAACGGCGCAGGACTCCAGATTTACGAGCGTTAAGCGCGTTATTCTGGCTAGGGGCGGCAGAAGCTCCAATAGCGAAGGCCGCAATAGCGACAGAGACGACTTGAATTCTCATTGTGAAGAATCGGTGTGAGTGACGTGGAAGAAAAGTGAAAGAGAATGAAGAAAATAAAAACGATTGGTAGACTGATCGATGCACAGCAAACAACGAATGAAGCTTGACGAACCAGTCGTAAGATAATGAAAGTAATGAGTTGGAAGAAAAATAAAGATAGACTTGAAGATGAAGGGAAAAGTTTTGAGATCCTATAGAAACATGATCATTTATATCCTCCACCATGTCCTAGGGACAACTCGAAACGATTCTCAACGTTTGCTAGACGCGCGTTCTAGTGTTGACTGGTCGAATCATGAAACAAAACTAGTTGCTCCAAGATAATCGAATTAATTAAACATTCACTCCTTGAGATAATACTGGTGGGGAAGATGCAGCCTGTAATGCATTACTATGGGGAACTTATTCGCGCATCTAATGATATTTGTGTGATCATAGCCTGATATGGAAGGGGTGTTTGTAACTCGGAAACGATTTAGTAAAATCAACCCGCCTCCTGGAGAAATCAACCCGCCCCCCACCAGCGCTATACCTAAAGTAAACAGCTATCTGAGTATACAGCTCTTCTTCATACTGTGCTAGATATCAAATACCTGGCTCTCAGCATTAGTACCAGAGCCAAGACCAGCACCACAGCAGAGGCAGAACTAGCATCACAGCAGAAGCAGGACTGGCACTATAGCAGAGGCAGAAGCAGTACTATAGCAAAAGCAGTTGGTGCTGGTTCTGCCTCTGCTGTAGTGCTGGTCCTGTTTCTGCTATGGTGCTGGTCTTGGCTCTGGTACTATAAGTACTTACTGATAGCTAGTATAATTCAGAACATTTGTTATGAAATACAGTATTAGTATCCTGTATTATATTGTCCAAATATGGCTAGAGTAGTGGGGGGCGAGTTGATTTCTCCAGGAGGCGGGTTGATTTTACTAAGTCGCTCGGAAACATAGAAATGGGCCCAGGGCCCTACCAAGCCTTGGCTGAGGATGAAGTGCCTTGGCATTATTCTTGGCTTCAGCGCTCTAGGCGGTCTTACAAATTACCAAGACAATGTAAGCCAAGATAAGCAAACGTCACTATATCTTCGTATTATGATACCATCTGTGCTAATTTGATTGCTTGTATCTAAGTGCTCCAAATGTCAATGTTGCTTGGCGCTTCGAGAAGCTTGATCCTGAGATATGAACTTTGATAGACTGGTTCTGCAATGCTGAATGCTCAATGGCTTCCGACAGTGGTACAAATAGAGCATTTCTATAGACTGTATTAAGCACTGTAACGTTCATAATTCCTGAAATATACACGGATTTCATGTTAATATGAGCAGTGTCCAATATAAGGCTCATATCTCTAGCAGGAAAAGCGAGCTATTAGTCAAAGTAGCGCGCGTTTTACACTATCTTTAAGCTTTGAAGCACTTGTCAGATAGACTTGCAAGAGCAATGTGATAAAACTTTTTCAGAGGCTCACATAGCAGTCAACTTGAGGCTTGAATAACTGAATCTATCTCTGGCTGCGCTGATGTGGCTGGATAGCTGCGAAATTGCTCAGTTAGCCGAGATCCAGCTAAATATGAGCCTTACTAGCTTTGATAAATAAGCTGAGCAAGCTAGAAGCAGCTCGTATTCTCTTCCCTACCAATGTGCTCTTTTATCCTAAGTGCTGAGTGCTAACTGCATTTCTGCTTCTTCTTTCCCCTTATGTTTCAATAATAGCCGGGTTTAAATATTGAAATGTAACATCATAAGCTCAGGCCAACCGATGTCCGATATTTTAACAATGGCAACAGTATTTTATCCTTTTGATATTGCCATAACAGCGCTTGACCTCGCACTTCAAACTTTTTCACAACTGATGCTAGCCTTCCAGAGATAATATACACTCCTCGCTCGCCACTCAATATAAATCCAGCTTCATCTCGTATGCTTTTATGAACTTCATTCACATTTTAGGGTCAAAGCTTATGAAATCTAACTTGATCTCCTGCTCAGGCCCACCACGACGCATCGCACTCCAAGCGCATGGCTTCAATAGCTCCGACTCGTCCTCGTAGCTCTGCTGCCGTGCCGCTTCGCAAAGTGGATACAGTGCTATTATACTGCTACAGCCTTGACTTGCATTCGCAAAGTGCAATAGTGCTGCATTGTGGCGTCACGCAGCACTTCCTAGACTCAACTTTTGCTGGCTACGTCTACCGCCGGGGCGGGTTGTTCCACGAAGGCCCGCGCAACTAGGGAAACGGCCTGTACTCACTGCACGCGACCGCGTGCAAAGTTTCCAACAGAGACTTTCTCCCAGGCAGGCTGAATTTCACTGTCAGCCATGTACAATGTAAGGAGCATAGAAAGATGTGCAGTGGCTCAGGCGGTGACTAGCTACCCCTAGTAGAGGCTGGACCAAGTGTCTCCGCCTCAATAACTTAACGCTTCAGGAGTCCGACAATAGGCATGCATAATTCCGATGCGAAGAAGGACGAGAGGACTTGCCTTCCGAATATGATATCTCTCCGGATTCGCTAGAAATACAACAAATGTTTCCATCAATCTTTGCACTAGCATACAAAGGTAGCGTAAACGACATGAGTGTGCAGCGTGTGCGCATTCAAACTATCGAGTATGGTATAATTATACATCTCTAATAATAAATCATTCGCAGTTACAACAAACTAGGTGTCTTGATAGCTATATATATTTTGCTTTTTCTTTTCTTCAAGAATAAGGGTTCTCCTCACTGTTAAAGAACAACGCATATCTTTCTTTGTACTTATTCGTATGATCGCAGGAATCGGCTCAGACCTCGCTCCAGTTTCAGTTTCATTCCCAAAAAGCATAATACAGCCAATTGCTCGGTCTGCACTCCAGTGCTCTATTATCTGCACTTGAATATTTCTATTTTGCTACATAGACTCGTATAATGATCAACGACCTTAGTTGAGCAGTATATCTTTCATTATAATTCAGCTTCTCTGATTAGTACTAGAGAATTGTTGTTAGTCTTGCATATTCCGGAATAATGAGCTTAATAGCCAGGGTTTTGTAATGCTCTGATTGCATTCTTTGTAGCTTGCTGATATAACTCATTCAACATGCAGGTTACGAAACAAGCCCTGCAAACAAAAGACCAGATATTACAACTCAACATTAGACAAAAAGCAAGGATTATGTAACCAAGAGTTAGGATTACAAGCTCAATAACCAATCAGCAGAGAACCGTACCAATCGCACATCGGTTCTTACGGTTCAAGCTGTGAACTGCAACAGTCGATCTGCAACTCTAGCAGTTCAGAACTGAAGAGCTGGATATATAATCTCACATTTATTACCAGTAGATAGATTATTGTATATAGCTCTTTAATCATCAATCTACATATCGGATTATATATATACTTTGATAACTTCAAAAGCAGTGAGTACTTGTATTCAGATTTCAGTTATATTTCCGTATTGCAAGCCTATACTTAGCACTGCTCTTGTTAGTATAAACTCCTTTCAATACTTAGGAATCTTTAGACTACTACAGTACTCATTACATCAAACTCCTACAAAGCTGGATATATCGTAAAGTTGTACTAATTACATTCCAGGAGCGCATCTTTAAGATAAGAGATTAAAGCTGTATCATTAGTAATAGAATATATCTTTTGTAGAAAATTTCGTAATTGAGAGATTAATCAAAATAACACAGATACTATAATTTCTTCGAATAGCTGAAGCATAAGATTTTGAATACGCTATGAGATTTAGCATTAGGATCTGAGTAAGCCAAGATGGTAAACCAGAACTAGAGCGCTATTGCTCTCAAGAAAAGAAACAACAGCTAGCCTAGCAATGAGCAAGAGCTCATGCAAACCAAGCATTCCAGTATAAATAACAACAGAAAATCTAAAGCTATACGAGCATAAGCACAGGATGCTTAAGACATATCCAAAGAGTTCAAAAGAAAAATAAGAAGAGAAGTTGCTTACTTGTTATTATCTGATTGCGAAAATCTAAAGTAAGTAGTATTCTTATATGCATAAGGATTTATACTCTGCTCTACTCAATGTTCCAAGGATTATCACACTGGCTCCTACAACAATAGGTTATCATTTCCAGCTCCTCTCTTTTTTTCCCCTTACCTTCTGCAGTGGTTTGGAATGATTATTAGCATGCACTATTAGCTACTAAATTACTAATTGAATACTATAGAGCTCCGTAAGCAAGCTTACTCTGGTTGCGAGCTGTGATGATGCACTGCAATAATCCGAAGATCCTGAAGTACACGGGGTTTATGTTAACAAGAGCGGTGTCAAAGTGTCAATCCCTGAATACGGAAATATAGCTGAATAATGTATGCAAGTGCTTCACTGCCTTTGGGGCTATTCAAGTGTGTGACAAATGAATACTTAGATTGACGACTGAAGAGCTATGTCTGGTGGTCTATCTAATGGTAATGAACATGTTCTTATATATCCAGCTCTTCAGTTTTAACTATCCTGACTATGTGCTGATTCCTCATAGTTCGTTCTTGAATATGTTGACTATGTCCATAGTCAACATAGTCGCACTAGTAACCCTAACCCTGAGTTATGTAATCTTGTCTGGTGTCCAACGTTGGGTCACGACACCTGGTTCTTGTTGGCGGGGCCTGTTCTGTGACCTGCATGTTGGATGGGTCATAACACGAGCGCTATTTGTTACTATGATAGACTGTGAATAGCTTTATCTATTCCCCTTCTTCTTTTCTCTTCTTCTTGCTCTCTTTTCTGCTTTTCTTTATAGAGGTCAGTCTGCAAACCAAGTCTGCACTAAAAGGCTAGCAACTGAGCGATTAGGTATATAAGCACCTTTCAGCTGCCTCCGATCCCTGTCAATTGAGGGCCCGCTTGCCGTTCGCCCACCTGTTGTTAAATGACGCAACACTCCATCTTTCTTTCCGTCAGTAATGTAGTCATTCATCCTCATTCAGTGCCTCATCTATAGCACTGTAGCCTCAGTACTTCCTTGCGGTAATCTTGTGATCGAAAATTGTCATTGCTTTATAATCAAAGCATCTTACATTCTTGCAGTTCCTACGGAACTTGTCTTATCTCGCACGGTACTCATGGATCTGGCCCGTGGCTCCAGCTTGAATGCTCACGAATGTGAATTCTGCCAGCAAGCCACCATTGACGTTCGCACTCACAAAAGTGATTTGAAGCGCAAGGGTTCCTGCATAGTTCGCCTTTCTGCTGCTGACATCTTGAGTGGTGCAAAGCATGGCTGTGCATTCATGCATGTCTTGCAAGACCAATATCGAAACAACAAAAGCCCCGACGGATCGGACTGGCTCGGCCTGCAGTTCACTTCGTTTACTCGACCCGGACCAGGATTTGAACACGAGGAAAGCTATGCCGATATATCCAGGATGCAATACAAGTCAGCTCGTAGTTGGCTAGTCTTTGCGGAGCCCAGTAAGTGATAGACTAGAATTATGATGAGATAGTCTTTGCTGATGTTGGGATGAAGTGGACCCGAGCGCCCGGTGGGTTTCTAGCAGAGAGCCTCATCGCAATCTGGGGGGTGAGGCCGTACTACACCTTGCCAAGACGTGGCTAAAGGACTGCATTACAACTCATTCCATCTGCCAAAATCACGGACATGCAAGCACCTTTAGGCCGCTTCGTCTCATAGACGTACAACAGGACGACCCTAATACCATTCGCTTGGACACTACAACATCGGATGAGCACCTACAGTACGTAGCCCTGAGTTACTGCTGGGGTGGCGACCAGCTGGGCAAGACACTCCGCGCAAATCTAGATACTCGGACCGAGGGTTTCAGTTTGAGTGATAGCCCAGCGACCATCCGAGATGCTGTCTCTGTTACTCGTCAATTAGGGGTCCGCTTTATATGGATTGACAGTCTGTGTATTGTCCAGGACGACGACGACGACAAGAATATCGAAATCACGCGAATGCATGACATCTACCAGCATGCCGCGGTAACCCTTTCCGCTGCCAGGGCTACATCCAGTCAGCAAGGGTTTCTGAATGTCTGTTCACCGCCTCTACTCGTCCGTTTGAAGTATGTTGGACCGGACGGCTCGGTGGGCTCTGTCATATTGTCGTTGAGCGTCAACCAGATGGAGCCAATCCACTCCCGGGCGTGGACCATGCAAGAACATGTGCTCTCGAGACGGCTCCTGATATTTGGGACATTTGGGGTAAGATGGACATGTTCAGCTGGGCGTCAGCTTGACAATACTCAGGAGAATGGCAATCAGATAAACAATCTCATTGCGGAGTTCCTGCTTGGCCCGAATTCGAAGACCCAGTACGGCGAAAGCACTATCACACCTGACACATGGAGGGATACGGTGTCTAATTATTCGGTACGAGCTCTGACAAATCCAGAGGATCAACTGCTAGCTATCTCAGCCATTGCTACACTTCACGCCGCTGCGAGGCCGAGGGATCGGTACTTGGCAGGCCTATGGGCGGATTCGGTGGCTAAGGGCCTTCTTTGGAACGTACGGTCAGTCGAAAAATCATCACGCAGCCAGGACCCGCAATTTCCCAGCTGGTCCTGGGCTTCAGTGCGGGCGGCAGTATTCTTTGCAGCAACCCTTTCAAGTGCGGAAGAACGAGTCACAATGCGGCTGGTTAGCTACGACATCATCCTCAGTAACAAAACAGTTCCATTGGGTCATGTCATTCGTGGCTCGTTGGATATTGAAGGAAACCTCTTTGTCATTCGTGGGGCCCAACCAGATCTGCGCTTCCGCTCGGACACCATCCTGCTCGGAGCATGCGAGGCATTCGACGAGCACGTGGTCCCGTTTCATGCTTCGTTGGATCTCCTCACGCCGCTTGACTCACTCGTGGGCCTTGTATGCTTGGAACTCATCTCGACTCTCGATGATTTCTCAAATTCCTATGGCTTGATCCTGTGTGCAGAAGCTGGTAGCACAGTCTCCTTCTCGAGAGTCGGTATATTCACAAGATTTCCCGGTCCCTTATCTGATAGAAACCCTGCGTGGAAGGAAAGACCTTCGGCTACAAGAAAGTTGGTGAGACTTTTGTAACGTTATGAGTGGTTTCATTTTGTGGTTTCGCTGTGGTTCTCATCCACTGCAACGAACATGTGCTATCAGCCAATATAAGAAAACAAATATAGCGCATTTATTGTTGCTATTCTGAGAGTCCTGGAAGCAATCAAGAGCTCACCAGCGGGGGACGGCATCTTGGAAGCGATTCGGGAGAATTGATCCTTGCAAGTTTCGATATAAGGACAGCGTTCCACACAAGTCAAGTCAAGGCAAGCGGTAGCCCTCCACTTGGCTTGCTAACTATTTTGGCCACTTGCTTGTCTTGCAGTACTTTGCCACTTGTGTTGCTTGTTCGCTTGATTCAGATAGCATCTTACCTAATATAGCTTAATTTTAGCTAAATTTTCCTCCTATAAGCCCAATAATATAAGCTTGATTATATAAGGTTGAGATTCCTATCTTATCTGATCAGAGTTAGAGTTCAATTTTTATTGAAAAATATCTAAAAAGAAAGGGTGGGAAATAGAATAAACTGAGCTTATAAGGACTCACAATAGGATTAAGGCCGCTTGCTTGTTCGCTTGCAAGCTGCTTGCTTAAAAACGCCGCTTGCTTGTCTTGAACAGCATCGCGAAACCGTCAACTTTGCTTGTCAAGTTGCTTGAATCCCCTTGACTTGTATGGAACGCTGTATGAGGAGAGGTTGCTAAAGGACTCCACAATAGCGAACTTACCGAGGAATTGCTTATTTGAGCGTTCATTTCGCAAAGTTGTAAACAACCTTTGAGCTAAAGGTATAAGCGCAAGACAAAACGAAATGTTTACTTACTTGATAAATAATACGAGCTGGAACTTATGTGTGATGATGCACTGCAATATCCGAAGATTCTGAAGTACACAAGAGGTTTATGCTAACAAGAGCGGTATTAAAGTGTCAATCCCTGAATACGGAAATATAAACAAGTAATCTCTGTACAAGTATTTCATCCGCCTATTCTAAAGTCAAAGTGTTCTCAAGGTAGAGAACAGTTTTTTTGAGTAGGAAACTTTTTAGCGCTAGCAAAAACAGGGATAAGAGGATCGTTTTTTTCTTCTATAAACTGTTCTCAACTCAATTTTTAAGCTTTCTATCTCATTTCAATTTAAAGTCTGGTTGCTTCCCTTAAAACTCTTAACATATGAAAGTCTTGGGAGAGCTCATACTTACACAACCATAGCGTCCGTAGTCAGCAAAAGCGGGCTGCTGACTCCTATATCAGCTCATACGACTCACTTAGCTGATTTATACAACTCACTTAGCTGACTTATACAACTTACTTAGCTAACTCATATGCAGTGGCTTGTATGCTTCTTAAACCAGCTGAATTAAAAGCGCTTAGAGGGATGAGTATAGCTATTAAATATTCCAGCTTTACTACATTCTTCCAGCTTAACTGCATTCACATCTTCAAATCTCTTTCTCAATTCTACAGGATTCTTAGTTAGCAATCAGCAGGTGTAACTCACTTAGCTAATGCATACAACTCACTTAGCTAACTCATATAATTCACTTAGCTGACTTATATGCAATAGCTTGTATGCTTCTTAAACTAGCTGAATTAAGAGTGCTTAGAGGGATAAGTATAGCTATCAAATATTCCAGCTTTACTATATTCTTTCAGCTTAACTGTATTGTTATAACTCATCCAACATGCAGATCACAGAATAAGCCCCGCCAACAAAGAAACCAGGTATCACAACCCAACATCGGACACCAGGCAGGATTACATAGCCCAGGGTTAGGGTTGTAAAGGAGGGAGGATCGCTAGGCTCGCCAGCGATCCCAGCGAGCCTTATACCTTGGATCGCTAGACTCGCCAGCGATCCCAGCAAGCTTTACACCTTGAATCGCTAGACTCGCTAGCGATTCATACTGAAGAACTGGATATATAACCGCACATTCATTACTATTAGATAGATTCAGTATATAGCTCTTCAGTTATCAATCTAAGTATCAGATTACTTTCTTACTCTGATAGCTCCAAAAGCAGTAAACACTTGTACAATTACTCAATTGTATTTCCGTATTCAAGGCTTATACTTAGCACCGCTCTTGTTAGCATAAATCCTTTATGTACTTTGGAATCTTCGAATTGCTGCAGTGTGTTATGACTCATCCAACATGCAGGTCACAAAACAGGTCACGGGTAACAAGGACCAGGTATTAAGAACCCAACGTTCTGACAAAGCATTGATTACATAACTCAGGGTTAGGGTTATCAGCACGGCTAATCAGGAAGGATAGCTTTGGATAAGTGCTATTCAGAGCTAGCAGAATAACTTAAATATGTTGCTATTCAACATATTCATACTGAATAGCTGAATATATAAGAATACATTCATTACCATTAGATAGATTTAGTACATAGCTCTTCAGTTATCAATCTAAGTATCAGATTACTCTTCTACTCTGATAGCTCCAAAAGCAGTAAATACTTGCATCGCTTATCAGAACTTGTACAATTCCGTATTTAAGAACTTGATACTTTAATACTGCTCTTGTTAGCATAAACCCTTTTTGTCAGGGCCGATTGTGCCAGCAAGGCTCAGAGCCAGCTAAGCCAGCTGGATTACGGATGACTAAGCAATATGCGGCTATAAAGCGGCTTTCTAGCCACGTCAGCACTGCTGAGCAGAACTTAGCTCCTTAGGCCTCAATGTTATTCTGGTTGTATGCCCCTGAAAGAGAGAAAGACCTCGCCACATTGCCTTTGCAACCTTTCCACCTGACAGTTTGAGGCCTGGCCCTTTTAAAGGAGGCAATCCGGCGAGGCTTTCTATCTTTTTTTTTTTTCCCTAGGAGCAGCGCTAACACTGAGCAGGAGCAGAGCAAACGATCAGACCACTATCCTTTTCGAACCTTCGAGCCTTTGACCTTCGAGCCTTTGACCTTCGAGCCTTTGACCTTCGAGCCTTTAACCTTCGAGCCTTCGATTTTCGAGCTTTCGAGCCTTGAATACAGCGAGCAAGCAGTGCCGAGCAAGCAGTATGCAAGCAGCGTGCGAGAAGCGTTCAGAAGAGATTCAGAGCATTCGAGTCGCTAAGCTAGAGCATACAGCGAGCAAGCAGTGCCGAGCAAGCAGTATGCAAGCAGCGTGCGAGAAGCGTTCAGAAGAGATTCAGAGCATTCGAGTCGCTAAGCTAGAGCAAACAGCGAGCAAGCAGTATGCAAGCAGCGTGCGAGAAGCGTTCAGAAGAGATTCAGAGCATTCGAGTCGCTAAGCTAGAGCATACAGCGAGCAAGCAGTGCCGAGCAAGCAGTATGCAAGCAGCGTGCGAGAAGCGTTCAGAAGAGATTCAGAGCATTCGAGTCGCTAAGCTAGAGCAAACAGCGAGCAAGCAGTATGCAAGCAGCGTGCGAGAAGCGTTCAGAAGAGATTCAGAGCATTCGAGTCGCTAAGCTAGAGCAAACAGCGAGCAAGCAGTATGCAAGCAGCGTGCGAGAAGCGTTCAGAAGAGATTCAGAGCATTCGAGTCGCTAAGCTAGAGCAAACAGCGAGCAAGCAGTATGCAAGCAGCGTGCGAGAAGCGTTCAGAAGAGATTCAGAGCATTCGAGTTGCTAAGCTAGAGCAAACAGCGAGCAAGCAGTATGCAAGCAGCGTGCGAGAAGCGTTCAGAAGAGATTCAGAGCATTCGAGTCGCTAAGCTAGAGCAAACAGCAAGCAAGCAGTATGCAAGCAGCGTGCAAGAAGCGTTCAGAAGAGATTCAGAGCATTCGAGTCGCTAAGCTAGAGCAAACAGCGAGCAAGCAGTATGCAAGCAGCGTGCGAGAAGCGTTCAGAAGAGATTCAGAGCATTCGAGTCGCTAAGCTAGAGCATATAGCGAGCAAGCAGTGTCGAGCAAGCAGTATGCAAGCAGCGTGCGAGAAGCGTTCAGAAGAGATTCAGAGCATTCGAGTTGCTAAGCTAGAGCATACAGCGAGCAAGCAGTGTCGAGCAAGCAGTATGCAAGCAGCGTGCGAGAAGCGTTCAGAAGAGATTCAGAGCATTCGAGTCGCTAAGCTAGAGCAAATAGCAAGCAAGCAGTATGCAAGCAGCGTGCAAGAAGCGTTCAGAAGAGATTCAGAGCATTCGAGTCGCTAAGCTAGAGCAAACAGCGAGCAAGCAGTATGCAAGCAGCGTGCGAGAAGCGTTCAGAAGAGATTCAGAGCATTCGAGTTGCTAAGCTAGAACAAAGTGTGTTCTTCGCTATTCGAGCGAGAGAGCAGAGTGAGCAAGCAGTAGATCTGAGTATCTTCTGTTTTCGAGAGTGTGTTCTTCGCTATTCGAGCGAGAGAGCAGAGTGAGCAAGCAGTAGATCTGAGTATCTTCTGTTTTCGAGAGTGTGTTCTTCGCTATTCGAGCGAGAGAGCAGAGTGAGTAAGCAGTAGATCTGAGTATCTTCTGTTTTCGAGAGTGTGTTCTTCGCTATTCGAGCGAGAGAGCAGAGTGAGCAAGCAGTAGATCTGAGTATCTTCTGTTTTCGAGAGTGTGTTCTTCGCTATTCGAGCGAGAGAGCAGAGTGAGCAAGCAGTAGATCTGAGTATCTTCTGTTTTCGAGAGTGTGCTTTTCGCTATTTGAGCGAGAGCGCAGAGCTGAAGCGGAGTGTCCGCTTGGCAACTGAAGTTGCTTGGGTATTAGGTTGCGAACCAATTACCCTTCTGCGCCTAGCGGTGGAGCGAAGCGTAGCAACGGCTTCAGAGTTGCTAGAGAGCAACTCTCAAGACGGAAAGCTGTAATTATCCGTTATAGCTGCAGGGACGCTGTCCTGGATGCTGGGCTCCTTGGCTGCAAACCAAGTCCCTGGTGGAAGGCTTGCAACCTACATCAAACAGCTTTAAGTTCTGAAGAGTGCCTGGATAAAGCGCTGAGGGAGCAGCGACTGAGCAGCGTATATGGCGCGGGTATTGCACTCGGAAGACTTACGTCTGGAATGTGATTAAAAAGAGATTTTTTTTTTTCACAGGCTTCGGGGACGAAGCCAGAAGAGAAGGAGGGAGATGGTGGAGAGGCCTG